ATGAACGCAAATCCAGGAAGAGGAAAGCAATCACATTAGATCCTGCCCTGTCAGCCTCTCAGATCCAAGGGATAGTTGAGCAAGAGGAGGTTGAAGCACAAATAAGGGAGCAGATGCCAAGGGCTCCAAAGCGTGCTAGTCGGTGTAGCAAGTGTGGTTCCTTTGCTCACACCTTCAAACACTGTACAGTAGATTGAATAGTATTGTTATATAACACATTTAAGTCTCAAAGCAATCTATTAAGTATTGGTTGAGATAATCAGTGTTAAAGGTGGTAGACACGTAATTCGTGGACCACGCCGTGGGGTGGACCGCGCTCTGGTGTTTGACGTTAGCAGCGCGTTGCGCGCGCGGTCTGCAGAAAGAAATCGGTGATCCACCTCAAGCAAATACCGCAACAACATCAGCGACTTCTCTTCCACAGGGCATTGCAATTCTCCATACACTTAATTCTTCCTCGTCCGTACATCTGAAACAGCCGATCGACGTCTGCATCAATTCACGCCGCACTTGTGCTTTGTCCCCAGCAACGACCCGAGCGCAAGCCTATCCGATCTGTGTAACACAGAACGCCTTGCGCGTGATTTCTACCCCGGTCACGGCAAGATTACAGATCACTTTCCCTCCCTGGCCGAACAGGAGCACATTCCCGTCCGAATAGCGCCATCTATCACCGTGATAGGACGATAGCAGACCAATCGCAGGCGGAAGCTTTCATTCAGGCGTGTCACGATGTCGACATTCGGGCGGTCAAACTCCCTGTCCTTGAACACAGGCGCTGCAAATTCACTCTTGTATGTACCCTTCTTTCCTTTACCGAATCCTCAAATCGACACTTCGCGCTTCATGCGAGCTGCAGGCCATTTTGGTTCGTGGGCAGCATGGTTGTTCAATGGGGTTCGGATCAAGATCCGGATTGGGCGGCGCAGGTTCGACGCAATTTTCTGGGAAAGCCGTCGCCAGCACTGTCGCCTGTAGACGAGGAGGACAAGGAGAACAAATCTCGGGCTCAATCTGTGCCTGTGTGCGCTCCTATGATTGAAGGGTTTCCAGAGTCGGGCTCGCGCATACAATCTTTCCGTCTGAGAAGAAGCATAGCTAACCCAGACTCATTCATAGTCCTCCGAATCTCACAGCTGGCGCGGCATCGACGCCGTCAAGCTCCGGTCTCTTCGGCGGTGGAGCAGCAAACACGAACAACGCAACCCAGAGTTCCACGCCGTCATTCTCCCTGTTTGGTGCACCGAAACAAGAGCCATCACAAGCGACGACTTCAGCACCAGCATTTGGCTCCACCACCGCGTCGACATCGTTATTCGGAAATAATGCAGCACAACAATCACAATCGGCTACGCCGTCGCTGTTTGGACAGACTGCAACGCAACAGCAGCCAGCAGCATCAGGAGGAGGATTATTTGGGCAGAGCACAACTCAGCAGAGCACGCCGTCATTATTTGGAGGAAACACACAGCAAGCGCCCGCAGCATCCTCTCTATTCGGCGGGAACAACACCAATCAACAACCTACGACCGGTTTCGGTGCCTCGCTTTTCGGCAGCAGCACACAACAACAGCCACAAGCTACTGGAAGTTCTTCTCTGTTCGGAGGAGGCGCGACGAACAATGCCTCGTCGCTCTTTGGGCAGCCGCAGCAGCAGCAGCAGCAGCAGCAGCAGCAGCAGCAACAACAGCAACAACGGCAGCAGCCATCTCTTTTTGGTGCAGCTCAAGCCGCATCTTTCAACAGACAATCTTCTGCATTTGCGGGACGGCTGAGCATGGGACAAAATCCTGCGACCGCTGCGACAGCAGCCAGTGCTGCGATTGGCGGGTCCACTACTGTGCCTGCGGTCAAAATTGACCTGGAAAACCTCCGACCAACGACCCGCTATGAAGATTTGACCGACCAGATGAAGGCTGAGTTGGAGAATATTGACAAAATGATTCAACAGCAGGAGAGCTTCTGCAGACAAATCGAGGCTATCCTACCGAAACACGGCCAAGATCTGATCAGTTTGACACCAGACGGTGATTTCATCCGTGACAAAGTCGATGCAGTCGAGCAGGCTCTCACAAGCGATGCTCATGGTGTAGACGCTCAGAGACGGGTCGCGGAAAAGGATGGCCATGATCTGCAGAGATGCGGGCGCATCATCACGAATCTGGGACTACCTCAAGGCTATCAATTCGCCAATCTCGGCTACGCCGGAGGTGGCGGTGCCAACAATAACACAAACGGTGCCAATCATAACGCCGTGGCTCGCGGCAATCCGAACCATGGCAACAACAACAGCAACAATGGCCAAAATTCCTCGAACAACCCCAACAATTCATCCGACGCCTCCTCCGACGACCCAACCTCATCCAACTACGACACCGACCTCATCAGGAACTATTTTCTCCCGCTCGCGACCTCCCTTCAATCTAGCATGTCAGCCTACACCTCCAACCTGGTCGAGATCGAAGCCCACATGCGCGTCATCGAGAGCAGCGCACTGGCGCAAGCACAACAGTTGGCGCAGAGAAAATCGGGCGCCGAACAGCAAGGTGGTACTGGTGATGATGGCGAAGGTGGATTCGGTAGCGGCGGTGTTGACGCTACGGTCAGAGAATTGGCGGACACATTGAGAGGATTTGAGGCGAGTATCTTGGGCGTGGCGGGTGCGGTAGGCGAATGCCGTGAGGGAGTTAATGAGCTTGTGTTGGGTCGGTTCAATGGTGCGGGTCCAGGGCGGTACTGAAAAGATTTGATTCGTGGTTGAATTCTGCGTTCTATGTAAAAATGATAAGATCCGACAAACCCAAGTCAAATTCGTCATCAAAGTTCTGGAGTGCATCAAGTTTATGTGCTTGCTGTATAGTAAAAATGGGTATCTTTCCAGGTACTTCAAGTGAACGCCTGCCTAGGGACACATGAATGAAGAGTAAATCTCGATTGAGCATGTCGTCAGCGCGTTAAGAAGGCATTACCGAATTCATGTCGACGCGTGAGTCAGGTGTTTGACCAGCAGTTTCCGATGCTTCCTGCAAACAACATCTCGCAGACAACATCCTGCAAACAACACAGCGAAGAACAGACATCGGATCGATACGGCCGAATCCGTATCCAGCGGACGTTGATCGTGAAAATCGCACATCTCGTTCATCACGACACGCATATCGCGCTCATCTCGTTTTGAGGAAGCTTTGCCCTTCCAGCATGGCGACAGTCACTTCGGGCGAAACGCAAGAAAAGCCACATGAGTCCAAACAAATCGTCAGACAAGCATATAACAGCATCGCGGGCTGGTATCTGAACTGGATCACGGGCCAAAAATCACCCCGCGAAGAATATACACAAATGCTGCTGGATGAGCTTCAAGGCATTTCCAAGTCACGCGAGCACGACTCGTCTACGACCAATAGCACAAGTGCGGGCGGCAAAGACAGACAAGTTGAGTTGGCGACTTCTTCTGACGATGGCCAGCTCAAGGTACTTGAACTCGGCGCCGGCGCCGGCGTGCCAGTCACCCAAATGCTCATCGCGGCAGGCGTCCACGTTCTCGCCAACGACATCTCCAGTACGCAGCTGAATCTCGCTCGTGAGCGGTGTCCGACCGCGGAATTCTTCCCGGGGGACATGATGCGGTTAGATTTTCCCAGCGGATCTCTCGACGGGGTAGCATCCTTCTACGCGATTTTCCATCTACCGCGGGCGGAGCAGACGGAGATGATGAAAAGAATCGCGCGATGGTTACGGGTGGGAGGCGTGCTTGTGATGAATCTTGCGACGGAGGATGCGGAGGAGATTCATGGCGAGTTCATGGGTTGGGGCATGTTTTGGAGTGGGTTCGCGGTCGAGGGGAGCCTTGGGATGGTGGAGAGTGCTGGATTGACGGTTGTGAAGAGTGAGGTTAGAGAGGCTGGTGAGGGGCTCTTGGAGGAGGATGATCCGGATTATGGGGTCAAGTTTTTGTGGATCGTGGCGAGGAAGGATATGGAGGTTGGTGAGGTGGTGGCAGATTGAAGGAAATACTCATGTCGAAGGGCAAATGTTGTCCTTTCGGGAAGAAATGTGATGTAGAAGTCGATGGTGGACGTCTCCATGCTGGATACGGACGCCCTCGGAAGCCGACCTGATCGCCACAGATGCTTCTTTCCGCTTTCCAAATGCCGGTTCTGAATCCATTCACAACTACAGGTTGGCTCTGTACGACAAAGACGATTCGACATGGAAGAATTATGTGCACAGCCCCAGCAATTGACAACATCTGATTAGCCACGATTCCGCCCAGCAGAGCGTATCAAATGGCCAAATGAGCATCAACGACGAAACTTGGAGGATGTATAGAATACACTCGTGATGTCTGATAGCACTGAGCAGTAGAGTTGGGACCGTTGCATACGAAACGCAATAGCCCTCATCTACCAACCAATGCTCTACCATTATTTCACTATTATTCTCCCCATCCACGACCTCCAGGGTTAGCGGCAATGGAAGTGACTGAGATGAGTCAGCACATTCGGTTCAATCGAGACCCTGATCACGGTCTTCCCCGCCGCTTACTGAACCGCCGCCACTTCTTCGTAATGCCGAAGGAGTGAGACCAATGACCCCGAAACATGTCCCTGGCCTTCGGTCTCTCTCCTCTCTGTACATGATCTCACGATACCGCTCGCTTCCATCCAGAGTTCTCAATTGGTGTCTATCAATGCGCACAAAGAGAACCCTTCATCACAGCCGAATTCCCCGACTATCAGCCGTAGTTAGTTCCATTGCGAGCACAAGTCTGCGGCCGGCGTTGCGATCTTTGGGAGCGATAGATCGACGCCCTCAACGCCGCGCTCTCACATATTCAACATCGCCACCAGTCAGCTTTCTGGGTTTTTCTCATAGTCGTCGCGGGACCCTCCAAGACAGCACCCAAACTCGTCGCTTCCACACCAATTCCACAACTCGAAGCCCATCTACCATCGCCTTCGAAAAGATGCACCTGACAGAGAGTGCTGTCCCACCTGCACCGTCACTTCCACAAGAGCTCAGCTATGGAGAGGGCTCACACGTGAATGGCATCGACGGTGGACATGCATCACACATAAATGGACATGCGGCCGTGACATTGTCTGAGCGATGCGAACAAGTCTACGAGCAGGTCAATGACTTCTTACATCGTGCGCCTAGAGACGGAGAGGACGGTAGACGGCTAGAACATGCGCGGCGGCAGACTCGCTTGAGTTTAGATATAATTGCAGAGGCTCTGGAGAAGTATAGGTGAGTCGGCTTGGCGCATTCCTCTTAGACAGGAAGAAAAGACCCCTGGTGCCACGACTACGAATCGTGCTGATGATCAAACCCGTCTTCACAGCTTCGAGGAGCTCGCTATATCATACAATGGAGGCAAGGATTGTCTGGTGTTGCTCGTCCTCTACCTCGCCGGCTTACACGCATACGCAACTCACCAAAACTTCTCCTCGCCGAATCAACAGCCGTCATCAACAAGCGCCGCGACCACAAACGGCAAAGGTCGACGAATACAGCTCCCGCCAACACTGCCTGCAATCTACATCCTCTCCACCAATCCTTTTCCAAGCGTAACCTCCTTCGTCACCACCTCCGCCGCGCACTACGCGCTGAGCCTAACATCCTACCCAGCGCCAATGCTCTCCGCATTCACCTCACACCTCGAACACAATCCGCAGATTCGCGCCATTTTCGTCGGCACGCGACGAACAGATCCGCATGGCGCGACGCTGACACCATTTGCGCCCACGGACGGGAAATGGCCACGGTTCATACGCGTGCATCCCGTGCTGGACTGGAACTATGTGGATATTTGGTGTTTCATCCGAGGCGTGGGCATGGAATACTGTGAGCTGTATGATCGCGGGTATACCAGTCTGGGCGGTAGAGGGGACACTTGGCCGAATCCGAAGTTGAGAATAGATGCTGTAGAAAAGGATGCAGCGAGCCTAACAGCCGGTGGCGCGGTGATGGCTGCGAAGAACATCGATGGTGTTGACCAAGAGGAAAACGGAGGAGAAATACGTTATCGACCGGCTTATGAGCTGGTAGAGGACGAGGAGGAGCGATTAGGACGGGAGCGGCGATGATGTCAAACGGAGAGAATGGTGCTGGCGTCGTCAGAATGGGTCGACAAGACCAATAGGGAAACAGGCAGAGGAGCTGCGGCAACGCCAAACGTTGCAAGAGGAGGAACTTTGAGACATGTGCATTGCGGGCGCCGGATCTAGATGAAGACGATAGATGAGCAGCGATTGAAAAAAGCCATGAAAGATCGAAGATGATGCATTGGGGCCCTTTTCAGAAATCAACCCTGAATTTTAATAAGAAAGACATCGCGAAGAAATTTGGACATGTCCCAGACCTTCATGAAACATCATTGAAACGTGAATCCGCGTAAATCAAGTTCAAGTTAATCAAATTCATGCCCTCGCCAAACCCCGAAACCCCAAGATCCTCAATCGCGAGAAGATCTTCCGAAGAACCTCAATCTATAACATTCTCAACCCGGGACACGCGTTGTCTGAACAATAAAAATTTCTCTCTCTTCCTTCACGCCACCGAGTTTCTCAAAGCAGCCTCCTCGCTCGCTCGAGCGAAGGATGTTCGATAGATGAAAATGCCCTCGAAAACAGCGACGATCGCGAGACCGAAGACGGGGCCGGTCCATAGACCTGCGAGGTCCAGGTGTAGGCCGAAGGCGAGGCCGAAGGAGACGGGCAGGGCGATCTATCGTATAGAGATTAAAATATTAGCATCGGGAGCTAATGATACAGACACAGGTTTTGGTATAGGGGGAGCGAATGGTGCTGCGGGAGAGGAACTTACGACATAGTATGCGAAAAGATTGATGTAGCCTCCCACCTCTTGCTTACCCAGACCTCTGAGACAGCCATTGCAGATCGCAGCGAGGGCATCGAAAAGTTGAAATGCTGCGTTCACGGGCAAGACGGCGGCGGCGAGGGCCACGACGTCTTCTTCGGAGGTGAAGAGCCAAGGGATCTGGAAGCGGAGAGACGAGAGAACGATCATGTTAAGAAGACCAATCACCGTGCCGCCCACGAAAGCGACTTGGGCGGTGATTTTGGCGGCGTCGGGGAGAGATGCGCCGATTAGATTGGCCACGCGGGTGCTCGCAGCAATGGAGAGGGGGAAGGGGAGTTGATAGGTCAGGATGGACAGGCTCTGGAGGACGGTATTGGCAGCGAGATGGGTAGCGGAGATACGCGCGGAGGCCAGCGTGAGGATTTCGAAGGCGAGGAATTCTGCGAGGACCATGACGAGTCCTGGGAGCGCGAGACGAATCATGGGACCCCAATTTCGGAAGGCTTTGTTTGTGAAGCCTGGCCAGCATTCCATTCCGTTGGGTGCGATGAAGCGCACGTAAAGGAGCAGCAGGATGGGCATGAAGCATTCTGTGATAACGACGGCGATGGGACAGCCAATGAAGCCCCATTGGAAGCGCCAGACGAAAAGCCAGTGGAGGAACGCGTTGAAAGGAGCGGCGATGAGTAGGACGTAGAGGGTCGCTTCGAAACGACCTTGGGCTTGGACATAACGTTTGCCACTTTCAAAGCAGGCGTAAGCTGGCGCACCAATGATCAGGATACGTAGATATTGACCGCTGTAGTCGGCGATTTCCTGCTCCGGGACGATCATTTCGAGGATCGGTGTCGCGAAGAACCAGAGGATCGAGATTGGAATTGTGATGGCCCATAGGAAGAACACCATTCGCTGGAGTTGGAGACCGACGAGCTTTCGTTTACCACTGCCGTAAGCCTGGGCGCAGAGTGTGTCGAGGGATGTCGCGAGACCTTGGTAGACTGCATAACCTGTGATGGTCGCAGTCATTCCACCCAAGCTGACAGCACCGAGTTCGACCTTTCCAATGTGGCCGACAGTGAAGATCGATGTGAGAGTCAGTGAGTTTTGCAGAATGAAAGTCAACATCAGCGGAGCGGAGTATCGGGCAAGGACCTTGGTTTCACGCTGCCACGTCGTCTGGATCTGGCCGGCAAGCACTGCCTCCTCCCACTTCCGAGACACATTTTCAGGCGAACCCTCGCCACCGTACGGCGCCGAAGGATCGCGGCCGAGAAGAGCGGTCGTCTCGTCAGGGACTTCATTCTCCGCGTCTTCGTGGATTGACTCGACTTCTTCTAAAGCTGGTCCATTGTTTGCATCTTCTTCAGAGTCTGCGGGAACAGCATTGCTACCGTGAAACGCCGATCGCTTGGTCTCTGTCGCAAATCCCACTGTCTCCAAAACTTTCCTCAACACTCCCCCGGAGCTACCGTGCACGCTCCTCAAGCTTCGCACGCTGCCCTGCTTGCGGGGATGCTTCGGCGGAAGGATTTTGTTATCGCGCAACAAGCTTCTCTCCTCGCCGATCGCCGTTTCCCAGTCCTGCTCGGCAGGAAGTCCAGCTTCCGCAGGCTGAATTCCAAATATCGGGCGAGGGCCGCTGGCATAATATGAAGGCCGACGATAGCTGCTCGTCATGGAGTGTTGTGTTGTTGGCAGCTGATCGTGGGCTGGGGCCGATGTGTCGAGAACCTGGTCTACAGCTTGGTCATCGTCGAGGTCGCGTGCGATAGATTCTTCTGCAACGCTGGCTTGATAGCGTTCCACGGCTGTTTGAGAACGGTAGCTTGTGCCGAGTACGCGAGAAGGTCGACGATCACGGCCGCTTGGCTCGCGCGACGGAATGGGTTTTTTGGAAGTCATGACTTGTGACTGGATTGCAATCCCCTCAGAAGATGTCGACTTGTCCTGTGAAGGGGTCGAAACTTGTCAAATTAAAGATTACCGGTCTGATAAGTCGTCGATGCAGATCAGCGCATCGATGCTCTGTTTGTAAGCGGCGAGCGCTGTGCACGACAATGAATAAGGCTACGTGTGTATTAGACGAACGGGCAGGGCGATCTTGAGATCAAGGCCACGTCATGTTCCGCATGAATGGTCAAGAGACGGAGAGAAAGAGACGAGAGTCAAGAATCAAGTCGGTAAGATGATAAGGCTAGGCAGTGTACCGATCGGCAGCCACTAAGACGTAGCTGTATGTAGTTAGTACGGATATCCCTGGGGTGAAGAATGAGGTGAACGACGGCGGGGACGAGATCTCACCTGCAGGACAGTGTCCTCACACGCCTCACACTGTTCAGCAGCAGCATGCAGGAAGGTGCGGGAAAGAACTGTAGCCACACATACGGACTCTCGTCGCCGCCGCCGCCGTCGCCTCCATGGTGGATGAAGGTAGCAAAGACTAATAGCAACCGGGTTTAGCGGCGGTTACATTTGACAGCGACGTGATCAGAGCCCGTCTGAACCCTTGATTATTACATTCTCAATGCCTCCGAAAGACGGGTCACTGGTCGTTCTCTTTGTTCGCATTCCTTTGTCGAGTTGATCATAATCTTCAGCTTGCCTGTGCTTTGTGGCACTGCAGCTATCGTGGTGACGCAGTTTTATTTCTTCTCGTCCTGAGACAAAGGAAACAAGATGAGATGATGATGAGGTGGTTACTCTTTCCTCTAGTTCAGGGTCCAACAGCACGCACCGCTTATTGACGGGCCGAGGACTGCTGGCAACCACGTTTTGGCGGGGCTGTTCGTTAAGATTGACTCTGATGAGTCATCGCGTGTTATCCTGCTTTGCTTCGGTGACCAAAAGGGGCAAGTACAGCCAGGCGATCATCATGGGGTCTTTGTTCACCACGGCTCGGTTTTCGTATTTATCTACAATGAGGTAATGGGGTCACAATTGGTCAAGTGAAGATTGATAATGCCAAGGTAAGGCTGACGAAGCAAACCTACGCGATCCGGGCAATCAGCAGACGTCACGAGCGAGAGAAATTCCTTGTTCACGAAACGACTCGCCGGAACGAGCAGGCTTTCACTCGACAAAGAAGAAAGGGTGCTGCAACTTGATTTGATCATGATTGCAAGCATCCACATCAACCCCAAGTACCACCTCCACCTCTACCCTGTCGCTTCTGCGCAGACAACCGCCAATCATCCTCGCCAGCAAAGCGATTATGCAGAGGTTGAATCCTCTCTGCACGCTTCCTCTTACTCAAACCACCTTCCTGGCCCGCCACCTTGAAAAAGGTCGGAGCGGCCTCGACCAACCATTTCGGTTCAATCGCCGTGACATTATGCATATATTCCCTTGTCGTCTCGACCAGAGAGTGATAGACGACATGCTCGGCGGGCTTGCCGAATAATGCAGATGCCGGGTGCATGTAGACGGGAGTGCCTTCGACAAGTGTCTTGTAGCCCTCTTGCGGGTCTTTGCGCGCGGCGTGCCGGAAGAAGCCTGAGCAGAGAGCTTGACGGACACGGGTCGTGTCTCGGCCGCAGGAGATTACGCGGAGACGGTGACGGTCAAGGATCTGGACCAATTGCTTGCGGACGTCTTCAACCCGGCGGAGAGCGCGGGGTTGGATGTAGTTTTCGAAACACCAGGGGTCGCTTCGGCCGGCGTTCTTCCAGCCGTTGTAGACGTTAAGTAAAGTAAGATGGTCGCCTGCAGGGTCGTGGAATCGGGCTTTCTTCTGGTCGGCTTGTTGTTGCTTCTCCTTTGGGCGGTGGAAGACGGTAGGTCCTGCACTGATCATGGAAACGATGGTGAGCATCTCGTCACTGCAGCCGAGGTCGACAGACATGATAAGCGCTTTGGCGAGGGTTGGATCCATGGGAAAGTCTGCCATCCGGCGACCCATTCGCGTGAGAAGGCCATCGTCATCAAGTGCGGACAAAGCGTATAGTTCTTCAAGCGCAGTCAACATGGTGTTTGTCGGTGGAGGGTCCATGAAGTCAAATCCTAGCAAATCGTTGATCCCCATGGCTTTCAACATGAGAATCGTATTTGACAAATTCTGCCTTTGAATTTCAGGGATGGTTGTTGGTAGCATCTCGCTTTGAAACGCAGCCTCGGTGTACAACCGGAAACATTTTCCGGGCCCCGTCCGACCAGCACGACCTGCTCGCTGTTTTGCCTGAGCCTGCGAGATCGGCGTAACTTGAAGTCTGTCCATACCAAGCTTCGCGTCATATGCCTGCTGCTTGACGAATCCCGGATCAATGACAAAATAAATCCCGTCGATGGTGATACTCGTTTCGGCAATATTCGTCGCAATGACGACCTTCCGACCACCTGGTGGTGGAGGTTCGAAGATTCGGCTGGCGGTTTCCGACGGAAGTGCTCCGTAAATGGGGAGAATAATCAGCTCGGGCACAGATGGGCCCAATGCCTTCATACGCTCATATAAGATCTCGCAGCTCGTGTCAATCTCTTCCTTGCCGGTCAAGAAGAGCAGAATGTCACCTTCACTCTCCGTCAGATGAATCTGCATGACAGTCGTGAGAGCGGCGTCAAGATAATCGCTCTCTGGCTCACGGCTGTACATGACTTCGACAGGAAACGCTCTGCCGGGAATCGTAAGAATCGGACATTCGTTGAAATAAAGTGAGAACTTTTCCGCGTCAAGCGTTGCTGAAGTGACGATCAATTTCATATCTGGTCGTTTCTTCAATGTCTTTTTGAGCAGACCGAACAGCACGTCTGTCGCGATTGTACGTTCGTGGGCTTCGTCAAGCATGATCACGCTGTATTTGTGAAGTTCGGGGTCAAGCAGAATCTCTCGCTGCATGATTCCATCGGTCATGTACTTGATTTTGGTGTTCTGGGTCGTTTTGTCCTCGAAACGAATCGTGTATCCAACTTCTTCGCCGAGTCGACATCCAACCTCGTCACTGACACGAGCGGCGACGGACATGGCGGCGACTCTCCGAGGCTGCGTACATCCGATCATACCGTTGTTGGCAAACCCTTCCTCGGCTAGATATTGGGTTAGCTGGGTGGTTTTGCCAGATCCAGTGTCTCCAACCACGATGAGAAGCTGGAATTGCCGCACTGCATCAAGAAATTGCGCACGCATCTTGTATGCTGGTAGACTCTCTCGCTGCTCTTTGATGGACATTGACGTTCTTTTCCCGAGCTCACCACGACCCGTGGCAATCTTCTTCCATTCCGGCACATCGTTGCTTGCGTTCGATTGTTGAGGTTGTCGCAAGTCACTCGCAAATTTCCTCTGGTCAGGGTTCGCCATTGGGTCGTTCCAGTTTGCACCAAGATCCGTCTTCGCAGCTGCCTGAGCTGCTTTGTCTTGCATTTCCTGTTGCCGTAGATCTCGCCGTTCCTTAGCCAGTACATCGCCCTGCATGGCCGCACGATTCATACTTCCGTCGGGTGCTTTGATGACCCTGATTGGTGATAGTTCCAGTGATTGTTTGGTCTGACCCGCAAGGAAAGGCGGCTCTTCCTCCCGAACTTCAATATCGATGTCCTCTTCTTCGACAATCTGTTCGCCATTGATAGCAGCGTTGTAATCCTCATCAAGGTCAGGAAAGTCAGCAGCTTTGATCACACCCGATGCTATCAGCTGTCGAATTTCCCATCGCTCTGGACTCGTCATGCGTTTCTTTTGTCGCTTGCCACCATTCAAAGTTGCTGAAGTCTCAATCACCGGTACATCTCCACTTCCCGTCAATCCGACAGCATTTGCGCCAGTAGCATTCTGCATTCTCCGTCCCGCATTAAGATCCTGGCCCGTCACTTGATCAACCTCCGCCATACTCAAGCTTATTCGGTTGTCTTGCATCTTCATAACCTTGACCTTGACAGGCTGATCTCGCGAAACCAAATCGCTAGGATGGTTCACTTTGTATTCTGCCATTGCAGAGACATGAACCAACCCATCGACCTTCCCACGCACGCCTTGCAGGTTGACGAAGACTCCAAAATCCTTGACTCCTGTCACACGACCGTCGTAAATTTTGTATAAAATGGGCAAGTCGTCCAATTTGGCTGGTGGCGGCCGATCGAATGAGTCACGACGAGACTTTCGACTTCGCCGATGACTGTCCTCTTCCCGATCTTGCCCTGGCCTGTATGTCCTGGTACGACCGAACTCATCCTCGAAAACATATTCATCATTTCTCCGGCGGTCTTTCATCGGGCTCTTCGACCGTGATCGTGACCTCCTCATTCTTTTTGAACGCGTCTCTTCAGTATCATGCCGCACTGGTGATACACTTCTCTTTCTGGATGCATGCGACTTGCCGTCCTGGCCTTTGCTTCCGCCTCTGCCGCCCGCCAGACCTTCCAACATGGCAAAAGCATCATCCATCTCGTCCGCAGCATCCGCGATAGATTCCACTGGCTGATCAGGAATCGCAAGCCCCCGAAACGTCTCACTCCGGCCTTTCTCCTTGCCGTTTCCATTCACCGCTCCATTGCCATGAGTCTGACTGCCATCCTTCCCCGACAGATTGTTCTTGCGCGGCCCTTGCATAGTCGCGATCAACCTCTCAATACTCTCGACCAAGGTTGTGGGGAAATCAAATTCGGCCAACTTCGCCGCAAAGTCGTCAGAAGTGTCGCATTTGGCATGTTCGGCGAGGACATATTCGGCAATCGTGGCATCGGAGACTCCCATGAAGTTGCTGATCGCTGTAGCCACCGCCGAGACGAGTGAGAGCTGGCCGAGCTCTTCAAGTCCGTCCATGATGTGCGCCGCGCTTCAAGACAACGGTGGATAGACGAAGGCGCTCGCGATGTCGCTTTTACGAGTGAGATCGATAATACCAGGCGCACAACTTACATTATGCTCTGCCGGTCGTCGTGATGTCGCGACAAATCGATCTGCGCCAAAAAATTGAGTCGTGAAACTGATATGTGTACTAACGGTTCAAATAACGCCGGAATCAAGTCCCGCGAATTAGTTAAACTACACCTCCGCGGACAATTGTAACCCTAGCGACATATTCTGCAAGTGGTGTTCGCCGACCCCAAGGCCCACAACTGTGGTGATATCATCGTTTGCGAACAAATTTATACAATCACGATTCGAGACGCATGCCAACTTGGAACTGACCTCGGGGCATATGATGATGAGGTCCATCGCGCATCGTCATGACTGCCTTGGGCGCCAAATTCATCGAAACCGCTCGCGGTGTCCCAAGTGGGATCAGGGCATCGTTGAAGCAATACCGCCGTGAGACGTCACTACTTTCACTCATTGCGCAGTTATTTGTACAAGTCTTCCAAGGTTGAAATGAATACCAATTGCTTCGTGCACTACTCGACCATCACGTCACTGGGAAAGGGCACTGCCATCGTCCTCGAAAGTGACTCATGATATGTCAGTGCCACATCATCCATCTGGGCACACCCGCAGGTGGGCAGTGCTTGCCGATGAGTCAGCATCTATGATTCTCGTTCACCAACACGAACATTACATATGTGCAATTCTTCAACATGCCTTCTTGCGAAGATCAAAATCAAAGTATACAACAGGCGACGAGTTTCATCAAGATTCATGGCTGAGCGCAAGACACCTCACCAACGCACGACGGCTTCGCGCCCCAAGCCCGGAAATCACGTCGTGCCATCTAAGCACCAAAGGAAAGCACGACCTGACTATTGGTCAAAGCATACGAACGCCAAAGAGTTTTCGCTTCGAGCACGCACAGTATCATCTCCGGCTGAGGTGGCTTTCGGCGCTCTGTTTGCAGCATTGCCACTCGAACTCCGCGAATTGATATTCTCTTTCCTGGTCGTCCAGCCTGTGAAGTGGGACATGACACATCGCCATGACTGCCCACGAAGAACCTCAAATGGAGATTTAACACCGAAAAAGCCCAAGGAAATGATGTGCGCCATGTGTGACGAGCCTTGGTGGACCGAGTGGCGGCACGGCGTGCATCTGCAGTGGACATCGCCCTGGCGCAGTCAGTGGGCTCCTGAGCAGCTTAACACATTCGTTTGCAGCAGTTGCTACGATTCGCGACATAAACCTTTCCCGAGAACCGTCTCGCTGCCCTGCTTGTGCGCACGACGCACCAACCTACAGATCTTCCTAGTATGTCGACAATGGCATCAAGAAGCGGGTCATGTATTCTACACACGGAATACCTTCGCATTCGAAGACAGCAGCACTTTTATCCACTTCATCGACAATCTGCCGCAACGCTGGAGGGAGCTTCTGACAAAGGTCAGCTTGATGGCTCTCGTACGATATCCCACCGGATTTCCCCATGACACGTTTGTGCCGAACGCCATATTACATGGATTACAGGTCGCCGTTGAGTGGAACCGCTCCAGGCCTTTGTGGGGTCGCCTCCGAAAGCTTCCAAACCTGTCTCGCCTCGAGATAGATGCAATCTACCTCACCAGAGTGGACACGATCAAACGTATGCACAGAGTCGGAGCACGAAATTTGCGCTCCATCACCTTTGTTGAACGACTGTCTGAGGTGGATAACTCGTTTGGAAGCACGACTGTCTGGCCTGAGTTTGCGGGTCGTACAGCGATGAGAGGCAAGTTCGAGAACTATGTTGCGACCGTGATCAAGGGGATGCGGAAGCGACGCAGCGTCAAGAAAAATACTGCGCTGATCGGAGAAGGCTCGAAAGCTGTGCGTCAGAGCATCGGATTAACGTATTTATGAGGTCAAAAGTCCTATTGTATTTTATAAATCTGTTATCGGCATCACGGACACCGGGGGTGTGAGGCTAAGAAACCGAGCTTTCGACCGGACAGCCCAACGTACCGACGGCATCCACTATAGTGTTGTTCATCCTTATCGCACTACGGACTATCCTCTGCAATATCAACGGACGATGGGTTTGTATTTAATGCGGATACATAGAACTCCTCTTCCTAAACAGATAGTCCTCGAAGACAGAGTTCCGAGCTCGAGCCTTGGAACATGACTACTAAATAACCGTGTTCGAAAGTCTGTACCGATGGTGTCGTAGCGTGCCCAGGTGGTTTGGAGAACACGGAGAGGGAGGGCGGCCCTTATCTTTGATACCCGCCGTGCATGGGTGGGGGCGCACGTCAACCACTCAACGCACCACCCCGGAAAACACTTCAAACGCGACGCTCAGCCACCTGCACACATACTCGATACCTACCTACGGTACTGTTTCACATGAAAGACAGAATGGGCATTGAGATCAAGGCATCTGATTAGCAACTCTGTCGGTACTTCAAACCGCTTCGAACTGGCGGCCTCATGCCTCCTTTACCCATGAGATGGATCCTCACGTGCCTCAACATGGCGGATTTGGTTAGCGTCCGACATTAATTAGTTCATCAACCAGCCCGCGACCTTCGTCTGTCTGGATACCCTTGCGAATGTGTCTCAACGAGACAGTAGTGTATACTTCCTCCCATCCCGATTGTCAATCTCACCCAGAACCCGATGATGTTTCATCACGACCCGGATGCAGCAGCGCGCGAAATACTTGTGGTCCACCTACCTACCTACCTACCTAACTAGATATGCTTGGACAACTCGCTTGACAGTCGCTTCTTGCTAGTCAGCATTATGTCTTCGTCAGAATCCACTTGCGACGACCAATTGTCCTGGCATGCGATAACAGCTGCACGACTTCTTAGCGCACGACAGAAATCATCTCGCCTTGGAGCAACCAAATCTCGTCACGGCTGCATCGCCTGCAAGGGCCGACGAGTCAAGTGTACAGAAGAACATCCGGCTTGTCGCCGATGTGTTCGGAGTGGCCAGGAGTGCAAATATGCACCTACTCCAGATTTCCCATCCGCGCGATCGAACAGGTCAGGAATCGGGCTGCAGCTATCTCAATACATGGGACTCAGGGCCAACGAGCGTCGTACCTTTGAATATTTCTTGTTACAAGCTGCGCCTCGTCTCGCGGGATCTTTTGATCAAGAGTTCTGGTGTCGATCGGTGCTACAGCAAGCACAAACCGAGCCGTGCATCCGAGATGCATTGCTTTGCATCTCATACTTGCACGAGAGCCCTCGCTACTTGACGACCTTCCTAGTTGCGGAGCAACAACAAAGCCCGATATGGTCAATTCTTGGCAGGCCGTCTGCTGAGCACTCCCCAAAAATGAATGAGTTTAGGCAAGGTCTGCCGCAAATTATGGGCAACCTCCCTCCAATTCAAGTTAAAATGCCAACGCTGGACAAGTCTGTACAGGCTTCTTTGAAGCACTACAACGATGCAATGGGCGCCGTGAGAGAACGAATCCATACGGGCAGGCTGTCTCCGATGCTCGCTTTGCAAACCTGCCTTCTTTTTATTTTTATAGAGATCATGCAAGATAATATTCACAACGTGGTGAATTTATTGATTCAAGCCGAGGGAATCATGAGGTCAGACATGACACCAGTCACCCGAGATGAGAAAGCACTTTACAAAGAACTCAATCGAATGATCTTTCAATCTTGTTCTTCGGCTGCAGTGTTTGGATGGCAGCAAAGACCAACGATCACACACATCAATGCCGTATTTGACGTGGCAGCCGAATACACGACCATGGCCGAAGCAAATGATGCATTCTTTGAGTGGATTCTCGAATGTCAACGCACTCTTTGCGAAATCGAAGGTATACCCCTGCCGAGCGGGATGTCAGAGCTTACAGAGGTTGTGAATACTGGTCACAAAAAAGCCTTTGTTCAATGTTTATACGATCAAGAATTCGAAGCTAACCGGTCTAATCCAAACATGCGATCGTCAAGCGATTCCAAGAGGACTTTGCCGGAACAACAAAGTTTACTGCAAAAATTACATCAATGGTATGCCGCTTTTCTCAGAACGCCGAGATCTCAAGAAGGTCATGTTTTGTGTCTCGAGATGTATTATCGCGTTGCAATCATTTGGATCTCAACATGGAATTGCGACCAGCAGAAGGATTTTGACCAATTCACTGAGCTCTTTCAACAGATCGTCGGCCTAGCGGAGAGGTACGTGCGCAAGGTACAAATAGAGAAATCGGTATATACCTTGGGCACTGGCGTGCTCGGTCCGCTGACTGCGACCGCATGGAAATGCCGGGTCCCTCTTCTCCGGAGAAAAGCCACTCGTCTCATGTGGGAGCTTCCTTCTACGAGGGAATGTGTGTGGTATGTCCGTGATTCCGAAACTTCTGCTGTCGTGTCATGCTGAACATCCCCAGGACATCCAGACCTGTCGCTGAGGTCGCCGCTCGACTCATCACCATCGAAGAAGAAGACGCGCCGTGGTCGATCTTCAAGAATTGCGACATCTCGGTCACATCTTGTCCAATAGACGATTCTTTCCGTCCCTCCGAGTCCAATCGAGTCGCTTCTTACTTGGTCATCTACAACTTCACGGCTGGGCGCTGGGAACTTCGCGTCACGCGGAATCAGCTCTCCGCCAGCGGCAAGCGAGAACCCGTCTCCCAGGATTATAGCTTCTGAAGAAATTGGAAGGTGGGGCTTTTGTTCCTGATTGTCAAGGAGGTTCTTTCCCTTGGACCGCGTTCATGTCCTCGCAGACGGTCGTGTCTTCTTCATGCCTCGTGCGAACTCAACGTAGAGCGCTCAACCTCTTCTCAGCTCATCAGGAGAACAAAAGGACATTCTCGACTCAGACCATATCATGCGTCGTCTAAGAAAACTGATCAGCAACAAGCTCGCCATCAAGAAAAGTGAGAAGTCAACATACCCTCTTATCCCGGGGGTGTCCCAGAGAGTCGGCCAGAATATCGAGGTTCCTGAGCCGCACTTGGCGCATGTATTGCACCTGACTGAGCTCTTCCTCGCTCTTGCTGACAGCGCTCTCTTGCGGGATCGGTCGCCAGAAGACATGCGTGAAGGCGTAGGCCAGCAGGACGCTGGCTGCTGCACCGACCACGATGAGGAGGACGGTGAGGTTGACGTCTAGTGTTGACATTTGGGGTGGAGTGAGGATGGTGAATGTTTTGGTATAATGGATTCTTGTTACAGCGGTGGTGTGGGTCCCGAGGCGAACGAGACCAAGATGCAGGTAATCGACGAATCAAAGTTGGGTTTTGTCAATGCAAAATAGTGAATGTCGGTGTTCAAGGCGTATGCTTTGCAAATAAAAAATAGTGAAAGTGGTATCCAAGGCGCGGATTTTGAGAATTGATGGAAACGAATGTGATCACCAAGGCGTGGTGTAGTGTTGTGACTTGAGAACAGTAATGAATGAAGAGTGCGACGTGATGTAGTGTTGAGTTGTGAGATTCGAGAGAGGACGTAGTGGACAAGGACGAATTATAAGACGACGCACGATCACAACACCAAGAAGGCGCAGCATGATAACGAATAGAAGAGAATGAAACATCAGCTTTTTGTTCTGATACTACATGACTTACGCGGCCTGTAAAATAACTATACTCCTATGTTCATGATCCACCGCCGGTGCTGAAGTCCCGGATAAGTTCGTGAAGTCGGACTCGGCAGATCTCCGGCAGGTGTACGGCCGACGCTTGCTCCTGGCGAAAATTGCCGTTTTCGGTTGCAGCGCGTCCTCTCCCACGTTTTCCATCAAAACCTTGGAACATTGTAGCTCCCACGTGAGCCTTGCTCGGTCTGTACAGGAATCGATCAGGCCATTCCGACAGCTGGGTTTGACCGAAAATTGTTTTGATTCTGCCCTTTCGAATAAGGAGCTCTAGAAGCGAGTGGGTAGCATATCAGTCATCAGTGAGCAGCAGAGTCTGCTGAGTCATCGGAATGCCACCCCATCTAACTAATGCCTGTATCGAACGATCCCAACCTTCCATTCAGCTTCGTCGTGGGCTATATTTAACACTTCGGCTGGTCGGCCGGCTGACCGGCGTGTTATGGCTGTTGTTCTGGAAACCTTGAAGAACGCAATGACATTAAGGCGCTCGGATCAGATCAGAGTCTTTCTCATACCCCTAGTCCTCGAAAATGGATCGATTGACATCGAAGCTGGCAGCAGGGCCATCTTTATTATGGGCGCGGGAGGTGCTACTGTAGCTGAGAACTTCCAAGGTTGTATGCAGGGGCGGGTAGTATGACTTGTGATGTCCGCATAGCGTGAATGCTCTTGACCAAAATACATCGAAGTGGTTGTGCCGAGTTTCGTGCAAAAACAAATGCGCCAGGCGTTTGGAACTACTGTCTTTGTTGAAGCTTTGGGCACTGGGGTCCTTTGGGTACCGGATTATTGTGATATTATTTTTCTGGATACTATTTCAGTAACGAAATTTTTGTTGTGATCTTCTGCTGATTGTTTCATGCACAAGATACCATGATGCAGCGCCGTGATGGATTGACAATCTCTTCCGTACTGGACTCGCCGAAAGCTGCGCTGATTTACCGCGCATGATAATAGAACGCATACTCGGTATTAGATATCAAGCGATAGCCCTGACGAGAAGAGTTCCAGGTCATGCCGCAATGCGACACGATCCGGATTTTGAACAAGATGCAGAAAGCAAGAATCATTAGGAGAAGGAAACACGTATATCGGTCTCACGATGGAGGCTATGAGACGTGGCCCTATTGATCGACGATCAGGTCAGAAAATCGCTTGAAGAAAAGCAGAACCCTCCCACCGCTTTAAGAGATGAAAGAAATCAACACCGAAGCTCTCAGGTCTGAAAGGACCGTCGTCACTATAAGTCGTCGACTCGTCCGCGACTTCTCCAACATCATCCCGTCTGTCGGAGAGCAGCTGCTCAATATCGACATTGCCGTCTTCATCCTGCTCTTGCCACGCCTCTCGGTCATGACTTAGACGTCGATCGCCGCGCAACCACACAAAAGGATGAGCCACCATCCAATTTGGGCGATTCAGCTTTGCTGCCATAGCCATCCATTCCAATATGAACGCTTCGGTCCACGAATCTTCGTTGCTGAAGAGGTTGTGCGTCTGAGTCCAGAGGTTATTCTCTACTCTTTGTGTAGTAGAGATTGTGTTGTCGACGGGGTTCCAGGTTGATGTCCAACTTCAACTCGCTGACCAATGCTGCAAGAATTGTGAAAACACTTGTGTCACCACAAGGTACATGCTGGTTGGACGTCACCCAGTATCGTTTCCTCGACCGCGAAGGGTACGAAATCGTGTAGTCAGCTAAGGCGAGCCGGTCAGCTTCTGCAGAATACAGAGCAAGCACACCAAAGCATGTTTCTATATCACGGCGACCTCCACTCGCCAGGTGTTCGCAAGCGGTCTCGAGTTCGCGATGTTGGTCGCCGTAATTCGGTTGCTCCTCTGGTACACATAGATGTCGGCCTTGAGAAGAAGTGAAGTGGGCATGGTCCGACAGTAGGGATCCTCGTGTAGAAGAGATTTGTCTCTCGACCGCCATCGCAAGGTTCTAGAGTCGACGCCAAGCAGAGTGTCGTTGAATTGCAACTATCGCATGTCCACAGTGTGGGGTACGGTTTCGTAGGATCCATCGGCTTCGTGAGTTGTGAGCCTGCCTAAATGCTCCAGCACCGCCTGCATCGTCGTCGTCATTTTCGTGAATAGCATGAGCTACTTCAGCTCACTGAAAGTAGGTGGGAAAGGAATTCACAAATGATGAAGATGAATGTGGAGCAGGGGGAGGTCGTGATAAAAGACATTCATGTGCGTAGAAGATAGTCTAAAGGTGTCAGCAAACGGCCAAACAAAGCTCCACCAAAGCTCACGTCAATGAAAGCAACAATGGCAACAGCTTTTTGAAATGGGTCGATCTGCTAACGACGCGACACCTGGGCATCAGTCATTGATCCTGTTAGAATTTCACTGGCTTGTCATTGAATCGTACGGAGCTATTTTCACATGCAAAACTTTCCTCAAAATATACTAAACCAACAATAACCAGCAATCTCGTGCAAGTTGGAAGCTCGACAGATGTGGCACATCAATACAAAATAGCCTGGCTACCAAACTCAGATGCACGCCACTCACGCCTGAGGAAGCACGTCTTCGGCATTGGCGAGTGCGGCGAATGGATCTTCACCGCTGTCGTGGGCACGGTTCCATTCCATGCCGTTCTTGAGGACGTCTCCCAAGAGGATTCCTTGGTCATTTTTGCCGTAGATGTGATCTACCAGGGCAAGCATGGCATCTGTTCCGGACGATACGCCCGAGCTAGTCCAAAGCTTGTTGTTGTCTGCAACCACCCAGCGCGCCTTGGCTACCCAATGGGTCTTGGGACCAGTCGCTGTGATTAGCTGCCAGAGCTGCTTGTTCGTTGTTGCACGGTGTCCATCAAGGATGCCTGCTCTGGCCGCGAGACCCGCTCCGTTGCACACGGCTATGCATGATTGATTAGTCTCATCTCCAGTATGCTGAACACCAAGAGGAAGCCATTCACGTACTCAAAAGGTGCTTGATCTTGGGATATTGATCACGCAAGAACTGAATAATCCTTTCAACGTCCTTGGCCTCCCATGCGCCTCCAGTGAGAGACTTGGGGCCTGCTCCGAATCCTCCTGGGACGATGAGCACGTCAATGTCCTCCGGCGGCGCATCGAAGGTGTGGGTCGGCACGATCGTCTGGCCTACACGTGTCTTGATCGGTGATCCTTCTGCAGAAGCGCTTGAGACTGGCTCCAGGCTGGGCCCGATAATGCTCAATTGGGTGTTTGCGGCATCCTTGTTGACCATGGGATGGCCCAGGCCGTGCACGACCTCGGTGGGACCGAAGGCATCCAGAACTTCGTACCCGGGGAAGATGACGAGGCCGAAGTGAACCATTTTGAAATATATCAGGTGAGACTTGGAGAGGTAATTCAGGATGAGGAAAATGATGTTGAATTGTCTAAACAGTGGGGTATGGTTGCTATTTATGCACCTCCGCAAGCTTTCGATGCCGATGGTTCGGTAATGAGCTTCTTGAGGATTGTTTCAGTAATGGTGGCCTGGTGAGCATATTGCTGACGCCGAATCTAGCTAACATCACGACATTTTGGCAAGTCCAGTCTTTCGGTATCGGGTAATATTCGGCCGGAAGGGAAGCTAGCCTTGTTCAGCTAAACAGGCCGTGGACCCTTGATCAGTCTCCAGCGCGAGACTCATGAAGACTCATCGCCAAATGCTGTTATTTGGACGGTAGACGGCGTTTCTTCCGACCAGTAATGGATCTCCATCGGTCACTACCGTACTCTGGGACTTCGGTAGGTCGCACTAATGTCATGACAGGGGCTACTCTTTCCCGACCCAGCCCCAAAGGCAAGAAAGAGCTTGTCAAAAGCTCCCACGTGAAACCCGAGGCTCAGGTAAGTTATCCCGTGTTGAAGTAGCGATGCTTGCTAAAGAAGGTGTCCCGGGGAAAGCAGGTTTGCGCGCTAAGTAAGTGCCTACCCGGGAGAACCCTGTTCGTGAGTCAATCATTTTACATACTAAGCCTCCTGATGAGCATGTTTTGCGCTCGGATGTCTAAGTCCGAGATGGCGGTATGATCGATAGCCGTCCCAATGAGCAACTTGCACATATTCATTGAGGCTTACATCTGCTCTCGATGAACAATAATCGTATTGTAGTCCTGAACAGATGAGGTTGCCAGTTGCGTTGGAGACCCTGTAACCACAAAGTGAGGACGACGCAGTGGGCACGTCCATCGTATCCCCCGTGTATTACATTCAGGCAACTTCTTAAGAAACACTTGACTGCATGAACGACATCTAGTGTAAAAGAGGATTGCTCTCCGTCGCAGCATGTATACGTCTCACAGTTCATGCGTCGTGCGCAGCTTGAGGGCCATGTGATTCAGTCGAACAGGCACAGCGATGGCTCATCAGATACCAATTCTGGATAACGATAAGCATCTTGCCACGCTGTTCTCACGTTACTAGGCAGAGTCAACTGTGCTATCGTTTCTATTAAGCTGTCGGAGCGCCCTATCCGATTTGACCGATGCCTGCACCATTCGGGGCTGCGTCAACTTGGAGGCTGAGCTTGCATAGTCCCTAGTCTACATGAGACCTCCGCCTTCTATTTTAGATTCAATCGCGGTGACTCACTTTGAATCTTCGTTACGTCGGCGTTTGATGTGTCTGTCATCGAGGCATATCAACCATCTCACACAATACTTTCAGATTTCCTCTGTTACTTGAAAGCCAGCAATCCAGTAACGCAACCCTTATATTTTTGCCTACACTGAAGAGCATGGAACAATACAAGTGTCTTTCTTTGATCGGCAGAGGTCACTCAGCAGATGTCTATCTTGCACGAGGCAGCGGGCAAACGCGATTGGTCGCCATCAAGGAGCGACAGAAACAGAAGGTTATCGACCTCGATGAGGCAGCGAATTTGCAACGCGAGGTGGAGGCCCTCCAGACGCTAAACAAGTCCAGTCATCCTTTCTTGGTCAATCTTGTCGACGTCTTTCAAACTACGCATGCCGTATACCTTGTGGAGGATTTCGCGAGTGGAGGTGATCTTGACTTCCACATCGGAAAGAAGCCTTTCACTGCCGAGCAAACGCGATTCTACGCGGCGGAGCTTTGTCTCGCTATCAAGGATCTCCACGAGCACGACATCATCCACCGCAACATCAAGCTTGAAAATATCCTGTTGGCAGCTGATGGGCACATCGTGCTTGCAGGGTTTGGCACCTGCAAACCTGAGACGACGGATGACTCCAGTACGAGGGAGTTCGTTGGAGGAGGCAATTTCATGGCGCCTGAAGTGTGGCGCGATCAAGGATACGGACGACCGGCAGATTGGTGGGCGTTTGGTATCACACTCTACCAGATGCTGCTGCGTGAAGAACCTTTCAAAGGTGATGATCTGGATGAGGTTTATGATGCCATCTTATCGGATGCTGAACCAAATTATCCAGACTCGCTGCCTGAGAAGAGTGTTGATATCTTGCGCAGTCTGCTCGTACTGGATCCTCGACAGCGACTTGGCTCGGGTGAAGCTGGTGCTGTTCGAGTGATGCAACATCCGTATTTCGAAGGCATTTCTTGGGACGATGTGGCGGAGAAGAAGATTGAGCCATCATTCATACCCGTGAGAAATGATGAGAGCGATTTGTGTAATTTCGACCCCGAATTTACCAAAGCTCAAGGGAATCTTCCACAACTCGAAGGTCAGACTTTGCCATTCACAACGGCTGGCTCCTCCTAAGATTATGACACGAGTGGGCGAAGCATGCGCGAGCTAGGCAAATCACGTTGCGATGGTGAATGAGCCCAGGAAATATGCCAGGCGTGTTCACGGCTACTAGGGTTAGTGCTGGGGTTAATCCGCCCTCAAGAACATGCCGAGCATCGTCATCAGTCTCTTGTTCATAACAGCATCGTGTGCTCCAAATGACTAGACGATGCCATATCCAAACACGGCACATAAAATTGAAAGCCGGACGTGCCGGACTGCATTTGTGTGAAGGTTGGCGAGCAATTCATGCACCAGCGTGACATCATCGCCCGGCCGAGTGATCGTCGGAGGATTGTCCGCCAAGCATCGCGGGCAGGCTTGTGCGGCAAGGTGCATAGCGCTTATTTACAGTGTGGCTGCAGCGTGGGATGCAACGGTGTCTTCCAAGGTTGGAATTTGTTCTCATGGCAGGGATGCGAGGTTGAAATACATCTCAAGGTGCGTATGGCGAGTGATTGTCTCGAGAGGCATATTTCTCGGTTGATCCTGCGGCCCTACGTGGTCTGAGCCGGCATATATTTTCATTCCAGGCACCACGATGGTTCAAGCAATGTATCGCACCTATCGAGTGAAGGGCTGCGCCCTCGTACCGCTTAGTCGGAGAAGGCTGCAGCCATGAGTATGGTCCGGCACCGCATGCGCTTCAGTACTGTGGACGATCGTGTAAAGCGCAATTTAGCTTGCAACCTTAAAGCTCTAGGTACAAGCTCCCGCCGACATATTCACCCCATGGGCGGCAGGAGAGTAACATTTGCATCAGAAGCGCCTTGGCGAGCGTCCTGATGTGACGGCTCATTTGCTGCAAGCTGCTCACTTCGGCACGCGTGTGACATCGTGAGTTCTTGGCGCGAGGCCAACTCCGCCCACCTCTGTGCTTAGGGGTCGCTTGGTGGACGACGACTGGTCAGAGACACCTTCATGGCACGGTATTATCGCCGATCAATAGGAATGATGGTGTATTACTTTATTGAAAATGAAATTTGAGACGGCGCAGGACGAACATTCCACAGTGCATAAGTGTTGCCACAAAAGCATGTCCGAGCCTGCCCAGCTGGTTGGGATATGTGCGGGTACGATCACTTCACCAGCAATTTCAGAAAGACATTCGCAAGGTCTTGAAATTTGAATTACGGTGTTCTCTCCATCTGTACATCGAGTAGGAACACGAGAAAGCGTATCCTCAACGACAGTGCTTTAGCTTTGGAGCTCAGATCCTCCAGGTCTGATGATACTGTTCGTGGCCTTGCGGTTCGAATCGGCTCAGCAAAGGGCAATATGGGACTCATAGGACCGTCCAGAATACAGCGAAGATCGCGGAGCCAGCGATGGCTAATGTCGAAGTCTTGACCGACATGGAGGCCGCGGCTTGGTAATACGGCTCGTAAGCTTTGCATTTACCGTCCCGAACGACTTGGTTGAAAGACGGGCCAAGGCGGAAGCTCTGAACTCTCTCGGGCGTCGCGTGGCATTCTCCGCCGGCTTGGGTTTGACAGGTCTGCTCTTGGATGTTTGCCGGAGTAAGGCCCTGTCCGGGAACTGCGTCAACGCAATTGGGTATGTTGTAGAGAAGCACTTGTCGGCCAGCATCTCTCCCGGCCACGACTGTGTTATTCACAGACTCGATGTAGATGCCAGTAAAGCTGGTATTGGTGTTGCGGTATACATTCTGATTGAAAATGGTGTAATTGACGCCCTTTTGATAAGGTTTGAGTCTTATGTTGCTGGTTTGAACCTCCCATCCACTGCTGTTACGCGTGATCAAATCATCCACGTTGAAGCAAACGTAGTTTGTGTTGTAGCTGTATGTGGTGAACGTCAAGGCTCCGGATGGTTTACTGCCATTGTTGCACGTGACATTGGAGCCCGTCGGATAAAAACCGATGGTGAGGTTGTTCCTCCAAATTTCTGTTCAGCATGACTTCCGGGCCAGGAACTTCGTTGAACTTACCCAACGAAATTTGGTGAGGTAGGATCGAATAGCGAAGGGGAGTCGGAGGCTACGCGCTGCTCTGCATGAGAGACACGCAGAAAGATTGCAGCTGCAAGTAACAGGTCGAATTTCATGATGAATGCGAGCGAGATGATAAGGAGGGAATGTACGTTCTTCCGATGCTGGCGGAATATACGCGGATTGACGAGTTCTTATGCTTTGCGCGGGACGAGTCTGTTCCTGTGCGGAAGGAAGAAAACATGATCGTCGTCATTTTGATTTGCGGCGTGGTCAAGCTGCCGTACAGCGTCATTGTGCAGAGCCGTTATGATCACTTGCTCATGAAGGTGTGAAGCCAGATCTGAATCGATCAAAGCTTCGACAAGGCGCAGGCATTTATTGATGCCGCTGAGTCTACTCATCGAGAGTCTGAAAAGTGTTGGATGCATGCCGGATTGGTCCTGCGGGTACGCTATGATGTTGGGGTTGACGACTAGTACTGCTCCATATCTTGGCAAATCGGCTTGGCACATGGCGGATCCACTATTGGGGCCGCCTCCGCCGCGCGCTGTCGGAACTATTCCGTCTTCTTCTCAGCGATGTACACCTTGCGGCAAGAAGCAAGGCGCAGGTGGCGCTAAAGGTTGTTGGCGACACTTCGTGCCAGGCGTATCCGGTAGTGATTGCCGAAGCTCTGCGGGCGCGGAATGCCCGTTGGAATCCTCGATAGACGTCGAGCAGGCCTCGTCGCTGCCTAAGGCGTTGTATCTACGAAGCCTGCGAGACTATTTTGCAAATCACGATGTAGTTCGTGACATCGATTCTTTGAAGGAATCTTCGTTTAGAGCCTCCCTCGGGACATGACCGGCGTGCTTCGAATGCTTCAAAACGCACTCGAAGAGAGATTCGCCACATCATCCCAGGGGACGTGCTCCCCAATAATGCGTGTGAGGCGCCTTTTGTGCATCTTCGGTCATAGCGAAAAAAAGACTCGCTGTATGCGAGTGATCATACGTCGTTGAGAGTACCCGACCATTGGCAGGTTGACGAAGAAAAGATTTCAAAATTACCTACTCATCGAAAGGAAGGTCTCTCAGCGCCCTCCGACCGGGAAGGTGCCGGCCTCGGGCCGGGGACGCGCTCGTTCCCGCAGTCGCTCGAGGAAACGTCCCGGGTCGGCTGCTTCGGACGCATCCCCGATAGCGATTGCTTTGGACGAGAAGGCAGGTGACCTCGTGAGCCAAGGCGATACCACAAACTTGACGTGATCTTACCATTCCTTCCATCTAAGATCACTGAGGATTTCTTGATTTACAGGCGCGTTATGACGATGACTTTGTGACCAATTGAGACTTGCGGTCTGAACACACGGAATCTTTAGATGTCGGAGCAGGACACACTATCGCAATCCCTTCCAGTATGACATTATTGAAGCAAAATTAGCAAAGTTGAGAAATAATATGTGGAGCCTGCATCATCAAGAAAAGACGAAGACGAAATGCTACGACCAACGCAATCACATGTGAGCGAGCGAATGGGTGAAACATTAAATATCTGCCCATCCAGCGCCATTAAATTCGGAGCAAATAGCTGACAGAGGTCTTTCACTGGAAATTGCGAGGCCGTGTTTGCGGATTTATTTTCTTCTCATATAGTGACACCTTCTGTCCATATGTCATTTCCTGCCAGCTCCTACCATCACCGACACCGACACAATTCAATGGACCCAGGAGCTCTTTTGCACTCGTATGAAAATGAGCACTCCTTATCAGTGCCGAAACTGACTACATGTAAATTTTTGTTTCTCGAGAATTCTCTAATCTCGTTTCGACTTGTGGTAAAGCTGAGCACAAAGTGCACAAGTGCGTGATATTTCCGAACTACAGCGCAGTAAGAGCAAAATGTACCAGTTCTGCGTGGGAGGTAAGTTGCTACTTCTCCTATGTCGTATGAACATGGATGTCATTTACACAACAAGCAGGAGCCGGATGTGTTCGGATTGAAATATGATGACAACATTAATGGCTCTGAAGGACCCAGCGCCGACCACCCAGACATGGTATCACCGATGATCGGCTTCGTATACTTCGCCGACTACGCCCTTGTTGAACCAAACGATAAACTATCACGCCATGCCGAACCTGAACATGACTGGCAAAGTCATGTCAGCCGGAAGGAAAGCCCAGAAATAAAGCGCATTCTGGCAGAGGAAGTTTCCCAGCAAGAGTGGATCGGTGTGAAATTCTACTTGGCGGCCGAAAATCATCTGACAACACACGCGAGAGTGTATGCGCTCGCATGCGAATATTTTGTGTCTGCTCTGAGGTCTGCTACTTTGACAAAGTTCATCCAATGCGTGAAAGACACAGCGATCAACGTCGAAGGCCTTGCCATGGCTATCAAAATTGCTCATTGTACAGCAGCCGGCGAACGCAACTCCGGATTGAGGGATTGTATCTTCGACTACCTCAGTACCCACTCATCCGTATTGCTAGATTCCGTCGCTATTCGAGACGCGATCAATGCCGTGGATGGCCTGACGATGCAACTTCTCATCAAGCAATCTCAATGCCGCTGATCGTCTGCTTAGTGAAGGACGACAATTCTGCAGGTAGGAAACACGCGGTGACAGCGAAGGTCTGAAAGGCCCAAGCAGGAGCTGGTATTGCAGCATTTCTTGGCAAACAAAGGGAAGTATGTTCAGGACAGGGCGACTGTACATGTGTCGCGCATTCCGTAAGCCCTCGAAGCATTCCAATGGAGTCTTGATCAAGACCCGCAAATATAGAATTTCATGTTCGCGATGTAATGAACGGCTGCACTATATGAGAAAGCACGTGAGTCAACTCAAAATACAAAAGCTTTTCTTTCACCAGGAAATCTCGCCGTAATGGGTTTGCTCTGGAATGCAAAACAGATTGTACTGCGCGGTCCGCGCGCTGGCCCATTGTCATTTTCGTATCCTCTTCTTCCATTCACCTTCTACTACCCCCCAGCGACGACCACTTGGACAGAAATGGAGGCCAAGCAGCTTCTCCGGTCGTACATCTTCCAAAGTCAAGACCCGATTTGCAGACTATGAATGCTGATGATTCGTGCAGTCTGCGGGAGAGTCCGAAGTACAGCGATCTCACACTCGTTTGCGGTCTACAGATGCACAAAGTACACCGAAATGTCATGCGCTCCGCGTCTTCGTGGTTCGACAACGCTTGTAGCAATGAAGCCTGGAAGGTTGTTCTTTGACGAAGAATACGAATATAAAAATACTGACGATGTGATCTAGGAAGCGAAGGAGGGTATCATCAAGCTCGAAAATGCATTCGCCCACGGAGAATAAGAGGACGTCACCTGCGACAATCCAAACACCATCTCGCTCTTGGTTGACTTCATCTACCTCGACGATTACACAGCTCCCTCCGAACATGACTCCAAGGACGCCAAATACAAAGACCGCTGGAAATACGGCTCGAAGTGGAAAATCCGGCCGAAGGGAGAAGCGATGGATTCCTGCCGCCGCGCAAGATATCCCACCTAACGATAGCCCGAAGGATACCCAGCTTACGACACATGCCAGGATGTATGCGATGGGAAGCAAGTACTTTGTCGAAAGCCTCAAGTCCGCCGCCGTTGCCAAGTACCTTCAAGCATTCGAGAAAGAAGGCCCAGACGCCAATGACCTGGCCGTCGCGATTTCCATCGCCTTCAACACAGGCAGCGATAGTGATTGTGGCATGCGAGACTGTGTGTTCGAATCAGTTCTGGAAGGAGAACGCGAGTTAGCTACACACAAAGCCGTCAAAGAGGCTATCGCAACAATTGACGGGTTGGCCTTCGATTTGTTGGTCAGAGGCTGTTGGGGCGGACCACGACAAAAGGGGAAAGGTGCCGACCCAGCAAGGTCGGAGAAAAGAGCAACATGTTCGGGGGAGTTTTTGGCAAGAAACCCGCGAAAGAAGCGAATGAGACAACGGCACAGGCTGAGAGTGATGTGTCTGAATCCGAAAGCGATGAACGATCGATTTGACGCGAAGTCGGGCTGCACGAGTGTCGACGGGCAAAACGACAGATGCAAGAAGCAGATTGGAGAAGATGTTGGCGCAATTGACATAAACGGCAAGCTTTCCTCTGTCGTTGGTAGCATACAGTCATGTCGCCTTTACAAGGTTGGCGCAGAGACAGTGCGTGATCATCTGAAACTTGATGTTGAAGACGTGTAGAGACATTTTGGGATGTTTGATAACGTGAGGAGGTAAAGAAGAGAACAGATCATACAACCAAAAGGCATTCGAAGATGATTTTACTGTGAGATGCGATTGTACTGTTCCATGGAACGCAAAATGCAGGTAGGATCTCATCACTAAAAAGAATTGAAGTGCAGAACATAGTCATTGAAAATGCGAGGAACCATCGAATCGATCCGATATGCACGACCAGGTGGTGATGTCCGTACAGCAGCAAATTGTGAAATCAAAATCCATTGAGAATACGTCTACAGTACAAAGCTCCGCTGCTTCCCTTCCTCTGGATCCAAACCAAATCGTGAACCCGCACAGATGCGAGCAAATCCGTGGGATGAATTTTCGCAGCTCCAAGAACTGCAAGGCTTCGTCCCATCGAAGATCTGAAGGCGCTGAGATCAAGCAGATCCTATCGTACAGCGGCGCTTCCGTCCTGGATCGCTGTCTTCCTCGGGAGTGTCGTGCGCAAAAGGTGAAGGGCTCTTGAGTGGGTTTTCTGTCTCGCGCAATTCCGCTTTATTGTGAAGGAAGTCTTACGTAACAGCAGGCAGTGGCAGGAAGTGGCGATAGCAGCAGCGGTATCAAGAATAAAATATTCTCCGAAAAAAAGTCGCCCTCCCTCATCTCGCCGCAAGCTTCGCTGGAAGAAAATAAAGAGAGAGAGAGGAGCAGAGAGAGCGCGAGGGGATATCGAAATTGTAGACCACCCTCCAATAGAACCTTCCCATCGTGACAGAACACACGGCGTCCCAGAAAGCCCTTTCCCGAATCGACATGCACGTACAGGAGAGAAAGGAAAAACAATCCCATCATCATCCATCTATCCATAGACAGCTTGGGCAGGACAGAACTCCGAACAAACACATTGGACCGACAGAAAAGAAGGAGAGAAAGAGAGAAGGCGGGGAAAAGAAAGAGAGAGAGAGAGAAATCACGACATCTCCTCATCACCACTTCCCTCCTCCTCATCTTCTCCATCATCATCCCTCCTCGCCACCGCCGCAGCAGCAGCGACGTCCCCGCCCCCGCCCTCCACAACATCCATGATATCCATGCCCGGCGCGGGCGCGGGCGCCGCAGCGGGAAGAACGGGCACGACGACCTTCCCCGCGGCATCGAGGGTGCGCTGGCCGAGCTGGGCGGCGGCGGCGGACGCGGCGGACGCGCCGAGGAGGCCGGTCTGGGCTTCCCTCAGGGCGAGGTGTTGGCGCTGCTTGGCTTGCTTGAAGGTGGTGGTCTTGGGCACGACGTCGGTGAGGAACTCGAGGTTCTCGACGCGGGAGACGGCGTTCGCTGCGGTGATTGATCGATCAGTCAATCAAGTCCAAGAACCCAAGGGAAATTCGATTCTCCGTCCCGAATTGATATCCGCCGTCGTCCATCAAAGCGAGTAGAAAACCCCTTTCGAAGGGACGAGAGAGAGAGAGAAAGGTAGAGAAAACATACCGACGTCCCGATACTGCACATTGCGCCTCGCCTTCACGGCGTGTTCGCCCTTGACCTGGTTGAAGGCCTGTTCGACGAGGTGCTGCAGGAACAGCTCGGTGGCGAGGGTGATGAGGAAGGCAGCGTTATTGGAGCACTGGGCAATGTCCGGGTCGACGTTGATGATCTTCTTGACGCGGGCCACTGGCGGGGGGAGAAGGAGAAGAGACGCAGATTGTTAGAAGAAATACATTTTTCCGGAGGTTGGAGAGGGAGAGGGAGGATAAAAAAACAGGGAGAGAAAGAGTGAGAGAGAGATGTGTGAACGATAACGAAAAGAAATCGAAAATCCGACAATGAAAATGAAAATAGAGATAAAAACATACAAGGCAAAGAGACCGAACCCGTAGCCTCCTTGGACGGCGTGATGGGGGTATTATTATACGGCATTTTGTTTTCTCCGTCGGGCGCTTGTTCCCGTGATTTCCTCCAAAGAAAGAGAACGAGGGAGACGAGAGATGGAGTGCAATCGCCGCGGTCGCGCCCGAAAGAAAGAAACCACAATCCTCCCCTTTTCTTTTTTTTTCTTCTGCTACCGGCAAACAGGGTTCCTTTCCGTGGTGATTTCCGCCCGTTGGGTCGTTTGGTTTTTGCGGATTGCTGCTCCTTTTTTGGAAGAAGAAGAACTAGAGTAGCGAGAAGAAGAAGAAGGACGGGGAAGGGGAGGACAGGCTTTGTATTTTCTTCGATTTTCTTCCCAGTCGATCGAGTTCAGCAGCAGAGGGTAAGGTTTTGCTCCCCACTGAAAAGAACAATTGGTTGGTTTCCGATTTCCGATTTTTCTTTTTCGCTTTCAGTTCGGTCCAGTCCAGTCCAGTCCAATCCACTTTCAGTCTCAGGGAGAAGAGGGAGAGAGAGGGACTTTCCGGGAGACGATATGACCCTTCCCCTCTGTCTGTCTGTCTGTCTGTCTGTCTTTCTTTCTGTCTGTCTTTCTCGTCCGGAAAGATCTCGGCTGGGGTCTTGCAGATGTGGAAACTAGGGGTTTTCGCAGATGTACGTGAATTGAATTGAAGTGCTCGACGCGTTTGATCGAGTCGCACGTATGTGTGTATGTATGTACCTAGGTAAGTATGTATTGTCTGTGTGGAGGGAGGAGGACGCGACGTCGGTCGGCGGTCGGCAGTCGGCGGCGCGGCGCGTCGCGGCGGGTTGGGCGTGCGAGCGCGCAAAGCCGGCGGGCGGGCGGGCGTGTAATACAGCGGGTTGACGTGCAGACTTTCCCCCGCGCGCGCGGCGATGAGATAGATAGAGAGAGATGCCGAGATGCTGCTGGCGAGCGACACCACAAGGCGAGCAAGGAAGGAAGGGAGCGTTCTCGTTTCCCTCCCTCGCGGGAAAGGTTTTGCGATACCACCTGCACCTGGGCATCTATAGGTAGTTATTATCACAGGGCTGCGATAAGTTACATTCCTGATCAATGGTAATTTCTTTTTCACTACGGGGCGAGACGAGACGAGACGAGTTGCAAAGAGGTGAGAAACAGAAATAAAACACAAGCCAGACAGAAAGAGAGAAGAAGAAGAACACGATCACTTCCCACGGAGGAAAAGAAGAAAAACACGAAAAGAAGACGTTGCATGGAAAACCGCCGAGGATTTTCCCGGGAAAGACCATTGTTTCTTTCCTCTGGGGAATTTCGATTTGCGGTTTGCAATTGGATATCACGACGGAGTATAATAATAATAAGAACAATAATGAGGACGACAATGATCGAAACGAGAGAGCGATGATGGTGGCGATGGCGATGCTGGACGAGGGGACAAGGACCTCCCTCCCACGCCTGCACCGAATTAAGACAATGACCCGCCTGCCTGCCTGCCTCCATGATTCCGCTTCGCTCCTCTAATAGTAAATCTTCTCCTCGTAGATGGGCGGGTGGGCGTGCCTCTCGGTGTCCCAGAGGATTTTGTTGGTGTCGGGGTCCAGCGCGGCGGCCTCGTCGGTGATGGGGATGACCTTGCCGGAGTCGCGGACGGCGCGGGCGCTGAGGCCGAGCCGGTCGCGGGGGATCCACAGCAGCGGGGTCTCGCTGCGGACGGCCGGGTGGTAGTAGGCGTCGCGGCCGATCTCCTCGGGGTACTGCACCGAGATGTTGCGGGGCACGAGGGCGCGCATGGAGGCGTAGCCGGAGTGGACGTCCGGTCGCAGGAATCGGGCGAAGAGGCCGGCCTTCTTGCCGGCCGGAGGGGCTTGGATGGTGGCCGGGGCGTTGGAGGGGGTCTTCTCGGCGGTGGGGATGCCGGCCTCGACGGGGTCGGAGGTGGCGCCGTTGGAGACGTGGTTGGCGGTGCCCCGCTCGAGGGACTGGAGGCGGTCCTCCTCGGCCGCGATGGACTTCGGGAGGTAGGTGATCAGGGGACCGAGGGCGGCGTTCAGGCTGGACTGGTAGAGGACGGTGAAGACCAACAGGATGATCATCAGGATCAGCGGGCCGATGGCGCCGACGCTGGTGCCGGTGGCGATGGCGAAGAGGCCGATCAAGCACCCCTCGGCGACGTACAGACCGACGAAGACGTGCTGCAGAGCCCTGGGGTAGTTGAGGCCCTTGCAGTCGATGTCGGCGTTGGCGACGAAGAGGAGGTTGTATCGGTATGCCAGGTAGAAGAAGAGGAGACCGACGGTGGCGAACCCGAGGACCAGGGGAGCGATGCAAGAGTAGCAGATGGCAATGACCAGGAACAGGGTGTACTTGGCGAATTCGGTACCCCATCCGAGACCACTGAGGGTGATCCATCGCTTGTACATCTTGCGAGGGGTGTTGTCGAGGAATTTGCCGAGGACGAGGAAGAGGACGAGGCCGACCAGACTCAACAGGATGCCGGCGACGGAAGCCAAACCTTGCAGGACAAAGTAATTGATGTAGAAGTTGCTGGCGGTCGGGAGGGATTTGGCGAGCAGGCTGGCCGCGGAGCTCGGCTGGTCGATGATGGATTGGATCGAAGCCAGGGCACCGCTGGACAAGGTCAAGACGATGAAACCGTCGAAGACCAAGAACCCGAAGAAGTAGCTCTGCGCTTGCAGTTCGACGGCGCTCTTGGTGGGAGCACCGCTGACCTTGGCCAACAGACGCATGATGACGGGTACGAGCGCGAGGAGGACGGCCAAGATCACGGTGGGCAACAGACCGGTGACGACACCCAGAATCGATGGAGGGAGTTTGTTGATGAAGCTCAAGAAAGGCAGGGTCTCGATAATCTTGTTGATGTTGGAGATGGCACCGACGACGGCGATGAAAGGAGCCCAGATGATGATGATGAAGACGACCAACGCGGTCGCGACGAGGCCGCGGATGACCCGCTCCCACCAGCGGATCTTGAGGTTGTTCCAGATGACCTCGCCGGGGGTCATGCCCGCGAAGCGGGGGGACATGTGAAGGGCTTGGTGGTGAGTGAGGCTCTGGTAGGCCTCCTGTGCGTGGATGAGGGTATCGAACTCGACGAAGACGGAGTTGAGCTTGGTCGATTCGAAAGCCCTGTGCTTGGCCTGCAGAGCGTCGACCTCGGGGATGAGCTTCTGCAATTCGCTGCGGCACCAATCGATGGTGTCGACCTTCTTGCCGATGAGGAATTTGAGCTTGTGGGTCGGACGGTCCTTGGCGGTCAAGTACTTGTCGCCGGACTGTCCACCGGCCTCGACGGCGGCCGCGTCACTCTCCACGGGGGCTTCCGACTTGTCCTTCTTGGATTTCTTCTGGGTCTTCTTGGCCTCCTTCAGACGGTTCTTGTTGGCGGTGGTGATGAGCTTGACCTCGGCGGCCTCCAGCTTCAAGGCGGTCTTGTCACGCTCCTCGACCTTCTCTTCCAACTCTTCGACGTCGGTCGCGAACCAGACGTGGCGGACGCCCTCGCCGAGGACGCGTCGCAGAGCGGCCTCGTCCATGAACTCCTCCGGAACGGACGTGTACAGGACGGTGCGGGAGGAGATGCGGTTGGCGTAGGAAGGCGACATGAGGTAGGCCTGGCGGAGGTTGATGTAGTAGATGCTCTCGCGGGTGATCATGTACATGATGAAGCCGAAGAACAGGTAAGCACAGCCGGCGTGCGCGAACAGTTTGAAGTAGTTGTTGGTGACGTTGGACAAGCTGAGGATATCGAGCTGCTGTTGACCTCCACCACCCGTGGCATTGACGGGGAACAAGACAGGCCAGGTGATGAGGCAACCGACGAAGCAGGTGAGGACGGAGAGCTTGAGGAAGCGCAACAGGAGGAAGCCATCGATGGTGTGGTGATTGAGGACGTATTGATCGTCGATTCTGAAGAACTGGCCGAACCAATTGAACAGGCCATTGTTCAATTTCGGCGAGCGCGATTCCTTGGGCAACGTGCCCAAGAAGGATCGCGGGGAGTAGAAGCGCGGGAATTTCGTCCTGAAGATGAGGAAGACGAGAAGGTAGGCTCCGGCGACGGCGACGGCAGGCACGAAGGTGCTGACCAGACCCGACGCCGAGTTGGGAGGTTGGTTTTGGACCTTGTCCTGACCGGAGGCCGACATGATGTCGTCACGAGATTGCGCCGATGGCGGACGGCGCGCGCGTGTGTTGTTGTTGTTGTCGAAGGGGACAGAGTCTGAGAGAGATGCCTCCGAGAGGGAGGGAGAGGTTCACGAGGTTATATCATAAACAGTACCGATGACGAAGAAGAAGAAAATGAAGAAAGAGAAGAAGACAAGGAAAGGAAGTGGTACCCTAGAGAGGAATGGTGCAGGTGGTGGTGAACCAGACAAGTGGAAGCAAAAGCCGATCTCGTCTGTGCATGGATGGAATGGATGGAATGGATGTACGGTGACGGATGATGAGTCGTGATGTTGGAAGTGGTACTAGTGGTGGTGCTGGGTGGTGGTGGTGGTGGTGGTGGTGGTAGAGTATACCTAGGTAGGTAGGTAAACAGAGAGGGAATCCCGATGACAGGGGCCAAGAGGAAGAAGATGATTGATGATGATGATCGTGATGGGCGTTTGCTTTGCATGCAGAGTGGGTTATTGGTATTGGTATTGGTATTGGTATTGGTACATAGCATTGGTTGGTCTGTCTACAGCATTTACGCGCCTCGAGTCTCCTTCCCTCCTTGGTTTGTGTGCAATGGATGTTTACGAGATGGGCGAGAACGGGCGAAAAGCGTTGATCACCAGTATCGCCTACCCAGCTACTGCGCCCGCACTTGTCCTTTGATGACTTATTCCACCCGTTGCCCTGTCTGGTGATTTACTACATTGCCCCGGTGCGTCTATGGTTGTTCAATACCACATGGAAAGTGCAGCTGAACTGGACGACCAGCCTCATGGTGAGTGAGTCTAGACCATTGGGGAGTACGCGTCGGAATAGGCGCAGAGCTTCCAAGCTTGTTGGCCAAATCAACGACCCCGGATGCAACCATTGATTTATTATCATTTGCATCAATCGTACGAGGCGTGTTTCCAGAGAGACAGCATCGCAGCCCGACGATGACCATACAATACGATCCATTGCAGATGTGTATATATATATATGTATATGTATGTATGTATGTGCAGTAGCGATAGATGTTGAGAGAAGGGGATCAGCATTGAGGAGGACCATGTACCAGCAGACAACACCTGCACGATCCTTCCCTCTCTCTCTCGCGTTACTATTCATCGCTTGTTGCAGCTGTTGTGATGCGCGATGATGATGATGATGATGATGATGATGATGATGGGTGAAGAGGGTTGGAGTTGATTGGGCTGAAGCCAAGACTCCAGGGATGATTGTTGTCACGGACACTTTGCTTGGGGTGCAGGTGTGGGAGAACTGAAATTGCATGTGAACTAAGGGCCCCGTCACCAGTTTTAAGATTGCGCAAAAGACGGAAAACAGGGAAAGGAGGAGTTGGAACGAGGGCTACACGGCCAGAACCTCTCCGTCCCTCCCTCTCTCTCTCTCTCTCTCTCTCTCATATCCACACCTTTTCACTCTCTACCTTCCTTCTCGGTTGGCGCCTTGCCGCCGGGGAGGAAAGGGTTCGTGGGTTAGTTGGCTGGTTTCATCATCCTGCAGTAGTGTGGAAACCAACATCTGCACCTCCCTTCAGCCTTCAGCCTGTGTCCTCTCCTCCTCATGTGATGAGGATGACTGATGATTGAGAGCCAGAGTACGACTAACACCAACATATCACCTGGGAATATTCCATCCATCCCGCTCATCGCCCGAAACGAAAGAAAGGAAACGCATTCGGGCGGATCATTGAATGGAATAGAATAAAAACAATTCAATTCAATATATGGATATCCATGTTCGATAGCACTGTCGATAGTCCGTATATGCACGATAATCATGATGATAATCATATAATAAATCTCCAGGATCAGTGTCGCATGGGACAGGATCCCCGTCGATAGTTCCCACCCGCATTCAACGGTCGATAGGCGCGCATTCCGGGGGAAGAAACACTGGCCGGTCCACATGACAACGATGGGGGAAAACAGATCTCTGATCGGACCCGTGCGTGGTTCATCGATCACGCCCGACGACAGAAGAACCCTTCCCTCCCTCCCTCCCACTCTCCACCGACGGGACGATCGCGTCACGGAAATCGCGATATATCCATGCATCTCGTGAATGCCTAGGTAGACAAATACCTAGGGAGACGGAGACGCGGACGTGGACGTGCAACTGGAGAATCATGATAACAACAATAATGAAAATGATAACGATAATGAAAAATGTTCATCCCCTCATCGTTTGCGATTCTCTCTCTATCCGTCTGTCTGGAGGAATTCATTCATCCCAAGAGGAGACGCGAAGAACCGAAATGGGCTGGCTGGTGGGCTGATGATGGCCTGCCCCGGAGCCTGCACCGCTGGAGTCATCCATCAATCCATCCATCAATCCATCAATCCATCAATCAATCCATCAATCAATCGATCGATCCCTGGCGTGGCTACACTGAGACATGTCATTTGGGGCGATTTCCATCACGACCACCAAAATGCCATCAAATCTCCCTCTTCCTCTTTCTGCCCCTCTAGATTCGTACCCCGATCCGCATCTTTCTCCTCCTTCTCCTGCCCAGCCACGCGGCCGGCGCGTCGTGGTCGGCGCTGCTGTCGCGCGGGTGACATCTCATCTGAGAGACGGAACCGTGGAAGATTTGAGGATATGTATGTCACGGTCTGGACCGGTGGAAGGGGAAAAGCGCATATATGCATGCCTTGCACAGCCACCACCACCGCCACCTTGGATCTTTCTCTCAACAGCCGCGTGTGGGTGGATCGCATGGGAGATGGTCATCGTCGTTATGCGCGCACTTCTCCGCGCCATCATCCCTGCTCAGCTGCGATGGGATTTCAAATCTCCTCCTCCTCCGTGACATTGTCGTCCATCGAACGCGTCTGGATTGTGTGAAATGGTGTGGCCGTTGCTCCAGCCCCAGCTCCAGGGTGCCAGGTTGCTTGCTGGTTAGGGTTGGGGTACCTAGGTAGTTTATCATGTCGGAACCTTGAAATGTATTTTGGGGGACGTGGGCCGGAGTGTGCTGTGACATTGGAGCGATGAGACATACTAATGACTTTTAGATGATGGGTCGAGATTGAGATCTGGACATTAGTTGTGAGATATATGAGTGGCTGTGTCGTGTCGATGGTGACGGGAAGAGTGTTTCCGAACGGATCAATGTAGGAGTGGGTGTCGCCAGTAACAACAGCAGCAGCGACAGCGCACGCAATCGACTTCACTTGTCGGGTGGGAACCATCAACAATCATATTCCATCAGCCATCACGTCCCAGCAATCGTGCATGCTATCCAAAACCACCACTGCATCCCCGCACACACCTTCACGCTCCTCCCATGTCACCGCGTCCCGCCAATGTTTGCCCAATACCCTCCCTCCCCATTTCGATTTCCACCGCGATCAAAGACACGCCCGACCCTCGCGAAGAGATTCTCCCGACCCACCCTGGCAGGCACAAACAGATCCCCGAAAGCTGTCTCGCGCTGATCGGCGCTCATTCCGATAAATGTGGCGAGGCCGTCCCACGCACTGCTGTATGATCGTGGACCCTTCTTCAAACGACCGAGGATCATCTGCGCTGCGAAGGAGTTCATCCCGGCGGAGCGGAGGAATCGCTCCCAGAAGGTTTCGTCGGCGAGGAGGGTGGTATGTGCCGGATGGGGAGGCGGTGGAGGTGGTGGCGTGGAGGATGTTTGGGGAATGTGCTGCTGCCCGACATCAGCAGCTGCGATTTCGAGGAATGAAGCGTCGTCTGAACGTTTGCCATCATCGTCGCGTATCATGGTCGCAGGCTGAGCTGCAGGGTTCTTGGTTGACGAGTTGTCATCTGCGCACCACCCCTGTTGACAAATGATTGCCGCGATCCAGTGGACCAGAGCGGACTGACCTCCAGGTATGTATCGGACGATGATCTCCGTGGACGGCAGGGACTCGTTGAGACGGACCAGTTCCGACAAAGCTGCTGCATCGCGGCCATCGAGACTTTGAACGAACAAGGGTTGCTCGAAATTGGATGATTTTGCCATCGAAGCCTTGTCGCTGTTGCCTTCATTCCCTCCTTCGCTGACGAGCACGATCAGAGTGTCATACCGGGGAGCAACATCGCCTATCCGCTCTTTTACGCCGTGGAAAGACTTCTCCTGCCCAGGAAGAGGCTTTTGTTTGATCTTCTGTAGAGTCATGAGCATGATTCCCGTACTGGCAGAGATGGTCAAGTCGGCTTCAATGTCGCCGCGGGTGAGTTTGTGTGGGCCGTCTCTTTCTTGAGAGATCATGACAGAATCTCGTTCAATATATTCAAGATTGGGGAGATGAGCTTCGAGCGCTCGAAGTAGCTTCCAGTCCGCCATCATTGCGTGCGTTATGACCAGATTGAAGCGGCGGTCTGGTCGCTGAAGAGCTGGCAGAGAAAGATCGGCGGCGGTCCTCGTCACGGTTGCTGTAGTGGCCTGTATGGATGGAGGCTGTGGCATCTTGCGAGCCACGATCGCCGGTGACAGGTTCGCAGGTATGCTTATAGTTTTGCCTTGAAGCCTCAGGAAATTGACGAGGCTCGCCTGCCCAGAGCCGTTCTCAGCCTGAATCGGTGTGCCCGATTTCGGTAAACCATTCAGAGCTTGCTTCCTCTTTGTGAGGAGATCAGCGAAGTCCATCTCCTCGCGTTGCGCCATTAGCACTGATTGAACTTCTTTGACTGGCTCTGAAGTCATTTGCCCATTTCCAGTCAAAGGTGCAGCGATGATGGTTTCGGCATCTTGAATATCCTGGTCTACTGTGCGTCTATCTTCCACAGTGTACTCTCCCTGCATGCTCAAATCCTCAAGCTCTTCGTCATCGAATTCAAGTACGCGATATCCGTCGGGCTTCCAGATGAAACCCTCCAATCCCGTAACTTCATCTAGAGCAAGATCCGCCAGGTATCTCGCCAATGAGCCGTCGTCAAAGTCGCCCTCTGGTGGGATCTTCCCGAGCCGAGATGGAAACGCCGTCCAGGAAAGTAGACGCTCTACTTTGGACACACCACTCCATCTCTTATCGCCTGATAACAGGAACCTCTCCGCCATGGGGAGTGCGTCTGGTAGACGATTGGACGTTGATGAAGCGACATCCGTATGTGTCGGCATTTGCCAAGGTGGCGTGATCAGTGGATCTGCTGGCAACGATGACACAGGGACTCGTAGAACAGTATCAATTTCTTGGAGTTGTTCCTTTGCCAAGGTATCGAGTGCAGCCTGAGCGTACGGCATGAGAGCTTGGGTCAAGTCGGTCTCGACATGATCATCCATCGAGTCAGGAATCTTTTCTGCAGCTAAGTCTGGAAGTCCTAAGCCGAGCTCTTCCTTTAGTGTTCCAACTTTGGCCTTCTTGCCTGGTCGCTCCTCATACTCATCTGGGAGTAACGGACTTTCGACCCTCAAATCCCGAAGACGCTTTGTTTTATGTGATGTCGGAGACGAAAATGACTCGTCCGATGCAGGTTCGCCGAGATTTGTGAGGTATGCAATCATTTCATTGGCTAGTTTGGACTCAGGCGAAACGATTCGGTCCTCCTGGCTTTGTGGTATGATCTCGATTCCATTTTGTGCAACCTTGGTAAGGTATTCATTGAGATCTTCGTCATGTATCTCCAAGTTGCCAGCATCATCATCGACCTGTATGGGGAGCAAATCATTCCCTTGAATCTCATCCCGCTCCATGATCTTCTTGCGCAAGTTGGTCGCTTCTTGCGCCAGCAAGTCTTCTGGGCTCGATGTGAAATCGATAGCGGCGAGAGGAGATGATAGTACAGGGAGACTGCGAGGCGACGACAGCGGTAGCAATGCCGGACTGATTTTCAATGATTCGAGCTGTGGTCTGTTAGAAATGACAAAATAAGAACCATAGATTTCCCGGAGGCTACCTTGAATCTGGGCTCCAACCCGGTTTCGTCTGCCTGAGTGGTCGTCATGAGGTCTCTCATGAATTCGGCTGTCTCCTTGTCCATGCCTAAACGACCATGTCGAATTTCATACTTCAACTCGTCAAACTTCTCAAGTGACCTCTTTGACCAATGTAGAGTCTCACCGTTGTCGACTTCAAGCGGGAATGGTTTCTCTCCCTTTGCTGTGAGTTCTGGTCGATTGCGATGCTGCAGTTCAACCATCTCCAACGTGGGATCGACACCGAGCACCGGCTCTTCGACCCTGAGGCGATGAAGCAGCTTTTCAGGCTCGGCAAAGCTAATCTTTTCTGCGAATTGTGAGAACAAGTCTGCCAAGAATTTGGCACTGTCACGATCGACATCCAACTTCTCTTCTGGCAGCCGATACGTCTCGTGGATATGAAACTCGTGAAAAACATCTTGTTCTTTTGTGTCGACGGCAGCGTACAGATCCTCGTAGAATTGTGCAAGATTCGGCGCTATCGGCCTCAGACTCCATGTATCCTCCTCCTCGTAGTAGCGCGTCCAAGGATCATCGAAAAACGTGCTGTCAGCGTCCGTATCATTACTGGAAATGGTTTGATGGCTTGGAAAAGATTGGCTAGAGTCTATGTTGTCGTCGCTGTAGAACTCTGACGTCGGATGTAAGACGCGATCGTGACGAAACTGCGGTTTCTTGTTGAATCCATCCATTGCAATGTCGAGTCACCGATAATCTGCCACTGAAAATAGCATCGATTTGAAGTCGGATCGCCTGGAAGTCGAAGCATCACGCAGCGAGGGTGTCGATTCCGCAGCAACACTAGGTCGGAGGAAATAAATGATGATGAACGAGAGACGCGGTCAATTTGGGAATGACGAATGAAGCTTTCGCAGATAGAGACATCAACACTTCACAGGCGAGCTGTCGTCCCCATGCGTACACATTCTATCACCTCTGCGATGGACTTGACTGATTGTATCTTACACTATTTTCAGGCTAGGCGCCACGATCATATATCAGAGGACGGTTGCTGAAATCTTTCAGTCGCTTCTGCGGAAGATTGATCATCACTGCGGATTTGCCAGATAGAAATGAGGCTTCATGCATTTGCATCACCCCGGCTCGTTGGAAGCAACATGCGTTTCATACGACCCACATTCGAGCAAACCTCCCGAATGCATCATGTCACTGAGAGGAGACACCTGAGGCGGACTGATGTCGAACGCTAGAAGTCTGATAATCACAGATCGAAGTAAATGCTAGGTGTCTCAACAATATATTGTCTCGTCGTTTGTGACATGGCCAAAGTTGCCCGGGTGATATCGATGAACGACATTGGAGATAAATGGTAAATGACGGCCTGAGGCAACACCAGCTTTACTTGCGTCATGACACTAATCTCAACATGGACTTCGCCGCAACTCCCTCAAGGCTGGCAAAGCAATGTGTGATCACTGCCGATCAACTGCTCGCATTTGACACTCAACATCCTCACACGACTCAATGGTCCATTGCTAGACCCTGCATAGGTGATGGATCAATCAGCAAGGGTTATTCGAAATATGAGATGATGCGTCGCACATCTTCCACCTCTGCTCCTCGGACCTCTCGACAACCTAGCCATGCCGGTTCCATACCTTCACGTGCCGGCCTGGACAGGCGCATATCTACACTTTCTGGCAATGCCGTAGAGACCGGATCAATAAACCAATTCCTCGAGGAAGACCAAGCTGTCGTCGACGAAATCGAAGAGATCAAACGGTACGAAGATTTCACGACCATCGACTGGGTGCAGGATGCGGCGCGGGAACAGCAACGCCGAAAGGCGCGACGACAAGAACGCGCAGGACATTTCGAAAGAGGGGGCCGATTGGGCTGGCGACGAAAGATCTCCGAGGCGTATGACGCCGGGCAGGGTTGGATCGTGGTCAGTCTGATTGGAGCGACGATCGGTCTCAATGCGGCATGTTTGAACATCGTCACGGAATGGCTATCAGACATCAAAAGAGGTCACTGTTCTACAGCATTCTATCTGAACGAAAATTTCTGCTGTTGGGGCGCAGAAAGCGGTTGCGCGGAATGGCACACATGGAGTCGATTTGCGGCATTGAACTATCTCTTCTACATCATTTTCGCGACGATATTTGCATTCACGTCAGCACGGCTGGTGAAATCTTTTGCGCCGTATGCAGCTGGATCTGGAATCAGCGAAATCAAATGCATCATTGCGGGATTCGTCATGAAAGGTTTCCTTGGACTCGGCACATTAATCATCAAATCAATTGGTCTGCCGCTCGCCATCGCGAGTGGACTGAGCGTGGGCAAGGAAGGCCCGAGTGTGCACTATGCTGTCTGTACTGGAAATGTCATCAGCCGCTTATTCGACAAATACCGGCGAAACGCGAACAAGACTCGGGAGATCTTATCAGCCTGTGCGGCGGCAGGCGTGGCTGTCGCATTTGGTAGTCCCATCGGAGGCGTGCTGTTCAGTCTGGAGGAGATGAGCAACTATTTCCCTCTTAAGACCATGTGGCGATCATATTTCTGCGCCCTGGTTGCGACTGCAGTCATGGCTGCCATGAACCCTTTTCGAACAGGACAATTGGTCATGTTCACGGTGCGGTACGACCGAAGCTGGCACTTTTTCGAGGTGCCTTTCTACATCATCATCGGAATTTTTGGTGGACTGTACGGGGCTTTTGTCATGAAGTGGAACCTTCGTGCTCAAGCCTTTCGGAAACGATATCTATCCAAGTATGCTATCCTGGAAGCGACATTGTTGGCTCTAGGTACAGCCGTTGTCTGCTATCCCAATAGCTTCTTGCGGATCGACATGACGGAGAGCATGGAGGTATTGTTTGTCGAATGTGAGGGCGACCATGATTTCAATGGCATCTGCGAGTATGTTGTCCCGCCAATGATGTGCATCAAAGACCCAATCACTGACAATTTCACAGCGCTAGCAATCGCTGGATTACAGTCCTCAGCCTCTTATGCGCCACTACCCTGCGGATATTCCTCGTCATCATTTCTTACGGCTGTAAAGTTCCGGCGGGTATCTTCGTCCCTTCAATGGCGATTGGAGCTTCATTCGGCCGTATGGTCGGCATCATCGTTGAAGCGCTCCACGAAAGCTTCCCGAATTCTGCATTCTTCTCGGCATGCGAGCCGAATGTCCCTTGTATCACGCCGGGCACCTACGCCTTCCTCGGTGCCGGCGCAGCACTAAGTGGTATCATGCATTTGACTGTATCCGTGGTGGTCATAATGTTTGAACTCACTGGCGCTCTTACTTACATCTTGCCGACTATGATTGTTGTCGGTATCACCAAGGCCGTTTCGGAGCGGTTTGGTCGGGGTGGAATTGCTGACCGCATGATCTGGTTCAATGGCTTTCCTTTCCTCGACAATAAGGAAGAGCACACTTTTGGCGTTCCGGTCTCACACACCATGACTACCAACCCGACCGTGCTCCTCGCGACTGGTCTCACGATCAACGATGTCGAACGCATCCTTACAGACACCACATTCCAAGGATTTCCCATCATCGAAGACGCCGAAACACGCACTCTCATCGGCTACATCGGACGGACCGAGCTCCGCTACGCCGTCGATCGCGCCAAGCGAGACCAGCAGGCATCTCGCACAGCACGATGCTTCTTCGCACCTCCGTCCGAAGATGCTCCTCGGTCCGCCACCACTCCATCGGCGACCATGCCCGCCGTCAGCTTCGACGACATCGCCGAGACGGCCGGCGCCATGTCCGTGGAATTTTCCAAATTCATCGACCCCACACCCATCTCCGTACACCCCCGCATCCCACTCGAGACGGTCATGGAATTATTCAAGAAACTCGGACCGCGCGTCATCCTGGTCGAACATCGCGGTCGACTCATGGGCCTAGTGACGGTCAAGGACTGCCTGAAATTCCAATTCAAGGCCGACGCGACCCATGAGAACCCTGGCGATGACCCCGTCGTGCAGGAGCGGGAGGAGAGGTTGTGGTCGGTCTTCCATCTCGTCGGTTCGTGGGTGAGAGAAAAAGTCGCCAAGGTCAGCGGCGGAAGGCTGCAACTCGGTGAAGAACAGGTTCAGCCTCTGCCGCAGAGCCCATCGCAAACGCGGAGTCCCGATCCGCAACCTGGACCTGTGCGAGCGCGGCGCCGGTCGGAAGTAGAGCTAGATGGAAGATCTGATGTGCTATGATGAAATGTATGTATTATTTCAAATCTAAGATGAGTTTTGCATTGTCATGTCATCACCATGATGCGGCGTAAAGCACACATGCGCACGATGCGAATGTGGCAGCATGGTCCCATCTCTCGATCATGTTTCCCAACGTCGGGTTGTTCAATGCCGAATGCAGGATTCAACTGTGTCCCATACCACTGAAGCAGCTATCAATCTGGTAACAGTGAGATACGCTTCTGCTGCTGATCATTATGATGAAGGACCGTGAAAAAACAAGGCCTGGAACCGGCTGACAGAGAATGGGTGACAGATCGGGGAAAAGAGCCGAAAGGGCAAAACCCCACAGCTGATCTCGTTTAACTTCGGTACCTGACGCGTCCCCGCGACCAACGAAGCGAAGGATATCGTGCACGTCCTTTCCGTCGCCCATGTGTCAGGCAACGTCCGTCCTCTGGCCTTGCACGATCGCACGCGCATATCGCAACGAGAGTTCGCAACAGACAGAGTAGAAGCGCTGCGGGCTGGGACGTCCGACACGGCGTCTTCGCCATCGTCGATCGCACAAGTCGTCGAATGGAAAGACCAACAGACAAGGCACGCGAGACGCAAAAAGAGGAAACCCTGGAAGTCGTCCCCCGTCTGCCTGCAAATAAGACGGAATTAACCGTAAGTCCACCACTGAAAGGCGCAACCTCTTCGCCGAGGTGCATGAAATCCTCGCCTAAATTGATGGAAACTGGGAAAAAGCAAAGCCCCATTTCCCGCCTGGCTGCCCGCGGCCAAGCAATACTCCGACCAGGGCACGGCGTGGTGTTGTTGGCTTGCTGCGGCGGGATGATCATGTATCTTTCCGATCACTCCACTCCACCACGCCTGGGTCACGCGGCACAGCAGCAACCGCACGTCTACATTTTCTTGCTGAATTCAAAAAGACTTGGGATGTCACTCCCACGTTGCCAGCACCTGCGTCGCTCCATGGACGTCCGCGATCGTCTCGACCCTGCCGCGTTCTCGAGATGACTTTGTTCGGAACTCGAGCTTCCCGTCGGCGTTCGTGTGATGTCCAGCAGAAAACCGCGCCTGCACTTCCCCATAACGCACCACGCCAACCATGGCGACCAGTCCCGGTGATGAGGTCGAAGTCCAGAAGCCGCCGCTACAAGCCTCCGCAGCAGAGAAAGATCGCGCTCCGACAACACCAGAGGGACAGCCATCGGGTTGGCGATTGAACCTGGTTCTCGCCGCGACCTTTGTCGGCCTCTGCCTCAGCTTACTAGACACGACCATCGTGGCTGTATCGTTACCGACCATTGCGGAGCACTTCGATGAATTCGATCGCTCGACATGGATCATCAACGCCTACCTCATCACCTACATGGCCTTTTCGATCGTGATCGCTCGAATGAGTGATATTTTCAGCTGTCGATCGGTGCAGGCTGTTTCGTTCATCATCTTCATTGCCTTTTCCTTGGGCTGTGCGCTCAGCACATCCATGACGCAGCTGTGAGACTCCTCGACGATTTGAAAACCATGGAACGGTGTTGACAGGCCATCGTAGGATCGTTTTCCGAGCGCTGCAAGGCATGGGCGGCAGTGGATTGTACTCAATGACCATGGTGATTGTCCCATCTTTGACGCCGCCCCAGAAGCGAAGTATGATCGGTGCCTATATCGCACTCTGTGTGACGACCTCGGGTGTATTGGGACCCATTCTTGGAGGTGAGTGCAGGACGGCGGCGCTCCCCTCGGTCGCGTCCTATACATCCTCAAGTTGCTCATTCTTTCGCAGGTGCGATCACGAATCATCAAACCAGCAGTACATGGCCATGGATTTTCTGGATCAATCTTCCTGTGGCGGGAGTCGCGCTCGCAGTATTCCTTCTGGCCTGGCCTACTGGCCAGTCTCGAAAAGCGCTTTCTTTCGCTGCTCTCCTCAGTATTGACTTTCTCGGCTGCCTTCTCCTCCTGGCAGCATCTACCCTGCTTGTGTTCGCTCTCCTCGAAGCAGGGACATATCAATTTGAATGGAACAGTCCGGCTATCATCGCGTGCCTCGTTCTCTCCGCCGCGTCATTGGTAGCCTTCATCCTCTGGCAGATCTGGATCGCATCGCACCCGGCTTTCAAGATCAAAGTCGTCTTTCCGGTAAACACAATCACCCAGCGCGTGGTCGCTGCAGGAATGATGTGAGTCGCGCATACGTCCCGATGGCCGCTTCGTTGCTGACGAGAAACTTCACCAGTGCAACCTTCCTCTCCGGATTCGTATACTACGTCGCCATCGTCAATCTGCCCGAAAGATTCCAAATCGTCAGTCAAGACACGCCGATAATCGCCGGCATCAGACTTCTCCCCATGCTGGTCTTCTCCGGCATTGGTGCCATCATCGGCGGAGCTGCCAGCGCTCGACGCAACAATACTTCGTACACCCTCATCGCGGCGTCGGCATTTCAACTCCTCGGCTACGGTCTGATGACGACTCTGGGCCTCGCCACGGAGGTCCCCGCGAAACAATACGGCTTCCAGATATTCCTCGGTCTCGGTTTCGGCATGACCATGTCTTCCGCGACGCAGATGATGCATCTCCAGGTCGCACTCCAATGGCTAGGTATGTGCCACCAGACCGACCCATGCTCTCCCGACATCTAACATCTGATCCTCAATCAACAGCCGTAACCCAAGGCGCCCTCGCCCAACTCCGCTCGCTCGGAGGAAGCATCGGCCTCGCGATCGCAGTGATAATCTTCAACTCGCGCACGCGGGCCTCGGCCGCTCTGACCGCCAGCCTGACGCCCGCGCAGATCTCCTCACTATACAAATCGCCCATCATCGTCGAGACCTTCCTCCCGCAACAGCAGGTCCTCGTCGCGGAGGTCTTCGCCCGCGCCTTCACCGAACAGATGAGGGTCGCTGCGTACGTCTCTGCCGTGTGCCTCGTCGTCAGCCTGATGACGTGGGAGCGGGTGCCGCCGGAGATGCCGAGGGTCCCTCGCCCTCCGATGACGACGACGACGACGGCTCGATTGGGGCATGCGATGCCTCCCGCTGCAGAGCCGGGTGGTCTCGTCGGGGAGCAGAGAGATGGCATGAAGAAAGATGGCCCCGGGACTGGACTGGAGTCGAAAGATGACCGTCAAGAGAGGGATTAGAGCGATTCGACGGGACCGGCGTAGATGAAGATGCCTACATTTATTAAAATTCTTACGCTGTATGATATTGACGCAAATGAGCTTTGATGATGATATACATAACGCCATCGAGGGGCGACACACTTCTCTTGTTCGTCGAAATGTGGTAGGTTTTTCTTCGTGAGATTCATGCTTTGAACAAATGAGTAAGTCTTCGTCATCGACACATTGTTATCATTTTTACATAGATCCGGGCATCACGACAGCTTCGCGATCTCAACATCAAGCTGCAGCGACTCGTAACGCCATGACAAGAACACAGGAAAACGCCCTCAGCACTACCGTTGCTGAATCATGACATGATGGGTATCTTTCAAACCTCCTCCACTGCACAATTGGGATGCACGACGTAGAGGATCCGGTCGCTCTCGGGCTCTGCACTCCGACCCTGCTCATTCGAAAGTCCTTCACCCCGGATCTGCATGAGGACGTTTTCCTGTGGGTAGGTTATGATTAGCATATTGACCGAGGCGTAGCATTGAATCGACAAGGGGGAAAAACTCACCTTGACCATCCGCTTGAGGACCTTCCGCGCCAGTGCACGCTGCGTTTGGACATCTTCTTGGCTCGTCAATTCATCTTCTCGCTGTTCGAGGTACCAGACCAAAAGTTCCTCCTGCTCCACACCGTCCTCTGCTGACGCCTGATCGTCGTTCACGCGGCGGAGCAGGAGATTGTGAATTTTGATGTAGTCATCGTACGTGATTTGCGTGCGTGGTTTGGATTGTTGCACGGCAGGCGCAGCTGAAGCCGATCGTTGAGCCCCAGCGGCGTTCTCCTCGTCGTCGTCAGCGGGCTCGTCGTCCTCTTGACCATCGTCAGCATTTATTTCCACCTCGTCGGCAGCTTCTTCATCTTCAAACTCGACGTCGTCCTTCTCAACACTGATGATACTTTGACTGAGGAGCTTGAATGCCTCCTCGACGAATGCGATCGTGACTTTGTCAGCACAGTTGGCCTTGGCAATGGCTTCGCTGAGACGGATGAGGGACTCTAACTGACGAACAGTGATCCGGTAAGAGTTTCTGCCGATACCACCTTGCGCGTCGTCAGAACGAAGTTGCTTGTATTTCTGCACAAGGTAAGCCTTTGCGTCTTCTAAAAATGTGGGTTGGTAAAGGCGAGCGAATCGGATGTATCGCTGCAGTTGCTCTGTGCTAAACTCTGGCTCAATGGCATCGTCTTTCAGTCGGTGAACGTTGACAATGTGCTCGGCGAGATGACGGTCGATGTTCTCGTCGCATTCGTCGAGTACGACGAAGAACAAATCAAAACGAGACATGATGGGCGCGCTCATATTGATATTTGCTCGTAGTGTCGTCTTGCGGTTATACCTCCCACCGACAGGGTTAGCTGCAGCAAGAATACTCGTCCGCGCATTCAAAGTTGCCTGGATACCAGCTTTTGCAATGGAAATGGTTTGCTGTTCCATAGCTTCGTGAATCGCGACTTGGTCGGCAATGTCCATCTTGTCGAATTCGTCAATGGCGCAGATGCCGTTATCTGCCAGCATCAAAGCTCCTGCTTCGATTGTGAATTCGCCAGTCTCCTCGTCTTTGACGACAGCCGCAGTCAGACCAGCCGCTGATGATGCCTTGCCGGATGTGTACACAGCTCGGGGCAGAAATGAGCAGATGTACTTCAAGAATTGAGACTTGCTGGTACTGGGGTCGCCCACAATGCAAATGTTGATATCTCCACGCAATGCCATTCCTTCTGGGGTTGTCTTGCTGACGCCTCCCATCAATTGCAGCAGAAGCCCCTTCTTCACCACGCCGTGTCCGTACACCATTGGTGCTAGCGAATCGACTAACCGCATGAAGATATTCGGCATGTGCACCATAGCCCGCAGCTCTTCAACTTCAGCTGCTGTGAGCGTGTCGAGATATTCTTGCTGCGCTTGATGACCCGTATTTTCCATAACGTCCATGTTCTGTCCCAACGAGCTCAAAATGTTGCCAGCTTGTCCCTTGAGATGCTGACTAGACTTTTGGCCCTGAGTAGTTGCATCCGGTGTGACCATGTTGGCGAGGAATGCCATTCGATAAGTGAGGTCACGTACTCCAAGCGCACTCAACCCACCAACACCGCTCCCACCCGCATCGGCTCCACGAGGTGCTTGAGTGTCCCGAAAGGCCTGCACGCGTGTACCGGGCACACGAAACTGGCTGACGTCTGGTACCACGATAAGAGTGCCAGTGAAGACGCACTTCTCACCGGCCTTTGCACGATCCACCATCTCCCCACGCAGAATGACATCCATGGTTCGAGGCATACTTCCTGTTGGGATTTCCGAACTGTTTTCTTGCACTCGGACCTTCTGCCAGTCGATGAATGTGCTCTGCCGGATGTCGAGTCGCCAACCCTGTCGATTACCACATGTAATATTCGGACACTGCGTAGGCTCCGAGTATTTGAAGATCTGCTCAACATCTGAAACAATACTATTGCACACTTCGCAGGTGAAGGTTGCAAGATGTAATTCAGGTCGGACTTCCGACGTGCGCGTCACGGTACCAGAAATTGACACGAGCTTTCCAATCTGCTCAGTGCGCAGCTGACGAACACGGGAGACTAGTGGTAGGTTGTAGAACGCCAGTGTGAACAGCTTATCGGTTTGCTGATTAGGATTCTTGTCATTTATGTTTTCCTCGTCATCAAGACTTTGCTCGACAAAGGAAGGATCTGATCTTGCGGTGGTTGAACCAGGCTGCTTGTGAGCCCGGTAGTACGCAGGTTCGTATTTCTGAATGAGTGTGTTCAATGCGCGAGTCAAATAAGGATGAAACCGATAAAAGTCGTCTTTAATAGCGTTGGCCAGAATTCCTCGTTCATCATCCATCAGGTGGACGAAATCCACGTACAGCGTGGAGAGTTTGAATTGAGCCAAACCGTGAATTTGTGCCAGGTAGTAATTTCTAGTGGTCGCTGCGCTGGATGCTGGCGCATTCGAAGATGACGGCTCCTCAACGAAGCTACTTTTGATCAGACAAGCTGTTCGACGCGCGCGTCTCTAGAAACAACGTACTGTTCGAGAAAGTATTCAAATTGAAGACCCAATGTCTCTGCCGTTGTGTCCACCACTCTCTGCACATCTTGTGTTCCCGTAGCTTGTCTCCGCGCCCCGGCCCGCCCTACGACTTCATCATCCGGGAATCCGTCGATGTCGCTGTTCATGCCCGGTGTGCTCACGGAGGGCGGTGCTCGTGGCCGTGATGAGGAGCGAACCCTCCGCTGACGTGGAGTGGCATCGCTATTCAAGCCTCTTGAAGGAATGTCGGAGTGGATGTTCTCATCGAGGAGTGAAGTCATGGTTTCTGTCGGATATGCTAATCGTTTGCGCGGACGGTGCAATGTCGATGCTGCATGCTCCGTCCTCACCAAGAGTCCGTCGTCCGCATAGTGGGGCACAAGTTCGAAAGTCGCGAATTATCCACGCAAGTCGCGTCCGCACGCGTCGTCCGGGAGGAGTTCTTGGCACGGATTTAAGCGCCGATAACGATAGTGGTCGGGTGGGCGGATTCAGGGTTCGGCTGTGGGGGGCATTATTATTATCGAACCACAACGACAGGAGGAGGATTCGGCACCATTGGCAAAATCCGCAGATACAGCATATACTTAAACTGTTTTGCGCTGCATACGCAACCTGCATACACAACACTCGAAGCTCAAGCATCGCATTAGCTATACCATGAGTACCACCACCACTGCGACGCAGACTCAATCTGCGTACACCGAGGACATCCTCCGCCTTTTCCCCGAGATCAACACACAACTCGCAACGCAGTCCCGATCAGCGACACAGGACAACGACCTCGCCGGTTACGATGAGGAGCAGATCAGGTTGATGGACGAAGTGTGCATCGTCCTTGATGAAGACGACAACCCCATTGGAAGCGCCAGCAAAAAAGTCTGTCATCTCATGGAAAACATCAACAAAGGCCTTCTTCATCGAGCATTCTCCTGCTTCCTCTTCGACTCACAGAACCGGCTATTGCTGCAACAAAGGGCAACGGAGAAGATCACGTTCCCTGATCTCTGGACAAACACATGCTGTTCTCATCCTCTGGGAGTTCCCAGCGAGACTGGAGCTACATTGGAGGCCGCTGTCGCAGGCGTTAAGCGTGCGGCAGTGCGCAAACTTGATCACGAGCTTGGAATCAACGCCGCACAGGTTCCCATCGAGAAGTTCGACTACCTGACCCGCATTCACTACATGGCGCCGAGCGACGGAAAGTGGGGCGAACACGAGATTGACTACATTGTCTTTATCAAAGCCGACGTAGATCTGAACATTAACCCGAACGAGGTTCGCGACTCCAAATATGTGTCGGCAGATGAGTTGAAGGCAATGTTCGAGGACGATCAGTACAAATTCACTCCATGGTTCAAGCTTATCTGTCAAAGTATGCTGTTCGAGTGGTGGGCGCATCTCAACGATGGTCTGGAGAAGTACATGGGCGAGACAGAGATTCGTCGCATGTAAACAAAGCGAATGGCATGGAGGATTTTACACATCTGTAGTTGAGCATCAATGAAACTATCATACGTGCATAAACAAGACCGTTGTACATGCATACTGTATGAGCTTTTGTGAAGAGAAATGGCTGCTCTTCGACATCCACTAATAAAATGCATCCTTTTGACCGGCTAGACGAGTCGGCGAGAGGCCCTCAGCTGTGAACAAGAACGCGCACCTTCCAACGAAGGGTTCCTGCGTCTTTTCTTTGCTTCGGGATCGCGCTTTCTCAGTCTGCTCTTAATCTATCATTTCATCATGCTCATGCTGCTCTCTCTTCCGGCAAAACGCATCTTCCAAGCCCAATAATTACATCGTGATTCGGTCACTGCCCATGCAAAGATAATAATTTTGCACTTGACAAGCAAATGAGGAACTCCGAGAGGACATCGCATCGAGTTCGCTGGCGCAAGTCTCGCAAGTCTCGATCACATCTGCGGAACAGATCTCATGGCGAAGGCAGCGAAAATCCAATTTCATTGTGCAGAGCTGATCAGAATCAGGTCCCAACACTACCTTGGCCGCACAAGGGGATCGATTGGGCGACTATGTGTGGCCATGCTCATCGATATTTTCGTCCAGGAGCGGAGAGAGAATCGTCTAGATCAGCTGCTCGCAATGAATTCGTTGCCTCGCACAGAGAGATTCGCAATGCGACAGGGGCTCCAAAAATTCACACTAAGAGCAAAGTGCACCCGGCTCGATGTTCGAAGTCTTCGACCTTGCCGGTGGCCCTCTTGAAACATTCCCGGTTTGGAAATACGACCAAGAAACCACTGTTCGAGCGAAGTGATCAGAGAAGTCAAATTGGTGATGGTTTCGCGACACACGAGCGTTGTCGGCAACGTGCGGACGATTCCAAATCTCGCATCTCGCGTCGGCCACGACCTCCGAGAATCCCAAAGCGTTCGCAAATCCAGGCCCTATCATTGGCTGAATATTGTCGAAGCGAATTTGGAATTATTGGCATCGGAGCTTCGGCTCCAACTGCGATGGACGACAGCAGTCACCGCGGTCTTCACAGATCGCCCAAGATTCCCGGTCGCCATCAATATTTGAGCCAGTCATCACCAAGTCTCGATCTGGCTTCCCATTCAGATGGAGTGCGTCCAAAATCCGCCCACATTGAGCGTGCGCTTCCCGCCCTCGCAAATCCGAGGTATGACATGGATTCATTTCGGGCACATTTATCCCCGAATGTGCAGGTGCCCAATAGCGATACCGGCTATTTCAAGGAAGATCTTGTTCATACAAACTGTGGCATACAATTCTTGAGGTCCGAAGCTGTACTGTCATAGACGTTCCAGGCACTATGGAGTGCGTGAATGAATGCCTGAGCAATTCATCGACAAACAATTGTCCCAAGACAAGCGAAATTTATACCGCTCAGACGGCGTCATCTTAGGTATGCAATGATTCGCTTGATGGCAGCCGTGTTCACAGCCAGTGATGAGACCTGTGATTCAACAAGGATGCTGGACTTGACGCGCCTTGGAAATTTCCATTCTTGGACCAGACGAAGCCTCGATTCGCAATCTCATGTTGATGGGCGCACTTCAGACGACATGATACAAAGTTTCATTTTGCCGCTCTCAATGCCGTATGCGCATGTAATGATCTGCGTTGGGAAGATAAGCTCTGACTGAAGGTCCCCACGTCCAACTCTCCAGCCTCGAAATCTCAGCCTGCAGTTGTGTTAAAACCGTGTAGTCATGTTCGTCCAGTGTCTACTGGTAGTGGGATCAACTTACTTTGAATTCGGCGCTCAAATCGTACTGACCAGTCCGAGGGTCATGACTAAATGTATTCTTGTTCCGATCCCACACAACCTCTATAGTCTTGCAAGCTTCCGTGAGCCAAGACAAATCGGGATTTGGTTTCCTACAGAGGTATTCTCGCTGGTGCACTGGAGGCGCGAAATCAACGACGTGCGCATGCATCACAAAGTATTGCCAGGGACTGGGCCGATAAAATGCCGGTATCGCATCGTATGAAGCTTTGGAGGGATCGAGTGACCATCTTATGAGTGCCCAAAAGGCTGCCATCAACGCATATTGCGTATCAGAAGGCTGTTTTTCGTCAGGTTTGACGCTCTTGATCAGTCGTGCAACATGTTGCGAGAGCCTTGGGGCATTCTGATATGCATCTCGATTGTTCAAGGCTGCTAGACACGCGTGGAGTCCGCAGTAATCTTCTGCTAAACGCCACTCGCTATACTCGTGATAGATCTCCATTATCTTTATGCCGAAAGGGTCCTTGTTTTGGGGGTCGTTCATCAGTCGCATGGCCCAGATTGGAGCAGAGAGGTTTCTTTTCTGCAGCTCCTGCAATTCTTTCGGATGATTGTTTGCGTCAACGGCGCTTGACAAATCTAGGTTACCAAAGTGGTGATTCCAGCTCGTCGAGAAGATGATGTGATCAAAGTCGTGGCAAGCATGGTGTTTATATCCCACGAACCCACGAGCGTCTGAATCAATTTGATGGCGTGCCCAATATGAACGATCAAAACTTACCGTGAGCCATGATGGAAAAATCGTCTTCAGATCCGTTCACATCATCGATGGCACCAGAATCTGCCTCTATCGCTTTGGAAATCGCCTCATGACTCATGTCTTGGTTCTGTTGGTTCTGGAATTCCTGCTCATGGTCGAATTTTGAATGCATTACTCGAAGAACGCCAAACTCCCGACCATCAGATGACAGCGCCATTTTGTCGGCCAGATCTCGCCATGACGAGTTCACTCGAAGACTTGCAAGTAGAAACGAACTGTGTTCATCGTCACTGCGCACTAGAGCGTCCAGCATTCGGACTGCAGCTTCTCCGTGCTGGATTGAATTGTCTGTTCGGCGGTCTGCGATTGTCCACGCAGGGGTATCATCTGAATTTGCAAACGAAGGCGATGCTTCGTAGTGAAAATCGCTCTCAGACCTCACATTCTCTTGCCACGACCTAACCACTGAGATTTGTGGGATTGAGTCTGAACGCTCGGCTAGACGCGACTGAATGGTCTGGCCGGAGCTGACTCCGGACGAATCATCTTCCGCCAAGTGTTCCAATCCTCGAGCGTCTTCAGCAGATGGAAAAATTCTCTACCCATCATTTTCGAGGTTAACAAAGCGTAAGAAGTCATAGTGATGGTCGTAGGAGAACGTACAGCTTGATGGGCTTCGTCAGGAGAAGCCTGGAGCTGTTTTCTCAATCTGTCAATTTCAAGCCGTAACTCAAGATTTTCCCGCCTCAAGGCTCCGCTTCTGGTTTCGTATGTATATTTCGTGTCATATTCGCAAGTTCGAGCTGCTCGGAGGCATGTCGTGCAGGCAGGTCTGTTTGTGTCACATCTACTAATTCATCAGCCCTCTACACGAGCGTCTCGTCAACCAGACTCATCCAAGACCTAATGGACTACCAGGAGAGCATAATGACCATACCGGAGCTTGCGTGATCGGCAACTGTTGCAGGCCACACGAGCGACATGCTCGCGAATCCTGCCACTGCTACTGCTATCCATGCTGCCCTCTATTATGAGCCCCGTGTGGTTGTTCTGAAAGATGCTCAAACTAGGATAGTGATGTCGGGGAAGTAATTCATGCTGGTGCGGCATCGAGAAAAGAACAAAGTATCCATCTCTTGCACACTCAGCTTACTTTCTTCCCCGCGAATGTCGGGCGGGAAAAATGAGCGCAGGATAGGCGTCGGTTGATACTTTGCCTCATTTTTACAACACTGTGAAGACTTCTGTGTAGCACACATTCTATCACTTGCCTTCATCTGTATGTCGGTGAAATTGAAGATCACCGATGATCTGGCCACGTTCAGGCGCTCATCGGATGCACCTCGCACCCCTCCTGAGATAGACGCGAGGATTGATCTTGATCCACTCTGAAGCCGGATATAAAAGCCGGTTCGGGCTGGCTTGCGTGGACCATGACAGAGGAATCTCGATCGGAGGCCCGAACGTGGTGACCCGTTGATGTGGAGCGTAATGCCATGTCTCCCGCGAATAGAATTGTTTGCCATCCATTCCTCAGACACCATGTTACAAACGAGTATGTATCTCAGTATCGGAAAATGTGTCCAGGCATCGGTGATGTCCTGCGGTGAAATGGCGGGAGCCCGATTGATCTAGCCAGCATCGAGATTGGAATGCAGCACTTGGCTTGAAATGAGCTGAAAAGGGTGAGAGTTGGCGAGAAGAACAATGTATGTTCCACCATTGAGTCTAGTCCTCTCACCCCTGCTTGGATACTAGATTTTTTGCAATCCCCTGCGCGTTGCCTCATCATCAATAATCAAGATTCCAAGCTATGACAGCGGATTCTAGTGTGCATAAGCGTGATGGATCAAGGCTGAATGGCATAGGATTTCAGCGTGGCGAATGCGTTTGTTTATATTAGGATTGAGGCTGCTCGTCGGGTACGTCTACTGAGAACATCTTCCTAGCAATTGCCACCGACTGCGTACGCTGCATGATACAAGCTCTAATTCCCCGAGACCGATACTTCCATGTCTTAAAAACGTGTACGTAACGGAGCAATACATAGGTGATTGATCTCCTGTGCTATGGCCGAGAGCGCGCACAGACTACCTGCATGTGATGAGCAACTGCATTTTCGCATTAGGCTCGGAACAAACGCCGGGCGCATAAATAAAACCAAGCTTTGGACCGCCTGAATTCACACTGAGGCCAGCAGCACTTGTCGCTACCGGGCCTCTCGTCTTTCCATCGCCGATGTATGGTCTTTTCAATCGTTCTAGATCTGGTTGTTGGTCACGATAGAGGCACACGGGGATTGCCGCAGTGGAGCCAACTGTGACGAAGGCTTATCTGAAGACTACTAGTCAAATGCAAAGTTGATGCTTTCAGCCGATTTGACTCAGCCGATGTGACTTTGCGGGCAGGGGAGTATCAGATATTGCTATCACGGTGCAGAGGCAGCAGAACCATGGCCCAGATACACGTTGTGTGCGATAGCGCCGGCGGGCTCAGGCTGTGCGATTGAGATAAAGTCCAGCATATGCATTCAGGTCGATGTCAGGTCAGTGTCAGGATTGTTTCCATCCTTCCGTCATTAAAACCCCCTCTTCCAGCCGGCGATCGATACATTCAATCACTTTAGCGAGGAAAGCTGTAAGCACTAATCTGCTCAAACTTAAATCCCGGGTGCTGTCACATTTGTCAGGATTCGTGTGCTCGCCCGACGGTAGATATCCGGCACCATGATCTACTATTTGTTCAAATAGGTAGGTAGCATCGGGGCCAACAACCAAGTCGCGTAATGTTTTCTAACTTCCTTTTCGCTACGTGCGTTTGTGTAACACTCGGATCATTGCCCAAGAGACAACAGAGGCATTCGTCAAACATCGATTTCTATCTCAGATTCACGTCAAATAGTTCGGGCACTGCCGCACCGGAAAGGCCGACGGGCGAAAAACGTAGATACGCATTCCTGTGCAGGGATTTCGTGTCAAATCTTTCGGAATCAAGTCGCCCGTCAGTCAAGGCTATTGAGAAGCACCCGATCTTTCCTTCTCAAGCTTAATAGTGGAAGTTAGTGTTGTCTCTGCTTTTACGGAGCATCATCTTGTGATTGCGCATTGCGCATCACTGAACATCAGCCAACATCATCAGAAGACTTACTCACTCGACAGCCATGCTCCACGGCGCCTGAACGTTGAGCCGAGGAGGCGGACGGTTTGCTCATATCTGGCATCGCAGCGTCTCTACATAGTGCCCGAGCTCATTTCGAGTCCCACCGTTGCATGGGTCAACCTGCGCTGGATCGCTCTTGAATTGGCCCTAGACCCATCGACGACTTATCCCATTTCTCCTATCTGATCAATACGCACATACGCAACAAGCGACCACCAGCGCCAAATCTGGTCAATGGCAAACTGCCTGCAAAGCTTTGCTGCTTATCACCCATCAGAAAGGTTTCTTCGTCCACTGCAGTTACTGGCGCTGAGGAAGCTGAGCAACGTCGAAATAAGGAAATTCGAGATCAGAATGAGCGAATCGTCGTTCAAGTCTCGCTTCGGTCACGGGAAATCCACGGCGTGATGTCGTTTGCCTAGCACATGTCACATCGCACCGAAATCGGCCTGTACTTACCAACACAGCGGAGATCGCGGCCCGGAATCCCGTTGGGATGCCGATGGCAGTATCAAGCTGCGTCTCCGCGTCTATTATGAGATCTCGGACAGCCGTGTAAGCAGTCAAGCGCAGTACGAACTGCAAGCGGCCGAGACAGCCGCCGAGGAAGACGCGCAGCAAAGACCGCATATGATACCGCGCGAAGCAGATCCGACGATTGATTGCGATATTACGAGAAAAAAGTCAACTCCTCTTGCATCGATGATTGACCGTTAGGTGCAATCGCTGGCGGGTAGTGCGATGACGCCGAACAGCTGTGGCATCGATTGCGCCTGTTTACCCGCCTCTGGTGTGCTACGAGAATTTACTCGCGTCATTCGACCTCTATAGACGGAGCAGTTCGCACGAGGCTGCCGATTCGCAGGCGGTAAATGTTTCAGAGACGCGAAGTACTATCAAGCTTACAACCACTTTTCATGAAAAAGCATTGAGCCACGGACACCAAAGCACTGAACTGCCACGTCAATCTTCCATATGGCCGAGCAGGGCTGAAGGGATACACGCTGGACTGATTGCCTAGCCATGCGACTCCTAAATACGTCTCGAAAATCAGCTTTCCTCCAGCAGCTCTCCTCCAATCCCGACTCTACGAAGTTATCTCACAATCAGCAGAACATGTGTGCTCGTTTGCAAGAATCAACTGACGATAGGGCTAGAGGTACCAATTACGAGGATGTCGACATGAGTCTGGGGGAGACGATGCTGACAAACCTAGCATTTACTGGATGTTGGAAATTGGCGATTAGAACGCCCAGGGTTCGCCACGTTCGTCGTGAGATCTTCTTAATCAGTTGCCCGCCAACCAGGTCGGCAATCCCCAATTATTTTGGATATGTCGTTTCCGAGGTGAACAACGCTGCACGTCACCCGTCGATCAAGAGAGGGCACCTTCTTCTCTCCGGCCGGCATCACCACTGGGCCTCGGTTGAGTCCTTGCGCTTGACATCACGCGAGGGCTGTATCATGTGAAAGATGAGCGACCGATGGCGGTGTTGCCCAAAGACTCGAATTTGAGTATGTGCTAAGTCAGCTCAGCCGTGTCTATGGTATCCACAGACTTTCTGTGACTCTCGAGGCTCTCGTAAGATTCGAGTTTTGTGCCACACCATGGCGCTCCGTCAATCCAGGCCAAGTTTTTTGGCCGGCAACACCTGTGCTTAGTAGTGGTAAGTATCCCTGCTGTGGCACACCCGTTCCGCAAGCCGTCTCGTCCATACGATCACAGTCGTCCAATATCGTGCAGACTTGTTAAAATTATAAAATATCCCATCGGATTAAAGACAAATAAACATATGAGCTTCTTCGTAGATGTCGTCCATAATATATGAGTTTGTTTGTTGATACTGCCTGTTGTCTGTATGATGATTCTTGTCACCGTCCACATCTGCGCACCAATCGATTGACACTATTCTGATGTTCTGCATGGTGATCAAAATTCCAAGGACACGGGAGAGCAAAAATTCAAAAATGACTAACCAGCGTGGACGCTAGCTGGGAAGACAGGTCTTACCCGGAATCGAACCGGGGTCGCCGGAATTCGCTGAGCCCAAAGGCTCGTCAGAATCCGAAGTGCTAACCCCTACACCATAAGACCAGATTGTCTCGTGTAATTCGTGCTGAACGGGCGAAATCCAATGATTATGATGGTGAATTCTCGGGCTCAGTCTTGCAACTTTCGATGACGTCGAATGAAAACGGCGACCGTCGAGGGGATGGCCTGGAGTCGAGGAGTCCAATGTCACAGATTCGCGTGAACTAAATAAACACTCTTGACTATGATCTGAACCTTCGTTCAAGCACCTATAGCTGCAGCTCCATCATAACCTACGTCGAGGCAGCCCCTCATCATCCCGTCTTCCACATGCACTTCCTCTCTCGCAGATTACCTCTCCCCCGCCTCCATCCCGCTCACATTACCTCTCGTCTGCACGCATCGCAACACACTAGATCATTTCTTGCGTCCCTGCCAAACGACTATATCAAACGCACCATGTCATCAGCGATAGCCAAACGCCTCGAAGGCAAAACAATCCTTATCACAGGCGCCTCGTCCGGAATCGGTCGCGCCACGGCCCTCGAATTCGCGCGCACATCTCCCAAGAAGCTTCGATTGATCCTTGCGGCCCGGCGCTCCGACGCACTCTCCGAGCTCCAATCCGCAATATCCGGAGAAGTCGGGTCCGGTGTGCAGGTGCTGCCTGTGACGCTGGATGTGAGCAATCCGCAATCGGTGAAAGACTTCATCCCGAACCTCCCCGAGGAATGGCGCGCGATCGACGTATTGGTGAACAACGCTGGACTCGTCCGCGGTGTTGATCGCGCACCGGAGATCAAAGAGGAGGATATGCATATCATGTTCGCGACCAACGTAACGGGATTGATCAACATGACTCAAAGCGTGCTCGCTGGGATGCTCGAGCGTGGACCCAATGGCGAGGGCAAGGGTGATATCATCAACATTGGATCAATCGCCGGACGAGATCCGTATCCCGGCGGAGGAATCTACTGCGCGACGAAAGCTGCAGTACGGAGTTTCACGGATTCACTGCGCAAGGAGCTCATCTCGAAGAGAATCCGCATCATGGAGATTGATCCTGGTCAGGTGGAGACGGAGTTCTCCGTTGTTCGGTTCTACGGTGACAAGGCCAAGGCAGATGCGGTGTATGCTGGATGCACGCCTCTAACTCCAGAGGACATTGCGGAGACAGTTGTCTTTGCGGCAGGCCGGCCGGAGAATGTTGTCGTAGCAGACATGCTCGTTTTCCCGAACCACCAGGTAAGACATCCATATTCCGCGCACGCCCGGAAAGAGTAGTATTGTGGAGGCACGAATCATATCTAACAATTCTCACAGGCTTCTGCGGGATCCATGCACAAGAAAACATAATTGGTGGGATGACTCGTTTTTATCTAGAGGCGTGAATATAGATGAATAAGTTTCAGAAAGAGCGTGCGTAGCGCACGGCGCTCTTCTTCTGGATGAAAAATAGTGAAACGCAACGTGCCACAGACTATCGACTCAGTGCGTTGAGACCACTAAGCCTCGTTACTTCGACGGGTCCAGTAGCAGTTTGCCAGTAGTCTTGCGTCCTTCCAAATCTTCTTGTGCGCGCTTCACCTCGCTCAGGGGGTATACTTCGTGGATGCGCACGTCGATTTTGCCATCCGCAACGAACGATAGTAATTCGTTTGTGTATTGCTCGAACTCCTCCCGAGTAGCAATGTATCCGAAAAGTGTGGGACGCATCAACCGCGCATTCTTCGCACTTAGTCGCGCAATAGTCACTGGCGGTACTGCACCGGATGCGTTGCCGAAAGAGATCAGACTTCCTTTTCTTGCGACGAGTTCCAAGCTGAGATCGAAAGTGTCCTTCCCGACTCCATCGAAAATGGCAATGCATCCTTCTCCATTCGTGAGCTCCAGGACCTTGCTCTTGACGTCCTCCTTGCTATAGTTGATCATATGCGTGGCGCCGGCTTTGGTGGCCAGGGCAATTTTCTCTTCCGTTGACGCAGTGCCAATGATCTTTGCACCAACAGCTTTGAGCAACTGCACGAGCCAGAGTCCTGTACCACCAGCGGCGGCATGTACTAGAACCCAATCGTCCTTCTTGACGGCGTGGGCTTCACGGATGAATGTCAGCGCTGTTAGGCCTTGTAGCAATGCGGCCGCCGCAACCTTAGTGCTGAGGGACGAAGGCAGCTTGATCGCTTTTGCAGCAGGTGTCACGGTGTACTCAGCGTAGCCACGCTCACCCATCCAGACCACTTGGTCGCCGATCTGGAGATTCTGGACGGCACCTGAGCCGAGTTTGACGACGGTACCGGCACCTTCGCGGCCAAGGATGTAAGGGAACCCGGGGGCCGGGTAGAGGCCGGAGCGGAAATATCTGTGAATCAAAAGGTTTAATACGGATTTCTTGATCATCAATGCGAAGACTGATGAGAAATTCGATGCTTACGTATCAATGAAGTTGACTCCGAGGAAATCATTCTTGATGAGAACCTCTCCTTCCTTAGGCTCTGACACCGCCACATCGGTTTTGTATTGAAGAACCTCGGTACCGCCAGTCTTTTCGATGACCACGGCCTTCATCGTGCTGGGTGTGGCCGCCATTGAGCCGTTTGTGATAGGTTGTGAAATGGTGATAGAGGTGTTGTATCTGGTTCAAAGACGCAGGAAATAGTTTGCCACGATCTTACGAACAGTGGAAGATGCTAAACAGATCGTCGCTTTGCTAAAGTCGCAGTCGAATATGGAACATATATAGCTTGGGGAGCATCTCTCATGCTTGAGGCATTGATGATTTATGATATGGTGACATGCGGACCGCACGGGTGGCACTATCGCCGGGATTAAGTCCGACCACCCCACCAACCCACATGACGTATATAGCCCTTCGTGTTTGGTGATCAATCATAATAACACGTCTTCCGCCATCGGAGTTCTTTTCAGCGAAAGGCAATCGCGAACGTCAGTCCGCTATTGCAGATTAAGATATGTTCAAGCACCTCTCGATCATACTAGACATGTGCAGAAACGGAAAGATCATGATTTCTTCCGAAAGTACATCATGCAAGAGTAGTAACAGCTCGAGCAGGAATCCGTACCTTTAGATTACGCGATATCCACCCCATTCTTCCGGAGTCAGCTCCTTCAGGAGTGCACGCAATGCCAAACGATTGGTCTTATGTGAGATTGTCAGCGGTCGCGTAGGAACCGGGAACCACCAACTCGGCACCATGTTTGATGCCAGATTGCCATCAGACAACAGTTGCTGCATCTTCTCCGCCACAACCCCTTTCGCAACGATAGATTTTTCCCAGGGGAGGATCTCCAAGTGGGCTTGGGACCCGACTGAGCCGTCCGGCCGAGCACAGATGAAGCTGACGATACGCTGCGCAGAAGCCTCGTACTCTGCCAGACAATCGGCGTTCGTCGGCCATTTCAAGCGGTCAATGTGGTAGTCAATCTCACCGAGCTCGACGCGCTCACCATGTAAGCTCGTCTGGCCATCTTGGCGACCCACGAAAGTTAAGGAGCCATCCGGAGCTTTTTTCGCCATATCGCCGGTCCGGTAGAATCTGGTGTCGCTGCTTGACCGCTTCGTCCAAGAGACGTCTTGTAGAAATGCTTTCGCCGTCTGTTCGGGCTGATTAATATATCGACTCGCCAGCGCTCGACTTTCCACGATGATCTCGCCGACTTCTCCATCGGCCAGAAGCTTATTCGCATCCTGAGAGTCGGCAATCCAAAGACGACATGCACCAGGGAGTGTGAATCCAACGTTCTGAGGCTCATGATGCGCCTCGATCGCAGGTGTGATTGATTGTAGGATTGTGCCTTCAGTACAGCCCCACATTTGACGGAACTGTGTTTCTGGAGTAGACGACCATGTCTGCACTGCTGTGCGATCCAGCACTTCGCCCATGACACTAAGCACGCGTACACTTGGGATAGAACCCAGGGCAATTGTCTTTAGCATTGTTGGCGAGAGGCTGATGTGCGTGATTCGAGCAGCAGTCAAGTTCTCCGCAACTTCACCGGGCTTCGGGAAGATCAAAAGCTCCCTTCTCATGGTGCATAGCGCTGCACCTGTGCCCCAACTCATGGCAAACTCCATCATCGCAACATCGAAGACGTATGGCGCAATCTGCGCAACGCGAGACGATGTCTGTACGTCGAGAGATGCTGCGAGAGCACGACTCATTGTGATTATAGCATCATGTGTCTGTACAATGCCCTTTGGCGTGCCAGTCGATCCCGACGTGAATGCGACATACGCATCATCCTTGGGCTTAGAACTGGCGGCACTCACGGTCTTGTCATCCTCTGTTACAGCCAAGGCCGCGCTCGACGAGGGATCCTGCAGATTAAAGGCAGCCAAGTCCACAACAGTGAAATTATCGCTCAGCCATTCCGGCTTGGACTTTGACTCTTCCACCACTACTGCACTGACCTTAGCTTCTCGAAACATGGCCATTTTTCGCGCTGGCGGATGATCCATATCAACCGGCACTACAGTCGATCCGAGAGCCATGATCGCCACCAATGTCATAATCGACTTAGCGGACAGAGGAAGGATGATTCCGACAAATGTTCCGTTTGATATTTGCTGTTCGGCCAGATAGTGAGAAAGTCGAACAATTTCATGCTGGAGTTGTGAATACGTCCAGGTACCCTCATACGTGTCCAGGGCAATGTTATCCGGTGTCAAACGAGCCTGTCGGGCCAATAAACCTGGCAGCGTCTCCGAAACGAGTTCCAGGCCGGAGCTGTCGACATCCTCCTCGACAGAAGCGAAACTACATGTTCTCTGGAAAACATATTCTGTCGGAGATGGACCTTGAGATGGCACTTGGTGAGGCATGCTGAATTCCAATGAATTCGAGATTGATATCGCAGTGTCTTTTTCTGTCGGGATGATGCATGCGACACTCAATCTGCTGGTTGTATTGCTCTTCTCACTCGTCGATAAACGAACGTGGAAAGATTGCAGACGACTTGGTAACCAAATGTGCAATTTCCATATCGGGAAATTCTGATGTCACACTCCTGTGCTCACTTGCAGCCGAGCAATCCTGTGGCAGACACGCGGACATTCGTAGCGTGTGAGTCCGGCTGCCACCAAGACTAAGACCAACCAAGACGATGCGTTGAGACATCAAAATTGGGCTTTGCGAGACGTGCGATCGACCCCGATACTCCATTCATTTCTGTGGTTGCTCGTGCAAAGGGAGAATTTCGGAGATGCCCATCCGCATCACTGCCAATGCAATCGAAATCAGAATCCGCCGAAGTGCCACATCACATTTGACCGATACCAGTATCACCATGCTGTTTTCACTGCAAGGATTGTTCGACGGCAGCCGAAACCCCAGTAATCCTAATCAGCACCAATTGGCCGTTTTTTTTCTTCGAGCAGCCATTGGATGCGCTAGACTGGCTCGGCACGACGACGGTCAAACAAAGATCGACAAGGCGATCCAAAAGAGTCCGTTTGCATTCAATATGCGCAATATAGTCATGAATTCCGTGGTATCGTCATTCCTTAGTTTGCTACATGATGCGACGCTTGCATCACGGTTTTAGAAATATTATTACAAGCACGGAGGCTGCCATACTCAGAGCGGCCAGCGTCCAATTCAGTGCCGGCCAGCCATGCACAAATCCGCCGATTAATGGCCCTATGGCCATGCCCAACATGTAAAATGCCCACAAAGTCGCTTCAGCCTGTGCGATGACACCATGCTCACCCCACATTCCCGGCCGTTGGTCAGCCATTGCATGAACGACGTGGCTCACTTCTGCACTAAACAAAGAGATTGACGTCCCTAGCAGAGACCCGAGCAAGGCGAGCAAGAAGCAGAGGAGCACTTTGTCGCCCGTCGAATCGCTGTCGACAAATTGCATCGCTGCGAGAACAGGCGCGGCTCCCAGAAATGCCGCTGCCATAACAGGTCGCACGCCGCATTTGTCGCCGAGCATACCCACCAGGGGACTCGCAAATGCAGGCACACAAAAGGCAAGCCATAGCAAACCAGCTTGTAGGGAGCCCCAATGAAACGTCTGGGCCACGTAGATGGTGAGCGATGAGTCAAAGGAGGTGAGAATAGCCGCCTGTATACATGCCCCGAACAGCGCCACCAGCATCCGAGGCGAACGCAGCAGTTGCAAGGCGATAAGCGGGCTCGCTGCGAGATTCGATCCTCTACTCGAGACCTTGACGCGAGGACTTTCGATCAAGAATATTCGCAGCAGGAAATCGAGCACCGTCACGCCCAGAACTGTTGACCACACTGCGTAATGGCCTGCTCTCTCGTAGATGATGCCTCCCAGTGCAGGGCCGAGGAGGACGCCGATCGAGAGACTCAATCCTGTAAAGCTGAGCATCTGGCCGAGTTGCTCGACCGGCGCTCGATCAATGATAAGTGCCAGGCTGGTAGACCATACGATTGCCGACGCAGCTCCATAGAGGACGACCCCGCTGATCCAGAGACCGAGATGTGTGCCAATCATGATCAAGCTGATACCAGCCCATCGGACGATGATAGCACCTATGAAGAGAGGTTTTCTTCTGTCAAGACGGTCACCCAGCCATCCCGCCAATGCTAAACACGGATTAGTACACCGGCGTGTTGAGATTTCGTAGCATAGACAAGCGAAGTGATAGATTGTACTCACGGCTTGCTGCAATCGTTGCAATCGCAGTCAAAGTAGGTAGGAGCGCGACCCATCGTTGCACTGTGAAAGGTTACCATTCCGCCATTTTTTGCATTCGTGAGTGTAAGTGTGCAAACCTTGATCAGCAGGAACTTGCGCTCTCGAGGGCAGAACGAAGGGTAGAATGGGAGGTAGGACGGCGTAGGCGAAGGTGTCCTGAGAATTCGAGATCAACATCGGCAATTCCGACAGCATGGTTATCACGAGGGACAGGGTTGGCCCTACGTTAAAACTCGCCATGCAACAACATATCAGCATGTAGGTGGCGGACGCCCTGATGGACGGCTTGATTTTCTCATTTTCGTCATGGGACTTCATCCTACCAAACGGCCTAATACTGTCTCTACTAGTCAAGGGACGTCCTCTTACAAGGATGTGTGCACTTGAATAGAGAGCGTCGGAGGCCGGACCGAGTTGGTTAGGTGGTCCAGAACGATGTAGGGAGTACAGATCGCATCCTTCACTTCTGACTTTACAGGTAAGACACGACAGCGGCTTGATGAAACGGCACTCACAGCCATTCGCTAGCGTTGAAAGACCCCATGACGAGGACATTTCTGCCAACTCTCCAGCACGACCGTCATGATGACAGAAAGCATTCCTGTCGTGCACGAGACGGTCTGAGGGATCTGCAACGGTTCGACAAGGCCTTGAAGCGGCGGCGCCGCGCTGGCTCCGTGCTGGTCTGCCGATCGACACGACGCAGATGTCGCACAATTCAACATTTCGGCCTCCACTACATTAGCTATTCTCGGCATTACCCATTGACGGCTATGGAGTCAATCGATTGGTCTTTCCGATGTGGTGGCATAGGCAAAGGCGGCGAAGCAAAGGCGGCCTGGGGAACTATATCTCGCGAACGTGCTCGGACGCTCGCCCTTCACACGTCTATACTCGACAGTGGCACAATATCTCAAGATATACCACCGCTGCGTGCGGCCTCGGGTGCCATCCACTTCATCTGCACCTCCTACAACATCACGCAAAATGTATAACGATTATGGACGCAATGCACACATGTCACTGTGTGTCCTCGAAAGCAATCTCGACACCCGGGTACATCGAGGAGATCACTTGAGCTCGACGAGGAATATTATGCGAACAAACCCTCGGAGGTCTTCAAGGCGAGCAGAAAAATCTTTCCAATCGCAATCGGAATCATATTCTGGCAGTCATGGCGATTCACTTGCCCACTTGCACCCCGCCGTCCGGACGCTGCATAAATTCATCCAATTGCGATCGCAGACCCGAATGCACTTTCAGATGATGTGGCAGGATGCGAAGCAGGTAGAGTTTGAGGGCCACACGGTCGCACGCGACTACGACCACATGCTGCAGCTGCTTAGCGATTTCGTACAGAGTCCACCGCCTTGGGACCGCACGACGGCCGATCTGGGCTCCTCGGGCCTACCCTATAGCGACCTCTTCTACTACGCAGTTCTGACGCCAAGTGGATATGCGGCTTTCACAGACCCGGAAGTATCTGCGCAATTCAAAAAGCTGCTTCAATCTTGGGGCCAATATCTTGAGACTCCGGCCAGTGCAATGGGACTGCAGACTTGGCTTAATGCGGAAAACGGCTGTCTGGACAAACTCGTGCATTACGCCAATGCTCCACTCGGATCCCGCTTATCTTTCCAGGAACTTTTTGTTTGCGATGCTCGGAAGCAACATTACGGATTCACTTCATGGGACGACTTCTTTATTCGCAGGTTTCGACCCGGGTTGCGTCCGTTGTGCACCGATCCAGACGCCATTGTGAACGCTTGTGAAAGCGCGCCATTAGCCCTCGTGCGAGACGTCCAACTACAGGACGAGTTCTGGATGAAGAACGCTTCATATTCGCTGGTGGATGTCTTCGACGATTGTCACCTTGCCGAGAAGTTCACGGGTGGTACGCTCTATCAAGCGTTTCTTAGTCAATACTCATACCATCGCTGGCATGCACCTATCTCAGGCACCGTCACCCACGCATACCGCATCGACGGGTCGTATTTCACGGTGCCTCGAATGGCGGAGACTTTCTGTCCCATCGAGACTGGTCACTTGGAAGTGGAGCGATGCCAGGCTCAACTTTCATGTCTCTCCTCACGCGCCGTGATTGTGATTACTTCGGAAGATCCCGGAATCGGTAGCGTCGCGTTCATTGGCGTCGGTCTACACGAGGTCAGCACGACGGAGATCTCGGTCCGCGTCGGGCAGCGTATCCAAGCTGGTGAGGAGCTTGGTATGTTCCATTATGGAGGCAGCACGCATTGTCTCATTTTTCAGCCGCATGTCTCCATCGTTGACTTCCCTATGGACACGAAGAACAATGTTCCTGTCAACGCGGCGCTGGCGAGGATTGCGCGGCGATGACCAAGAGTGAGCCGAGTTGTTTGTTGGAAGGTCAAGGTACTTGCATGGCGTAAAGCGACATAGATTTTGATTAGATGGTTAGGGTTGCATCATGATACACACAAAAGGACTACGAGACGGACGAGAGCATTTCCCTCTTGCTTTGCATAATCTTGACAGCTGTGGTCATATCGTTATGGTCATGTACATCGAGCGATTGCGTTCTGTTGAAATCCAAGTATGGCGATGGCAATGGCGCATCGGCCGCTGGTGTCTTGGTTGCTTTGCTCGTTCCACCACCCACGTTCGGCGTTGAGAAATGATCTCCAGACGATTACACACATCGCGATCAATCATATTCATGTACAAGCCGAGAAAATAGCAGTAGTTTCGCGACTGACTAATTTTTTCTTTCTTCATAAATCCGGGCATAAACGTGAAAGACGACTCGACTCGCCCTCCCCAAATGCTCACCTGCTGAAGATACACATGGACGCCTACCTAAGTAGACATTCATCCTCGTCAGAAGAGGACGTGAGGTCCACGGGCGTTGGTCGCTCCTTCCAATTCAACAACGCACTCTTGAAACACGCACCAGGCTGAAATGATTTTCATTCTGTGGTCACCTGCATATCCGGAGCTTACCTGGGCACGGCATGACATCTTTATTGATAAAAGTGATGACGTTCATTTCAACTCGCACCTGGAGAACCTTAATATCTCGACGATCTTCATCAAGCACAGACGTCCAAACAGTGACTGTCGCCCCGAATGGAAGCGATCTTGCACTGCAATGACCTCAAGTGCCGGGCGCTCTGCCCTGACCAGGCAGTAGTCACGACATGTTGGTACGTCACGAATGGAATGCTTCTTTGCGGTTTCCTGCCGGATTGACTTTCTGACCATTAGTCACGTCTTCTGCCTGTCATGCGCAGATCGTCTCGGTCTGACCGCACCACGAGACGGACAACGAAAATGTCCTGCCTGCAAGGCGACTCTCGATAGTCCTGATGATGCTGTGCTCGCCTCATTGAACCCTACCGAAGACTACAAAACCAGCATCCTCTCCGGCTTGAACCCAACCATCATCATGGAAATTGCAGGACGTGGACTGGGATTCTGGAACTATCAGATGGCACAAGAGATGTGAGTCAGGTAGACGACTGGTAGAACGGTCACTGACAAATTCAAAAATGCAGCACATACCAGGATTATCTTGCAAAGAGCTTGACGGAGCGCTACCACGACCTCAGTGCTCACCTGGACAACACGATCAAAGGCGCCGACAATGAGATGAAGGGGCTGGAGCTCAAGCTTCGAGGTAGGATCAATGTTGAAATCATCGACTAAACAGGTTGCTGACAATGAAAAGATGCTCAAGAGGAATTGTTCGAGATGCGCCAGAAGCACGAAAAGCTGATCGAAGCCTACAAAGAGAAGTCAAAGAATCAGCAGCAAACACAGAAGCTGTACCAAACGCTCAAGCAACAACAATTCGCTGCTGGTATAGAGCTAGCCGCAGACACCGACGCGGGACATGTCTTGCATGAGAATGGTGGCGGACGTCGTGCAGATTCCGGGTCGGACACGCATTTGCGTAATTACCATCACGACGAACAACGACCACGAGCAGGAGCAAGTGACATTTGGCCCACGATTTCCAAGGCTGGCGGGAATAGATCTGGCATGGAGAGCTCCCGTAAGTCGATCAGCACCCGGTGAGTGAAAATGTGCTGACACCTCCAAGATGCCATGTTCAACCAGGGAGGTAGCGGTGCTCGAAGTCGTCCCATGCAGCCGGCATACGGCAACTTCAGTCAAAGCAACATGGGACAAAGCGTGCAAGGGAACGATGGCTTGAGGCGAGGCACGCCTCTCCGAGGATCATTCGCCGCCATCCAGCCAACTCAGTTCAGCAACAGCATCTCATCCTTTGGTGTGCCGGGCATTCGTAAGACAAGACTGTCACAGGAACCCATCGCCGGGCGCACGCGAGCGTCTGTTGCAAGGCAATCGCAGGTGCCAGGAATGCGAATGCGCTGAAGATGGGATTTGGAAATGATCGGAAATCTCATGTGAGATCCCAGCATACATCTCAGTTCACTCAATTCAAATAAGAATATTGCAATATAGTTAGATAATATATTATCTGTGATGGTACAGTACAATCCGGAACTGAAGTCGACTGATCGTACCTACTAGGTAGGCACGGTGACAAAGATGCTTCACTGCCAGCACGTGACTGATGCCTGAGGCCTTCACATAGTGATACATCATCAAGCTGCCTGGCGTTCAGTAAGTACAGCGCGTGCCTGCATCAGTTCTACGACTACCATCAAGCTGTCTCTCAATTACAATAAACATAACACACAGCGGTTCTCAAGCATATCACAAATCTCAACAGACTCACAGCTTCACTGATTGTCAATCTACCGTTTCATCGCAAGTCATAGCCGCTCCGATAGATCTGCTCCCAAGAGCACCTCCGCCATCATGGTTCGCCTGCCCTTGAGTATCCAACTGACTGCCGAGCCACTCGATCACTGACTTGTGCCTCCAGTCTCTCCGCATCGTGCCCACATCCGCACATGCTCAACAGACACAAGCCAATCTCGGCGCCCCTTCAGCGCCCGGCGTCCACGACACCCTCCGCGCGAACCTCTCCCTCAGCACACCCGCCCCCAAAGCGACCACAAGCTCCTCGGGAAGCAACGCCTCCAACACCCTCAGCCAACCCATCCAATCCACACATCCGCTCGAATCCCGTCTAGCGCAATGGCGCCACACGCAAGACAACCTCAAGATGAGCCTCCTCCGCCGCCAATTCGGCCTGGCGGAGCCGGTCAAGCGACAGATGGAGCTGGGCATCGTCCGCGCGGGGGAGTGGAGGCCGGCGGCCCTGGGCGGAAACATGGGCGGCGGTGTCCATGCGGACATCCTCAGCGGTCGGGACACCGAGATCGATTGGGAGGATGTCTTCGAGGGAGGCGAATTGAGAGATGTGAAGGATTTCCACGCGGAGATGGAAGGGCGGTTTGGGATGAACTGGTAGAGGGTTCGGGATGAAACACGGGGAGAAAAGTGGTGGTCTGCGATGGATCACGGTCATGGGGATGGAGGGATGCTGTGAGCCACCTGCGCCAGAACATGTGGGATTTGTCGCAGGGGTGGGAGCTCCCGGAAGGAGATGTTGTGACGTTTTCCAAGTTCCACACGTGTGAGCTGAAGGAACATATCTCCGCATCCCGGTCCCTGTCGTTGAAGACATTGCCAGACCCAAGATCTTCGACCCGTTGTATTATATTCCGTGGCCTCGCAGCCACATCTCTCCCCAGCCAAAGAAACGAGCATCATGAAAATGACCCAACGAGGACTGCCGCACTGCTAGGCACTTGACGTTGTATGCTGATATCTCAGGTCCCCATTCCTGGGCCCCTCCACCCTCGTACATCGCAAAACATCCAAAGGGACTGCGCTAACGCATGATCATGATTCGTCCCCTCGAGAATCACTTGAGAGTGATCTCTCCTTTCACACATCGTCAATCATCGCCCCCGATGCCTCCATCGTCGTCATCCTCGATCGAGATGACCAAGGGACATGTAATACACTCGCCGACCCCCCAGCGTGCCAGACAACCGCAGGTTCAGGGCGAGATCGGTGTAGAAATGTGAAAAGGGATGATGAGGAAGAGTAAGAGAGGGTGTGAAAGAGAGACGAATGACTTTCGCCCCAAGATAAGTGCTTTGTTCAGAGAAATTAAAAAAGGGACAATCTCCGAAGACAAACCACGCATATATCCACCAACGCCTTCCTTCCTTTCCTGCCCTCCTCCCGAGAGGACTGTAATCAAAAGAAACCCCATGATGGATTGAACGCCAGCTTCGCCCCAGTAAAACGAACACGCCCGCCACGGCGGTCCGGAACCACACAAAGACGGGAAAGAAAAGCAAAGGAATGAAAACAGCAGCAGCGGTGGTCGCGCGCGGAAGGGAGGGGAAAAGGAAACCTTCAGGTCCTCGCAGTCTTCACGTCTCGCCCCACCCTCTTGCTTCGAGGATTCTTTGCACATTGAATTCCCCATCACTCCTCAACTCTCCACTCGTTTCATTTCTCTCCCAACACGTCTCCACACACTCCTCCATAGAGGCCGTGGTCATAAAATCACGCATCGACATCCCGCGCCCCGGTCGTCCTCCTCGTGATCATCATCCCGACCACCGCCTCTTCGGAAACCCCCGTGGCCCGATTTCGACCCTTTGCCCGCGCCGGCGGCGTCGTCGTCGTCGTGCAGGTCGGCGGGTTTGACGGTCATGTGGACGACGTTGACGGCGGAGAGGTTAAAGGGGTATTCTGTAAAGGCGGTTAGATCGGTCAGGCAATGGATCAGGGAGAAAATTGTGGAAAAGGAGAGAAGATGGGCGGAATCGGATCGTACCTCTCAGCGCGACTTTGTCCTCCAGCATCCGCCCCATGAGGATGAGGCGGATGAAGCTCGGATTCGCGGGCCGTGGCTCCCATTCGCTCCGCCAGTCGATCCAGATCAATTCCTTCAGTTGATAGCCCGAGAGCAAGCGAGGGTCGAAGTCCCCTGTGGTTTTGTCGACGGTTGTGGTGACTTTTCGGCTGTGCAGGTATTTCTCGTCGAGCGTGTAAGGGTGTCGGGCTCCGGTCGTGAGCATGAGGCTTATGTTGAGGACTGTCGTCGTTGTTGTTGAGGGATTTGTTTCTGTGGTGGGTGATGGCAGAGGAGCGATGGGGCCTTCGGTGGCGGGGCCGAGGCCGGTCGCGGAGAGATATGCTGGTGATGGTGGGACTGTGAGGGATGTGGTCGATGTCGGTCGTTGGGGAGTGGTGGTGTCTTGCGCGGTCGAAGGGAGGGTGATGGAGCTTGGAGAGTCGATGGTTGTTGCTGAGGTTGAGGGAGGGTTTGTCGGATTAGGATGTGTCGTTGAGGATGGCACCTCTAGTGATGATGATGATGGCGGTACTGCCATCGTGGACGCTGTTGCTGTAGTCGTCGCCGTCGCCGTCGCGTCCTCGTGTGCTCGAAGTTCCGATGAAGCTGAAGCTGACTCTCCACCGGGGACTATGATCGGCGCGAACTCATCCTTCACAGCAGCAGTCACGGCGGCGGGAGTGTCATCCCTCGCCAGATCTTCTGCAGCCATTGATGGAATACTCGTGGCGACCACGTAGCTTTTCGCCTTCAACGGAGACTCTCAAAGAAATAACGATCGTCGTTGTCGTCGTTGTCGTCGTGGCTGTCTGGCTTCACCGAAGAACTCGAACTCCGCCCGAGTCCAAGGAAACGTGACGCAATTCCTGGGGAGCGGACCGGACGATAGGGTCCAGTCAGTCAGTACAGCACACAAAAAGGTTGGCGCGCGGACAGGCGGTTCCCCGTGGAATAGCCGCCTTGGTTCGACGGTGATACGACCTGGTCACTCTCTGTGCTGTTATTTATAACAATAACAATTAGTAATGACAGGTCGTGCCACAATGCCAGATCGTCCACAAACTGTCCAGTCAATGCAGTCCTGTCGCGAGTTGAGCAGAGGAAGGGAAGAGTCAGCGTTGCGCCGGGGCGTGCTTCAAGTCCTGCGCTCTGCCTTTTCTTATCTCCGGGCAGTGATAAGGCGTTGTCAAATCGACGTTGGTCGCGCCGAAGGAGGGAATGTCAGCGAGATATATAATTGTGCCGACGCTGGGATGGCACTTTTCAAAGGAACTGGTATACAACTGACGACGACAACGACGAAGGCGACGAGTCGCATTCCTCCAGCGACACATCGGCAACGGCAATAACTGCGGCGGTTGCGGCGGCGCACTGCGGATCGGCTCAATCGGCACGCCGCATGAGCTACAGTCACGAAACTCGGAATGTCGCGTGCGCACGCATGTGAGAGACTGGAATAAATCCCGCAGATGCACTGTGCGTTGAGTGACAGACACGACGTTCACGATTCGTCTGAACTCGAAAACAGCCTCTGCACTCGGCTCCGTGTGCGGATGGTGAATTTGCGCATCACTGGGTATACAGCAGTATTCGTGGTTGTCTGACGCTGACTGCATTGGATGACACACGAGCATTCCATCGGCACGAAGTAGGCAAGCACCTGAGCAAGGAAATACGCGAGCCGATGAGCTCTCCACGCCCGAGACGTACAGCGAAAGACGGCAAAGGCATCGAATATGGGTTGAGCAGACATCGTCGGGCGTGAAAGAGCGATGATGGGCAGAGTATTGATCGGACGTTCTCCAAGAATCATTCATTTTGCGGCCTGGAGACATGAAGAGAAACACCGCAGCAGCCATCGCGTCCCAAAACTCCCCTTCAAATGCCCAAGACCAACACCGACACCACTATCACAACCCCTACTCGTCCTCCTCCTCCACATCATCACCATGATCAGCCATTCCCATATCCTCCATCTCATCAATGAGCTGATCCATCGGAATCGCCAATCCATCATCCTCGTCATCATCCTCGTCATCGTCATCCATTTCCATCTCGCTGGCCTTCGCGGCCCTCTGATCCCGATCATGGTACAAATTGACACCATTCCTCAATTCCGGATCAGCCTCAAGGTCGCGGAGGAATTGCTCGTAATCGATCTCGTCGCGATCGGCGTCCTGTTTCCTCGGCTTCATGTCGCTCTCTTCGACGCCCAAACGCTTCAACTTCCAGTTGCGGTTCACGCGCTTCTTGCGTTGGCCGTAGTGTTTCTTCACGAGGATCACATCGGGGATTGTCCCGGCGTATTGCTTGGATTCCTCGAGGGTCTCCCAGTTGGGGTTGTTGAATTGTGTGCCGGAAAGGAGATAGCCCATCGCGCTGTCTCCCGCGTGAAGGACGTTGCCCAAATGTGTGCGGATGAGGTAGGTGGTGTCGTTGACCCCGAGATCTGAAGCGCGCGCGACTGTTGCTTCTGCGAGAAGGAACCGGCCTTTGGCAGGACCAATGGGCTCGATGTCCATGACGACGAATTCGATCAGATCTTTGACGTCTGCCAAAGGAGCAAAGGGTAACCGCCAGTAGATCGGTGTGCTCAAATCCGCCATTTGGAGGGTGTTCGGATCGATGAGGTTGACTGCAGTACCAATCCGGTGACAGATGGTGAGTGGTGATATGCTTCCAATCTGCTTTGCGAGCTTGATAGGCAACGCAACGAGATCATCCTTGCAAATCGGTACCAGCTCACAAGAGTAGGAGAATTTGAACGATCTCGTCGCGGTATGTGTATCCATCGAAATCAATTCCTGGCTCTTTTTCGTCCGGGCCGGTGTGACTGAATGGAGGAAATCCACAAATTTCTCCGCATGATTCCTTTGTCCGAAATAGAAATCGATTCCGTTCTGCACTTCCTTGATGTTGATCGTCTCCTTATGCGCACCCTGCTTCAAGATATTCTGCTCCAGGAACAAAAATGTCCGCTTGTGAGGCACCTTTTGCCGCACTTGGACCACCGCTCGCCATGTGTTGTGGGTATATGATTTCTGGCAATCCGGGCATTGCTTGTATTGCTGTACGAATTCCACCTCGAAAGTCTGCTGTAAAACCGTGCCTTCATTCGCCTCCGCCTGGACTGTGATTTTGACCTTGACTCGTCGCGAGTGCGGCTCGGTCCAGATAAATGACGCGTCGATGATTCGGGTCTTGTTCAAACCTCGTAGTTTCCGTAGACAGAGAGCAAGAAGTTCTCGAGATTCTGGCGCGGCGACTACCCATGAGGTCGGCGGCGAGTGCCACCGGTCACAATCTCGGCACATGAGGAGGATACCATCACGCTCGATCCCGTTGGTAATGTCGACGGTGAGTTTCAAGCAATCCGGACATAAGGCTCCTGCTGATTGTGTCCCATCTATAGGAGCACCACAGTTGTAACAGAGAATTGTCGCAGCGGTTTGTTGCCGTTGTGACGGCAGCGCCACTGAGTCGATTTCCATCGACATGCTGAAAGAAACGGACGCGGATTTGGTGTGTGATTCTTGTGTCCTTAGGGAATTTGATTTCAAATTCTGAGAATAGACTTATCGACGGGTATTTGCTAATCAATTCGTTGCGAAGAGGAGTATGGAGAGTGGGTGATTATGAGTCTAGAAAAAAAGTTCGTCTAAATCCCAACATGCGTCAGGCTTCAAGAGTGCCCGCAAATTATTGTCGCGGCTGACTAATCACAATCTCGTTATCGATTGTTTTATCAGCGGGGTCGCCACACGTGCACGGTTTCCCGATGTGTGGGAGAAACATGCCCAACGCGTGGATGAACTCACTCAAGACGAATCCACGCCAACTACACGATATCCAATCGACATGCCTGGATCCCTTTCGCATCTTGAATATCGAAGCAGATTCCCGGGATGACTGACATTCATCATGCCTGGTCAACTCACAGAGATCCAGACGCAGACAAGACAACATTTCATGCTATAGAATCACTGTACTAAGAAGAGGAAACTCTCACCAACACGAACCTCGTCGTGATTGTCCCGTGATTGGAACGCTTTGGAGACGACAGGAATACCAATTAATTCACAAGATTGAGACTTACCGCCCATTTCCCCTCAACCCCGTTGTTCGGCGCGTCTGATCTATCTGTTTCTCGATCCTCGAATTATGACGAGGACTAGATTTCGCAGTGAATAAGTGGGAAATCAAGGGACCAACACTTCGCTCGAGAACTCCCCGCAAATATGGAGGTCGTAGTCTACTTAATTTCAGCATCATATACGTCGCTGGAAGCCAAGAATCAGAGCAGACCAAATCGCATATTCTTTGGCGGCCGATATACCGATGAAGGGGATGAAGAACACTTGCGTCGATTTTCGGTCGCTCTTACCGAAGCTTCGTCGAGCGTGCACGCCGAATCATCCCCGGACGCAATTGATGCACTGAGGAAACGACTTCCGTTCACGTGGTATAATGACGACAGGTTTGATACAGCCAATCCATTTGGAGATCGCCGACAGCTCCAATATCACGCCATGTGGACCTTCGATAGTAGAAGCTCCACCTTGCGTCATACGAATGCTGAAGGCTGTCGAGAAATCTCATTTGCTCGCCTGCACGCTCTCCCGGTGAGTTTAGCCGACATGCAACTCATCGGCGGTCCTCTTCCTGTGCTTCCCGTGCCAGCGCTTGAGACAAATGTATTCCCCTGGAAACCGCAGGTGGAGGTCGACGATGGGATACGTGCCTTCATACATCGTATCCTCTGCGATTTCCACCACCAGTGGAGGCATATATTTCGCAATGAGTACAATCTCCTCACGATTCGAAGGTTTGCACGAGCCATCATTCGGCTTTCGACGCTAGATTTCGAGATACGTGAGAACACAGGCGGGCATCACAAGCGTGGCGTACATGTGTGGATACTGGATCTGCCATCCTGGGAGCCTTACGAGACAGACATCCTGCTCATTGGGAATTGCTGGGTTGTTCTTTGCGAAGATATCCTCGACGGCCTATCGATAGCCCAGAGACATGCTGAATCTCCTGAGATCAGGCGCACTCGTAATCCCAGCGTAGCAGAACAAGATGAAGCACAAGCTCACTATATGGTCCTATCGGTCAGATACATCATGCTCTGTCACGTCAATGACCTCGACTCTTTCCGATATACTGCTCCTGAGCTATTATTTCATGGTGACAGTAGTAGGCCTCTTTCAACACTTGCATTGGACTATCTCATCTGGGCCACCGTGTCCGCCAGGCCCATCGTCAATACACCTATTCAGAAGCTACCCATAGAGATTCAAGACATGGTCCTGAGCGACGTGTCCAAGGGCACAGTAGCTCCAGCGAAAGTTGGCTGCGAGCTCGGTTTGGGCTCTCCGTTTCTGTGGAAAGACGGGACTCTCACGAATATTTTGCAGGTGCGATACTTGAACCGACCATCGGGATCCTCTGTCGAATCCGAGATTTATTTCGGTGAGATCAAGAGTGGCGTGGTCTATTGGGCGCGATAGCCAACCGTTCACAGATACGCCAGTTTTTCACGTTCAAGCCAGAGATTACAGCTCATCGGGGTTATGTACCGTCCTGGTCTATCGAGGCGAGGGAGGAAGCTCGCAAAACCTACGAGGAAGTTCGCACAATAGATTTACTTTGTTCCGTCTGTACAGGTTTCACGGATTGAACTCAGTAACACCAGGTCACACTTAACACACTGTATTGGACTTCGATCTGTTTGTGTACCATTGATGTGCAGGAGACGCGCGGGCTCAATGAAGTAGAGGAATGTTTTGTGTCAAATATTATACATTGTACAGAAAGGGGGGGTATATGCGCAGAAACAAACGCCAACCCAAAAGATGGTGCTCCCGCCGATACCATGCGCGAGAGCGATACAATTAGGAAGAACAACAACAACAACAGGTAGAAAAGCTGGAAACCCACATCCTGAAAGCCATCTTGTACAATCTCCCTTTTCCCGCGCGCATGATATCCCTAATCCAAACAGATTCGAACAAAGGAAAGTTTTTTTCACTCCTCCACCGCCTCGGCCATGATGTGCTCTCCTTCATCCAGCACTCCCATGACCGTCTTCAAATTCCTGACCATCTCCTCTGCATGCGCGACGAGCAATAGCTTCTCCGCGTTGGCAGGCAGACCGAGGTAAGTCGGAGGTTCACGCTCAGGCAAGTCCTTGACCCACTGCAAAAAGACCGACTTGGATGTGCCACTGGGCAGAGCGGTGCCGATAGTGCTGTCCTCGGCGACTTCCGCGATGAGGTTGAAGCCCTCCTCGAAAGCATCGGCCGTGAGAGTTTTCGCGACGAGAGTCTTCAACTGCGCGAAATCGGCTGCATCGTCGACTTTGCCTCCGTACATTTCCGAGATGAGCACGCGGAGCATTTCCCAGGGCACGGACTTCGGCGCCACGTTGGAGCGGCCGCGGGCGAGGTTGTCGGTCCACCATTGGATGATGAAGGCGGAACAGTCGAAGTCGGCATCGTTGAATTCCCAGAATCCTTTCCAGCCCAGACGAGGGGCGTATCGGAGACGCTCTTGGACCACGGCGTGGAGGAAGGACAGCAGGAAGTGAATTCGGGCCTTCTCGACTGGCTGCTGGACTGCCTTTTCTGGTAATGAGGTGAGTGTGTCTCTCATATTGGCACGGATACCAGCGGGCTGTTCGTATGTCAAGACACGGGAAGCTCGGAGCAAGCTTGAGGGGATTTTCGGGCTCGTCTCCATCGATAAGAACAAACGGAAGTTCTTGTGTGGCTTGAGCGAGTCGATTCTCTTGACCAGGTTCTGGAGCCACTCGGTCGCGAGGTGGACGTTCTTGATAAGTACCCAGGATCCGTTTGCTGCTGCGCCAGCCAGAGCTGCATCTGCACTCGCGACACTCTCGTTCGAACCCATAGCAACGCTCGTACAGCTTTCTTGAGTGCGTTCCACCAATTGATCAACCTTGTAGCTGGCATCAAATCCAGGGCTGGAACACAATGCGATTGGCGAGCTGGCGGTGGTGTTGGCTGCGATACGACCGAGATCTTCCGCGACGTCCAAGAAGTTGGGTCCAAAGACAGTATTGACGAATCGCTCAGTAGCAGGGACCAGACGATCGATGCGGAAAAGCTTGACGAGTAGGAGTTCTTTGAGAGCCTTGTCATTGTCATTGCCTGCCATTTGTGCAGCGCCGGGCACGCACGTCTCGGCGCGCTCTGTTGCGAGGAATGCGTCCCACTCTGGACCATCCACAACCGCCACAAGTTCCTTGAGGCCGTTGACGCGGGAAGCGATGGCAACAGCCTTGTCCTTGAGCTCAGGAGAGGAGTTGACGTCGGCGCCTACAACAGTGTCGTCCAGCAGGGTATCTAGGAAGCCCTTGTCCATAGGGAAAGGCGCTGCTTGAGCGAGAAGCACAGCAAAGGTGAGTCGGTCCTTCTGTAGTAGCGACGCAGAAGTCTCGTCGTAAGCTCGGTTGAACAGCGAACGAACAATGGAATCAATGCGCGTCTTTGAGTCACGTTCGCTAGATTCCCGCGCTTCCTTTAGAACAGCCTCGAAGATGTCCACAAAGTATTGCAGCGAGAATTGGTAAAAGTGATGGACGTGATAAAGTTGTTCCAAGACAGCAAAAATGGCAGAACACGATCGGGCGATGATATCATACGTGCTCATGATGTTGTTGACTTCAGTCATGACGCCCTCGGTTTCAGCCGCCTTAGTAGTAATTTCCGCAGCTTCGTTCTTCAAGGTCTCAAGGGTTTGAATGACATTCTCGTCGTCGAGGATATTGCCACGGGATTCGTTGAGCGCTTGCAGAAGCATGCGTTCCAATCGTCGGAGACGTTGTGTGAACTCGCCCTGCATCTTGACTAGGTTTGCACGTCGTTCATCGACATCGGGACGCTCGGACTTGAGAACTTCGTTGAGTGTTTGGGTCTTCAAACTGCTCTGCGTGACCGTGAAATTGACAAAAGTCGTGCGACTGCAGACATCAGGGGCGAAGGGAGCCGATGGATCGCGTGTAGAGAGGTAAAGCTTGAAAGCAGGCGAGAAATCAATCTCCTGGCGTCCGAGCTGGATGAGCACACGACCTCCGGTCTTTTGATACTCCTTGTTGAGGACTTGGTTGAGGATGGGATCGATGTGCTCAGCATCTTGGATGAGAATGGGGTTACCGAAACGCAGGGCACTTTCCAATTGCTTGACGAATGAGCTGTCCAAGAAGCTAGTGACAGTCAAACGGCGCTCCTTACTCTCATTCTGCAAGAACTCGGTGACACGACCAGAAGGATCGATGATCAACGGGTAGCGGTTGTATCGCTTCAACATGACAGCATTTTCGGTGCAAAGCTCGTCCACAGGGAGTGCGTTCTCATGCCACTGCTGCCGTTCGTCTGCAGTGGAGAGGAATTCAGACATTGCATTCTGCTGCTTGAAAGCGATACCAGAGGATGAGAGGTGCAACGACCAATCCTCCAACATGGCACGACGGTATTGTTGATCGTACAAACCACAGTAAGCGAGGAATGCAGAAGCGAGGAAGACATCTCCAATGATGGTCTCCATCTGCACCTGGAAGGTCTTGCTGCTGTCTTCCCATCGTCCACGTTCAGACGAGAGACTGTTCAGGAGACGCATGCTGCGATCGACCTTGGACTGGACACGGCTCATCTCTGCTTTGATGGCCTCAGTCTGGCTAATGAGCGAGGCGTACTCAGCTTTGTAAGTAGCAATACTCTGCTCCAGTTCGATGAGGGTGTTCTCAATTGTCTTTGCTTCGGCCTTGGTTTGGATGGCCTCTTCCTCGAGCTGATCAACTTCCTCGCGCAATGGGCCGATTCGATCCAAGATTTCGGAGTAATTGACTTGTGCTTCCACCCACTGGACTAAAGGACCACATGCTTTACTGGCACGATTGACCCTCTCAAAGGTGAAGTCCTCTTTCGAAAGATAGTCTGCCTTCATCTTGACTCGGTGTTGAGGTGTCATCTGCTTCTCATTGTCATAATTCACAATACTTGCGATGAAGTCGTCTTTGCGAACGATGCTAACGATGGTCTTCCAGTCAGGCACTTTGTGACCGAGCAGCGTGCAGACCGATTCAAGTGCCAATTTCACACCAGCCGGAGGGTTCTGCATGGAACGCACTTCGGTCAATTGCTGTCGCTTGATGTTGCTGACACTTCGCTGGGCCTCAAGAACGGCAGGCTCGGCATTCGCAAGATCGTTCATGACGACCTCTCTACGCTCCGCAACAATCTTCTCCTGTCTCTCGAGGGCGACCTGGACCTCCAAGGATGTGGCACGGCGCTGCTCAGCTTCACGTTGGTCGGCGACCATGCGCTGTAGCTTTTCACCAGCTTCCGCATCCTTCTTCTCAAGCTCGGATTTCTTCTCGGCCAGACTCTTTTTCAGCTCCGAGACCTTCTCGACAGTCTCGCGAAGTTTGTCTAGACCAACGTTCAAATGTCTCTGTTGCTCTTCCAGATCATCACGCTTCTCGTTAAAAAGCTTGACGAATTGCGCGACGAAGTCCAAGAATTGACGGGGCGTCAAGAAAGTAGTCTTGTTCTGTTGACGTTTGAGACGGTCGTTGAACGCACGCAACGAATGATGAACATGGACCATTCCATTGACGACAGCGTCGCGGTGGGACAGTGGCATTTCAAGTTGATCGAACTCAATCGGCAAGCTGTCCGGAGCGCGATAGTTGCCTTTGTCGATGTCAACAGACTGAGTGAGCTCATACGCGACCTGGTACAGAGCTTGATCAGACCAGTCGCCGAACCAATTAAGTACGCAACGGTTGAACAAAGCAGGACTGGTCGCCGCTTTAGACGAGAGACCCTCGGACGGTGGGTTCATGGTGAAAACGACGTGCAAGTTTCGGACAATCTGCTGAGTGAACCACTTGTACAGCTCTTCCTGGGAGTCGAGCAAAAGGCCCTGTCGTTGAGCGCCTTCCTTGCAAGCGGTCATGAGGGTGGCATATTCATCACCTTCGAACAAACCAGGAACTTCTCCGTTGGCCAGCAGAGTATTCATACGTTCCAGGAATCCCGAATCAAGCACATTGGATTCGTCCATGATGAAGCAAATCTTCTCACCCTTGCAACCACATCTGCGGAGGACATTGCGGAGATCCTCATCGAAATCTTCAGCAGAGTATTTGCCATGGACCTTGATCTGGAACACGGAAAGACCGTTCATCCACGCGACGAAGCGCGACAGAGTCGTCTTGCCACTACCGCTGACACCGATGAGGATGAGATGGCCTTGTGGTTGGCGGAACACTCGGTCAATGCGCAGGACATGCTCAAGGACGTCGTTGAAGAGGATGAGAGGCACATCCAGCTCTTCCTCGCAAAAGGTGCGTAATCTGGCCTTGACAAAGTCGCGCAATTGATCACGAACAACCGGAACGTAATTCTTCGACAACCAGTTTGAGAACAGAATTGGACGTTGCAATGCGACCTCTTCGTCGATGTTCGGGAAATGTTCCAGAGCGAGGCGGTTGACAGTATCTTCAGTCCACTGTCGCTCTTCATCGGCGATCAAACGGTCCGAGAAAAGACGCAGTGCTTCATGTGCCCAGATACGCACGAGGCCCTCCAAGGATAGAGTCTCCAGAGGACGAATGGCTTCGTAGATCGCACGAACCCACCTCGTCAATTCACGAGGCGAGTAAACGTAGTGTGGTTGAATGTCCGGCGTGAAGCGCTTCTGCGATTGGATATAGACGGAGATCATCGCGTTGGTCAAGGACTCAGAGTAGCCGCGCAAAGTCGGGATGATCTTGAGGACTGCATTGTTGAAAGTGCCATAGATCTGCTTGAGGGAGAGTTCTCCGGGGTAGTCAACCATGACCAATGGGGCATGTCGCAGGAACCGCAGACCAAGAGGCGTACGGCCTACATCGGTGGGGGGGTTACAAGCACCGACGAATTGAATCCGTTCCAGACTGACCCAGCTCTTCGTCGAGGTGCGCCAGAAGCCGCCATGTTCGACGAGTTGTCTGAGGAAAGAAATGACGCGCTGGGTGCCATACTTGTCCGGCGCAGGCAAATTGATCTCGTCACAGAAGACGACCAACCAGCGACCGATTTGTCTCGGGGCCATGGTGACACCGCTGAGGGATTTCTTGTAGTCACAGTATTGCTCCAAGGTCTTGACGAGCAAGTCCGGCGTTGTCGCGCTCGAAAAGTTGAGGCCGACAACTTCCATGTTGGGCAGCTTCCTCAGCGCGCTGAAGAGCGTCATCGTCTTACCGGAACCGGGAGGACCACATAGCAGCAAAGGCTTGTGTTCGGCCAGGAAGGAGTAAAGGACATCCTCGTGTCTGACAGTGTCCAGCGTGGGAATGACAAGGTCAGTCTGAGTGACCGAGTGGGTGTTGATGTCAATCGTCGGGACTTGATTCTGCCACGGCGCCCACGAAGCTTCGGGAAGTGTCACATCATAGTCGATGAGTGAGATGGTCTCGGAGAGCACTGGCATTTCCATCGTCGCCAGACCGACCAGGTAGTCACCAAAGATCTTCCGGTCAGCAAGAGGACAATCTCCGGTGAAAGACCAGACCGCCGCGAGAAGCACTTTCTTCGAGAGATAAGCCTCCATTTGCTCATCGTTGAGAGGAAAGTCGGTGTGCTGAATATTGTACTCCAGAATCGAGCGGACCGCTTTACGCAGCAATGAGAACAGCGTCCCGACAGCCCGAATTGACGTGAACTCCATGATGTGGCGAAGACCCTCACAATTCTCCAGGGCCTTCCTGATGAAATCATTCTCCGTCAATCGCACCTTGAGCATGTCCGCCATGAGGCCCTGTGTGATGAGACGAGACTCGGTAGATGTCGCGGTACCGGTATCTTCTTCCAGATCTTCGTATGTGGCACTGCGCAGTTGAGCGAGGTAGCGGGAGAGCATGACGTCGATGTCGACGGTATCATCGCTGAACCAGACCATACCACAACGACTGACCGTAGCGAGTGTGGCATAGCGCAGAGTCTCGACTTCGAACATGACGCGGACGTTCGGGGGAAGACCGAGACGTTCACCGTTCGGGAGGGTGAGCAGCTTGTTGTCGTCGAGCACACTGTTCAAATTCTCAACCCATTCGGGATCGACGTCACCGTCGAAGATGATCCAGTGACGCTTGCTGTCTTCGCCACGGAGATTGTCGACGACTTTTCGGAGGATGCTGGTGAAAAGACCGTCGGTCCATTCTCTGGTGGTGCTATCCAGGTTACCGTAAAGGCTCTCCTTAGACATGACCTTGGGATCAATGACATGACAAATACCCTCGATGCCATCGACCTTCTGCAATGCTGCGAGCAATGTCTGCCACGCGGTCGATTTGCCCGTGCCGGAATTACCCACCATCATGACACCGTGGTGGAGATTCTGGATCTGATAAAGTTGGAGAACCTTGGTAAGCCACGCGTCGGTCGCGACCAGCTTCCGTTCCTCAACCACCTCCCCAAGAGCCTTGCGAAGACTCTCCAATGGCGCGGGCATGTATCGCACGCCGGGGAAGGCTTCCTCTTCGATCTGCGCCATGAGCAAAGCATCCTGCCGGACGAGTTTCGGCGCGATGGTCTCACGAATGCTTTGCACGATGATCTGGGGTTCAATGACAGAATCGACGAGCTGTTCGGCGACGCCTGTCAGACGAGCACGTTTGAGCCCGCCCGAGCTGACCAAGACACTCTTCAGCGCACGCAGACCGAAATCATAATGGGGCTGCTTGGAAAGCGCGGAGCTGCACCTGTCGAAGAAAGGCACGGTCTGGCGAGAAAGCGTCTTGGCTTCGGAGAAACCCTGGGAGAACAGCATGACTTCAGCGATGATTTCCTTGTCGGGCTTGGACATGGCAACGCTGCGGAACAGCTTCTTCAAGTTGTCGGGCAGATTCGATCGTCCGGCATAACCAGGGTTCATGGTGATGAACATGCCCGTCAGGGGATGAACCTTGAGCTGACGGCCGATGAGCTCGATCTGCGCACTGGGGTCAATGGCCCGCTTTTTGAGGCCGACTTGAATGTTCTGAATCTGCTGCGATACAGCGGAAAGAATTCTCTCCTCCAATCGGTTGAACTCGTCGAAACAACCCCATGCACCGACCTGGGACAGACCGAGGAAGATACGGCCCATGGCCTGGAAATCGAAAGTGTCGTCACAGTTGAAAACGAGAGTGAAACGACCAAGTTGGACACCGAGGGCCTTGACGGATTCCGTCTTTCCAGTACCAGCTGGACCATAAGGCGAACCACCAAGACGTTGGCACAACGCTTGGGAAAGTGTCAAGAAACAGCGATCAGTAAGTGGGGTTCGGACGAGACGCTCTGTGACACCAAGATACTCGAATCCGTAGGGAAGCGTGGCGTTGGCGACCTGGATCTGCATGCGGCTGAGCGGAGCGCTGGCAGCGTTGAATTCATAACGCATCTGCAACAACCAGAGGTAATGGGTATTTGAGTCTGCATTGCCTTTGATAAGGCGCTCGATGACATCTCTTTGGTGGACGAACTCGGTGATGAGCTGTTCGCATTTTTTGCGGAAGATAGGATCTAGCTCTTTGAGTACGCAAGCGGCCAAATACTTCAGTTTGTGAACCTGAACGTCGTACAGCTTTTGAAGAGGCGTCCTGTCTGCTTGCAGTGCTCCGTCGACCTGCGAAGTCCATACTGCCTGGGTGGCCAGGACGACAATCTGCGCGGGGAATTTCTCAATGTAGGCCGGGAAAGCATCCGCATCATTCTCGTCGAGATTTTCATACTCCTTGACAGCCTCCACGAGCAGATCCGAAAGCGTATCTCGCATGCCATTCTCCAGCGCGCGGAGCCAATCATTGATCTTGGGAGTAGCGATGAGGTTGATCGGGGTCTTCAAATTTACCTGTTCACCCTCTTTCGACGTCAATGCGAGAATATTCGAGTCGTCATCCATGATGACACCTGAGACGCCAGCAAACATCTTCCGGAGATGCTTGGCGATGCGAAGGGTGTCATTGCTGTTTCCGATGATTTCCAGGAGATCCTCGTCACCGACGAAGTAGAAACGTGGGAATGCCACACGTTCCTTCTCGAGGTATTCACCTAGCGCTTTTTGGATCTTGTTGAGTAGGTCGGCCAGTCGCTCGAGCGAGCGCTGTACGTCTGGAATATTGAGCACTTCCAGAACCTGCGGTGAACGATAGACCTTCTTGAGGACATTCATGAATTCGCTATTGATGTTGGCGAAACGAGAGGACTCCACGGGTAGCAGGTGCTTTATGTCAGCATTACCAGTGAAGACACCTTCCAGGTAGACCCACTGGCGCTGCACATCGATCCAGACGTCGAAAAGGACGTGAATGCGGTTGAGCTTGTCCTCCCAAGATGATGCCTCTTCTTCGAACTCCTTGTAGTACGGCGAATGACGCATGGCTTGCAACGAATTGAGATGATCACTGCATTTCGCGAAGAGGTCGTCCCAGCCACGAATGAGTCGACACTTGTTTTGGTAATTGACGAGATCGAGTGAGTAGTTTTGCCAGTGCTCTCGGACTGAACGCACGAATTCTTCGAGTGCCATTTCACCCTGTGCTTGAGCAATGACATCGCGGATGACAGCTTCACTGGGTCCGAGTTGGAGATCCCAGACGTCGCCGAGCGTCATGGACAATGCGGAATATCTCTTTGTCGGCTGGAGATTCTTGAAGATCTTGATCCAGTGGCGTTCGCGCACGGCATCCGATCGCATCTCCGTCAAAAGCGGGTTGACCTTGAGCAGTTGTCGAAGGACCGACTGCAGGTGCTCAAAGGCCGCGTATGAGCGCATACGACTGGGCATCTCCTTGGTGGTCTTAATCAGATTATCAATGGACTGTCTGAGTTTTCGAGGCTGAATGCTATTCCATGGCTGATCCCTCAGGTCGTTCACCTGCTCCCAGACGACTGTCAAGTTCGCCCAGACAGACTTATAATCCTGTACTTCTGCAAGGAGATCGACAAGCATGTTGTCCGGACCGGCGGGCAATTCAAGAGCTTCCTTCGCCTTTGACACCATATCAGCCTGTTCCTGGAGCTGCGTGAGCTCCGTATCGAAGCCTTCGAGAGCAGCAACTGCTTCTGCGGGCGGGATTGATCCTGACTCCGGACGGTTCTCCCGCCATTTGTCCGTCATCTCCGCAATGCGTCGCGAGACCATGCCATCTTCGGCGATGATCTTGGCTCTTAAACCTTCCGTGTGGTCTGCGATCTGCTTACTCTTCTTCTCAAGAACTTCGACGAGCGCAGCCCATTCGTGGTCGACCTGTTCAACATACAGCCAATCCTTGGGGTATGAGAATCGAAGGCGGGTCAAAGTTTGTTGACCTTGGCGGAATGTCTCCATCTCTGGTTCCCAGATTCGGGTCTGGCGCTTGCAGGTTTGCACGACGGTGATGAAGGAGACGGCTTGGGAGGTTGATGACGCTTGCATAGATTGGCTCTCGAGATCCTTTCGTGCCCGTTGCAGATCGGAGTAGACTTCTACGAGACGTGTGGCGAACATTGCAGAGAAGTGGGCGAGCAGATCATGTTGCCACTGGTCGTATTTGGCGTTGACTTTGGCTTGTACCTGTTCGTAATTGATCACAAGATGACCGAACGACCTTCGCATGCCGGAAGTATCAAAGGTGTCACGCTTTTGACGGATCTCAAGGATGAGTTGAAGCCAGAAATCAAGCTCTTCACCAAGGTCATCTTGAATCTGTTGCAATTGCAAATCCCAAAGCGATTGAAATTGAAGCCATTCGTCGACATAGGTTTGGGCGATGCTCAACTTTGCCTCGATGCGCTGGTAGAGATTGCCGAGAGTTTCCATGCACAACAGCGGCAGGTCAGAATATGTCGAAGTAGTATTGATCGAGCTGACCGTCAAAGCGCTTTCGTACCGCGAGGCCTGTAATCTTGCAAGACTGCAGACCGTTCCGAGCCAGGCATTGAGGTTATCCAACCAACCCGCTTTGGCATCCTCAAGCGGTGGCTCCAACTGAATGACCTGGTTTTGCATAACAATATCGTGCGAGAACGTCTCAATATTGGGCGCACCAAGACGTGAAGTCTGATCGGCCTCATAACCTTGCTCGAAATCATCCGTCCAGTCCTTGAGAGCTTGCTGCAATCGAGCGTGCAGCGTCTGCACAACCTTGTCGTTCGTCTTGGAAACCCAGTACGGGATGTTGGCATAGGCTTCGAGGTTGAGCTGATCTATGGCGCGCTGTAGGGTCTCGAGGTGTGTGCTAAAAGCTTCGTGGGTGAAAGGGCAGGACTGCAATTCACGCAACGCTGCGTCCACAATGACCTGGATCGCTGCTAGCGTGGTGACCTTGCTTTGAAGCGTAGCGATGGAGTTGCCCAGGTTGCGCACAAATTGTACATGCAGCTTGTCGTCGCTCGAGGCGCCGAGTCCAGAGTCGCCGATTTGTCGCACGTGTACGTCGTAGGCAAGGACGAAAGTGTCCCATCGAAGAGAGGCACCCTTGGCGATGAAGCTCTGGACATTATTACGATACCCACTTAGCAGAGGAGTGACTTCGGACATGCCCTGGATAGTCAGACTGGTCTGGCTGTATGTGTTGAGACTCTCCATCAAGCTGACAGCGAAAGGGTACACTCGTCGCGCCTCTTTCGAGACATTGCTGATGGCGTGTGGAACATTGAAATTGAGCCAAAGCAGATTCCGGACCTCCTTGAACAGAATGATGACTTGAGAATCGAAGTTGACATGGATCTCAAGAACATTCCCTCGAGCTCGGTTCTGTGTAATGGCGAATAGACGACCTGAAATTGACAAATGTCGTCGATCGATGTCCCGTAACCAGTCATCAAAGATCGGCTTGGTGTCGAGCTTCCTACGAAAGCCCTCACCGAGATTGAATAGACGTTGTCCATCAATATGCTCCTTCCACTTGGGACCAAGGATATCTTCGACCTTGCCAAGGTAGCTGTTCAGCTGGCGTTCGATCTGTCGAGCGCGGATGATGGCTCCAGAGATTGGCGGCAGATCACGAAGCTGAGCCATCCCGTGCGCTTCCGACTGACCATACTGGTGAGTGAATCTCTGCTGAAGGCTTTCGATATCTTCGCGGACATTATTCATGAGCTGAACCTGGTACTCCGCGATGGCTCCTCGAATCTTTGGTCGGACAAACAGGGCGTTGAATTTGGAGAAGACGCGGAACATCTCGTTGGCGGTTTTGGCCACCGCAAGTCGGTCTCGCAGACGGGCGATAATCGAGTTCTCCACCCGTGCTGTCCGCTCATTGTAAGCCAATTCGGCTTGGGTCCAGACCTTCTCCCCTTCCTCCGAGATGTTGAGCACATCCACATCTTTGACGACGAGGTAAGCTTGGGCAATTTCCTCAGCAGCGTCGACGTCGCCCATTTCTTCCACGATGACAGGACCATTTGCGCCATGCGAATAGTCCATGCCTTCCTCATCCGGGCCCAGCACACTGGCAATGGTGCCTTGCAGCTGTTCGTGCTCCTCACGGAATTTGGAAATGTAGCTGAGGCGATCCTGGGTCTTGTCGTGGCGCTTGACGATCTTGATAGGAATGAACTTGTCATTTCGCTTCCTGGTCACGTCACGGGCAACATTGGTGAATTCTTTGACGTTGTCGTCCCAGAAGAGCCATACTTCTTGAACTTGTGCAATGACTTTCCGGAAGTCAACATATGACAGATTCATCAGCGCTTTTCCAGGGATGAGGTGGTGAAGTCGAGCATCGACATCAGCGGAGATCGCCTCGACAAGAGGGAGCGCTCTTCGAATGGGGTATGGACAGATTCGCAATTTCTTGTTGAGATGAGTAAAGACATCATCGAGCGCATCGCGAAGCTTCTCCACTGATGTCGCCGACAGCATCTCTTCGATGGGAAATCCGTGGAAAAGCTGGTTATATCTCTGGACTTTGTCCTTTGTCTCCTTCAACCGGGTGTCCGACGAGAAACTAGCAGTGATACCATGTCTCTTGGCCTTTTCCAGGATCTTCATCGTCAATTGAATTCCACCGCTGGCGAGTTGAGCCTCGATGCTCTCGATTGCGCTCTCCATAGCCAGCCAAAAGTTCTTCTCTTGTGAGGTAGTGCCCACCATCCGATCATCCGTGATGCGTGTGAAATCTCGGATTTGTTTAATCCAGTCGTTCGCTTGGTTCTGCAAGCGGTTGAGAAGGGCACTGTCAGAGACAATCTCGTTTGGAATCTGCAGGGTTGCCGCTTGTAGGTCACCATTCGCATCCTCCAGTTGAGTCTGAACAGCCTCGTGGACCTGAAGTCTCGGTGCTTCCACCTCAATGTTCTGCTGCAGGCTCTCGAGAGACTGTTCGAGATCTGCGAGTTTCCGCCTTGCGCCGGACACGCCTGTCCGTGCATCTCCATCAAGTCGTAATTTCTCACTGCTCGGCTCTGATCCCCTGGCGGCCGCTTCGAAACAGGGAGTGATGACGCTTCGCATTAATGATAGGATATGTTCATATGGAGGGTTAGCGGAGCTGGAGTCGCCCAGCCCTGATGCGCCAGGCAGAGGGAGGTTTGTGACGATCAGCTGGCTGCTGATGGGAGCATCAGTCGAAATTTGGGTGGATCGCTTGATGAAAGCGACGCAGCCGGATATCCGTGAGGATGTGTTGAGCTCTGAACTGAGAATATATGCGTCGATGGCGCCAGCACCGTTGGTGTAGCCATTTTGCTGAACGGGCGCAGCCTGCTTCAGCACATACAGTGGTTGTTGCTCCACCGCAAATCTTGTACACCGTAAGAGCGTCTCTTCAAGTATAGACTCATGTAGCAGACTGCCTGGCCCTTTCAGCTCCTCTTCACTCGCTCCGAGCGTCACCTGTAGTACACTGGACAGGTATTTGATGATCGCCTGCGGATCGACCGCACTTGGAGCAGGTGTGGCCAGCGTGCCGTTGGCGACGCCATTGACTCCTTGGACCAAGGGGTCCTCCATGGTGGGATATTATCGATTATATGACTGAGCAGTCATAGACATTGTCTGAGTCGATGAGTGTCTGCCTGTGATCTGAAAGTCGTGCCTCTTCGGTGATCAGGGTCAACTGTGAGCCGTTGTACATTCAGGAGGCGCAAGAAATCCGAATATTCCTGTCGGATTATATCGCCCCTGCAAAAGAACGGTATTAAAAGTAATCAAGTTAGTTGAAATCGTGAGATCGAACGATTGTCGATGATTGGTGAGTTGTGAATGTACTGCACTTGTGGTTGGTGTAGACCCAAAGATCCAACTTTCACTTTCACAAAGCCCTTCTCCCAGGCATAAACGCGTGGTTGTCGCGCCTCATCATTTCCAGAAATCCAGCAGGTCCCGCTTTGGGCAGCCGCGGCTTGGGCCGCAAAGGTGTCGTCTCATTCCCGTGTTTCCGGGAAGTAAGCCGAGTCGTCCACGATCGGGCCCTGACGTTACTACCCAAACCCTAACTATCATTGTGTTCGGAGTCCACGACATGATGATTGTCTTGTTTTCTTATCAAAGTGGATGAATTCATGCTAATAATTAGACATAGTGCTGATAGTTACATATCATATTCGATTAGTCAAGACCAGCAAAGTATCAGTCGGTCTAAGCAGTCTGGAAGCATTGTTGATGCTGTAGAGGATACTAAACCAATTAGTACGAGAACCCTACAGCTGTCAAGTGGTCGGCCATGTTTGAGATGTTAGACGTGGTCCACGGGCATCAAAAACACGCGGGCCTGAAAGTTATGATATATCATTATGCGCGATCGTAATTAACCAAGCACTCTACCAAAGTGTATCGGAAGGCCATTCGCTGAACACACGCATTGGTTGCTCGAAACAATAGCCGAAGCCCCTCTAAACCAGTCCCAACTTGGGAAATATCATCGGACTGCCCTCCAAAGAAATCCACGCGATACCTGTTGAAAACAAAGAAGAAACCATTAGTCTCCGATAATGCAATTTTTGTCTCAGAGTGTGAAACTCACCTGCATAAACAACGAGCTTCGTGATGACCTCCACATCGTAGCGCACGCGGGGCTTCTCAACAGCAGCGAGCATCTTGCGATCAGCCTGCTCCTCCTCGCGCTGCTCATCGCTCGAAGCGCTAGCCTCACTCGGTGGCGGAGTGAGGACGTTCGCTCGATTAGCCTGCAAGGTCGTCTTCAGTGAACCCCCCGCGGCATTGGGTCGGACGGATAGGTAAGAGGAGGCTGTGGGTGGCTCGTCGGGAGTCATGAGTACCGATCCTTCGGTGATGGGGACCTGCAAGTCTCGTTTTGGTGATCGCGAGCGGGAGGAGTTCGCTGCTCGGGTTTCTCGGCGGACTTGTTCGCGGTTGGCGATGTGTTCGCGGGCGTCGGCCTCGGATTGTGGGCCGATGGAGACGGTGCGCTTTCGACGACGGATGGAGGATATCATGGCTGGAATGTCCGAGGCCGGCGGGAAGATTTTGTCGTCGCTGGGTATCGGGGGGACGCTGGTATAATCTCTGTGATGTGCTTTAGTGGCCTGCGCGATTTGGGGTTTTTCAATAAGACAAACCTGGACTGGACGAAAAAGCGTCGGGGTATCCGCACGCCGAATTGGCTGAAGAAACGAAAGATTGGAGGTAGTGTGCCGAGCATGATTGGTTTCATCGTCGCTCGCCACACGAAGACGGCCAGAATACCTCCCACCAGCCTGCCGACTGACTTCAACAAGTCGCTATTGGTGTACACGTACATCTGCGATAGCGTTATCTCCGGGAGGGAGGAGCCGGTCAAGTAGCGAGAATAATGCCAGGTGGCGACAGTACCACCCATGACCACTCCGATAAATGCAACGCTATCGTCGAAGCAGGGGCAGTTGTCGGCAGGTTCCGGGTGGAATCGAACTGCAAGCAAAAGAATGACGAGAACACAGATGAGATATGGTAAGCTTCCCTCGATGACTGAATTGTCGAATGCCGTTCCATAGGCCACTCGGATAGCGGCAATGAATGCTCCTAGGACAGCACCAAAGAGAACATCAAGGAAACCGTGCATGCCACAGTACATCCGACCTATGCTGATCGAGGTGGCATAACAGAGACATGCTGCAACCAGTAACCGATACGTCAATGGCGAGTAGTGATCTTGATTTTTCCACAATTCGTGCAGTAAAGATAGAGCCACCGACACGGCGTTGGTGGTATGCGTTGAAGGGAAACCATACTCCAACGCAGCGGACCCCGACATAGTGATGCGGTGGAGCGGAGGCGACAGCGGTCTGGGTAGACAGACGAGGTCCTTTGCATATCCGCTCAAGTAGACTCCTGCAGCGAGCATATGAATCAAACCCATTCCAAAATTCGGAAACCCACACCAGAAGCATGGGGGAAGAAAAGTCATGAAAAAGGTATGGGTGCCCAAATTGGCCGTCATAGCAAAGTATGAGTCCAGCAAAGGCGTCCGAGATAGTTGCTGGAGTTTGGCGAGGTAGGGTGTCTCCCATCGGACAAGTGGGATCAGCCATTGCCGCAGGCGATATCGCCATTTCGGCAATTTGCGTTCATAATGGCCTACTCCCCGAAGACCAGCATCGGGGTCGGGAGAGGGAGCTCGGAGATGCGCCTGATATCGAAGGCTCGGCCCCGAATGGGACATGAAGGAGAGATTGTCCCGATCAGCGGGAGTAGAAATTTGTCGGATCACGGCGGCGTCACCTTCGGGTCGTTTCCCGGGCTTTGGTCATGTATAGCAATGAGTAAGTAGTATCTGAATGTCGACAGAAACAAGTCATTCATCGAGACATGAAGATTATTGGTTTTTCTTGGCGAACGTGAAGATGTACATCTGATCGAGACTCTCTCACAGTAGCATCATCAAAAAGTTCCGACCCGGCTTCATTCAGTATGCACGTGGAGCAGCGACGAAGGCTTGGCACGTCATGCATTGATCAAGAAACTATCATGACCATTCTTGCTACTTGTGGATTCCGACAAATCTCTCATTTATGGATGATATTACTCGACTATGCGAATCGCCATAATTCGAAGGAGATAGACACGGATTTACTGTATCAAAGGCCACCTGCATATTGTGAAAACATCAAACAATATCATTGGCGACGAGCAGGAAGTGTTTCACTACAGGTCACATAAAGCGAGTATTGGATTGTAGCCAGGGTCTGTGTTGGGCGTGTCGCTGACTGACTCGCTGCGATTGGTACCGCGCGGGGGAAGAAACCCCGGAATTTCCACGAATAAATCATCAATGTTGCTCGGCCAACAACGCCGCCCTGTGTTTACAGCATCATCGCTGGCCGGATAGGCCTTCTGATGGCAGACCTGCATATACATATCACCCACTACCACTATCACTGCCACCACTGCCTACCTACGTACCACTATCGATTCTGCACCATTATATGAATAGCACAGCAGAACAGATCGAGCATTACCACGCATCTTCCATAACGTCCTCAACCATCACCCAAACACTTCTCTCTCCCGACCGAACATTCTCGCCATTGTTACCCAGGACCACACCCGCGCGTCGCATCACCCTCTCCGCTGCACACCCGGACTCACACATACATACCACACCGGCTGACCAGCACTGCGGGTTTCGACCACAATGTCAGTGCAGGCCTTGAAAGCCCAAGACCGTCTGGCCCGCAGAGACAGTCACCGATCCTCCACCTTCATGCGCAGCGACAGCTACCGGAGATCCACCCGAGGCAGCGACGGCACCCTAAATACCATGACCACGACCAAGACCGACATCACTGTGCCGCCGGAATACAGCAAGAAATTCGTCGTGGTGGGCGATGGTGGTTGCGGCAAGACGTGTCTGCTGATCAGCTATTCACAAGGATACTTTCCCGAGGTGAGTTTCATTGCATCCCGCGATGAAGAGAAGGAGTAGGAGATGGACGAGAGAGAGAGAGAAGGAAAGAGAGAGATCGCGCGTGGACACTTTTCAACGAATCTTTTTGCTAATCATTGAGTTCCATTAATGGAAAAAATAGAAATACGTCCCGACCGTCTTTGAGAATTACATCACACACGTCGAACACAAACCTTCAGGGAAGGGCGTCGAGCTCGCACTCTGGGACACGGCCGGACAAGAAGAATACGACCGTCTTCGACCACTCTCATATCCCGAGACCGATCTCCTATTCGTCTGTTTCGCAATCGACTGTCCCAACTCGCTCGAGAACGTCCTCGACAAGGTAAGAAAGAGACCAAACCAAACAACCCATCTCCATTGAACCGCCAAAATTAACATATTCATCTTCGCACAGTGGGCTCCCGAAGTGACCCACTTCTGCCCCTCGACGCCCATCATCCTCTGCGGCTTGAAATCCGACCTCCGCGACAAACGCTCCTGCATCGATCTGCTCAAGACACAAGGCCTCACCCCCGTGACCACGGCCCAGGGTCTCTCCGTCGCCAAAAAGATGAAAGCCATGTACATGGAATGTTCATCCAAGGAGCAGAAAGGCGTGCACGAGATCTTTGATCGCGCGATCGATATCGCGGTGAGGGGATCGGAGGACGTTGTTGGGGAGTTATTGAACGGGGGAGGAGGAGATGGTGCGAAGGATGTCGTGGGTGGGATGCCCGCGAAGAGGAGGAAGAGGAGCAATTGCAAGATCCTTTAGATGTTTTCTTTCTGAGGGATTTGTTGTGTGGCACTCTTTTTTTCTCTCTTTGCGATTGGCTGGAGTTGTTCAATCATTTCGTCGCCTTCGCGGTTCACATTTGTTGTGAGAGCACTATTCGCCGAATCGAGTGCGATGGTGACGATGACGACTGCTGCAACCATACCCGGCGATGTCTGCCGTACATTCTTGGGAGTCGCTCCGTGTGGAGTTCTCATTTTTCCATTGACTCATTGGCGCAAAGAAACTTTCGGGAAGTTGGGAAATCATGGGACAAATCAGGCGTTCTTTTTGCGGCTGGAGGGACGACGGATGCGTTTATGCTCATGGGAGACGCGTACTGGCTGGCCGGGAGCCTTCTTGTATGCAGGTGTGTTTCTTTTTACTCAAACGCCGCCAGGAAAAAGATAATGAGAACGAAATTTACTTTCATGATATTGGTATCGAATAGAAAAACTCCGGAATCCTTCATCTCTGCAGTCATGGTACTTCGCCCATCATTCGTAATGAACCGCTTCATTCAACGCAACCTCTCGAATTGCTTCATGCCGTTTCCCCTGGCCTGCTGCTACTGTTACCATCCCTTCCGCCATTCCCTTCCTCTCGCTCAGGTTCCTTCGCCATGACGTTCTCGAATTGTGACCAGAGGCCTTCGACTTGGCCGAATTCATTCCCGACCTGCATGGTGATTGTTGGTAAGGACATTGATCGCCTGACTGGATGTGTCGGAAAGTTGTGAAGAAGCACCGGGGCATACACACCGATATGACACTCTCCAAATTCCGATTCAATCGATTGAGATTTTGGAGGACATTTTCTAGACTCTAGTGTAGGGAGAAGCATTGATCAGCTCTTGTCTTAGGGGGGTTTTCGGACTGGTTTGCGATGGTGGGGCGTGGAGGGACATGGGGGCAGGGCAAGAAGCGCGTACCGCAGCGACGTCTCCAAGGAGTAATTCTCGCTGTTGCTCGAAATATGTCTTTTCAGTCGGCGGCGCGGACGGGTTCGCTGGAGCCATTCTTGTTTGCTTGAAGATGCTCAATATTTATGGTAATGTTGTGCTTCATGTGCTGTATCGTATATCAATGTTCGGTGAATGACGCGACCCTATCTATACACATGATAAAAGCGTGTTCGTCTAAACTGCCACGCGACAGTGGAAATTCGCGTCATGATATCTAGGGCAAAAAGCCGAGGTCTGGAACGATATGTTCCATCACCAAACCCCAGATTTCCTCCCTCACGTCCATGTCTTCGACCGACATCACACCCAACGAGCACATGCGACATCACAAGCGCCACCATCATCGACAGCGTCAAGCATTCCTCGGATGAACGCATACGCATAGATATAGAACTCGCGATCAAGCCGAGCCATCATCACCATGGAGTTCATGACCACCCTCCAAGGCGGCTACGACGAGCAAAAGCCATCCCTCTTCGAGATCCTTTCAGAGAACGAACTCTCCGCACTTATCCCTCCCTCCATTCGATATCTCCTCGCCATCGCAGCGCACCGCAACCCGCGCTATCTGCTCCGAATCCTCAACAACTTCGATGAACTCTACGCGCTCCTCAGCCTGGCCATCGAACGCTACTATCTGGGGACCTACGGTGGCGGCTTCACCGAGAACTTCTACGGCCTGAAGCGCGAGCGCGTCCTGCGCATCAAAGGCGGTGAGACCCCGCGTGCGCGTCTCGGCGCCGCACACGATGTCCGCGAGACGTTGAAACTCCGGACGGGCGATATCTGGCGGAATCTGGCCGTCATGGTAGGCATTCCGTACATCAAGAGGAAGTTGGACGAGAGCTACGATATCCATGCTGCGGGAGTGAATATGCTTGGACCGGCGTATCGGGATCGTGATGCGTACCCGCGAGAGGGAGGGCTCAGGAAGAAAGTCATGTGGTATTATAAGTGGTTTTTGAGGAATGTCTATCCTAGTGTCAATGCGGCGTATTGGTTCGCTATGGTCGCGTGGAATCTGGCATATCTCTTTGACGGGACAAAGTTTCATTCGCCGTTTATGATGTTGATCGGATCGCGCATGAGGAGGTTGAATGCGGCCGATGGCAGAGCGATTGAATTGGCGACGGCTCCTCCACCACCACCAGAAGGCGCGAGACCGGGATTGGTGTCGCTGTTGAACCCACGGACGATGGGTCGTGTCATCTATCCCCAGCTCTTATCGAGTCTGAGACTGCTCCTGCCGACGTCGATCTTCGCGTTGAAATTCCTCGAATGGTGGCACAATTCCGATTTCGCCCGCCAGCTCTCCCGGAAAACCAACGAAGGTCTCGAACTTCCACCTCCGATCATCGCTGGCCCAAAACCCGGAACCACAAGCACTCCAAACAACAAAGCAAACAGCGTCTCCTCCGAAGACAGCTCCCCATCCGAGAAGAACCAGAATCTCAGCCGAAGAGACTCAGGCCTCGCACCAAGCGGCCCTCCCATCTCTGCAATAACCTACCTCCCCATCCTCACCGTGCCCTTCCCACCCTCCACAAGCAACACGGAGCCCTCCCCGTTCTCCTCCGAAAACGGAGAAAACAACACCTCCTCCCTCTGTCCAATCTGCACCTCCGAAATCCAAACCGCAACCGCCGCCCAAACAGGCTACGTTTACTGCTACTCCTGCATCTTCCGATGGGTCGACGGCACACACCCACGCCAGGAGGCGTTTATGGATGGCTCTGGGGAGCATGAACTTGCGATTGGTGAGGATCCTGAGGCGCATGAGGGGAAGGGTAGTCGGGCTGGAAGGTGGGAGAGTGGGAAAGGCCGCGACGCGGTTACGGGACGGAGGGTTTTGGGCGGGACGAGTGGGTTGAGGAGGGTTATGGTGTGATTATTTTGCGCTTTGGGAAGAGGGAGATGCTGGTCATTCCGATCCCTTTTTCTCTGTGGAAAAAAGCTATCATGCATCCATCATGGCGACGAAGAGCTTGACGATTCTCTCTCTGTCTCTCTCTTCGACATAGACTCGCATCCCGGTCTTGCCAGCGACGAAACCGCGACGTCGCACAATCTCACTCCAGACTGCTCGCAGATCCCCAACCTCTGCGCCAGCCGCTCCTGGCTCACGGTGACACCACAACCTGCCATCAGCGAGCCAATGATCAGAGTATGGTCACTTGTCGAAGGATGAAGACGAGCCAAATCACCCTCAAGCAGCTGACGCCGCCACTAGAGCGTCTTCGGGTGACAAGCAACAAAAGAGGGCAACACTGCCCAAAGCCGAAGGAGAGCCTTGTCCACAGACTGCTCAAGACCTCCTTGGGGAATAGGCTCGGATTTCCCAAGCGAGCAAGAAGGAAGAAGTCAATTCGTTATTCCACCCCCGAGCATCACTTTCTCCCATGGGAATGCGTGAGTTTCTCCCTTCCTCCTCAAATCCTCGGGAAAGATATCTGAAGGAAACCGGACAGACCCAGACCCCAGAAATTCTCTAGCCGGCAAGATCGTCGGGCCGGGTTCAGTGGCTGTGATCATTGAAATTCCAGCTTTTCCGGTCACCGGGCATTTGCATCGTAGTGGTCTCCGCACGACGATTGTTGGTTATCCTTCATGGTCTCCTGAATAGAGCAGTGTAGACGACTGCCGAGATGCTATGCACTGTAAATTTATTATACTGTCTAGATTAGAATTTTGCTTCTAGTATTGTTTTGACACCATTCATATGACGAGGAATGTCGATTATAATGTACTATTGAACAGTGTTCTTATCAATTCGCGAACGCTCGCCATTGGGATACTTCATGTCCTTGTACCTTTGCTAACTTGAAATTGTAAACCTGCGCCGAACTCGTAACCCTAAAAAACATCAGCAGACCTTCGCCTCTGTGCGGGTGGAACGTCATTCGGCATTCGAGACGTGAAGACTGTCTTTCTTTATTCCAATGATCTCAATGCACTTTATGCGCATCCAGCGATCATCGAAGTTTGTTGAAAAGCCGGGTTGAATTCAACATTGCTCCACCAAGAACCGCTGAAATGAAGTCCGCGGTGCTGAAGACGTTGCTGGTGCTCACATTCGGCATTGGCTCTGATCAGGCATTGGCGTTGAATGAGAAAATCAAAGCAGAGTACCGAGAAGCCTGTCCGGAATATGTTGAATACTCGAAATATCCACAGTGAGTCTCAATATAGGATGCACGAGAAACCGAACCATGCTAACACGACAATCAGCGAACCTCTCAGCAACGGTCCTCTCCGACTTCCCTTTCAACGGCCGGCAGCAGCATGTCGGACATTTGAGTCGGACGTGGTCGAGAAGACCATTCGAGATTTGAATTCTTCCATGCTTGATCGGGATCTCGCGAGAATCTTTGAAAACGCTTTCCCCAACACCCTCGACACGACGGTTCGATGGCATGTCGATGGCGTCAAAGACAAAGTTACCACTCGTAGCCAAGATGAAGACGCCTGGAAAGGCGCTCAGAGCTTTATTGTGACCGGCGACATCAACGCTGAATGGCTTCGCGATAGTACCAATCAACTGGCGCAGTATCAGCGTCTCGCAGCCAAGGACAAGAAGATTCATAATCTCATCCTTGGAGCCATCAATACACAAGCGGAGTATGTCATCGCATCACCCTATTGCAATGCTTTCCAACCACCGGCTCCAAGTAACCTCGAACCTACGAACAACGGTCAAGGCGATGATGTCCACCCCGCTTACGAACCACACACCGTTTTCGAATGTAAATACGAACTCGACTCCCTCGCAGCTTTTCTTTCCCTCTCGAACCAATTCTACACCCACACCGGCTCAACCGCCTTCCTGACACCCCGCTGGCATCTCGCCCTCAAAAGTCTCCTCCGCGTCCTCAACGAACAAAGCCAACCGACCTTCGACAAGGACACGGGCCACTACTTCCCCCAACTCTACACCTTCCAGCGCACCACCAACATCGCCACGGAAACCCTACCTCTCGCCGGCAACGGCAACCCCCTAAACTGGGACACAAACCTCGTCCGCTCTGCCTTCCGCCCCAGCGACGACGCCACAATTTTCGGCTTCCTGATCCCGTCCAACGCCATGATCGCCGTAGAGCTCAAACGTACCGGCGCCATGCTCACCAGCGCTGGCCAACCCCAAGTCGGATCCGAGCTCACCCGGCGCGGGAAACTAATCGAGACCGGCATCTGGACCCACGGCGTGATCAACCACCCCACACACGGTAAAGTCTTCGCCTTTGAAGTCGACGGCTACGGCAGTAGTCTCATCATGGATGACGCCAACCTTCCATCGCTGCTCTCCTTGCCGCTTCTCGGCTTCTGCAAGCCCAACGATCCCGTCTACCTCGCCACCCGCCGGATGATCCTCAGCAAGTTCGGTAATCCCTACTATCTCACCGGAGACATCTTCACGGGTATCGGCGGCCCGCACATCGGACTCCGGAATGCCTGGCCGATGTCCGTCCTGACCCAGATCATGACGAGTGATAATAATACTGAAATCCGCAGCTTATTGGAAATGGTGAAGAAGGTCAGTCCCCTGGGCCTTATCCATGAGAGTGTGGATGTGGATCTTCCTGGCCGGTATACGAGGAGTTGGTTCGCGTGGGCGAACTCGGTCTTTGCGCAGTGCATTTTGGATTTGGCGGAGAGGAAGCCTGAGGTGCTGTTTGGGAAGGGTGGCAAGAAATATGTTGCTGGTGCGTGAGCAGTCGCGGGAGAGAGAGAAAAAAAGCCGTATATATTTGAAGATCAGGGAAAAAAAAGGAAAAGCAACGCTTTTTGGGTTACCGTCACAGTTGCGTGGTGCTTTTATCAACGCGTATCTCCTTTTCCATCAGTACTTCCTGATATTTTCCCTTCACTATCTCTACATCTGCCTGCGAATCAGAAGAACTTCCTGATGACCTCCTCCATCGCCCTCTCCACATTCTCCAATCCTGTCACGACATTCTCATCCCGGCCCTGTCCAGGCGTCCACTCCGCATGCGCAAAATCAATCATTTTCACCCGGTATGCCACCTTTCTCTCTTCCTCTTCTTCCTCCTCCTCCTCCTCATATTCCTCTTCTCCTCCGACCTCAACCTTGGAGACCGGCTCCTTTTGTTTCAAGGAGGATGTATCCCGTCCACCACCACCGAGAAGTTCCGACAACGCCTCCGGGTCACCCTCATAGACAATCAGAACACTCGCGCCATACATCCGACTTTCGCTGCGAGAGAGGACGGCACGAGCGTTGGTGATTTCCGCGAGGAAAAGCTCGAGGAGAGATCTTGCGTCCCGCGCGGAGATCTTCTCCTTCTTCTTCTTTTCTCCCGCCCCCTCTTCCTTCTCCGATCCGCTGAGCGATGATGGCAGGAGACTTTCGAAAAACGTCTCAAATCCTCTTCCCACATCCTCCTTGCTGAACTGTCTTCCATAGAATTTGTCATAAATTGCATATTCCCCGATGTCAGCATTCCAAACTTTCATCCCGGCGATTCGATAATTCAGACTCCCCGAGGTCGTTTCGCCCGCGACTTTGTCCAATCGCGCGGCTTTGTCGGCTTTCGTGGTCGCGGGATCGAAGAGTTTCGCGCCGAGTTTGAGGTCGAGGACGTTGGGCCTGGAGAAGCCGGCCTCGAGGTTTTCGAGGACGATGGCGGTTTCGGTCTTGAGCGCTTTGCCGTGCAGGAGGGCCTTGTCTTTGTATTCTTGTGTCAGCTCGGGCTCGGCTTCTTCTGCTGGGGCGGGAGTCTCTGATGTTGAAGTTATGATGGGGAGTTTGACGTCTCCAGGGAGGTTTGAGGGTGCACCGAGTTGCAAAGTCCCGAGCATTGTGGGCATTAGCTCGTAGAAATCTGTATGCGAGCTTGCGCTGGCTTGGTAGAAGGCGATTTCGCTGGGCGTGCAGGGCTTGATAAGGACGGCGCCGGATTCGTCGGAGAGGACGCCGTCGTGGCCGGCGGCGGCGTTAGAGAAGGATGTCAATTTGAGGGTGGAGGCGTCGAATTCTGCTTGGTTTGTTTTCTGAGAGGAAGACGCCATCTTTGCGGAAGTCTGGGTGCTATGATCTGATATGGAGAGGTCGGTCTTTTGTTTGGGCTTAAGCTTGTCTTTGGGTTGATTCGCACTTTCTTGTTCGTTCGGCCAAATCGGAGGTTCTGCTCTAAAGAGACTCTCGTCTTTATAGGTCGATTGCCAAGACTGACTTCGATTGCGGCGTTGAGAAGGATTCAGTGTGCTGAGGTCGGGAGGGGAAACCTGGTCGGAAGCTTATATTGGATTATTTTTAGCTTCAATCCCGGTCGGCGAAGATGCATTTCCGAACGTCGGCATGCCGAGACCGGGCAATTGATGGAATAACTCTAGAGAGATTCGATAGTTGTCTCCTTTCAAATTGTACCATATAAGCCCTGGAATAATGAAATCCTACGCGTCTCCGATGCCGTTGCCTACCAGCAACAGACCTCAGTCTTGATTTCACCTCGGCGGGGGCTTGGCTCCGATGGGCCCTCTCTACGAGTATGATTTGTATATAAGCCGAGTATGTATTATTGCGCACCGTCTTTCTCGGACTGATACATCAGGTATATTTCAGTTGTCAGTGAATTCGCATTTGGCATGTATTGCGCATCACTTGGGCAGCTGCGAACAGTGAAACGACACATTTATCATCAGCTTGTGCCACAGATGTTCAATACATGAAACGGGAACTTGCATCTTCAATTCACTGTTTGACCTGCCAACTGATGGAGCATGGCAATATGCATTTCCTTGTCATGTGACAACATGTTCATCTTGGAAAATGGTTAAAAACACCAGCTTTCGTCGTCAACGTCGTCACCCACTTTCTTCTTTGCACCCATCACTCGTCCCGATCACAAACCCGCCATCACTTTCGCCGTATCATTTTGGTGGTAGCAGCAACAACATCTCAACACGCATCATCGGATCATAACACAATCCTCATGGCTGACGAGGCCGACGCCGTGGATTCACCTGGCGGAGTTCCAGTAACAGACTCAATAGTTACATCCGCTCCACCACCAGCTTCGGACAACGACCCTCACCCCGAAACAACAGAAATCATCCGTCAAGTTGAATACTACTTTTCCGACGAAAACTTACCCAGCGATGCATACCTTCTCGCCAAAGCAGGAGGAGATGGCAATGGACCAGTCCCAATCAAGACGATCCTCGGCTTCCCGAAGATGCGTGGCTACAAGCCCAAATCTCAAGTCATTGCCTCACTTAAATTGAGCACCAAGATCCAAGTCATTGGCAACAAACATATCCAACGCCGAGAACCTCTGAAGATTCCGCTGCGCGCGACACCTAGCCTCGGCCTCGATCGAATCCTCGAGGATCGGGCGAAGACTCTCCGAGAGAAACCCTGGCTCACCAAAGGAATGCTGAAGCCAACAGGGTTCGAGGAGTATGCTACAGAAGGTCCCATTAGACCCGAGGAGCATGCTGTGGAGAGAAAGTTGTATGACGCCGAAGAAGCATTCTACATACGCATTGAAAATGCGGTCGCCCGCTACCTCGCGAAACGCAAAATGCATTCGATGAACGCCAATATTTTGACGCAATTCTTGATCTTTGGCGGCTTTGATGCGAGCCAACGACATTTCTCCGGCGGTCTGAACAAGCAAGAGATGGAGAAGATGACGGCTGACGAGATCGCCCTTGCGAAATCGGACTTTGCAGTTGCGGGAATGGTTCTGGATGGCTTGCCAGATGGCCAGGAAGACCATAACGACGACGACAGCCAAGACAAATCAAAAACAACCTGGACCGTAGACTTCCTCACCGTGACAAAAGCCTTCCTCTCATCACCCTTCATGATCAAATTCCCCTGGTACGAAAAAGACACCGTCCAGACCACCTGTAACGTCATTCAAAACTTCCACAACTACCTCCTCTACCACGACGTCTGTCCGGAATACGCCGAACAAATCCTTTCCGCGCGAGACTTCTGCAAAACAGCCGAGGAGGAATTCCTACGACTGGGCACCGTCGACCGTGCTCTTCCCGGTGGTTTCAACATCGCCTGCTCGACTTTATTCGACGGCCGCTGGGCCGGTGTCTGGCGCGATCCGAATCGCGATTTCACATCTGCGTCAGGCGAAGACTGGGCTGCCGCAGTAACAACGGAATCTGAGCCCTTCGGAATGTCCGATTCCGATGCTTTTACGGTTTTCGCCACGGCGGTAATGGCCTATGGCTCGTCGGAACAGATGGCTCTTCTCGAACAACGCGCTGCTTCCAAGACCAAATTCGTCAAAATCCACACTGCGGACATCGGTCTGGAAGTCGTCCGTGTGGAGAGGCTCGATGCGCCAGAGAACTGCGATGCTCGGTCGATCTACAACGACCCGCGCCTGGAGCAAAACAGTGTGATCAAACCACTCGGTAGATTGCATTGCAAGATCTGGACGCTTCCGCATCGTCCCGCGACGACGACAACATCTTCCGGGACTCCTCCCACGCGCTTCTCAACTACCTTGACGTTCCTCCTCGAAGACTCCATCCTGGAAGTTTGTACTCCGGGCTTGAAAATGGAGGTGACCGTCTGTTCGCTCGATCTCGGACTGCTGTGGCTCGAGCGAGTGGAATTCGTGTATCCTAGCTTCTTCACTTGGATCGACAATGAGACGGTCCGTGAGGAGGCGATTTATGGGCGAGCGGGAAAGTGGAGTGAGTGGTTGCTTGAGGGAGGACAGCGGAATAAGGAGAATCTGGGGAGCAGCGGGGATGGCGGTGTTCTCGGCGGCGGGGATGGAGAGAGCGATGGCGAGGTCGAAGCGTCATCTGTAGCTGGTTTACGTATTGCTGTCGATGCGGATAGGGATGTGGAGTGATTTCGATCTTTGCTTTTCTGTGCCGCGCTCGCTCCATTCTTTCGTCATAGGCGACTCGAAAGCATCAGCCCGATGCGGGTCCAGTAACATCCCCGTCATGACACAAATCCCCATCTTTCAACTCTCAAGAATGCTCGCCCACATCACTCTTCACTTTCATCACCCTCATCCTCATCCAAATCCATCCCAAAATCCTCAATCCCACCAACCTCACCATCCTCCTCCACAAACCCTCCCTCTCCCACCGCGGCACCTCCTCGCCTCCTCTCCTCCACCCTCCTCGCCCTCGCGATAACAATTCTCGCTCGCCGGATGGCTTCCTCCTCGGCTTTCTTGATAGTACCCGAGACGCGGACGACTTGGACTACGCAAGGACGGTCGCGAGGCTGTTCGTTGTTTGAATTCTTGTTGTTGTTGTGATGATTATGGTTGTTGGAAGAAGGTGAAGGGAGAGGGATTTTCGTAATGAACGATAAGGCGGCCCAGATCAGCCGGTAGTGGGACCGCGAGACGCGGATTATGGCGGTGGAGGTTGTCGGGGAGATGTATTTCACTGTGACGAAAGAAGTTTGTGTGTTAGAATGGACTGGAGTTTGAAATGGCTGAACTTTTCCTTTTCCTTCAGAGTTTGCTTTTGGAGACATTGAGGACTTCAGTGCGCATCGGCCTTTCTTTTCGTCGAGGGTTTCTTCTCGCCTGCAGCTTTTCGTGATGGCATGACTCCTGTCGTGCTGCGGAGTCTCCAGCTTCGAGTGTTTCCCCGTTTTTCCTGCACTCCGATGCCTTCATCCACCCTCATGCTCCATTCGGAGAGACGATCTTGAAGTGAAAGGAGACAAGGATGTCGGTTCCAATAAAAGACAAAGGGAACTGTACACACCTTGAAAACTCGCGGCGATCATCCCAGCGCCATAATCGCCGAACAACTCTGCAACACCGTCCCGGATCAATTTAGCTAGAAGTTTAGCGTTGAAAGAATCCGCGCTCGGGCGGCGGAATTGAACAGTCCAAGGGAGAGTGTGCTGAGTTTCGGAATCGCCAGATTTGTTGAAAGTCTTGTTCTTGGGTTGGAGTGTTGTAGATGAATTCTTGCTGCTCTTGTTGTTCAGTGCTGATGACTTGAGCTCTTCGTCGGGATAGAGGACGTTGATTAATAGATAGCGGTGCTTGATGCGGACCATGGCGACGATGATGAGAGGGCATTCATTCTAGGTTGATGAGTTTCTTCCTCTGGTCGTCTCGAAAATTTGACGACAATGCTTCGGCTGTTTCATTATCGTCGTTGTTCCATGGTCGAGGAATGTCGGTCGGGAAGTCGCGTGAATAAATTGTAGAGCCAATGCACAACAGTCGCGACGTTGGGGCCAGGCGAACTTTCGTCACTTGGGAAAAATGTAGCTTAGGGTTGATCCATGGACGCGTCTTGCTGACAGCATCCTCGCCGTTCATCTCCTGACTTTATCCGATCATGTGCTGGCTGAAGTTCATGACTCGACTGGTGAGCGCCCTTATGCCTGGAAATCGTCTTATTGGCGGCTTCTAGCTACAATACTTTCAGCTGTTCATGTGGGTAATTCCTCCCTGGGGAGTGAGGACTACGCTGCCTCCCTTCCTGACGGATCGTCGCCATTGATTTGACCGGGATCCTGCCACTCGTTCTGGCCAATGCAACGCCTGAAGACCTTTGCACGGCGAAGCAAAACACCGTCCGCTCGCTTTGTGGGAGAGGAAATGACCGCAGGAATGAAACCTTGGAATGCCATTGTTGTGATTTGCGGCGTTGCTGACAAAAGCATTCATCTGTATTCGTACTGGTTTTGACGTCGAGTCGAACTCCGAGCGAGAACAACCAAACATGCAAAGGCTATATCAATGGACAGCACAGCTGCAGCTTCACGACGGTGCCAGTGCCCTTGTACGGTCAGACTTTACTGCTGTCGGATCTCTACACAATTCGCCCCGATGTTGCTCCCCTCGAAGACTCAGCATGCCTTCGGCCACCCGTATTAAGTATAAATGGATATATGGGGCCGAGAATCTGGAGACGTATGAGCCAGGAGGCTATCATCCCGTCACCACGGATCAGATCATTCACAATCGCTATCGAATCACCAACAAGCTTGGCCATGGTGGTTACTCCACGATATGGCTCGCGCATGATCAAGAACGGCAACAATACGTCGCGCTGAAAATCGGAATGTCCAGATTCGACTCTGTGCGCCGCGAGATCGCGACGCTACGCGCATTGGAAAAGCGGCCATGTTCACTAAAGTGGGATCCAGCTTGGATGAAATGTGCTGTGTTGCCCCGGGTACTGGATGCATTTGACGTGACAGGCCCGAACGGCGTATACGCGTGTTATACACTTGCGCCGATTCAGGGCGACCTCCAAGAAGCCCTCTTTAGCGGCATGTTTCACATTCCAGTCGCTCGGACCTTGGCCGCGAAGCTCATGCTGACCGTATCTTTTCTTCATGCACATGGAGTTTGTCACGGAGGTGAGCGCAACTTCAAGCTGAGTCCAACTCGATCTAATTGATATCGTAGACATTCACCTGCAAAATGTGCTTGTAGAACGCACCGAGCCCATCGACCATCTTTCCGTGGAAGAATATTGGGAAACTTTTGGCGAGCCCGAAACCGAACCAATCGAACGGGAGGACGGCAAGCCGTTAACATCGAACGTGCCCCCGGTCGCCACTCTCGCGTGGTCAAGTGAGAAGGAGGCTACAGATCTTACATTGGAAAATGCGAAGAGACTAGTAATCAGTGACTTTGGGGAGGCATTCGACCCATCATCGAAGACGCGCCTCGGTAAGGACTCCCATGTCCCGTTGGCGAAGCGTGCTCCCGAGGCGTTTTTCGAGCCTGATCAGCCGCTGTCCTACGCCTCGGACGTCTGGAGTCTTGGGACAGCTATATGGGGGATCATAGGCATGAAGAATCTTTTCAGTGATGACGAGCCTCAAAATTCGACTGTTGCTCAACAGATCGACTTGCTCGGTGCAGACCACTTGCCTCCCAAATGGAAAAGCATTTGGCAGCGACCGCAGTCAGAGATCCTGGTGGAGGACCGTCGTCCGCATCCTCCAGAGTGGAAACGTGAACCCTGGCCGCCTCTGAACACAGCGTTCGAGAAGTTTGTCCAAAAGTATCGCAGGGAAGAGGGCTATGTGCCCTTCGAAGCAGATGAGACGGCTGCCATACTTGCTTTGATGAGAGGCATGTTGAGATTTGATCCCAAAGAACGCTTGACGATAGAGGAAGCACTTCAGTCGGAATGGATGGTGAAGTGGGCTCTGCCCGAGTTGCGAGAGGCAATGCAGAGCGATTGCGGACAGTCGCACGAGTAGAGGGCGAGCATTTCAGATTACAGTAGAGATCGAATCAACTGCTTAGATTCTTGTATACTTGAGTTTACCATGTTCCATGGGTAACTCATATTCTCTTGCCACATCAGTAAATAGTCTTTTTTGAAATTCATATCATTGTTTGTTAACCCATCTGTATTTTCGGATTGTAAACAGAACTGTGCTGGAACAATATCGCCACATCAAAAGAGCGGAGTGAATTCCGCTGTTATTATCGATAGGATTTTTTTATGGAAATCTGGAGCGAACCCTACCGCGACAACTTTTCTCGATCAATCGCTCGACATTCCAACATCGCGACTCCATTCCAGATTGTCTGCAGCGAGTCGCCGTTTTCAGAGACAGAACATGGCCGACTCGCGATTCTCAGCGCTGTCAAGCGACCCGCGCTATCGCATTCCCAATCGCAAAAAGTCCCGCACCGCCATCGATTCGCGATTCAAGGGCATTTTCTCGGATCAAGATTTCCGTAAAAAGGCCAGCGTCGATCGCTATGGACGGAAAATCCAAGCGGAGAAAGGCAAGAAGGAATTAGAAGAGAGATTTCAGCTTGAAGAGGACGAAGATGAAGATGCGCCAGAATTGGTCAAATCATCTTCACGGAAAGCCGCAAATGCATTGGAGGAGGGCGATGAGTCTGAAGAGGACGATGAAGAGGATGAGGAAGAAGCTGGTAGGGCTACGACACTTGCGAGGCGGGACCCCGCGCGACAAGGTGGTTTCGCAGACGCAACATCTTCAGAAGAAGAGTCTTCAGAAGAGGAAGAAGAGGAAAGTGAAGCAGAGATCGAGTTAGCTGAGTTGACCGCCGGTCAAGAACAGGACGAAGAGATTCCCATGGGCGACGTCACGAAGAGGATAGCGGCCGTCAATTTGGATTGGGACAACATTCGAGCTTCAGATATCATGGCCGTCTCATCAAGTTTCGTGCCCGAAGGCGGAAAGGTGCAGCGGGTGATAATTTATCCCAGCCAGTTCGGGAAAGAGCGACTACAGCGTGAGGAGCTGGAGGGACCTCCCAAGGAGATCTTCAGTGCAGGAAAGAAGAAAAGCGCTGAGGATGACGAGGAAGAGGACGAGGAGGACAGTGAAGATGAGGAAGCTCGAATCAAAAAGCAACTCCTTGACGAACAGACTGGCGAAGGTGATGAATTCGACACAGCAAAGCTGCGGCAATACCAGCTGGAACGACTAAGATATTACTATGCGGTTATTGAGTGCGACAGTGAACGGACGGCCAAAGCGCTGTACGATTCCATGGACGGGCGAGAATACCTCTCTACTGCAAATTTCTTCGATTTGCGCTTCGTTCCTGACGAGACTTCCTTTGAAGATGACCAACCCCACGAAGAATGCGATTCTCTGATCTCAGGCTATCGACCGAACGAATTCAAGACCGAAGCTCTCACTCACTCCAAAGTTCGCCTCACCTGGGACGACGATGATGCCACCCGCAAGGAAGTTCAAAAACGCGCTTTCTCTCGTGCTGAGATGGACGAAGAAGATCTGAAAGCTTATATTGGCTCCGACTCCTCCGATGCCGAAAGCATATCCTCCAAGAAGTCCTCAGCCGAAGATCGCAAGGCGAAGAAACGTGACGCACAGCGTGAGAAGATGCGTGCAGCCCTCGGTCTTGCCCCGGAGCCAACAGCCAAATCTTCATCGAAGAAGAACCCCGCTGAGCCAGTTGGAGACATGCAAATTACCTTCACATCCGGCCTGGGAGGCGGCAAAGAAGGCAAAAGTGTCTTTGAGAACGAGCCCCAGGACGAAGAGAGCACCCGCGCCCGCTACATCCGCAAAGAACGCGAGCGAAAACAACGCCGCAAAGAGAAAAACAAAGCCGGCGGCAAACCCGACGATGGCGAAGCCGACGACGCAGAGGTTGCCGAGAACGACGACGAAGAAGCTGAAGAAGCAGACCCCTTTGACGATCCCTTCTTCAACGACCCCTCCGCCGCCTCCAAAGCCGAAGCCAGCGCCAAAAAAGCCGAGAAACAACGCAAACGCGCCGCCCTCGCCGCCACCGACGCCGAAACCCAACAACGCGCCGCCGAACTGGACCTGCTCATGGCATCCGAGCAAGCGGACAACCTCCGGCACTTCGACATGCGGGAGATCAAGAAGGCGGAGAAGGACGCCAAGCGAAGCAAGAATAAGAAATTCAAGAACAAATCGGCTGCTGCCGCCGAGGCTGCTGTGGCAGATGAATTCCAGGTCGAAACGGATGATCCAAGATTCAAGAAACTTTTTGAAAGTCATGAGTTTGCGATTGATCCGACCGATCGGTTATTTGCGGGGACGAAGGCGATGAAGGCTACTGTTGAGGAAGGGAGGAAGAAGAGGAGAAGGGTTGGTGGGAAGGGAGATGAGGCGCCGGAGGAACCTGAGGAGGAGGAGAGGAGGGAGAGGAAGCAGGGGAAGAAGGCGAGACGGGCGAGGGTGTAAACTTGACGCGAGTCACTGTATTGTGTCGATATCATGTTGTCTTCTGTAAGACGGACTTGTACGCCTGAACTATGGTCAAATGAGTCTGTGTTTGTTGTACGCCTGCTTGCCTCTCCCCACCCCAGGGTACACTCTGTCCATTGCCGTAGAAAAGGTCACGTGTGAGATGGAAAGGAAACACTACACTGATGATACCCAAGACTTGTAACCAATTCTCCCTCACAAAACCTCACTCCCCATCCTCCCCATCATCAACGCATCCACCATCTCGCCCTTCCTCAGAAAACCATCCCTGGCAGGTAAACACAGCAGAGCATTCGCGCCGCGGAAACTTCCGATCCGCGAACTTCTCTGTCCACCCGTACTCCTGGCAAGTAATTTCCCATCACTCTGCGCCGTGACGACGACACGATGGTACTCATTCCTCTTCGCATCAAGCCTCACATCCTGCTCGAGCACGACGCGGATCTTGGGCAGTCCCACGGGTTGCTGGCCTGAGAGTTGATGTAATGCGGGGAGGGCGAAGAGGTGGAATGTCACGGCCGCTGAGGCCGGGTTGCCGGGGAGGGCGAAGAGGAGTTTCTTTTGGGGAGCGCTGCCCCCGTCTGGAAGAGGCGATTTGATGGTGATGCTTGCGAAGGTTGTGGGTTTGCCGGGTTTCATGGACACGCGGCCGAAGTGGATCGTTCCGTTTAGGGAGCGCTCGATGGTGGGTTTGAGCAGGTCGAGTTCGCCCATAGAGACACCGCCGGAGGTGAGGATTATGTCGACCTGCTGTAGGGCGGAGCGAAGGGATTCTTCGAGGGCGTTGGGTCTGTAAATGGAAAAAGCTTGTGTTAGCGATGTGGTTTAAGTGGAGATGATGGAGTGTGAACTTACCGATCTGAGGCAATGCCGAGATCTACAGCCTCGTATCCTGACGCGCGAATGAGGGTAAGGAGCGTCGGACGATTCGTATCACGCACTTCGCCTAATTGCAATTCGCCTGGTCGATCGTGGTTGATGATTTCATCGCCGGTGCTCAAGACACCTACGATGGGCCTACGATAGACCAGGACTTCCCGCGTGCCGACTGAGGCCAATAATCCCAGCTCGCCACCTTCCGCCGTGATGGCTTCGCCTTTCCGCAGGATGATATCGCCAGCCTTGACATCACTTCCGATTTCGCGGACGTTCTCGCCGGGTTCGGTGGCATCGGTGAGAATCTCAATCTCATGTTCCTCTTTACCGTCGGGGGTTCGTGATCGAAGGATTGTGTCCTCGACCATAACGACAGCGGTGGCGCCAGGAGGTAATGGTGCGCCAGTTGTGATTCGGGAGACCTCGCCGGTCGTCAATGCGGGTACCTGACCGGGTTTGGCGTGGGAAATGCTGACCACCGGAAAGATACCTTTGGTGCTTGGGACAAGAACGTGATTTGATGCGATGATGGCGTAACCATCGACGATGCTAGCTCGAAATGCCGGAACATTCTCGGCGGCTACAACGTCTTCAGCGAGGACGTAATTGATGAGATTTTCGTCCACCTTGGCTCGAATGATCTGGGGCGCGGGAGTGTGTGTGTGAATCTGTTTCAGTGCATCTTCGACGGACAGCATGGGGTATGGTGACTCTCGGTAGCGTCGCGTCGGACCAGCTGTGGGATCATTTGACAATGCGGGTCGATCTTGAGGTGCTGTCCTTGCGACGGGCATTTGATGACCATGAGTGTGATTGTTGGAATGAGAGTGATCGTGGTTATGTGAACAGCCGTGTGATACTTGCGGAGGCTGCTGTTGAGCTCGAGGTGGAGAGTTTGAGTTCCTTCTCAGACTTCCACTGCTCTCTTGTGCTGCTCGCTCCTCTGCAGGAGGAGTAATGGACTTGCTTCTTAGACCAGCATCCTTTTCAAGCTTTGCAATTCCACCAGCATGAAGCGCTCGTGAATCCCCGCCGCTAGCCTGCTTACATGCATGTGGTAGCAGTGGCAACAGCGCCTGTAGATTCTCTTTTGCACCTTTCGGCGAACCTGGAAACGTAACAATGACTGTATTATTGCGCACTCCTGCAACAGGTCTTCCCATCGCCGCGACTGATTTGACGTGTCAGACTTCGTATTCCCGTGTGATTCGTCAGCTGACTGATACGTACAAGGAGTGATCGCCATGGAAGACGCCAGCATGCAATGGACGAGTCCTGAGGCATGTTTCTGTATTAAAGGTCCAACGGCCTGTAGACACGTCAGCTCGGAACGAACACTCGGATGCATCGAAAGGCTCCATCTTATTATCCTTTCTCTCAAAATGGAACGAAGAATTAAGAAAAAAACCTCACCTCAGGAGTAACATCCTTCTGTGAAAACCCGGTCCCCCCACTCGTGACGATCAAGTCTACCTGCTCACCGACCTGCGCCCATTTCGCCACAACCTCCTGAATCGCCTCGATGTCGTCCGGGACAATTTTACTCTTGCGAATGCTCCATGATTTGCCTGGAAATTCAGAAAATGTTTGGATCAATGTGGGAATGACTTTATCTGTGGAGGCATCCCGCGAGGCCGTATCGGAGATGATAAGGATGGCAACTCGGAAGGGTTGAGGAGTTGTCGCCATAGTTTCTTCCGCTCCCCGAGAGACTTTATCGGTTCAGCGATTGGGAGAGGTCGGCTTCGGGAGCTTTCTGTTCCTAGTCGACCGGATCATACGCCGATCACGATTCTCGACGCCGGCTTGACTCGGGATAAGAGAATTGGTGGGGAGGTGACGTCGAAATTGAGGGTGCCGCTAGACTGGTTTGAGCTGTCTTCGCTCTTTCACCTCTCTGCTCCGTGGACGGAGGAGAGTAAAAATGGGGCATCAACGCCGCAAAAGAGGAGACGATATACCCTATGTCTCAAAGGATGCGAAAGATCTTTATATATGATCTGTTACTAGGTGCAATTCGCACAACTTCGTGACGAGTCTTCGCCCCACACGAACCCTATCACATGCAATACCACCACCGGCGCCTCATATCGATTAACACATCACGGTGATCAGTGGCGAGAAGAGAAGAGAGATGGAGACTCCACGATCTACTGTCAGACTCCTCATGTCAGTCTATTTACTGAAATGCTCCAGTGGTTCATCACAATTAGTCCCACCACGAATCCAATAGTTTAGTACCCTTCTCCACTCCGCTCCACGGATTCCTGAGTGATGGGACATGCATATCGGCCAAGCCCAGGGATCGCCACGCGCTAAGAAGTGAGACATCGCGGGCTTCAATCTATCTTCGATATATTGCTTCCCTCTCGCCCTATGACAATTCAAATAGGAATCTCAAGACGTAGCTCTAGTAGGTTAACGTGCGAGCCCTGGAGCTTGTCTCCATTCGACAAAGCCAATAGCGATAGCTTCGAGGATGCTCTGAAATGGGAAGGTGCTGGGCCAGATGCTCTCTGTGATTTTGTGAGATAAGTGAGAATCGATCTTTACGAAAATCGATGTCTGGGTCTTTGTGCCGGTCCACCTGATGGGGAGATCGAGAGGAAAAGAACAACCTTCAGCGATTGTGTCCAATTAATCCTGCGGAGAAAATAGGGGTTCAAATTGACGATAGCACTGCTGCACATATTACCTCTCATTGCACATTTACCGCACATGGCACATTCCTCTCCATCGTTGTGACCACTCATACATAGACATCCACACTAAAAGACACTCAAAGTCTCGACTCCCTAACAATCTGCAGATCCTCCCTACCAAGATCCCGAATCGATCGCTTCCCCATATTCCCCAACATGTTGTCCGTATCAGCGAGAAGGCACTTGAGGACATGTTCCACGCCCTGCTGACCAGCAATAGCCAGGCCATACATATACGGACGACCGATGAGCACGGCTTTCGCGCCTAGTGCAAGAGCTTTGAGGACGTCACTTCCAGTGCGGATACCGCTGTCGAAGAGGAGAGTAAGCTTGGAATCTTGGACTTTAGGATCTGAGGAGATTTCCGCCAGGGCGTCGAGAGAGGCGATGGCGCCGTCGAGTTGGCGACCGCCGTGGTTGGAGATGATGATGCCGTCGATGCCGTATTCGATGGCTTTGTGTGCGTCAGAGACGGTCTGGATGCCCTTGAGCACGATGGGGCCGTCCCAGAGTTGTTTGATGGTTTCGAGATGTTCCCAGGATCGGTAGGTGGCAGAATTGAGGACGTCGAGCCAGGCTTGGGATTTGCGGAGCGTGGTAATGTTGGTGAGGACTTTGAGCGCGCCATATAACGTGCCGGGACGGAGGAGCGTGGAATAAGCTTCGGAGAGTTTTTCCGACAGGGAGCGGGAGTCGGCGGCGAGGCCTGTTTCGTAGCGGGCGTTAAAGACTGGATCAGAGAAGCCGATTTGACAGCCGAGGCCGTAGATGAAGGGAAGGTAGGATTCGTCTAGATCGGTGGGACGCCAGGCGAGGTTGAACGTATCAAGGGTAATGACAAGGACTTTGTAGCCGTTGTTTTTCGCGCGACGGAGGAGGCTAGCAGTGATTTCCTCGTGTTGTGGTTTGGGCCAGTAAAGTTGGTACCTGCAAAGTACCGGGAAATCGTCAGAAAAACAAATCACACAAATAGCCAATTCGTACAAACTCACCATCGTTCACCATAGTCACTCGCTTTCGCGACCTCCTCGATCGTCCTCGTCGCCGCAGTCGAAAGCACCATCGGCACGCCCAAGTTCTTACACGCCCTAGCAGTAGCCTCCTCACCATCCTGGTGGACAATCCCCTGAACACCCACCGGCCCGACCAAAATGGGAGATTTGTACCGATGGCCAAACAACTCGACGCTCAAATCTCTCCGGGTGGCATTGACCAACATGCTAGGACGGAGACGATACCGGTCGAAGGCATCGACATTGAAGGTATTCGTCTTGCCCGAACTGGCGGAACCGTAGACGTAGCCGAAATTGGGACCGGGCAGTTTGGCACGTGCTAGAGATTCCCATTCGGACGGTTTGGTCGAGAAGAGCGGTTTGCGGAGGCCGGAGTAGATTTCGCGTTGGTAGGAGGAGAAGGCCTCTGGATCGGGGAGCTCGTAGGGACGGTCGAGAGTGGAAGGGGTTTGCTTGATGGAAGCCATTTTGACTCGTCCTTGTAGATGGAAAATGCCTTGGAAGGCCGATAGGGTCAGGATATATCCCACGCTCTGATTGTATCCTTGTGAATCAGGCTCGACGATTGTACGATGAAGCTCGTCGGCAATGCGCTGATCATGAACAAGGTGGATGTAGCAAGGTAGATGTAGCTTTCCCAAGAGACCATAATGACGAAGAATCCGGGGTAAAGACCAAAATCCACCTCGGGAGCCGCAAACGGCTTAGCGCAATCGACAACAGAATACGGCCCGAGTGCTCTGTTGTTCAACGCGTTGAGTATAAAATCTATGTCAACGAATGAATCTAGCACGATCGTTCATACAAAGCAAAGAGATGTATGTACAGTACAATACAGTTGGGAAGTTATTTCCTCATACCAAGCTTCGTTTTGCGTAGTCTTTCATCATATGTAGCCCCCTCAATCATATCGTCCTGTCCCCACCAGATATCCAGCGACAAAAAGAAAAGTATGGCCTGACGGAACGATAGCTGTGACATGAAAGAAAAAGCAAAAGCAAAAGACGAACGCCTCGCTTGAACGCAGCAGTGATAGCAGCAATAGCAGCAATAGCACAAAAGAGACATCGAAAAAGATATACTCTGAAAAACAAAGCAGAAAAGTCGAGCAAATCTTCCTCGGCAAGTGTTGAGATCCGTGGAGGGGAGAGTGCAGGCGTTAGGCAGATGCGGTCGACCGAGACACGACGATCCAGGACTGGTGGAGAGCATCACAAGTCTTCATCGTCCATATCAATCTCGTCTGCATTCTTGACTGGGGCAACAACCTGAGGCAGGATATCCTTCTTCGGTCCTCCCTCCGGGCCGGTGCTCGCCGCGACGAAACCCATTGGAGCTCTCGCCTGCCTCTCCAGCGCAGCCATAGCATCATCGGCAGGGGCACCATCGCCACCAAGATCGCCGCCATCGCCATTCTGCTGATGCTGAGCCTGCTGTTGTCTGGCAACGGCCTGACTAGCGATGAAACTAACGTCGGTATTGAACTGCGCGACGACACTCCTCTTGACGCGCAGCATCTCCTTGAAAGTATCCTCGTTTCCGTGGGCGACTTCGAAACCCTCCCACTTGCGCCAGAATTCTGGCTGGACGCGGGGATCGCAGAATTGGCTCGCGTGGCCGTAGATGGCGCGGGCGCGGTCGATCTCGCCGAGCCGCCGCTCCATCTCGGCGAATTTGACACACATGGCGGCGGCCTCTTTGTCGGGGAGGGCGGCGATGGCGTCCATGTAGATGGTGCGGGTGGAGGTCAGACCGATGTTAGAGGCCGATTTAGTGATGAGAATTTCGAACATTTCGCTGCGGTCCTCATCGGCGACGGCGCGGGTAGCGCGGCCATAAATACGCATAGCGCTGCGGGCGAGGCCGCGTTCTTCTTCCAGTGCGCCGTACATGAGGTAGAGAGTTTTGGCGAAGCGTGGGGGGCAGCCGTCGATGGCTTGCTCGAAGAGATCTCGTAGTCGCTCGATGCCGATCTTGCGATCCATGGCTTTGGTCAGATAGAGATTCCAGAGCTCGAAAGCGACAGGGTAGGAGAAAATGTCAAGGCCGCGCTCGTAGATTTTGAATGAGTCTTCGTAGTACCCGTTTTCTTCGAGAAGGTTGGCGTAGTTGACAACAGTTTGCGGAGTAGCGATGCGAAGTTCAAAGATGCGTTCGTAGATTTTGCGGGTCTCGGCGAGGGATGAAACGGACTCGACAAGATCGACGTAGAATGACCATACCTTCCATGACTTGTGTAAACGCTGCTGCGGAGATAGCGTCTCATCGAAATAATCCACATTGCTTCGTTTTGGAGCTTTGGTGGCATTAGACATGACCGCGACGGCTTGATCAAAATTCTCATTTCGGAGTTCAAGCTCAGCCCATTGTGTCCACATTTCAGCGAGCTCAGTTACCGACTTATATGGGACCTTGACAGCTTTGTCTAGAATCACTCGTGCTGTTTGCAGATCACCACCCGCTTCGTAAAATTTGGCATAATTTGTCCAAAGCTCATAGAATTGGCCAACAGCTTTCTTGGGATTGATCGCAGCGATCGCATCAGCATAGGTTTGCACAACCATGTTTTTGTTGTCGCTCCACAGCGCAACGCGTTTTTGCCATTCAATGACATTGTGAGGGTTTTGTCGGAGGAGGACATCGTTCACTAGGAATGGCCTTCGGTCCATGAGTTGCTCGAATCGCATCATGTGAATGTCCACATCCAGATCTGCATCAACGTCGACTTTGTTCTTTTCTTGTCGGGTCTTCGACTCCTGCAGCTTCATCTCAAGTAACGTTTCCTCTGCATCGGCATATGTGTCAAAGACGATCGAGAAGTCCCGCACGGTCATGACGGTCGTGACGCCTTCTTCAAAAATGTCCCGAGCCCGCTCAAATGCTCGGAGATTGATGTAGTATCGTGCCAAGCCGACCCACAGGATACCACGTTGATCCGGAAATCTCTCCAGACCAGATCGGATGATGGTCTCGACGGCCATACTGCTGCCATCGGGAAATGGGATTGGATTCGGTATTACTTTTGCATTGTCGATCAAAATCTCAAGCATCTCTGTCCAATGTTGGAATGGTCCTCGGGCTTCTCTTGACTTGAACTTGGGATTGTTCAAAATAGCAATGTACCGTTGTACAGCCTCTGTGTATTTTCCCTCCTGCACAAGCAGTTCGATGTATTCTTCGACGTGCTCCGGGTGGGTCTGCACGTATCGCCTCCAAATCTTCACCGCCGTCTCACCGCCCGCCGAGTTTGCGAAAGGTCGATAGAGTGCCCAGATACGATCATGTTGAGTCAACGGCAGTGCTCGAAGTGCTCGGTTAAATGTGCGGCGTGTCGAGGTGACGAGTGGTTGACGACAGAGAAAGTTCAGGTACATGGTCCAGATGACGGGCATTTTGTTCAACAACACCAGGGCTCTTTCGAACAGCGCATTCACTTTTTGAAACTCCTGCTGATATCGTGACGGACTCTTTCCCTTCAGATGCAACACTCTCAATTCGAGGTACATCTTCCATAATTTATAACTCCGCGGCAATGCTCGACATGCGCGCTCGAGGACAAAGGATTGCTCCAGAAGTGTTCCATATTGTCGTTTGAAGCTAATATAGTTCAGCCACGCTTTGATATTGCCTTGATCCCGGAGAACATCCTGCTCGTATATCTCATCATTTTGCGAGATGAGAAATAACTGCGGCGCCGAGTTGCCAGTGGGGATTGGTGGAGTGTTGGACGGCATGGCCATTTTGGCGGCCGTGGCTGGAGAGACAGGCGACTTGGTGGTCAAGGTGGTGATCTCTGAGGATTTTCGACGTGTCGGCAGTCCGATGTAATTGTTCAATGCGAATGGACGATTGTTGCTATTGCTGCTGCTGCCGTACAAAAGCATCGCGACGTTGCCTATGGAGTGCGCGACAGCGACGACAAAGACTGCGCGTGCGGCAACAATTGGCCAACGGTTCTGGCGGGATTTCGCGTCGGACGACTTTATTTCTCCGAAGCCCGCGGGCGTCTCTCACATCAGCTTCACGGTATGAACCGCAACCCCTGCACGTGCCCTGCTTGACGGACCATCTGTGTAAACGGAACAAAGAACTCAGAACTTCCTACAATTGTTATTATCATCCACCTGGGCAGTGTTATAAGCCATACCGAAATGGTTCTTTACTATCATCATCATCATCATCATCATCATCACGTTCTGCTTGTTATAATGATTCACTCTCCCTATCTTCAAACAAAAACGACATGAGCTCCACCTGCTACCTGTCACGGGCCATGTTGGCAGCGTCGCGAGGCTGAGATGGATGACATGAACAACATCGCATTATTTACACTTTCCGAAGGCCCAATTGCCACTAAGACACGCTGCCACGAGCCTCTGTACGATATAAGAGCATTATGACACGTCTTTCGGACTCTTTCAAGCATGTTGTGCAGATGCGGCAGGGTACGCAAGACTTTCGGCGGCAGCTCTTGTTCAGTTTATGGCAGTCGAAAAACCACAAAGACGTCGAAATTACTCGGGACTCGCCTCAAGCATAAAATTGAGTCCAGAGTGCACGGCATTACCTGAGATGTAGCAGGTACGAGGGTCTTAATCGGGACTCATTCTACGACAATGCTGCTATTCCGTCATGGCCTGATTTGTGTCAGTCGGTTAATCGCCCAACTCGACGGCCGTGGCTGACTCCCTTTACCCTAATGATCGCAAGAACTTCTGCTATTCCCGCGGCACCTGGGAATTATCAGACTGCATCGCTGTGAAAGACATTCCTGGCGGCGCGCTGCGTGCTCCTGGCCAGTGAACAACGCGATGTCGCGAGCTGCCCAGGTTGATGCTCCGCACCGCGGAAGAAGATCAACCTTCTCCACCTGGCCGAAGGTTGCCGCCTGGTTTAGCACAATCCATTGATAGCTGTCTACTGCATCGAAACCAGCACTCATGCTTGCTAGAGCCTGCTAAAGACTAGGGAGACGGCTACAGCATTTCCGCCGAAAGTATGCGCGAGCGCCCGAGTAAGTCCTGCTAGCTATCACCATAGCGGAAGCCCCTCGTACGAAGCAAGGTCGCAACTTCATGATGCCCTGCGCGAAGGGCACCCTGGAGGACAGTCTCGTGTTTGCTTCCCTGGATTTCCACTTCGACGGCGCCCTTGTCGAGTAGTAATGTTACGATCTCTATGTCACCGTGCAGAGAGGCAGCTCGTAGGGCGTTGCGATAAATGCCTCCCTGCGCGTTCACGTCGGCGGCGCCCTTGTCGAGTAATAGCGTAATGACCTCTACTTGATCGTTAGCGGAGGCAGCCTGGAGAGCATTGCCGAAACTACCTCCCTGCGCGTTTGCATCCGCGCCCCTAGCGAGTAGTATATCAACAATGTTTACGAGGCCATTAAAGGATGCAGCCTGAAGTGCGTTGCCGAACACGCCCCCCTGCGTACTCACGTCGGCGCCTCTGTCGAGTAGCAGCACAAACACCTTAACGTTATCGCGGGATTCCGATAACGTAGCCTGGAGAGCATTACCGTAGTGGCCTCCCTGCGCGTTCACGTCAGCACCTCCGTCGAGTAGTAGCGTAACGATCTCTAGGTGATCGCTGTGCGAGGCAGCTTGGAGAGCGGTGTTGTAGTAGCCTCCCTGCGCGTTCACGTCGGCACCTCCGTCGAGTAATAGCGTAACAGTCTCTACGTGACCATGGTGTGATGCAGCCTGGAGAGCGCTATCGTATTCGCCTCCCTGTAAGTTGACATCGGCGCCTCTCTCGAGTAGTATCGTAACGATCTCTTTGTGACCATTGACTGATGCAGCCTGGAGGGCAGTACCACAAGCGCCTCCCCGTGCGTTGACCGCGTTGACGTCGGCGCCTTCAAGTAGCTGATTTGCAATCTTTCCAAGACCAAGATAGCTCGCATAATACAAGCCATTCGAGGCAAATTTTCTGTCATCGGTGTCAAAAGGCTGCTCCCAATATTCATCAGGCTGGTGGACCGCGAGCCAGTCGCACATTTTGCCTTCTGATGTCAACAGAGAAATTGCAAGCCTATTGCTTTCATCTTGTTGCTGCAACTTAGCATGGTAGAACCACGTCTTACTAACGTACTCTAGTAGACGGAACGTCTCCAAATCGTGTTTGCTAGTACATTTTTCTGCAGAGCCACTGTAATGATGCAAGTACGCAAGACAGCTTTGTGCAAGGAAGCCGTGTTCTCGTGCGGGATCAAGGTGAAACATGTCAATGTTGCTCGCTAGTATTCGCGTAGACTCAAGGAACTCTTGTACTGAAAAGTGGGCTAGTCTGATCTTCGTGTTCCCGGTAACTTCAGTAGACTTCTGAACGTCGATAGAGTCCTGGTTGTTACTGTCGTCCTGTTCGCTCTGTGTTGACACTAGTCCAGTGAGAACTGCTAACGTGTCTGTCCATCCACCGCGATTGTCCACGTCCACTACATCCTCCACATCCGCCTTATCTGCAGGTAGAATGATGGTTGCCTCTGCGAGTTCGTAAAGTGTCAGAGGTGATTTTGCATAGGTGATCCACCGCAGCAGTATGAGGGCGTCGGCACGATTATACTCCGAGATGCTCGTGAGCATTTGTATGTATGTCTCGTCTAGTGTTTCCGGCAAAGTAGACAAGGCTTGACTTATCACTTTTGGCTTCGTAGACTTGGTCTTCCTTAGCTCCTGAAGCTGACACACTGCCCACCTAAACCTGTATGTTCGATGATCATTAGCTCCCGCTCCCACTCCTGTTCCAGAAGCTGTTAGTGCACACTTACATGCCCTTAGCCTTCAGAGTCAGTGTGTCTTCCACTATTTTCTTGCTCGAAGCAGGCCATTGTCGCAGCTGCGTGTCTTCAGCCAGCTGCGTCGAGATGAACCTTCGAATATCAGAGTCGATTGCCTGTTTGTCGAGTAGCATTGTAGTAGCTCCGATGCCTTCCATGCGAGAACGAACATCCGGATAGTCTCTGCTAGTCGCTATCAATCGGATCTGGGGAAACTCGCGCAAAAATGTTTCAAGTGAAGCTAGGATATCTAGTCGGGCGTCTCGCTGACCTAGACATTCATCCAACCCGTCCAGATGGAGAAAAATTAGGTCGTACGATCTGATGACAGCTGCTAAGATCCGATACAGCTCATCCGTTCCGATGGGCGCAGACCTCTCGTACGCTTGGCGCAACAGCGAGACTCCTGGTTCTCTGTGTCCTAGCTGTACAACCATAGATCGGATCAGGCTCTCATACGTTTGCTTTGTCTGGTCTGAGAAGGAAAAGTAGAATATAGCTTGGCCAACGTTTGTACGATTGTGAACATGTGCTTGTACATCCTCAATAGCTGTAGAGCACAGGATCGTCTTGCCACACCCTGCAGGCCCATAGAGCCAGAGAGCATGGATGTGGTCTGAGTTAGCCTTCCATGCTCGATATATCTCGCTTTGCAGTAGCCAAGCACCGGTCTCGGGCTCATGCTGCTTCCGAGCAGTCTGATGATTCTCCCACGGATTACTTGATGATACCCAATTAGTAATCTTTCGGTACCGTTCGGCTTCCCTCGACTCGCGTTCCTCGCGTTCTCGAATAGCAGCAAGGAGGCGATCCCTAGCCTTTCCCTTCTCGCCGTAGTTGGCGGGTAAGGACACGTTTAAGATGCCGTATAGGGCGTAAGTCATATCCTCTTCTTCAGTAGTCTTTCTACCCTCCATCCATTGAAGCTTTTGACTAGTAGAATATTGAGTGCTACGCTGATACTCTTGTAGCACCTCTACTGGCACATTTGTGATCCTAGCAATGACTTCCTCCAAACTGCGGCCGACATTTGTTCCGGAGTATCCGCTCGTTATGGCCCCTTTATTTCCAATCACTTTCCAGGTTCGTGTCAAGAATACGACTGTGCATGGTGCCAGCAGCTCTTACAGCGTCCATCCTCTCTCAAACCATTCACTTCGCTCAAGACCCACTTCATTCTCAGGCTCGTCAGACTCCTCAACATCCCGTAGATATGCGAGGCAGATGTCTGCTTTTTGGTACCACTCGAACATCAAGTTAATAGCTTTCGACAATTCAGCCGCGCTGTCCTTGTTAATACAACATGTGTCGATCCATAGCCACTCGACGCCAGGGATGTTCAGCTTTATATAATCAGCAAAGTCTATGACTTTCCGGTACCCTGTGGTTAATGTGTTTTGCGTGTCTCTGACGTCTGCAAAAGTCGCCTCGTGCTCGTCCCATCGGTGAGATGCGATGGCATACGCAGGCCTACTTTGCTCGCGGAACTCAACGAGCTTCAAGCTATGGATGTTGAGCAGCCGCATGTTGAGTCATAGTGATGGAGGAAAATTAAATCAATATTCCGTGCACCGACTTCCTGGTCATGGCGGTCGTTGGAACCGAGAGTGTATTTTTGCAGTAAATGCTGACTTGCGGCTGTGCTATCTTCCATATGTGCATATGCAATGACCTCCCTTGACAAGTGCGGGACCGCGTGCACACCTGCAGCGGCAGCAGGGCAGTGCAGCGCCACATCGGTCTGGCGAAGCAGCGAGCTACCACAAAGACGCGCAAAAGGCCTTGAACGACGGACGCGCGCCGTTGACGAATGCCTCACTTTGCAAGACTTACATGTAGATTGACGAGGCTTGTGTGATATAGTGATGTTCAGAAGCGCATCCAGTACAGAAACATTCCAAGGTTGTTGGCTACTACGGACGGAGCTGGAGCCGGCTCTAATGCATGCCGTGATGCCGTGATGGTCATGGTGAGTTGCAACGTCGTGATATCGTCGTCTGCCACTGCAAGTTCCCATCACAGCGAAGCTCCAAATCACATGCATGCTTTTCGGGAATCGTGATGTTCCGTACATCTGTTATGCTTACAATAAAGATAATTGTACGGCGAGCGCAATGTTCAGCCAATCGTGAAGAATGATGAAGGATCGTAAGTAGAGCAGAAACGCGCTGCGGGCCGAGCAAGCGGAAGACCCGTCGGTAGGCAAGTTCCGACGTCACAGAGAGTGAGAGACAGATACAGCTTGACGATGTTACTCCAGAGTGAAGCTCCAGAACTATTGTATCTCCCCATGTACACTACACAAAGCTACCACCATTGACAGTTTGTTTTCATAAAACGAACCTCCAGAGGAGAACTCGCCGACTTCTATCTGATCTCTCTCTGATACGTCCATACTCAAGTGACGACCATTCATAAGCATAGCCTATCATGTCGGGCGCCGGTGTACGCAATCGTCCCATACCACAACTCCCAGTTCACAACCATGATCAATTCCCACTAATGCGCATCCCTCTCCATAGGACCGTGAACCGGTCTTCCCGACCCGCCAATCCCTCGGCATAATGAAATCCAAACTCAAAGGCGCCCAGACAGGCCACGACCTCCTCAAACGCAAATCCGAAGCTCTCACCAAACGTTTCCGCGACATCACGCGCCGCATCGCCGACGCCAAGGAGAAAATGGGCAAAGTCATGCAAATCGCCGCCTTCTCTCTCGCCGAAGTCACCTATGCCACGGGAAATAATTCGATCGGATACCAGATCACGGAGACGGCGCGCGAGGCTAAGTTTCGCGTCAGGACGAAGCAGGAGAACGTGTCAGGTGTGTTTTTGCCGCAGTTTGAGAGCTTTACGGTGGAGGGTGTGAGCGATTTCGGTATGACGGGTCTCGGAAGAGGTGGACAGCAGGTGGCCAAGTGTCGGGAGACGTACACGCGGGCGGTGGAGACGCTCATTGAGCTGGCGAGTTTGCAGACGGCGTTTGTGATTCTGGATGATGTGATCAAGGTGGTAAACCGGAGAGTCAACGCAATGTATGTTTTGTTCGAGGATCCATCCCCCATACTCTTCTACGGAAGTTTCACAGAGAGGGAGAGACTCATCACTGACACGATTTCATCACCACAGCGAACACGTCATCATTCCCCGGACGGAAAATACTATCAAATACATCAACTCGGAACTCGACGAACTCGATCGAGAGGAATTCTACCGGTTGAAGAAAGTCAAGGGTGTCAAGGAGCGGGCACAAGCGGAGGAGGAACTGGAGAGAAGGAAGAAAGCCGCCTGTGCATCTGGAAGTGACAAGGAGAATGACAGCGGGGAGGCGAAGAATGTTCTCGGCGATGATGGTGATGAGGATGTAATTTTCTAGAGCATGAGTATGGCGAGGACGCGAAACATATCAATCTGTACAGCGATCACTTTGAATGCTTCCCAAACTTGTCGTGTATCAGGAAGCTTTTCTGATTGAACTTGGGTCGAGCTGCACTCACGGCGGCGCATTCTGGCATTCCTGGCGAGAGAATTACCAGCCGATGAACAGATGGATATGCAAGATACCAGAGATGTCACAAATCCCGATGAGCTTCACACTGAGTGACTGTCGAAACAGTCATTCCTGTACGGGGACAACGTAGCCACGAGATAGTCGCCTGACAATTGGAATACTTGAGGGTGTGCACATCAGGCGAAGGCACGAAATAACCACTTAATTACGTGTGACTTGTACCGTTTATATGCCGATAATCCAAGAGGTCTCGTTCCTAATGTTTGCCGCGTCGTTGGTCGTCGACTGTCTGTGATAAGCTTTCCTTTGTTGCAGATCAATCTAGATCTAGGGTATCGTCGCTCCGAACGGACCAGAGGCATCGGTTCAAGTCCCATTGACTAGGTCCACGATCGTCGTCAGTGGCTCGCTGATGCATGAATTGTTAGCGAACGTCATATGATAGACAGAGAACGAGTGATGATGGGGGAGACCCCGCCGCAGGAATGCCTGGATCTCTTCCCCAAGCCCTGACTAAAATAGTCGAAAGAGGGGCAAGGATCGCGACTCCAAGCCGTCCCATTCATTTGTCTATGCCATAGTGTGAAAACATGTTGTCAGCAGAATATGGAGGAGAAAAACGGGAGGACAATGTCTCAGGCAGCCACCACAATCACACAACCGCGGCACAGTCAAGGACATGCATATGCAAGAGTTCACGCGTCTATTCGAAAGTAGCAAAAAGCGTCATCTGAGATCTGTGGGTGTAGTCAGAACGAGGAAAAGAGAGGCCTAGTCTATACATGCTTCTTGATGTGTGACACGTTTGGAATGTGACACTATCATTTCTTCTCCCTGGTCAATTGCTTCACCTCCTCCGCCGCTCTATCTACCACCAAGAAGTCACCCTCTTCTTGGATCTATCACACACACAGCGACAACGCCATATCCACTCACAGGCATATATACAGAGATACTCGAGATAGATCATGGTCCCAAGCAAGTACCGAAGAACATCGCTCATACCTTAATCGCGGAAATCGATTGCGAACATGCGGTTGCTCAATGTTCACACATTTGAGTTTCGAACCTTCCTCGGCGATGACGTCCCAAACTACTCTATTGCATCACATAGGTGGATTCACGATGAGGCATCCATCAAGGATATCATAAAGAAGAGGAATATCGAGAGTGGAGGATATCAAAAAGTTGAGGGCTTTTGCTCATACGTCAAACAGGCCAATTCGCTCTACAAAGACTCCCACCCGGATTTATGCTGTGATTATCTCTGGATTGATACGTGCTGTATCGATCAGAAGAGCAGTCTGGAGGTCGACACGGCGATTCGGTCCATGTTCCAGTGGTACAACAAGTCGGTCATCTGTTATGCATACCTTGCAGATGTGGAACCTCTTTCGGTGGGCAACGATCGCGTCGAGGCGAGCTTCCGGGAGAGTGTCTGGTTCAGTCGTGGATGGACTCTACAGGAACTATTGGCGCCGCGGACAGTGGTCTTCTTGACCAAGAATTGGGAAGTTATCGGACACAAATGTACAAGCAGTGCCATCACAGATGGTGGACAATGTCCGGGCGTGGGTCATCGACTGAATGGGATAATCTCCGAAATCACTGGTATCCCGGAACTAGTTCTCTACGATTACCCGCGTAGTAAAGAGCTCAGTATCGAGGAGAGAATGAGCTGGTCGGCTCAACGAAAGACGACTCGTCAGGAAGACATGGTTTATTGTCTACTTGGGATCTTCGAAATTCACATGCCGGTCATGTATGGTGAAGGTGAATTTGCGCAAATCCGCCTGAGGAATGAGATTGAAAAGAAGACCGAAGCTTGGGAGAAAGGACAGAAAGCGGGTGTACAGACGGTGTACAATACACGTGCACCTTGCGCGGTGGTAAAAACGACATCCCACCTTCCCACAGTCTCTCAGGCGGCTCACGGAGATTTACCTGCACCAATCGAAGACACTGGTTCTGATGATGATGCTGATACACATATGGCGGAGTCAGGAGATTATGGTCCAGACCATGCCAAAGCTGCACCATCTCAAGATGTTGTTGACTCTCAAACCTCTGCGGACAACCTGACCAAGGGAATCAGTGGATTGGGTGCCCAAGGAGGAAAGTCATCTGCTCTATCGTTTGCGCCAGGGCCAAAGCGGACACCGAGCGCCAACGCAAACAAGTCAGAGGACGATGAAGATCTGGTCTTCAAACCTCCACCAAGGAGTGTGACTTTCAATAATTGGCGAGATCCATACAATCGAAACAATCCGGGACAACCAGTCAGAACATCTTCGTGGGTAGGGGAATCGGATGAGAATGTCACGGAAGCTAGTACACCAGCGATGCCTGCGAAACCATCGTCAGCACCTCCAGTCCCTCAACAGAAGCCAGAACGACCGCCTATTCCACAACAGCAACCACCGAGACCCCCTATTCCAAGCGCGCAATCTCAGAAGCCTCCTGTAGTGCCTGAGGAGATCGCCGAGGAGGCGACTCACGATGAGACTCTCCCACCTCCTCCCGACTATGACAGTATTTGGGATTCTGGTCCACCACAATCTCAGAATCAGCCCCAGCCTCTGAAAAGCCCAGCTTTGCCATATCAGCCAAGCCAGGCCACACGAACTCAAAGCCAGGACAGCTTCAACCCCACACCTCCCGTCAGAAGTGCAACATGGAACCCACCATCCGAGCAAATGTATCCTCCCCAACACACGCCATCATGGGACTCTGCCCCTCAAGAATACCCAATGCCGACCTTGGACGAGACGCGTCGTGCCAACAGCGTTGCTCCCCCCTCGGCCCAAGGCGACGCCGCATCCAACGTCGTCCTCTCCGCACGAGCTAACCGTCGACTTGAACACGCCATCGCTCGCGAAGAGCGCAAAGAAAACCGTCGCGAAAAACGTCAAGAGCGCCGCGCCAAACGCCACGGCGGCGGGACCAGCTCCTCCGGCGGCAATGGCACCGTCGCAGGGGGCGATGACGACAACGACGACGAGTTCTACGACTTTGTCGACGACAACGACGACATGCTCAGCACCACCGGCTCCAACACAAGCTACGCAACCGCCCAACAAACCGACCGATCCATCAGCGCGCCCTCCATCGCCGGTCAGCCGCAGCAGCAATACATGCAATCACCTCCCGGCCCACCACCCCGAATGGCGGACGTGGTCCAAGAGTCCCGCCGCGCAGATGCCCGCCGCCGCTTCTTTGGCGGAGGCGGCGGAGGCACCGCTTCTCCCACCTCCCCATCCAATACCCAAGGCCCATTCCCCGCCCCGACCCGCTCCTCCACAACATCCTCCTCCCTCTCCGATCTAGCAGATAGTCTGCCCTCCAGTCTCCGTCTCACACGGGGCGCTCTCCGCATGCTGGACTCCGCCGCAGGAGGAGGCAGTTCTTCCAATTCTTCCAACGCGCAACCAAGCGGACCCGCCGCCGCGGCACCATCGGAGTATGGCGGAAGCACAATTTCTAGCGTCGCCCCGGGCACACGGCTGCCTACGAAGCCTCTGGGTATTATGGGACATAAGGAACTCAAGCAGGTTTTGAGAGGTGGTGCTGTGAGCGATGCGGGAAGTCAGGCGGGAGGCAGTTCGGCCGCGGCGGCAGGGAAGAAGAAATTGTCGCCGAGAGAGAGGTTGTTGAATGCGGTTGCGAATTCTAGGGGAGCTTGATGTCATGGATGATGATGATGGTGATGATGGAAATGAAAAATGGAAATGGATCTGAATCATCTGGTTACCTTCTTCTTTCTTACCCGCTTCTTTGCTTGTTTTCTGCTGGCTGTTTTCTATCTTCGGTGAATATTTATTTCTTCCGTCGTGACATGGCACTTGTCTGTTCAACGAACCATTTTCACATTTTGGAAATCTCGGCCAATATCTTTGTGGTTCATCTCGTCGCTCTCGTTTCTGCTGTCAAAACATCATGCATTATATCTCAATGGAATTATTCTTCCTGGATGTTTCTAACCATCGTCAATAATATATGATCTAGTATGTCCCATCGTTCATAATCCATTCGTTCACAATCCGAGAAAGTGTTAGGGTTGTCCACCGACACCATATTTTACTAGGGTACCCAGGTATCGAACAACCAAGGGAGGAAATCATGATGCAGCAATAGTAAGTTAATCTGCATCGTCGAAATAGCCTCGTGGTACAAGATCTCTAATTTACTTCCTTCTGATATCCAGGAGTGTTTCTCCTCCCGACGGCAACGAGAAACAAAATCACAAGTCGTGTTGCTGTGTCCGGCAAGGCCATCTGACTAGACGCCTGTCTATTCAAGACAAGAGCTTGCCTTCAGCTTTTCATTGTCAAATCCAGAAAGTCGGCATACAAATCCATTGTCAACAAGTATAATATCAAGCCTTACTTCAAGGATCTTTGCAATCTTTTATCATCGAGAAGAAACGGAAGATCACCATTTCTGTCCCCTTTCGGCGCGCAAGGATCATGTCGACCAAACCCTCCTCAGCCTCATCTCCCGCTAAACCCTCGCCATCTCCATCGTTACTACCGCAATGGATCCTCCCCGCCGCCCTATCCGGCCTCTGCGCCGCAGCGAACGGGGTCTTTGCGAAACTCGTCACGACGCAATTGACGACATCCTGGGCGGGAATCCTCACAGAGGTCGTCCTGAATCTTGTTGGAAAACTACCTCAGGAAGAGGGAAGTCTTGGGGCATGGTTGACGCCTGAGAACATCGGATTGGGAGTGGAGGTTGTGATTCGAGGGGTAAGTTAATTCTCCCTTTTTCAAGTATCCTCGCTTTCCCCAAATCGACCAGAGGTTCCAGCGATGAGACGTACTAATTACAAAACGACATTGATGTTCTGCAGTTCTTCCTCCTCCTCAACATCTCATTCAACGGCGTAATGTGGGCGCTTTTCACCAAAGCTCTGACGCTCGCAACCAGCAGCGTGCAGGTCAGCGTGATCAATACCAGTGCGAATTTCATGGCGACGGCGATTCTGGGGATGGTCGTTTTTGGGGAGGAGTTGCCTGGTACGTCATCTCTTTTGACTCGGTTGCTATTTCCGAGTGAGACATTCACTGACTGGTACGTTTGATGTAGCGTTGTGGTGGGTTGGCGCTGCGATGTTGATCGCGGGATCGGTGATTATTGGGAGGCGGGATGGCGATGATGTCGCTGCGAAGAAGGAGAAGAAGAGTGATCAGCAGGCGAAAGATGATGCTGACAAAAGCGCGGTGTCATCGGGTTCAAAAGCAAGTCATCCTGCGATTTTTGTTGAGGCCGCAACGGCGAATGGTGGACTGACGATGTTACAGGCGCGAGCAGGGAATCCAGACCTGAGAAAGAGGGTAAATTGAGAAGTTTGAGGATTGTTCTAAAGTCGCATTGGAGAGGATGTCATGATATGCATAATGAGACGAGTCGGTACGTATGCAGTCTGTTGTTCCTTCTCCTATCACGTTATTGCATCAAAGCAGGGTTTGATTGGTGTAAAGAAGATTAATACATGTTGGAGCTTCATTGATCACCTCTCAACAGCCCTGCGGCTAGAAACACATGGAATTGATGCAGCACCGGACATAGCCCTTAAAACCAATTGCGCCGAAATCAATTAACTCCTAAAGCCCTGCATTCATCCTTCTACAAATTCCACAAACAAAAGCATCCATGTTTTGCGCCACTTCACCTGGCCTCTTGCACCATTTACCCTCACTTCTTCTGGACCTTGTGATCACCCTCCACGACCTGCGCATAACTCGGCGGGGGTGCTGCATCATCGCTCGGACCTGCCGCTGCTGAAGAAGAGGCAGGCGCCTGGTACTGTGCCGGATGAGGCTGAACATGGCTTTGCTGAGGAGGGAACTGCTGATTCGGCACGGTTCCATAGCTTCGCGCGGGTGCGGCGCCCACAGGCTTAATCGGTGCTCCTCCTCGACCGACCTGCTGTCGTGGCTGCGGCTGTGATGAGACGTAGTAATATGTGACCTGGCCGCGCTCGGGGTCGTTTTGCGCCAGTTCGTCGTAGGTCGGCGAGGGGGTCGCGGCGATGATGTACCAGGCGTGGAAGAGACCGGGTAGGAAACCGAGCACTGCGCGAATGTCAGAACGAAGCCTTCATCACGCGGGAGAACAGGGTTTGGGTAGCAGATGAGACGGGATGAACTTACTGCATAGCGCAATGTTGATGAAACTGTCGGCGCTGCAGAGACCGCGCTTCACCCAAACCGCGATCGGTGGGAAGAAAATGGCGATGATGCCGAGACAGATGTCGCTACCGCACATGATTTCGGTTATCGAGTGGACGTAGTTGGTGGTTTGCTGTATTGATGGAACGAATGTAAGTGAGTAGAAGTGAGTAGAAGTGGCGCAGTGAACAGGCAGACGGTTCAAGCCTACAGCAGTAGTAAGCGAGCTCGCGTGCCCGCTGAAACTGCTGATGACGTACTCAGCCACTTCTCCTGCCGCGCGCGGGGAAGCCCGAACCATTTGATTACATAACCTTGATTTCGGCAAAGTCAAAGTTCTGCCTGAGGCAGCGATCGATATGTTTCGACATAACAATTATTCTTCCCATTGACTACATCAAGAAGGAAGATAGAGTACATGTTGTGAAAATGTGCAAACTTCATACATAACTTACACGAAGACAAGAACAATCCCAACAGGACGATAAAATTCCTACCTTGTAAAAGACTGAATCGTAGCAGCCAAAACAAGTCATTTCAGAAAATAAGAAAACCAAAAATTCCTATCGCCTAAGCCAACAAGAGAAGAATACGCCATGCAAGCAGATCGCCGAAGACTCAATCCACCCGCCGGAGGGACATCCGCACCCATCTACATCCTGCCATCCGACCACCCTCTCACACCTCCAACACGCTCGCGACCGCCCACCGACCACCGCAAAATCTTTCTTCAAACCGGCATCGTACCCTCAGCAAGCGGAAGCGCCTATTACGAAATCCCACCAGAGACCACAACATCACCAAGCCTCTTGATCCCAAGTAGATCCGCGCTCAAAATCACCTGCACAGTCCACGGCCCGCGGCCACTCCCTCGCAACGCGGCCTTCTCCCCGAATCTCCTGCTCAGCACACACATCAAATTCGCCTCCTTCGCGTCCCGGAAACGGAGAGCTCATGTGAGGGATCCCAGCGAAAGGGATTTGGGCGTGCATTTGGAGACAGCGTTGAGAGGCGTGGTCATTGGAGAGCGCTGGCCGAAGAGCGGTTGCGAGGTCGTCGTGACGGTGTTGGAGGGCGAGGAGGATTCTTTCTGGGGGGATGATGGGAGCTCTAATGGTGGAGGAGGTGGTGGGTGGGGCATGATGAATGTTCTTGCGGGGTGTATCACCGTTGCGGGTGCGGCACTGGTCGATGCGGGGATCGATTGTGTGGATTTGATCTCGGGTGGTGTTGCGGCGGTTGTCAGTCCCGATGACGAGAAGAAGGATGGTCGGAAAGACAGTCTCATCGTCCTCGATCCCTCGCCCTCAGAACACCGCCAGATCCGCGCGGCGTGTGTCGTCGCCTATCTCCAATCCCGCGACGAAATCACGGAGATGTGGATGAAAGGCGATGTTGGCGGACACGTCGAGGTTGAGGCGCTCGTGGATCAGGCGGTCAAGGCGGCGACTTTGACGAGGACGGTACTTATCGAGGCGGTGAGGGAGGCGACGGAGGCGAAAATTGCTGGGTCAGAGGTCTTGAGCAAGCAAGTGGGAAACGCTGCAGCGAAGGAATCGTCGTTACCGAAGGCGGATATTATCATGAAGGGATGAGGATATCTAATGGATTTGGAATCTCAGAAGGTGTGTACAGAGGATTCATGATGTGACGAGAGTATGTGGAGCAGAGCCTGGGTGCATGTGGTGTGCTTTTCTTGAAAAGGCAACATTCTGGCCGGCCCGAGAGCTATGTAGTATCACGACAGCGATGCTGCACAGGATGTATATTCAGAATTCATCCCGTGTGGAGGGAGTTCAACAGAACAATTCGCACGGTACTGGACTGCTCCCATAACTGCTTGTTTGCTTCGATGAGCATAAATACACTTTTTGAAAGGACTATGAGATAGATATATGCAAGATCCGCAAAAAGCTCCCGCTACAGAAGAATAACGCAAAGCAACGACTTTGCTTTGCCTTCTCAAAAATGGAAAGAATCGCACGGAACAAAGAGAAACCTAGATTCCCAAAACAGAAACAAAACAGAAACCATTTTCAAACATCATCCTCAACCTCCTTCGTCCGGGCAAAAGCTTGCGGTCTGCCACCCATGTAAAGATACGACAAAACGCCCGCGATGGCACAAATGCCCGCCAGAAGCGCGTTCATATTCCCATATCCAATTATTTGCTTGAGCTCTCCCGCAAGTTCTGGACCGATGGTCAGTCCCAACGAGAAGACCACATTGGTCATTCCATAAAGCTGGGCGTACGGGCTGCGCGAGCCAAAGACATCCTTGTTGACCTCGTAAAAGCGATCGACGACCAATCCAGCTTCGACAATACACGGGGACCCCACGGCGGAGAGACCTGCACCGCCGAGGGCGAGGAGCAAGGCGTACAAGACGACTTGGTCGGTTCCTCCGGCATGTGGAAAGCGTAAGCAGAAGAAGACGGGGATGAGGAAGATGTTTCCTATGACGCTGACGGGTTTTGCGCCGTAGTGGTCGACGCACCAGCCGAAGAGGGGACCTGCGATGAGTTCGATAGATCCCAAGGGGACGAAGAGAAGGCCGGCTTTGAGGCTATCGAAGCCGAAGTAGGATTTGCCGATGATGGGAATGGTGGCGTCGAAGGCGCCGAAGAGCAGCGCTTGAATGAGGGTTACGAAGAGAGCGGTCAGGAGGCGAGGGTCGGCGAGACAGCGGAGGATGGGAAAATTGGTGAGGAATTTGGAGGAGACGGGGCGTAGGATGTAGTATTCGTCAGGTTCGCGGATGCCGGCGAGGAGGGGTTGGGTTTCGGTGGGAGTCTCTTCATTGTCGTTGGCATCAGTTTCGTCTGACGTCGATTCACCATCTTCGGATGAGCTAGGCAGTGCGGCGTAGTATTCCTCCGCGATTCGCTTTTCAATGACGAGTAGTCGCATGCCCAGATCGATCGTCAGCAATGAAATAGCGAGCACAAAGACACCAATTGTGCCAGTCTTTTCGTAGAGAAATCCTCCAATAATCGGCGCGCTGAAATTTGCCACGGCTATGAAGCTGAAGATCTGTGGACATGCATGCAATTAGTAAGAAAGACCAACCAGGGCCTTGAGATAGAGTCTTTGAACATACCGTGCCGAGCGTCGTGCCCAGTTTCTCAGACCCCACGGTCTCCACACACAACGCCAAACCAATCGTCCAGACAAACGCTCCACTGAGACCTTGAAACGCCCTCGCCACAATCAGAACCGGGATCGACTGCGCAAAGAAGAGCACTGTCGTAGCCGCAATCATCATGATCAAGCCTACGAGAAACATTCCCTGCCGCGAATGAAGTCGATCTGAAAGATATCCCACGAAAGGTCCACAGACCACCGAGGTGCCTGCAAAAATGGCCAGTAACATTGAGACGTAGCTCTGTACTTGTTTCTCCGGGACGTTCAAACGATCCGTGAGCATGAATGGTAGTGTCGGCACGATTAGACAATATAGAAAGATATCGGTGAACATTCCCACGCCGATGGTCGAGACGATGAAGAAATTGCTGGATCGCCATGAGATGCCTGCTGGGAGGACGTGGTGGTCACGACGGAGTTGGAGCGTGTTCAAAAAGTTTGACCACGCTGATGGTGGTTGCGCCATGATGGCGGTGTTTGTGATGGGAACCCTTCTTGTGTTGGTCGTGTCGTGGTTATGGCCATGAACGGGGCGAGTTCTGTTGATGGATTTTGTGTCGTGATCTGATCCTCGATGTGAATTGACTGCAATGGATGATTTATTACACATTTCCATTGAGGGGACAAATTCGAATTCTTTTGATGACGACTATGCGTCATTGCGGCTGCAGGAGCCATCCCCTGAAAGTCTAGCGACGGGACTGTGCGACGCCCCGAACCGGTTGCTCTCGGGGAGGACATTCCGCGTATTTTGGTCCTGCATTTGCCGAGTATAGGTACGAATCTAACTCGTCGACTCTCGCAATAGTGTGGATCGACGAGATGAGTGGTTATGAATCATCGAAAATACAGCAATTTTCTGATGACCGTTTATGAATCACCCAAAATGGAACAGTTTTCTGATGAGTCTTATTCCTTCCTCATTCTACGAAGTTCATCGAGACATTGCACTGGGTGTCTCTGACGAACGATATCAATTTCGGGGAAGGGAAATTCCATCAGGCCGGAACGAACTCTGCACGATTGCATTAGCCCGCGCCTTTCTTCTGTCCCAAACGCCCGGAACGGCAATTCGATCCGGGTCGTCGGCAGGCAAGCGGCGAAGATCTCCTCCCATTTCTCTCACCAATTATGCACTGATCATTCCTGTCACTACGGCCAAACATAGAATTGTTTAGTGCGTTCAACAGCGATCGTGAAGATGGGTCTAGGTTATCGAAAGGCACAGCCGCCCGTTATCGAGACTCTACTGCACCTGTCAAAGTGCCGCCACGTGAAGGCTAATTTCAGCCGCAATCCGCAATTCACAGTCCGAGCGTGAAATTCGCAGGCCAGGCATCATCAACCTGAAACCGCCCGGCAGCGTGATAGACCGTCTTCGCGACCTCGGTGCCATTGATATATGTATCAATCTGACTTTCCGGACGCGCCAGGTGTGGCTTCGCGTCTGCACATATCGTCAGTCCAGGTATCTTGACTGCTTGGAAAGGACATCTATCCAGGTATGTTATCATACCTGATTCCAGATAATAAGCCGCGTTCTCAAAATGCCACGCGGTATAATTCGCCGTGAGGGTGCCTTCAGCCCCGAACTCGGGTGTATATCCCGTTTCGCATTCGGTGATCCATTCCGCATTCGTCGAGCCGAGGAGAGCGGTCTGGTTGATGAATTTATATGTATACTCCTTTCCCGTGCGGGGATTCCTCAGATACGTGGTACCGGCGTCTCGGCCGACTGCATGAACTCTGCCATGGATGCGGTCGCCGGGCTGGAAGTCGCTGAGGGAGCTGTTGAAGTAGATTGGAGGGCCAGGTGCCCATTCAGTCCAGGCTTGGTAGGAAGTGGTTGCGGGCAGATATTCTCCAGTCTCGGGATTGAAGTTGGGCTCGATGAAGCAGGAAATTCCTACATGGAGATTGTCCTTGTCAGATCGATACCATGATGCGAGCTTTTCCAGTCAGCATCGTCGGCATACACGAACCGGTTTGCAAAAGTCCGTATGATGCGGCATCGTCGGGCGCGCGATAGGCGCTGATGCCCACCCAGCCATCGGAAGTATAAGTGCTGTAAGTCGTATTTGGCGTCCCGACGCGACATTCCGGGACTGTTATGTCTGCGCTGGCTCCTGTGATTTTGGTGCCATAGTTTACTACGCCCTGTACAAAGCTGATTAGACATGACTGTGACAAGCGTAAATTTGACGAGGACCCACTGCATAGGTACCAGACTTTATGCGACCAGATGCCTTGGTAGGCGCTGCAGAGGCAGCTGCTGCAAGACACGCGAGAAGGATGGTTGCTGGATGTGCCTTTGCCATAGTATGTAAGAACAGTAATTGCTGAGTTCGAATCTGTATCTACATGTAGTGACTTTGCCAACATTTAATAAAGTAGGCCCGATGTCTATTTCTTTGCTTCGATACCATGTCATGACGTCGAGCCATATTCACCACCAATAGTCGGATCCAGCAACCTGCGCGTCGGCTCGTATTGAACTCGATTTCCACGTCCATGTGGTAGCCATGCTTCGTAGCAACCGCCCGAATCCCAAGCTGGGAACGGAAAATCGGATCGGCCACTGACGGTTATCAAATAAGCTCGGTTACAAGCTTTTATTCCAGACGCGATTAGGACCTAGTCATGTCTTGTTTTATCCTAGAATCATGTGAGGAGAAGAGAAGCGCAACGAGTTATGTTTGCTCAATGCACGCAGTTAGAGGTGAAATAGCAGGCGTCGTCAGCCGATACGAGGCTCGACACATAAATAAGATAGTCAAATCTTAGCATCAGCGAAGGAGGTCTACAAGGTGTGTCTGATGCGCCTCGTGTCATTCCCTCAATGCCGAAGATGTGTAAGAAGTCCATGCACAGCGAGGGACCGTCTTCGGAAAGTTTTACGATATTCCTTTCTCCTTATAGAAAGAAATTGTGCATGATGGTGTATCCAAGGGTGTCGCCGTTAGGTATCGCTTAGTTTACGGAGTCTGCGATAAGAATGCCGATCGCCGAATCCTTACGTCGTCTACCTGACGATGTACGGACATGCACAACATTGAAAGTTGATTCCAGATAGGAGTCATTGAAAACAAATAAGATCTTGACACGCAACATTGGAACGTGATTGTTATAAAATTGTGTTTATTTCATGAGGCGTGGTCAGAATAGAGATCACAGGGACACTCCCGCGGAGGTCACCACTCAATCCACGAGGGCAAATCTTGGCGCCGCTGGACTTCACAGATCACGCAACTCTCTCATTTGGGTGTTAGCGAGCCTCGTCGAACAATATACATATCCAGGGAAAAACTACATCTCTCGCGCAAGAAAGAACGGGAATCATGGCCGAAGAAATTCCTCCAAGCGCAACGTTCGTACATTGCACTCCGTACGAACGCGCGTAGGGTCTCCTTCAGAAGAACTAACTTGTCGTCTATAGCGTCTATGTATGAACAATCAATCTACCATTTCACGAGACGACCCAGCTTCCATGGTCTACGCCGTCATCGTGGCCGTCGCTCACGACCGTCATGATCTCACTGTCTCCTGTATCTAACAATAAGCCTACCACATTCTACAGGTCCGCAATCTCGACGAGCGCATCAAAATCCCTGCCCTGACCGAAGCGCTACGCGACATCTTCGGCGAATTCGGCGAAATCGTTGACATTGTCGCCAAGAAGAACCTCAAAGCCAAAGGCCAAGCCTTTGTCGTCTTCGACTCGGTCGACGCCGCCCAGGATGCCATCGATGCGCTGCAAGGCTTCGACCTCTTCGAGAAACCCATGACTCTAGCCTTCGCCAAATCCCGCTCCGACAAGACCGTTGAAAGAGAAGATGGAGAAGCCGGCTACGAGGCGCACAAGAAGGCAAGATTGGCCGAGAAGGGTACACAAAGAAGAATATGCCACAAGGATATCACAGGACTGACGCACATGCAACAACAGAACGCAAACAAGCCGCCGAGACCGCCGCCCAAGAGGCTGCCGCGGCCGCTGCAGCCGCCGCCAAACCCAACAAACGTGCCGCCCAAGAAGTCCTCGCCGACCGACCCGCCAAGTCGTCCACCAAATCAGGCGTCAACAGTGCCGCCGTCGTGCCAGAGGAATATCTCCCGCCGAACAAAATCATCATCATCCGCGACTTCCCCGATGACTTCGGCAAGGACGAGCTCACGGCTGCGTTTAGCCGCTTCCCGGGATTCAAGGAGGTGCGTCTTGTGCCGGGACGTAAGGGAATTGCGTTCGCGGAGTATCTGGATGAGAGCGGAGCGACGGCCGCGAGAGAGGGTGTCAACGGGCAGAGTTTGGGCGGAGAAGGCGGGAAGGGAGTCAAGGTTACGTACCAGAGGAAGTAGAAAGGTGGAGATGGGATATGAGAGAAGTGGGATTTTCATATTAAAAATCGATTTGTGTGCCATCGCTCGCTCCTGGCCTTTCCTTTACTGTGCCAAGATCACGTCGCATCCGTGCCGAGCTGGTCGCCCGACAGTGGTGCATGCAACAGTAAAGACTGCAGTCTCGAGCCTCGCACTACCCGATGCAAAATCTCCGCCTTGTGCGGATACGGTTCAAACTTGCGGCTCTCCTTATACTTGATAGGAATCAGCTTCTCCCGGAAATCAAGGTATAGCGGGAAAAATCCCAGCCCATCCAAACCCGCCAGATCCTCAACAGCGAGTTTCCGCGCAGCAACGTTGTACACTGCCCGCTCGGCGACCAGTGTACGAAGCGGATGGCCCTCTGTCGTGCCTTCGAAAGCCTCCCCCATTAATTCTGGCGAATAATCACATTCGGCCTCGACGAGCGCGATGAGTGCGTCGTTTTGGAATTCGAGGATCCCGTATTTCTCGGCGAAGCACACGCTCCGTACTAGTAGAGTTGGTCCGTATGTATTTGCCAACTCGATGAAGTCGACTTGGTGCTTGATCAGCCAGTGCAGGAAGAGATGCCATACGTCTGAATCATCTTCCTTGGGTTCGAGTTCTCCGTTGATAGCTTCTTTGAAGGTCCGTTCCCGCCATGCGTCGGACGCAAAGTATGTTGATACGCCGGCAAGGATGCTCTCCTGTACTGAAAATGGCCTTAGTCTGCTGTCTTCGCCGATGTAGATCTTGATCGGCCGGTCATGCTTCTTCAGAGTCCTATTGCAGTGTTAGCTAATTCGGGATGGGAGTCAAGGTGAACTTCACCTTGCGACATTGATGATTTCTTCCAGTATCGGAGTCTCCGCCACGGCCATCTCATCGATATTGAGAGCAGATGGATCTTGATCCATGGTTTCTCCGGAACCTGAGGATTTAAGGTGTTGGCTTTTGTGTCAAGCTAATAATGTTTATACTTTGTGCGTCCCATATCGTGATGTCAGGTCTTGAGAAAGTGCCGTTATCATGGAGGGGGTTCGTGCATGAGCTGAACTGCAAAGTGATGCATGCTTGATGCAGGTCTTGTTTGATGTGATTGGCGAACGCCGTGACTGCTGAAGCTTGATTGCGCCCTGTCTTAGTGAAGCGTCTGAAAAATCCGCATTGCGAATATAAGGTTGTAGTTGAATATTCGCAACTATGTGTGTTGAAATGTGAGGAAGAAGGAAGAAGATTCTTGATTCCCTTTTTATCTCGGAGGGTGGACAGACCCTATTTATGTACCCCTTGCCTGTCCACGCTATGCACCATTGCCACCAACATTTAACAATGTGCCCGAATCCGAAGCTTTGAATCGGAAAGCGATCGTAACGATGAAGGAGGCGCGAGCAAGTTGCTCGAACTTTATGTACTAGAGATAGCACCACAGCTCAAAGCAGGCACATGCGGCACTTAGCTACAGGAGCATTCTGTCTTCCGCTGACACTTGACAGTTTGTACCATGCAGGCCTCTGCTACTGTCCACTCGATAATCATGACCGATCCTGCTATAAATGCCTCGACACAATAATCAACCTTGATCCTCCAAACCTTCATGCCCTGTCACGCCCTTCGTATGCTCCAACCAAGTTTGATGTCATTCGAACGATTCCATTCCCAATCAAGTAGCCTTTACCATAGATTTTCTGGCGCCTCGAAAGCTTCGCTTGATTATCTTGTTACGATTGTCCGCTATCGTGGTCGCCGAGATGTTCTTGATTGGGCACACCGTGTTGTAGAATTTGAGGTATAGAGGTAGAAAGCCAGTGCCGTCCAGATTTGCCAACTTGTCAAGCTTGATCGTCTTGGCATGTACAGCATACACTGCCTTTTCGGCCAGGAGCTCACGAAGTGGGCAATCGGCTGTAGTCGCCTCGAAAGCGGCCCGCAGGCTTTCGATGGATACTGCAAACTTTAGATCGATGAGACAGCTCATCGCTTGGTCGAAGAACTCATCGATATTGTACTTGTCTGCAAAGCATGCGCTCTTGATGGCCATGGATGCAGCAGAGGCTTTGAAAAGTATTACGAAATCGATTTCATGCTTGACGAGCCAGTACAGAAAAGCCTGCCAAACTTCTTCGTCGTCTTCCATGAAGGTCAGTCTTCCGGTAGCACCTTCGATCCAGTCGTGATTGTTGCACATCTGTGCGAAGACTGGCGAGACGCTTTCCAAAATTTTCTGCTGGACGAGATATGGCGCCGCGTGTACGTTGTTGACACGGATCTCGAGGACACGGTCAACTTGCAGCAAGGTTCTATGCAATTGTCAGCTCACGTATAAAGATCGGATATGACACAACTTGCTGCGTAACTGCCCAGAGTTCAGTCCCCTGTCGTGTGGCTGTCATATTGAAAATTTGCGAGGCGGACGTGAACGATTGTATCTGATTTAATGAGCAAGGAGACGATGCTGCAGAAGCGTTGTGAAGTTGCAAGGAAGAATGACGATCAAATATCATATATCGGGCCATGATCACGGGGGTTTTCAACGATCGCAAGCTAATCGATACGAGTGTAGACAAAGTTCACCACTTGTCTCTGTAGTTGTCCGAGTCCGTCACCTGCGGCTGTGGACTAAGATCACCACTTGTCTTTTTGCATGTGTTGATGGAGTGATGAAGCATGTGCATATAACGCGATTTTAATAGATCTGGAAGGTGCTATTCTGCACCAGGTAGACCAGAGATTCAGTGCCGTTGACATAGATCTTGACGACCAATTGATTTCGCTAGGTCAAATTATTGGCTGAAGTTATAGAGCTGGCTCAACGGAAGGTCGAATGGTCAGGATTCTATTGCTTGCTGTGGAGTATCATGGATATCTCAAGTTCTCGAAAGTGCCCACTATGTAACCTTCTACAGTTCCCGGTTGATTTAAGATGCATCACGGAGATATGACGGACTTTATCAAAGGTGTCTTCTCGACGACGTTGCTAGCATGTGATAGTGTAACCTCGTGCTCGCTATTGAGTCTCTTGGTTAGTGAAGAGAATGCGGGAAAGTACTGTGGACATGAAGATGGAGAATAATCCAACTTCGCAAAGCATGATCTGGTTGCCCAATTGAAACATTCAAGTGACTGTGACATGGCGCATATTTGTTGTATACGTGATTCTCATTGAGGCCTCTCTGATGCTATCTCGGATGTATTTCTTGCTTTGTGATCAGGAAACGATTACATCGGTGTGCCAATGCAGGCAGGCCACAGTGGTGGGCTCTTGTGGTAGTGTCAGTGCGCTATCAGCTCTCGTGAATTCGGCATTTATAAGCTAGCTCCTAGAGTGTTTCTAGTACGAGTGGGTGTTCTGGCTCCCACAATGACGAGATGGAGTTCGCAAAACTGATATACAGTGGCATGAACCGCGTTGCATCCAGAATTTCCAAATCCTCCTTGCTCACTAGACCTCGTCGGACACAGAGCACCATCTCCGCTGCCAGCAAGGCTCGGACTAGATTCCTGCTCAACGTGCGTGCGAAAGCCTTCCGAATAAACTCCACATCCCATTCGTCGAATTTAATGAGAATAACTGATATTGCTTTGTGGAACTCGTCGATCTCGTATTTTTCGGCGAATATGATGCATTCAATAACCTCGGGCGCGCTCATCTCTGCGGCTGGTATATCGCGCTTGAGCAACCAGAGAAAGAAGAAGTGCCAGGCTTCCCACGCATCGTCTTTGAACACGATGTTGCCCTCCTGCCCTTCGATGAAGGAATCGTTATCAATCAGCTTTGTGAATACTGGAGAGCAAGCTTTGAGGAGGTTTGCCTGGATCACGAATGGATCCTTTGTTCGATCTTCGATGTAGATGTTGAGCAGACGATCGGTGGTTCTCAAAATCCTGAGAAGCCGGTGAGTGTTTGACAGAGTGAAGCGTTGAGCTCAGGTGCAGAAGAGCTAACATACTGGACAGCTGCAGAAACTTCTCCGATCACTTCTGAGTCTTTGAAGCTGGGATCGCTCGGAGCGATTGCTGATGGTATAGAAAAGTCGATCATCGTCTCCGGTCTGTGCAGTGTGTGTGATACCGGCTCTCTGCAAAAGCTTTGTTTGTATAAGCAATAAAGATGTGGAGTCGCTAAGTGTTAGTGTCCGAAAATAACTCAATTGGTTGAGCTCGTAAGATTGATCACGGCACAAGCACAGAAGGTAATGGGAGATCGACACTTATGACATGTGATATTGAATCAAGCATACTTACTGGCTCAAAAGTATGACCAAGGCCAGAGTTGCCATAGATTATATTGTCATGTAACAGCAGAGCTGGAAGGTGATTAGCAGGCATGGCCACACATGAACGCATTATAGTGGTTTCGTTGAACTCCACTGTGTTGAAGGTGTTGGTAAGGATGAGGATGACACATTCCGATGCAGACTGCGACTTCGTGATCTTCGGCGGAAATTGAGAATATGGTCACCGGTGAAGGTGCCATATCGCACAAGGTGAAGTTTTGGCCGCTCAACTCACGGGTCTTCCCTTATTTTGACTACCTGATGACTAACATCCGCGCGCAATTGTTCGTCGCTACTGACCCCATAACCCTGTCAGATCGATTATCTTCGATTTCATTGCATCTAAACCGAGCGCAAATTGAATCAAGCGTAGCAAACATAATATCTCAGTCCAAGAAGCGTGCAACCCCGAACAGAACCCGTTTGTGCATAATCTCATAGTTATGAGCATCTTCATCATAGTCTTCTTGCGTCCATGGCAGATCAGGAGTTCCTTTTGCTATTAGAAAAATTGACCAGAATTCCGAGTCATGAAGAAAAGCGTAATCTTTGCAACCAGCTTTTCCCTCTCCAATAGTGAGCACTGCATGCTCGACTAAGAAGCTCCGAAAGGGGTTCCCACCAGACGTTCGCGCGAAGTTCTCCTTGATTGCCCCTGGATTAAAAAGCATCCTTGGCTCTTCCAGGAACTCGAGCATCGCTGCATTGTTCAATTCCTCGACGTCATAATTTCCAGCGAAGGCGATGGTTTCGACTAGCCCTGAGTCGAGTAGCCAATAGAGGAAGAAATTCCATGTCTGCGGCGAGTCATCTTTGAACACAACTGCAATTGAGCCAGTGCGGCCCTCCGAGAAGCCAGTATTTTCTACCAGTGTCTTGAACGCTGGTGACACTCTCGTGAGGAGAAAGTCGGAGATCACGGATGGATATCTCGACGTGTCACCTAATTGAACACTGATAAGTTTATGTTTGTGCTGAAAACCTCTTTGAATTTGTTCAGTAATCTGGCACATACGTGATACGATTGAAAGAAATCAAAATACGTACTGGGCAGTATCTGAGATCTTTCGCTCCCATTCATTCTTATCACGTGTCCGCAATGGTTCGCCAGAGGTCTCCAACAAATTTTTTGTCGTTGGCATCGAGTGTGAAGACATGGCCGTGACCACAGGTTGAACGATCTTCGACTCTAGGCGTTGGCGGCTTCTTGTTCGTGCCAAGATGGCGGAAATGGAAGCGCAAGTACGCAATAGTAAAGAGGATGCAGGCTTGCTAATCTACCACGAGATTGAGAAATCCTTCGGCGCCGGTAGTGCTCCAATTGACTGGGCAGCGCCGTTGGCACAAGCTTGGAAACATCGAGTTATTGTTACTTGGATGGGATAATGAGCATGGCAAGTATGACTTCGCACGGAGTGTGGTGTACCAGCCACTAGTGAAAGAGCCTTGGAAGTATATGCCTAACATTTGAAACATCTTCTTTGCACAAACTATCGCCCGTTTCTTCAGTCAGTGACCGGAAATGTACATTAAGATGACAGTTCATGGCCCTTCCCCAAAATATGGCCTACAATTTCATTTATCCCTTGTCATTTCATTCAATTGCTTCATATTTCATAGCATACTATTCCACCTTGCTCAGATGTTAAGCTATAGTCTCCCTCCTCGTCTCACACAAGTACCTTCGACAAAAGCATGTTGCATTGACAAGAACATGTAGCATACTCTTCATCAGCCGAGTTGGCGCTATACACTTGGAAACACTTTGGCCAACGGAAAACAATTTAGTGGTTGTAGTAAGCAAGCCTGAACACTGATCGCAATAAATGACCGCCAAGCCACAAAACTTTCGTCGAAATGAAGAGGAGAGTCCGGTATCTGAGGCACTTGTCAATTATCAAGAGGAGACCAGCATATCGAAGTCAGTTGTTGACCATACTGTGAAAATGACATACTCCTACTACGATGATGCATTCACCATACCTCGTCTTCGGTATTGCTGGCGTGCCCCAAGTTGAGACTTGCGCCTCTTTCTGCACGCATAAATCGATTCCCGTCTGACGAGGGTATATTTCTGAAGGGTGTGATGGAAACCCGTGCAGCTCAAGTGATCCCATTTGTTGCATTCGTCAAGATCAAAAGATCTGTCTTCAACTAGCCTCTTAACGAGCAGATCACGAACTGGGTTGTTGAGGCTAGTCCTCGTAAAAGCCATCTCGAGAAGAGAGTGGTCCAGAGTACCAAAAGTGTTCTCGAGGTGTCTTATAGCAATTTGATGGAGTCCCTGAACGTTATACTTGTCCGCAAAAACGATGAGCTCCATTGCCTTAGTCGTGTCTTGGCATATCATGTCGGTACAAAAGTCCTCGTCGTAAGGTGTCGTCAACCAAGCAAGGAACGGGCGCCATGCGTCTTCGTCATCTTCTGGGAATTTGACGATTCCGGTAGATCCTTCCAGGTACGTTTTGTTCTCGATCATGCGTCTGAATACTAGTGATACGCTGGCGAATGTGGATTTTGGAACACGAAAGGTAATTGGATCAGCCTCGTTGATGCCGATCGACAGCAGCTCATCATATCTGAGGACTCTGAATCCTTTGTAAGTACTGTTTATTGCTCAATTAGGGAGGGGCTGGATTCACATACTCGGTTTTGGCTGTGATGGGATCCATATTGACCTGAACTCTCGCGTTTGTCGAGATTGTAAAGAAGACAGAGGACTCATCGACGCAAAGAGCGAGCGGTCGGCTCTTATGTCTGATGAAAGTAGGCAGCCATAATCAGGCGATCTTTCCGCGGATGTAACAAGGGTTAGCTATCCAAATCCGCGAAACAAAAGCTCTACATCGACGATGAAGGCCGCCACGTGTTCGTGTGTAGAAACGAATGTGAAGCTGAAGAGTCTGAGGCCTGGGGATCGATTGTGTGGTGAAGTAAGCTAAGGTACAGCACCACTGTGCTGCGCTGAGCTGGGCTGGGCTACGCTGTCACTTGGGAAGTAAAGCTGTAAGATTGCTTGATTCAAACGCCAACGTGCATTGTTAGAGGACGATTGGCATGTGATCTTGGGATCTAAGGTTCCCCAAATCTGGAACAGAACTATTGTCGCTTGGCTAAGCATACCGACCGCACGAAGTCTGTTAATCAAGAAAGCACACTCCTCCTGGGACTCTACTTACAGTTGTTCACTGATTTTCTGGAAGACACATCCCGGCCATGTATATAGCCGCTCTTCATGACTTAGGAAAGAATTTGAAGCAGTCCGAAAGTGAGTGATGGAATGTCGACAATCGTCGACAAGTTTTGCCGGTGGTCTCGAGTACTTATCCCACTGGTTCAGCTACGTACGAAAGGGGGGCATCTGCAGAGAGCTCCGCATCTAATCCATACATCCTTTTCACCGGGTTGGCAACAAGACACGTCGCTCGGATAGCTTGTAGTCCTGTACAAACAGAGTCTTTCGGTGCTTCATATGCCGTCATGTCTCTGTGGCGCATCACTCCTTGGAGAATAAGAGAGTTGGAACAAAACCTCCGCTTTCGAAGCTGACATAGCGCGGTTCCGATTTTTGTGATTAGTCATCCGTCATTGACATCACGAATTTGCAAATCACAAATCAAAAACTTATTGTTCGGGTTTCTGCTGCACACCTTTGACAATACAGATTCCGCAAAATGTCTATTCGCAAGCGCAATGATTTTCTCGACGACGGAGATAGCGAAGATGACGCGCAGCTTGATCACGAGTCCGGGCGGGAGGAGGAGAGCAAAGTCGGCCTCGCCAGCCGGTCGAACAAGCGTCGCAAAGTCAATTCGGATTCAGAGGCCTCGGACGATGATACAATAGACGACAAACCAGGCGCTCGAGACTCTCGCTTCCAGTTCAAGCATCATGACGACGGCGACGATTTTACCATCCTTGACGGAAAAGATGTGGACGAGAACGAGGAAGGCGAATTCCTAGAAGAAGGCGATGACGAGGACGGGGACGGGGACGGTACATCTTCAGGAAAGACTCCCGAGGAACTTGCAAAATCAAAAAAGAAAATGGAAAAGCAACTCCTCGTCGCCCAGCGTGCCGCGCGCAAATCTGGCGTGATCTATATTTCCCGAGTACCGCCGTTCATGAAACCACACACACTCAAACACTTCCTCTCACCGCATGCGCCTTCCGGCCTGGGGCGAATTTTCCTGACACCTGAAGATCACGTTGCGCATACAAGGCGTGTCAAGTCAGGCGGCAATAAAAAGAAATCATTCACAGACGGATGGGTGGAGTTTGTTTCAAAGCGGGAGGCGCGCATTGCGGCGAAGTCGCTGAATGGGAATATTATCGGTGGGAAGAAAGGCGGATTCTACCACGACGATTTATGGAATATCAAATATCTAAAGGGAGGATTCAAGTGGTCGCATTTGACGGAGCAGATTGCGAATGAGAATGCGGAGCGAGCGGCGAGATTGCGCGAGGGTATTCGCAGGACGAGGGAGGAGAACAAGGCATTCGTGGAGGGCTTCGAGAGAGGAAAGATGGAAGAGGGCAGGGAGAGAAAGAGGGCCGAGAAGGAGAAAGGGAAGAAGGAAGCTGGGGCGACGGACGGTGGGCACAGTGCGAGTATTGCGCAGCGGAAGGTCAAACACAAGGAGGGAATGGATTTTAAGCAGCAAAGCGCTCGTTCGAAATCGGTCGGGAAGCCAGACGAGGGCTCGGGGAGGACACTTCGGATGGTATTTGGGTAGGAAGAATTCTTGTACCATGAATCACAACCTTTTTTGAATCGCCAACTTGTTATTTCGGAGATACGCTATTGCCCATCTGTCAACTCGCAATATCGCATGTCAGAATTTGCTGGACTTTTGTCCTATGGCGGTCAGAAACACTCGTCAAAGTCGAGCGTCCTCATTGTGCACGAAGACCCATGACATAAATCAAGCATGACAATCTGAGGTGCTCGGTGAAGGTTTCAGGCAAACCTTGCCTCGCGGGAAACCCGAGCGGCCGATCCCAGCGGCTGCTCTCCGATATTCTGTCGCATTTTGCAAGCGACACGATGAGTTAACTTATCATCGTGTGCGCATCCATGCATTCTCTCGATGGTCAAAATCCACAATGGGGTCGTCTCATTTCAACCTCGTATTCTCCAGAGCAATCTGAGCTTTGAGAGGTAATCGAACCTCCAGAGCAATGAGAGCAGCCATCTCATCATGTATCGTAGATTCGTGAAGACGGAAGTCTAACATGCCATCATTACTGATGTGTCACATGTCAAGGACCTGGTGCTCTCTGCTCATCCCACCTTCTCCTTTGACTGGCAAGCCACGATCTTGACTTTTTCTGCCTTCATCGTCTGCGAGTTGTCGAGGCGAAAGTTGACATCCTTGATCACGAATGTCCAGACTTCGTCACAGAAACGGTAGACGTCAAGATGACCCTGCATGACAGAATCACGACATTAAGTATACGTGTAACTTCATGATGACTATTACGGCCTCGAAGATATCCACTGACCTTGAACGACACTCTCGCCTTGACCTTCTCATTCAGGACCTGAGCAATACTCTGGTCGAAGTTGGACATGATGCGCATGGCGAGCTGCGGCTCGATGCGACGACTGCTGATCAAGTCATCCAGAGTGTCGGCCAAGGCGATACCAATACTGGTGCCACGATAGAGCTCGTAGAAGCCCTGTTGCTGAGCTGCTGCCATGATGAGAGGTTTCGACGTGTTGTTGTAGCAGCGAGGTGAGCGCAACCGCAGTCATAAGATGATATATAATGTAGAGCGGGATGGCTGTGCTGTAGGAAATAGAAGGTTTGCCGACAATGTGACGGCACCAGCCGTGTCCGCCAGCGGCAGCAGCACGATGTCATGCAGTGCACGTCTGGGAACTCTCGAACAGCTTCGCGGAGTTGTCTCGACGTCGCCGCTCACCAATTCATCCTGTTCCACTTCACCGACTGATCATTGACCTTCGGATCGACAGCAATTATGGGTGGACTAACATACGGCACATATGGTGCCGGCGGTGCCCTGACCGTGATTGGGCTCTGTACGTTCTGGATACACCTCGTCGCCCATCACCTACAAGGAGCAATTGGCTGACAAGAGAATGATTTGGACCACTAGACATGCTCTTCAATGGCGAAGGTGAAGCATTCAATGTCGGAGCTTTCCTTGAAGCAATTTCACCATATGCCTGGGCGACCACCGGAATCGCGCTATGTATTGGACTATCAGTCGTGGGAGCTGCATGGTTAGTGGACACCTTTTCCAATTGCAAGACGCCGTACATGGATCGGGAGCCTTGAAGGAAGGAATCTCTTCGACGGACCTGCCGAGCATGAATTGTGGAAGAGGAGGTAGAGATGGGGAGACGAAGGGCATGGGAGAGCACAACTTGGCCGGCGAGCATTCGACAAGACCACGACAGTGCATATAGACGGAGCATCGCATTACTGACGCACTGTCTCTCTCCACAGGGGCATCTTCATCACCGGCACATCAATTCTGGGAGGTGGTGTCAAAGCCCCTCGAATTCGGACCAAGAACTTGATTTCCATCATTTTCTGCGAGGTTGTCGCCATCTACGGTGTCATCATGAGCATTGTCTTTTCAGCAAAGATCTCTGTTGCCGGAGCCGACGCGATCCACAACGCCTCGAACTACTACACTGGTTACGCGCTTTTCTGGAGTGGCTTTTTGGTCGGATTTTGCAATTTGGTGTGCGGAATAAGCGTGGGAATCAACGGTTCCAGTGCGGCTCTAGCGGACGCGGCAGATCCGAGCTTGTGAGTACCTCTTGGTCGTTTATTCGACGTCGTCGTCGGCTCCAGAAAACTTCAATATGGCATTTTTCCCAGTCGGCCCCGTGAGGCAGCGATTTGGCCAAAATGAGGCATTTTGTGCTTCTGCTAACACTTCTTTCTGCAATACAGATTCGTCAAGGTCCTCGTCATCGAGATCTTCTCATCAGTGCTGGGTCTCTTCGGCCTCATCATCGGACTGCTGCTCAGCGGCCCTGCGAAAGACTTCGAATGATCACAGACGAGGCCCTGGGAACAAGCCATCATTCTGCAAAAGGCTTCAGATCCTCGATAGATAGGACACCACGACACGTGGCCATCGGAACGGCTCTCATAGATGACTCGTGCCGATGGAAAAGCCATGCAGCATCGAACACTTCGACTGTCCACTTTACATTTTTGTCCCGCATCATTAATTTTCCGGCGTCATGGGAAGGGCAAAGGGCCACTGCTACTGTTTATCATACTGAAATAGAACATCATGTACAATGCGCATCTATGTCAATCATGTGACAAATTCCAAGTGCGCACCGGTAGCCTCAGAAGTCCCAAGATGCTCGTGAGATGCCATCATTCATTAATGCTAAAGAACTCTATGGTTACATTTCTCGCATCGCTTCACCCAACATCCTCCATCTCGAATTCGCCTCTCAGGTCTCCACAAATCTCGAACTCAATAATTCATCCACATGTGCCCGCTGACTCTTCGCCGCACCGCCCTCGTCCATTTCCTTGAGCAATACCGCGAGCACTTCAATCGGCGGGTCCAGACCTAGCGCATTCGCACGCTTCCAGCGCTTGAGTCGAGCGATTCCAATGCAAGGCTAAAATCATGATTCCGTCAGCAAATCACACTCATCGTTGTATCAGCTAACCAGAAGACTGCACAAACTCACCCCAAACTCTCCACTCATATCCCACTCCCGCAGCACCTTCTCCCGCACTTCCAAGCCCTCCTGATGTACCCGCGGCGCTAAACGCTGCGCTTCTTTCGCCCGCCAGTATTTCTTGATCTGTGACTCGGAAACTTTGCGCGCGCGGCTTTCCTCGTCACCGAGCCAGCCTGTTTGTCCGTTTGTTGCACCGATGGGGTCGTTCGCTGCTGCGCGGCCGCCGAGGACGGATTCTACTGTTGATGACTCCGCATCTTCGGTGGTTCCGGAGGGGTGGGGTCGTGAAGGAAGAGTTGATGCTGTGGATACTGCTTGTTCGTCGGTAGCTTTTTGCGCTGTCGTTGAAGGGAGGTCTGGAGTAATTTCTTCGTCGGCGGATTCGGGTTGGATTTCGGCTGTTTCAGCGCTTTCATTTGCGAGCAGCGCATCGAGGAGGGCGGGGTCCTTCTTCAGTGCGGCTTTAGTCTCTTTTGATTGTCTAGTGGATGAGTTCTTGGTGACTCGGTTGGGAGTTCCGTGGAAAGAGAGCTTGGATTGCAGTGTCGTTGGCGGTGCTGTCGCCTTGCGGGCTGTTCGCCGGGTTGCAGGCATGGTTGCTGTGATTGATGAAAAGATGCCTGGTGCGGTATCGGTATTCGTTCGTGCAATGCGCTGGTAATATTGTGGGATCGTTTGTGCCGGTTAGAGATTGAGGTGGAAGTCTATATCGTCAAAGTGAAGCAATGATCGTTCTCGACTGACGTCGGCTCGATGCCAAGCTTTGATCGAGCCGAATTCGATGCGAACGTCCAGGGACCGTTGCCCGGCAACAACGCGTCATTTCAGATGCGGCGCGTCATCGGTCGCGCACTTTTGGACCCTAATTAAGATCGAATACATGAACGAGGACCTCACCTGGGCACATTGCTGCCATACGAATCTGCTTACCAATGGCCGAAGTTGCGCGCCAAACAGACGTCCATCCACCACGGTGGGCACAGACTCAATGGCTAATAAACACTTCTGGAGCAAGTCACCCTTGAAGACCTCGGGACGTATCGACTTGCGGAGTTCAATGTGATATCGAGGCTTGCCATCAGGCCTGCTGCGGCCCAGTCGGCATTCTAGCAGCCTCGTTCGCGAGACGAGGTGGTGAACAGGACAGTCGAATTTGAGAGAGATCGATCCCGAACTAGAAGATTGCTACAAAATTGACACCCGGCGACTTAGTCTATTGATATTTATGCCATGGACATCTATGCCATGGACGAGAGCATCTCACAAGCCTTTCCACGACAGCATCTTCTGACCATGCTGCAGTACGATCTTCGCTGCTATCCTTTTAGTTAACAGATCACCCTCGTGTCAGCGTCATATCGCGCTCAAGGTTAGTGCTGGCCGCTTTCCCAGTTTCGTTCAGGTGAGCAGGTTATTTTTGTATCGATCAGTTGTCTCAACGATATATGATACCCTTTGATTTACGCTATTAGAATCCACTCATCATTGTCGTTCACCATCCCCTCACTGTCGTCGACCGTGAATTGTGCATATCGGTCCCAGACCTCCCCGGCTGCGCTGGTGGCGAGCTGCACCCACTCTGAATATCGCCGGGTCTCTCCTGTCTCTTGGCCGCCGTCGTTGACATCGTCAAAAGTCAACAATTCGTCTGTCGCAGCCGCAGCCTTGAGCAGCTCGAAGAGTCCATCCGATTTCCCTCGCCACACAATTTGATCGCTCTTGAACACCTCCAGCGCCTCCGGTGTATCCCATCTGGACGGGCGAGGTCCCATTGACCCTGCCGCTTCGCCAGCGCCCTTAGCTCGTCGCATCAGCACATCTGCTAAGATGTCCACCGGGACAATCTTCTCGTCAGAATCATTCTTGACGGAATTGTTGTAGGAGATTGCTTCCATGAACCACTTGGCCAGCGTCAACATTGTAGGGGAATTCGCTCCTCCGTCACAGAGCGCGATCGCAATCGCCCAAGCGATGAGAAAGATGACTGGGTCCATGCACGGCAGCCGCAGGGCCACGAAGGGCACGATGCCACGTTTTGAAAAGTCCTGGCCGGCCGCGAGGTTGACCAAGAAGCGGGAGAAGTGGATGAGATTGGCATCGGGGTCTCCGTCTGCTCGCTTTGCTGCTGCTTCGGCTTCCGCTTCGGCTTCCGTTTCGTTCCCTGCTCCGACATCTTTCCCAGCCTTCTCAATTACATCCCCCGAGACGAGAAAGCCCCAGGAGAGGAGATACTCGGCCCAGAGAAACGCAAATAGCCGTACACGGCTGATGCGATAGTTGATGGGAATTTGGCTGCGGGTTAGCGCCAGCAGACCATACACGCGATCGTGGAACTGCGTGCAGTCCTGCGTGCTGAAGTAGTCAACCGCGTGAAAAAAGGGGAAGCGGATGGCGCTGCTGCCCATTTGTCGGCCGCGGTGTGAGAGGCCCAGGATATGTGCGCATTGATTGGCATCGAAGAAGTCGCCTTGCAACGGAATACCCATCCACTATTTTTCGTGGTGTCAGTCTCATGTGAAAAGCTCCTGTTCTTGATTCGGGGTCGTTTTCCCAACTTGGAAAATCAAGACAAAAAGTGAATGTAGCGGCGATGGTGGAGGGCTTACCACGTGAGCAATATCAAACACTGTCTCAAGATCACCACAATAGGAGTCGAGTTTGGCGAGGAAAGGGAGGGCAGTCTGGAGGTTGGTGTAGAGATCGACGGGATCCACCCTCTCCGGCCCCAGGCGGATCGTGAGGCGGCGCGCGAGCAAGACCTCCTGAACGATCCACAAGCGAGACCAGTACGAGGCACGGTAGGTGAAATAGCTGAGGACGTTCCAGCTGCGGTCGGGTATCAACTCACTCTTGATTTCGGCGGCGGACCGGCCGCGCTCCAGCTCGCCCACACACTGTGCCACCTTCCGGTTGTAATCCGACCGGAACATGGGGCCTGCTCTGCCGCCGCTGTGTTTCGCAATTGCCCCGTCAACCAAGGAACGTGCGAGGTCATATCGACTGAGATGCGGCTCGATGTTCGTCATGCCATTTTTGATTAGGTCCCGCGCGGTCTGGATCTCCTCTCGCTCCTTCTCATCCTCCCGCCGGGACGCCGCTCTTCGGTCCTCGAGCCAGCGAAACGGCGTGTGTGGGAGCTGCACCGAGAAGCGTGCACTCTTGTCGTGCTTCTCAAGCATCCGATCGGCCGCGCGCAGGTTCGTACGGTACATGGGGAGCTGCCGTCGCAGCCTCTCCAAATCGTCGAATGTCCTCTGATACCGCTCCGCCATCAGATCGGGATTGTAAATCCACAAGATGACTTCCTCTGCACGGCGATAGATGTCATGCATCAAAGCGACCTGCTGTTCCCGCTCCGCGATGTCGGTCTGGTTGATACAGATGGCGTCGATGTACATCCAATCCGCGTGCTTCTCCCGCGCCATTTGTTGCAAAAACCGATGGAGGTTGGGCCGAACGGGGAATGTTCGTCCATCTACCTCAATGCCGTCCTGCGCAGGATCCTTGCCCCATTCGTAGGAAAGGGCTTGCCATTTGGGTGGGTCAGGCGCAGATGTGGCGAGAGAAAAGACTTGAAGATGACATCGAATGTGGTCCTCTTTGCTGGTGGCATCGATCTGAATGAGCCGAAACTCCGCACGGGAGCTGTTCAGAGGGAAATATAGATCTTCGGGCTGCACATCTATCACAGGTTGTTGAAGATCGGCTCCCGCCTTGATACCTTTGCCTCGTAATGGTTTCAGTTCCACGGCAGCGCTGCTTGCCACTGCTCGGCCATTCTTATCACGTTCGCTGGAAGACTCGGGGATCACGGACGAATTTACTAGCTTGCGGCGTCGAGAGCCGAATGATGCGAGTGATTGTAACGGCATGTCAATCTACGACACGCGGAAACTTTCATAATGAGGGTGGTTCAAACTTTCTGGCACCGCCGTAGACAGGTATTGCACGATAAAGCTGCATCGTGAACGCCCTCAGCCTGTCTGCAATCTTACCTACCTAGGTACCTTGGTAGGTACAGTACCTACATATCTACTGAGGTAGGTAGGTAGTATTGTAGGTGTCTTGGTTGTTGCTTGTGCTTACCTGCCCAGGTGACCCTCGAGGTCATCTTAATAATTCTTTCCAGATGATCGTTGAATCATTTTATTTAGATACTCTCGCATCAAATGGAATCATTGTAACGAAAGAGATTCGACTTGTTTGTAACAAATCACAACTAGCTTCTAATGCCCAATAAAGTGTGATGTATGGGGTTAGGGTTGCTATTGTCTTTTCACAATGACAGAAATGTGGTCCAATTATCTGCACACCAATCCTCCGTTTTCAGGATCATTTCACGGTGATAAGGTGATAATGCAGCACCAAGACTATTTTACACCATTTAGGCAGCCCGATACTAACGTCGATGTCTTCAACCACAAATTTCACACGATCGACGAGGACGTGTCCATCGAACCGGCTCTCTCGGTCAGGACTTGGGGGCAATGCGTACGTGAATTCAATTAAAACTGGCACATCAAATACTATTCCTCGACCAGCATTCCCGCCAGCCTCTTCCTCAGCCCTTCCACCGTGATACCCTCACCCGTCTTATCCTCGTCATCGAGGCATGTGCCCGCCGCATCCGTCGTACAAGAAAAGCCGAGCATCTCGCCGATGACCTCTCTGGCCAGCTCAGGAAATCCGTCTGGAAACTCTCCTTTACGGAGATTCATCAAGGTCGTCCTCCGCTCCATTTGCGTTGAGAAGGGATATAGGAGTTCAAAAGCGATGATGCCTAGCGCGAAAAGGTCTGTTGCAGGACCGATCGGAGGTGCACTGCCGCTGATCGCGGGCGTATCAATAGGGCGGTAAAGCTCTGTGCCGACACGATTTGGAGGCGGCAATGTTGGCGATGCGACTTGTCGAGTGTTCGCGGTAGAGGTGGGAGACATTGGTGGCGACATGACAGATGACAGAGCGGAAGTTGACGAAGTCGCCGGGGTGGTGATTTTGCTTACAAGACCGAAGTCGCCGATGCAGATGCAAATTTTAGGGCCGGCGCTGGTTGAGCTGTCCACTGGAGGAGAGGAAGGCGCTGTGTGGGCGCGGCATGGTTCGCAGAGACCCAAATCGATGCTGCCCTGTTTGGGAGGAGTGGAGGCAGGAGTTGATTTGCAGTCGTCCTCAACGCGCAAGAAGATATTGGCTGGTTTGAGATCACGATGAATGATGCCGCGAGAGTGGATATAATCGACTCCGTCGAGCAGAGCAAGCATGATGCGGATGGATGGTTCGAGATGAAAACAGTGGGTCAATGTTGGGGCAGCAGACGAAGGCGATTTGCTGACACTTGGTGATAGGCCTGGTGTGAGGAATTCGGCGAGTGTCATTGGGTAAAGTGCCATCTGAATGTGTAATGCAAGACAAGGTTCCGAGCTAGTCTGAAGCTTGCCGAATCCAGATGCAGTGAATCCACTCTCAGAGACTGCTGATGGCGCAAACGAGTAGCCATCTGTGGGCTCGAACGCGATGGCGAGGCCGTCATTCGCGCCGGTGTCTCTATTCGACACATCTACGCTCTTGTAACGACGATGCGACCTAGACGAAGCTTTGCTGATCTCGGAAATCGGTCCAGACGGCTCGGCGAATGTAATGAAATTGCCGCTGTCATGATCACTGTCCGTATCAGCAGTGATGACGCGATGTAATCCCGTTGAGTCTGTGATATCTTCAGAAACGTCGGTGGTCTCTCTGAAAGCGGCATTGCCTCTGTTCTTTGTCGACGGTGTTGTCCACTCCACCCAGCTGCTGTAGTATCGAACGACGTTCGGATGCTCCAATTTCGCAAGGGTGCGCAACTCCACAAGAACCTCTTCAAGCTCATGCTGCTTTTGAGCCGAATTGACTTGTGCCATAGCGGAGGAATCAATGCGTACTTTTTTGACGGCGTAAGCATGGCTGTCTAGGCGATGGCGGACATGGTACACGGTACCATAGCCACCCTTGCCCAGTAAACCGACTTCCTCAAAATCCCGCAGGTACTGACTGCTAGACATTGTAGAAGCACGGGGCTGATTCCACAATGAGACTGGCCCGGCTTCTTCGGGCAACTGCTCAAGAACTGTTGGACTGACCGATTCAGTGAGAAGCTTTGTCACGGCTTTCACGATGGACTGTTGCCTGATGGAAGGATGGCTCCTCCCGGAAAGCATATTCAATCCATCACGATACGCCTGACGAGTCTCGGCATGACTCTCCTGTTCCAGTCCAGATGACACAAGATTGAGAGGTGCGAGCCGAGAACACAGCCGTTGATATCTTGCCTGTGCTTCTTTCCGGATATCTGCTGACCCGCGTCGAGACCATTCGTGTTCGCGAAGAACTTCACTGACACAGCGTTCTTCGAGAAGGGCATGCAGTAGCACATCCCTGTGCGAACTGTTCAAAGAAGGCTGAGACAAAGCCAGTGAAGGTCCTGCGCCTCCTCTGTTGGCCGGACTATCTTTAGACGTGGTGAATTTGATCTGCCGGGGCTCTTCTTCTACACGCACGTCTTCTTCGGCGGAGGAGTCATCGTCGCTGGAAGAGTCGTCGCCACCACTACGAAAGAATCGCGATGACATGCCTCTGCAGATTCGACATCTGATCGAATGAAGGGATTGAACTTGTCTGATCTGTCCAGCAGATCACAGATGATACGGAAGCGGCAGATGAACCATGGAAGGTGTTGTGGAGTATAGAGGGAGAAATCGCAACTGCCTAGAAATTTGCCATAGAAAGGAATGATCAACACGAGAAGCTTGAAAAGAGTCGGTTCCGAATATATGCTTGTATTTATTACTTTTGGAAATGATCACGACATGATGTTCTCTTGGTACGCCCTACATCTGTCTTTACCAAGGAGCATCTAAGGAGTGGCCTCTTACCGATTGAGCGAGTGACGTGTTGTCAATTCGAGTCATCCCGACGTCTGCCTGTGTTCTTTAAGGCCTCAGGCAAAAGATTACATACACGTGAGGGTGAAGGATTTCCCGTTCGGGCTCTTCTCCGGCCTTCTCCTCCGCGTCCGAGGTCGTTGGCGGAGGAGCTGATTAACTAAGCTGGAATTTGCTCCTCCTCAGATCGAGCACGACGAGACAGCTCGGTTCCGCAAGCGACCAATCCACCTCCCGAGGCACTTTTGATGTCGTGAATCACAATGGGACGGTGATGCAGACTCTTTGGAATCGTGCTGCGCAACTACGATGCGCCTGCCGCTGTCCGCAATGCCTCCATTCCGCCACCCATGGACCGGCGACTCGTCGAGCCACAGTGTCGGCCAGCAAGCGAGTGCCTAAATACCTCACATCTTCGACGCTTTGGTACTCAGGGATATTTGCCGCGGCTGCGAGCATTGATGCAGGCGCGAAAGTGAAGCGGACGGAGCAATGGGATCGAGCGATCGCAGAGGCCAAACATGAATTGGACGAGGTGGAGGAGGTAATCTCGAAACAAACACGACAGACGGATGAGCTAGATTTCGGGAGCAGTCTCTCAAAGGATGGGAAATCAAAGAGTCAGCATGAACTATGGTCATTCGACGGTGATGCTCTCGATGTTCAGACTGAGCTACATTCGCACTTGACTTCCTCCGTCGCACATCCGGTCACAAGTATTACGCATCGGGAAGATGCCGTCTGGGAACATCGCGTTCCTCCACAGTCTATATATGCCTCGGCATACCGCAAAGCCCGTCACGATCAAACCCGATATGGACCGAAGAAGTTGGAGACCATCGAACTGGCAATGGACCTCCTTCAGCTCAAGGCTTTCGCGAATATTCAGGAGCGCGGATGGAGCATCCGAGCTGCTGCTGCTGTACCCGCTGAGTATGCTAAGTATTTGATGATGGACAACTCGCGACTGCGAGACTTGTATAACAGCAAAGTGAGCGACATCAAACGATTGCGGCAGGTTCCGGGACTTGAGATGTCAAATTTCGAGCGATCACAGAGTGACCGTCCGTTGTGCGAGTACAGCCAGGATATTGAGGGGGAGCATCTCGACACTACAACAGAACTCAATCGTTGCATTCAGGAGCTTTTCCGGCTTCGCTTGGAAGGTGTCCTGCATGCGGCAGAGCTCACCGCCAAAGTCTACTACAACCTGTCCGTCTCTAGCGCCCCGCCGAATATTGATACTTTCAACGCCCTCTTGCTCGGATTCTCACGAGCTCGTCAGCCCGAGCAAGTTCGAGACATCATTTCTGCTATAAACATTTCTCGCATGCGACCCAATGAAGTGACGCTCGCCACGATCCTTCGTTTCTTCACAGCTACTGGCGATAGCGCTAATTTCACGCAATGGTTCGCATTGATTCGAGGCTGGTATGGTGGGCTCGACTTGGCCCGCCCTGACATCGTGGTCAACCGAGCAGGTGCAGATCGCTTGATTGATCATCGCAACGGTGCGCGAACAGGCAAGGTCTGTCAATTACCAGCACCTACCCCTATGGTCTTTGGCGCCATCATTCGAGGTATCTTGAAATTTGATGGATTTTCTGCCGCCCTACAACTTTGCGAAATCATGGGCGAGGAAGGCTGGCGCCTCGGCATCAGTGGCCTTGCACCTTTACTCAAAGATTGTGCAACGAGAAAAGACCTTGATGCTGGTCGTGCTGTTTGGCAACAAATCCAGAAACGCAGAGCCGCCAAGCTACGATTGCGGGCTTCCGGTGAGCGGACGCCTGTGATCCATATAGACACATACGCATCAATGCTGCGCCTCTGCTCTCGCTGCAACGAGCAAGATCTATTCGCGCAGGTGCTGGATGAAGCGAAGAACGAGCATGGCATCACCTATGCAGATCTGACTAAACTGGTCAAGAATGCACTGAACGATCCGCCTGTATTTAATTATGCGGACGGAGTAGAGCCGAATAAGTACACAGAGCCGGGGATATACGACGACGACTTGGCCGATGTCGCGACGATGAACTACGACAACTCCATTGGAGCAGAGCCCCCCCCTGCAACGTCCGGGCGGCATCAAAAAGGGAAACGCGCCCAGGAGAACATCCGCGATGCTGCGCCGCAAATACATCCACGACGTCCTGTGAACGCTCACCCGGAGCGCATCCACCTCAAACCCATCACCTCAGCAGAATTCACCACCCTTGTAACAACACCGCTTCCACAGCCCTCCGACTCTCAATTCACGGTTGATTACTCCGGCATTTGTCTCTTTCCCGATGAAGTGATCCCGCTCGAGGACCCGCCCTCCGCTTTCGAAGAATCAGAACCTTATATTAAAGAAGCTCTTGCCCGCCAAGATTCTGCGCCTGAGCTGTTGACAAAGCTCGACCCTTCAGCAAAAGCCAAAGAGCCTAATGCCGAGACACCCGCTGGTACCGACCTCTCCGAGCCATCAACATCTTCTAATTCGAGCGTGGGAGACCCTCCAGCTCCGCGGTTCACAATCCGCAAGGCGTACGGCGAGGAGATTTTCACGCGCCCGCCGAGTTTCTTGGGTTCGTACTACGATGATCGACGACAGCATTATGGGAGGTTGAGGGAACAGTGCTAAAGATTGAAACTTCAAATCCTCATTTGGTCTAATAAATGAAAACCGATAGGTCTAATTTTCAGGACTTTGCTTAGTATATTTACGACGAATTTATATATCCCTTGAAAAATTACTCGATATCTGCTCTGTGTGAGTGATCTTCATTCCTTAGTCCCAATGTCAATTTGCCGACTCACTGTGAGTCCAGTCGCCACAGCATCCGTTTGAGCAAGAGATGATTATCCCCAAAAGACATAAACCAGATGTGATAGTATCCTTACGTCATTGTTTGAATATTCTCCGAAAAGGTCTTATTTCCCCTTCTCGACCAAGAAACCATCTGAAATGTGTCATGCGCCGCAATGGCGAATCAAGTTCAAGAAATCGCTTTCAAAATGATCAAATAATGGTTCAAGAAAAGCTGCCGTCGTCTGTTTATGTCGCCTTGGGCTTCTTCGTGCCATATTTCGATCGACTCGTGACGCGGTTACCGACTCCTCCCTGCGGTCACACTGTCAGTATGCAAGTAATTATCTTGGCCAGGTTTCATCTGCTCACCAAATCCATTGCTCCTCGGACCAAATGGTATTTGACTCCGGGACAATCCTGTGCTCGACCTCCTCGTACTAGAACCACGGAGTGCTGTTGAACGTTGTGACCTGAAGCAAAATATTGTCAGCAGACCGATGCTTACAACGATCGAACACTTTTCTGTCGTCTGCCGAAGTTCCGTGAACTCCCAGTCGCGTTGTGTGTCGCATTTCCGCCGTCAGACAGATGAGTCCCGTTGCTATCTCCTTGACGCTGTTCTTGTCTGCAATCACTCGTTCGGACTGCCAGAAACCAATCTCCCAGTCGCCGGAACAAAGTAAACCACTAACCTTCGCCAGGGATATACGCCGTAATCAACCTCCCACTGCTCAACCTCACCCTCGCCACCTTTCTCTCTCCTGAATTGGGCTTCTTCGGCTTGACTATACCCACACGCACACACACGCCCTTCATTTCTGGGTGGTCCTTCATCGCAGGCGAGCGCGATTTTCGTGCACGTTGCTCCTGTCGACAGCCGCGAATCACTTGGTTGTATGTTGTTCGGAAGAAAGGCGAATGCGAAAACGTCCGGCGCGAGGACGCAAGGATGTGTGAAGATGGTGCGGGCTGTAGGAGCGACGTGCGGATTGTCTGAACGCAGCGCGGTTGGAGGGCGCTGGTGAGTGTTTGGCGGAGAGGTCGGAGGACCAATGTTGTCGCCATGTTTGCGAGGCAGGCAGAATCTCAAGCGATCTGTGGGAAGGATGGCCGCAGCGATGTTGATGACAATCCTCGCGACAAATACCCAACATGAACAATGCCGTCGTTGTCGTGAATCTCAAATTGCGGAGTTCTCGGGAGTGTGATGTTCATCGGGAGGCGCAATTAGGTACGGGGTACGGAAGCATTCAACGGCTTGGTGCAGCACTGTACATGCATCTGCAGCACCGGCACGTGTGATAGATATCATTTCAAGGTTGCTTCCTGTTTGCAAGGCAAGCACAAAGAGTTGTTGTCTAGCAGCTGTTCTCCGTACGAGATGGCTTTCCAGCATTTCGTAAACTATAAGATCATGTTTATCCTTCCTTGTCTTCCGCCTGTCTCCCACCAAAGCCATTTACTCCTCAACTAGCCTCCATCCTGTTCAGAGCCATGTCTACCGATACGCAGAAGCAATGTGCCAATAAAGTCTGCCACCGCACGACTGCGCAGGATGGCGGCGAGGCATTGAAGCCGTGTGCACGATGTCGCAAGGCCAAGTACTGTTCACGAGGTACGTAGAGTTCGGCAACAACAAGAACCCATTCATTGCCAGTCTCGGTATCAGACTGTATGGAGACAGATCATGTCCAAGAGCAACCTGCCCCATGCTACTTCCAAGACGGCAAGAAGACCAACGGACGACTCACGCAATGTTTGCAGATTGTCAAACCCAGTACTGGCCTACCCACAAGGGCACCTGTCCCGGCCCCAAAGCTCCACGTCTCGTCCACAGAAACTTGCCAACGTTCCAAAAGATCGTGCCTGCCGGCGCCTCGGAGCAGGTACGCTTCGGCTACATCATCGACACATTCCGACTGCGCTGCGAGGATGACTACGCTCATGGGGCCCACAACCACGGCATCTACGGCAACGGTGACCCGTGGCCCTTGTGGGAGGACTTCCTGGATCGTGCCGAAACAGCCGGCGTTCTGACCGGCGGTGGCAGATCGTGGAATTCTGCGACGCGGGAGCGCTGCACGCAAGTCGCCCGTGACGATGCGAATTTCAGTATTCGATTTGCTGTCGAGAAGAGCGACATTCAGGAGCATTACAAGGATCCTTCGATGCCAATGGCGTTGCGTATGATGGCGGAGAACATCTACGGTGGAGGATATGGTCTGGGCCAGAAGCCGATGCCGCATGATTTTCAGTGTTTCTGTTAGGTTGGTTGATGAGAGCATGGTCCCTTGGTTGAGATTTTCCAGCTCTGCAGAGCGAGGACGGCGATCTGAAGAACGGCGATGCAGCTCTCTTCTGCCTGGTCAGGTCAACGTCAAAGCATAACACAGGCCCAGCGGCATGAGGACGGGTCAAGAACGGAAGTTGGAGAAGTAAATTCTCTAGAATTTCAGTAACTCGTAACAATCATCGCTATACTGAAGAAATGACACACCCTCCCGCAAGACAAAGTCGACGACTCACGATAAGAGAGAGTCCTCACAAAACCGCATCTAGTGCTTCGCAGTGTTGTTCTGGGTATCATTCGCAAACTCATGCAGCCAGTGCGGGAGACCACGACCCGCCGCGGCGAGGGTCATGAGGGGGTTTCCCTCAGGCAAGAGGACGTGCTGGCCGCGGCCGGAGAGGATGACCTCGGCCATGCGCTTGGCAACGACCTCGGGGTCCTGGACGGGCGAGACGGCGCCGAAGAGCCAGTTGTCTGCGAGAGTCTTGTCGACCCAGCCGGCGATCAGGGGGGTCTTGATCCAGTAGGGGTTGATGGAGGAAACGCGGACGAAGGGGGCCTTGTAACGCCACTTAATTTCTTGGTTGAGACCTGAGAGTGAGAAAATGGAACCGTTAGTATCATTCAGAGTGAAATTTGCTGCTGCTCATCTCGGGCGAGCCTTCTCCTTGGAAATTCCGGACTCGTTGCTCTGCGGATTTCCACCTCTTCCCAACCATCGACGTCCGTCGAATCGCTTCCAAGGACGTCGACTGTCCGCTCGATGGGAACAAGAGAACGTGAGAACACATACCGTCAGTGAAAGCCATGGCAGCCGCCTTTGAAACACAGTAGTCGACCATTCCAGCGCAAGTCGTGTATGAAGCCATAGACGCGGTGCTGATGATATGACCCTTCTTGGCCTTGATCATGTCGGGGAGGAATTCGCGGACGGTGTACCAGTGGCTGATGCAGTTGATCTTGAAGATCTTGTCGAGGTTGGCATCGCTGACTTCGGTGATGAGGTTGGTGCGACCAATACCGGCGTTGTTGCAGAGGATAGTGGTGGTGCCGTGCTCGGCCTTGATCTTGTCGGCGACCTCCTTGATGCTGGCGGAGGAGGTGACGTCGCACTTGTAGAAGAAGACCTTGCCGGCTGTAAAATGGGAGACGTGATGTCAGTTTTCCGCGCAAGATAAATGTTGCGCGATTCGCACGTCTCGCGTGATCCTGATCGCGTTTTCTTAAGACTTACTGTCCAAGAGCTCCTGCGGCGGAGGAGAGATGTCCAAGATAGCAACGCGGATACCCTTCTTGATCAAGTGTCCGGTAACGATGACACCGAGACCACCACTGCCACCAGTCATGACACACAGCTCCTCATTCCACTTCCATGGCGCTGCGCCATTCGAGAAAGACCAGTGGTTGAACGCCCATCGGTTGAGCAGTCCGTTGACATATGAGACCACACCCAAACCGAAGAGCGCCTTCAACACAGATACAGCGGTGGCGTGAGGGATGTTGAAAGGAACGGCGGCAAGAGCGGAGAGCGCATGCTGCTTGATCTCTGGCGGGCTGCGAGTGAGCGCGTAGAGAGCGGCACCGCTCAGGAACGGGTTCAGGACCGTGTGGGAGATGAGGCTGACCATGATGTCGCGTGGGAGGAGGATGGTTTGACGAAGAAGGAGAAAGCCAAAACACAGAACACAGAGAATGCGCTCACGGGAAACACAGGCTATCTATAGGAATACAGTACATATCCTGCTGCCTATGAATCTTCGGCGCATCCACCATCTCCGCCTCTCCTCGTTTACTCCACTCCGAATGATCATCCTCTAACGACGTAACAAGCTCTCCACCCCAATGGTTTTTCCTGGGCGCACACGCACAGATCACCCATTCTGCTGGGGAGAGGGTCGTGTGCCGTAGACCGAACGACCGAACACGTCTGCTGGACGAACGAACCGTCTGGACTATTCGGATAGAGACTAGGCTACGAAGATTTGAGTTGAGGCGCATCGACAGTGCTCAGAGATCCCCGCATCTTCGACAAGGAACCTTCTATCCTCACGAGCATCAGCCAGCAAAGCCAGTATGACTGCGAATACGACCGGGCAGGCTTATTTCATCAATGTGGAAGACAGAGGCACCTAACGGGCGCGAGTGCTCATCAAGAGTGGAGAAGGCGTACACCTCTCAAGGCATGGACGATCGAATTTCAGCAGACAGGGAAATTATCTTCTCCCCAAAGATCCCACAAGCCGAGGTTCAAATTTCAATGAAGAGGACAAGATCCTGCGCCAGGCACGCTGTCCGACGATCAACTAATCAACAAGCAGAAAAGAGGGCCCGCGCTTAAATGGATTAAGACGACGGCCGACGCGGGAAGCTTGTCCCTGCATGGTTTCGCGCCCGGCCACTAAGGACCAAGAGGGAATCGGGGGAACTCCTCGGCGCCGAGAGAGAACGACGATTTCGTTATCGTTTTTGCATGAAGACACACGCGCACGCTGTGGACGGTGTTTCAGACGACTTTTCAAATAGAGCTGGGGTGCGCGGCGCGCTTCATGCTAGAACATGCCGGTGCGTACCGCTTCACGACTGAGACAAAATGAAATCATCGCTATACTCTGTTGTGCGGGAGAGGTGAAGCACGGACATCAGGGACGAGCTGCCCGCAGTGCGAGGGAAGAGGGAGAACGCACGCCAACAGGGGCTGACGACCTGGACAAGGATGTACCCTGTAGTTGCGAATTTGGAAGCAGGGTGTATAGTATCCACAGGTGAAAGACGCTGTGAGTGAGGTCGTCCTCCTATCTAGATCTCTAGCGGAATGAAGCAAAATGAGGTTGGATATCCTTCATGACGCGTCCGCTGAGAGAGCGCACTCGCCGAGCCGTAAGGGCCTGATACTGTAAGCTAGATATATACGTACTGAACTTGTGATAACAAAAAGAAGCAACGCGAAGCCAGAGCGCGCGAAATACAAGATCAGGAGGTAAAGGTGATCAATCGGGAAAACAAAGCAATTCCTCTCGTCCTTACAACGCATACAAATAAACTTCACCGAGACGTCCTCCCCAAAAGTCGCAAGAATCAAATCTCCTCACCACGCGCTTCATCATCGTTCGTTGTCAATTCTGTCAGCAATCCGCCCTTCCGATGGCATTCTCGTCTTCCATACTATAGTCCACTGATGACTTCCTTCCAAGCCAGACCACAGCCCTCGCCCAATTTCGGCGGTGAACAGTTCCTCTCGCCATGCAGCAGCGGAGCAGGCTGGACGCCCGCGATCCACGCGCGAGCATTCGCAAACGACGCCCCGGGGAACAACTCCACGGCCATCAGTGTGAGGATCGCGTAGGAAGGTCGCTCGAGACGCATGGCGGTCTGCAGCGGTTGCAGCCAGCGTGGAGGCGGCGAGAGGGGTTTCTGTAGTTGATGCCGGGGGTAGTGGCGGATGCGAGATTGTGTGGAGGACGACGCGGAGGGGCTCTGGGGGCGAGGGTTGGTGAAAGGGAGGTGCAGGTCGTGGAGGTCGGCGAGCGCGAGGTCGATGCGGCGCGCGATACTTGCGGGCATCGTGTCGAAGCAGGTCATGCGCGAGTAGAGGCGATCGCGCGGCGATTGAGGTTTAGCAGTGGTCGTCAGGATGACAGGGCGCTTCTGGTGGAATTGTCCGCCTTCGCCTGAGCTGGTGCCATCGGAATCGTCCCCGCTTGAGGCTTGTCCGTCGCCTTTCTGGCTGCCAAAGAGGAGCTCCTCGTCTGAATCGAGGTCTAGCGAATCGAGGAGGGCGTTGGATTCGATGTGAAGCAATTCCATCTTCACGTCGAAGATGAGTTGCTGGCTGATGAGCTCGGCGTTGGCAGGATGCTGTGAGGTCATGCATTGCTTGATGGCGGCGCAGATTCGAGCCGCTCTGACGCCGTTGCGGCGATTGCTCTTCCGAGCGAAGATGGGCTCGTAGGATCCGGTGAGGGGATTCATCGCTTGGTTGGCTTCGATGTTCACGTGCTCGATGTTGCTGAGGCGATAGAAAGGTCCCATCGCAACCGCGAAATGACTGGCGCGAATCGTCGAGGGACTTGAAGTCGAGAAACTGATGTGGAGCTTCGGGAGCGGTGAGCTCTTGCTACTGGCGGCCAGCATGCGAGTAAAGTTGTCGACGTTCAAGCGAACGTTTCGGATCACATCGAACGAGGGTGCGGTTGAAGTAAGATCTATGTCGATGTAGAGAGTCTCGCAACCAGCAAGACATAAGCCGCGACTGTTGACGGCTCGTCTCGTCATGTCACACAGCAACGGGAAGTTGGAGTAAGCGAGATCTCTGCGAATTGTGATAGTAGGTCGTCTATGTCTGAAAAGGATCGATTGGATTCTGGCTTCGACGTTTGTCAGATCTTCCTGGAGACTGCTCGGCGAACATTCTGCACGATGCAAAAAGAAGCGATCCCGTTTGACGATGAAGGCTTGCTTGTAGTCGGCGGGCAGCTTGCTGTGAGAAGAGCCTTCAAATGGGTCAATGAAAGAGCCAGATGAGACGCTCGACGCTGTGCTCCATGTTACGTGTCGAGTTGGTGGTAAGGCTTGCACAGGAGCGGCGTTCGTCTTGGGTGGAGGAGGCAGATCTATGCCATCGATGGCAGAGTCCTTGCGCTGAAGGATTGCCCATGCAGCTTCTTCGGCATCGACACGTTGCTCACATTGCGGCGGCTTGGAGATTCTGATGGAGACATCGCTGTCTTTGCGAGTCACGTTGACAGACACTTGTCGTGGTGGGACGCAAGTGCTGCTCGGCCGGCGACCTGAGAAGAGAGCATCGTTGACCGAAGTCATGCAGAGGATCTGTTGTGCCAACATTGATAGACCAAGCACGTAGAGGTGGTGAAGACCGAGTGCAGAAAAGTAGTGGCCGACGAGCGAGATCCTTATTAAACCTGTCAAGAACGCGTAAAGGAAAAGTTCTTTTTTTCTTGAAGGTATAAGGATGGTCGTCGAGGTCATTGTGCGCGGGAAGTGCGCTATAACCACTATTGATTTGGAAATCTAGGTAGATCTCGTTCGCGGGGCCCTCCTCTACCGATCGTTAATGGTCGTCGTGTGGTGGGTCCGAGGACGTGCAACCACCAATTGTGAAGCAGTCGGCAGCGAGTGACGACAGAATCTGGCACAGAGGCGGACTGCGCGTCATTCAGCGAGTACAATCAGTGACAGGCAGTAGCGCGTAAACGAGAAGATGGTGTCACAAAGTGAGAGCGACAGACAATGGCGATGGGAAGAAGTGCATCACCATCGACGAGCCTACCTGTAATCGACAAATGATGACTGAACGCATTATCCACGCGCGGAAGATCCGCAAGTCAAACCTCCTCACCCGTCTTACACATGTCGCACCCGAAACGGAAAGCCCACCTGCCGTTATCTGACGGTTGGGACACTCTTTCGAACGGGGGACCAGACCCTTGGCCGGAGCGCACGAGTAAGGTGGTCTGGTGGTCCGGAGTATCGTTTTCGAAAACAAATATGATTTCTCTTTGCTGTACGAAGCGAAAAAAGACAGATGTGAACATCATCACAGAGTACCGTGGAAAGGTGATGTCGGGTAGTTGGGTGACCATAAACCTTATTTTGACGACGAGATGGTAGCGTGGCTGCGGACCAGGCGACGCTCACGGGCGGGCAGTCCCATGCGACAAATGCTTCATACGAGAACAACTTGAGTTAGCTTGTCGGTCAACTTTAGCGAGATCATGGCAGCTCGTCTCGCCTTTCCGCTGTCCGTAGTGTTGCGTGCCATTCTCTTCAGCTCGAAGCGATCGTGGTCCAGGTATCAACTACTGCAGCCACATCGATCGCGCTATCAAGGTGTTGTGAAATGACGAGAGGCGATCAGTCTTACGCTTCGTCTCGGCCTGTCCAAAGATTGCATATGCTCTCGAGTAACATACCTCAATCCCCGTCCTTGCGTGAAGAGGATCGAGGTGGTGGGCCACGGACAGATAGGTTCCGGGCCGCTCACTCGTCGTCCGACAGGCATCACAAAGGAAGACATCTCAGCCATGTCGTCGCACACACGACCGCGCACAACATCGTGGCAGCGATGTAGAAATCGTGTGGAGCACCTCCCGCGTCACCGCGACGCAGACGATCATCCCGAAGTGGAATGCGCGAGCGAGCCAGCGCCCCGCATATGCGCAAGGATCGGCGGGATTCCGAGGAGCCGTCCGTCAACGTTCCTTTATCGAAAGTGGGATCCGGACGCCCTTGGCTGAAACGCCGTTGCGAGAGATGTCTTTCGCTGGTCTGGACGGATTCCTGGTATCCCTCAGACGATGCACACACATCCATCCAACACAGCGGTTCCACAGATCGTGGTGGGCGCGGCGGCCCGCTCCGAGCGCGATTGCAGAGCCGTGCGTGCCGGGCCGGCTGCAGGGCGCGGAACCTCAGGCGTCAAATGAACGACACCACCTCCCGGGCTCCACTGGATTCCAAGCAGAGCGCAGGGGGAGCAGCGTCACCAATACGAGGAGATGCGAATGTGACAGCTGGAGCTACCTCCGTGTGTCCTGAGACACTTTTCCATCACACACACACGCACAGGGCTTTCAAGGACACCATCGTCGATCGGTGGAAGAGCCGCGGCGCATGAAAGACATTGCAGTCGTAGTCCAACAAGAACAAGAACAAGAACAACGACACGATGGCGGCGCAAGAACAGATCAAGGACGTCCTCGCGCTGTCGCGGCGGGTGATCTTCGACCCGCGGATGAGCAGATGGACGAGCGTGGCGCAGTTGCTCGGCGAGGTGGCGCTGTGCGGGTTGATCATTTGGAAGGTTCCCTGTGAGTTGATTTCTCTCAAATCCCCCAACCCTTCAATCGGGGCGATGTGTATCTACATGGGGGGTCGAGACCTCTGGGGTAGATAGATGCTCCATCAAGGATGCAAAAAGAAAAGAAAAGAAGAGCCCCGTTTCCCAATGGAAAGGGGGGAGAGAAAAAAAGACGCTGTTCCTTCCCAGACGAGAGATGGAAAACTCACGACTCAATGCCCCTCGTATCGTTCTAACCACGAAAGGGGAAAATCTTCCAGATACCAACATCGACTGGACGGCCTACATGCAACAAACAGAGCAATACCTGGCCGGCGAACGTGACTACCACAAGATCGCCGGTGACACGGGGCCGCTGGTCTACCCGGGCGCGCACGTGTACATCTACCGGGCGCTGCACGGGTTGACGTCCTCCGGCAGCGACATCGGGCGCGCGCAGGTGCTGTTCGGGATCCTCTACCTGATGACCCTGGGGACGGTCCTGGGCACGTATCGCGCGGCGGGCGCGCCGCCGTGGGTGCTGGCGCTGCTGAGCCTGAGCAAGCGCGCGCATTCGGTGTTTCTGCTGCGGCTGTTCAATGACGGGTGGGCGGTGCTGGGCCTGTTTGCCGCGGTGGCCGCGTGGCAGCGGAGGTGGTGGACGGCGGGTGCGGGCTTGTTTGCGCTGGGCCTCGGGGTCAAGATGGTAATTCTGTTGGCGCTGCCGGCGGTCGGGGCTGGGTTGTGGCAGGCGGTGGGGAGGGATCGGGCGGTGCTCTTGGCGGCGGGCATGGGGCAGGTTCAGGTGGGTTTTCTTTTCTTGTCGACTGTGGATTTCCTTTGCATTTCTCGTGGAGAGGGTTGTTGCTGACATGATTGTTTTGTTTTTGGTCCAAAGTTGCTCTTGGGATATCCCTTCCTCGCGGCATATCCCTGGAGCTACGTCTCCCGCGCCTTCGAATTCACCCGGCAATTCCAGTTCAAATGGACGGTCAACTGGCGCTTCATCGGCGAGGAGACCTTTCTCTCTCGACCGTTCTCCCTCTCCCTGCTGGCCCTCCACATTTCACTGCTGACCGTCTTCCTCCTCGGACGATGGATGCAACCCAGCAGCACCGGCGGCCGAGCGATTTCCATCCCGACGCTATTCAAACGTCTCATCCACCCTCCGCCCAAGGACGTCCAGGCCAGCATCGCGCGCCAGGTGACGCCGGATTTCATCCTGACGAGCGTCCTGTCGGCGGTGGTCATCGGATGCCTGTGCGCGCGGAGCCTGCACTACCAGTTCTACGTGTACATCGTCTGGGCGACGCCGTTCCTGTTGTGGCGGAGCGGGATGCATATGGTCGGCGTCGTCGCGGTCTTCTTTGCGCAGGAGTGGGCGTGGAATGTGTATCCCAGCACGGATCTGAGTTCGTCGGTCGTGGTCGCGTGTTTGGCGATCACCGTTGCGAGTTCCTGGATCGGGATCAGATTCCCGACGGTTGGTGGGTCGGGTTCGAGGAAAAATGTCAAGTCCAAAAGGTAGCCTAGACGACGTGGAGCGTTGCGGTTTCCATCGACGTCCATCGATCTTTCCCTCTTGATGTGTCCTACTCTCCCCGTCAATCCTCATCCTCCGATTCCGGCATCTGAGGTCCGCGATCTTCCTCCTCAGAAGAGGAATCATCATCACCTCCCATGACACGCGCCCTCCCCACGGGGAATTCCTTGGGCCAATATGCCATCTTCCGCCACTCCTTCTCCTCGCGGACGATGTTCACGATTTCGCCGCCGAGTTTGTTGTCCCTCGCGGCCATGGCGTCGGTGTCGACGAGGACGTACATCCCGCGTTTGATCCAGATGGTATGGCGGAAGCGGAGCGGCAGCTCGGCGAGGACCGTCGTCAGAGGGGGCGGTGCATCGGTGGTGTCGGATGGGGGTCCCGACGGCGATGTGGAGGATGGTGACGGCAGCTCCAGTCGGTAGAGGTTGTTGCCGGCGGCGGAGTGGACCCGTGCGATGGCTTGGGTCGCGGTGAGGGCGCCCGGGGGAGTGGTCGTCTCTTGGTCGATCGCGTGGAGGTTGCGTTTCGGTTTGGGCATGATGTCGGGTTGGACGGAATGAGCGGGATCACGACGGACGGGACAGATTAGTGATGGCGCTGAAGATCTCGTCTGTACCGCTGTTATATTGTTATCGCAGGAAAGGATCAGGGAAGGAGGGTCGGGAATGTCTCAGTACGACTGCTAATCCGGAATACTGTCATAACAAATCCCTTGGTGGTGGCATTGTGGGCGGGAAGAGATCACGAAATTCATCAAGGTGTGTGTGACGTCAGCCCTATGGTGGATTTGTGCCCGCACCGCAGACCACAGAAAGTCACGTGACAGCCGCTCATCAGGGTAAGTAATAAGGGTTGTTGATGGTTGACCTGCTCCACCGAGAGGGATTCCACACAAGTCGATCTAGGTACTGTACATACCTAGCTGGGTATTACTATTATCATTAACATATGGTGAATAAACGTCGCTTTCGAGATGCATCTGGACGGGTGTCTGTGAACCTGGTGATGGGATGAATAATTAGACGCGATCCTTACAAGGTGATCGGACGCTCATCCACGTGTCCATCCTCTCTCCAGTTGCGGTGTTCCTTCATCCACACAAGATAGATATCATGGTACGCCTGGGAAGGTCAAGTTGGCGCGGCTTGTACGACAGGCGCAGACCCGCCTACATTGGTGCATTCGCTATCCCAGACATACATAGACTGCACATTTGTGCTTACCACAGACCAGATGAGATGGATCGAGGTAATTGAAGAAAACAGATTGCTGCGGTGTAACAATGATAAGCCGTGGTGAATTGATCGATTGGTCGTGTTGACCGGTCTGTTTCGAACTGGACTATCGCCAACTGGATGATTAATACCAACTCGTCGACTTGTTTTGAATTGGATAGTTATTACTAGCTCGTCGACTTGTTTTTCTGTTTTTTGAACGGGATACCTGTGATCACCCAACTCGCCGACTAAGACATTTCTGCCTTTGGATAGCCCTGTCGCCGAGACGCCGGAGGGAGTCCATAGTACCTATAGAACTAGGATAGGGAGCCTCTTTTCTCGAGTACTGTATGTACATACCTGATCTCTGATACGTGATCGAATATGAAGACTGATCTTGAAAAACCACATATATATACATACATATAGTTATACAAATATATCCATATTTTAATTTGTCTGATCTTGTACGACTATACATACTTACATACATATATATTTATGAAGTCTGATCTTGGACGACTGGACGTATGCGGAAAAGAGCATCTCAATCGTAACCGCAACGAAGGTTTGATTACTCCACCGAAGATCTCACCTCCGCCGTTCCAGCAGCCCGCCTGCCCGCCTGTTGTCTGCTGTCTGTCGTCTGTTGTGTGGGCAAGCGGAGGAGAGAAAAGAGACGGTGCGATGAATGGATCCGCGCGGGGGTGCCGTGCTATAAACCTCGTGCATGATTGGTCGGACGGAGCAGTGAACGGTGAACGGCGAACAGTGAGCAGTGAACCCTCGCCGCATATAGCGCCATTCGGTCTCTGCATGCTTCCTCGATCATTTATGTATTATTATCATCATTACTGTAGACCAGCTAGACTGCACCCACACCACACACATGGGCATATCCCGATCGTCGACAACTCGCTGATGAAGTGGAGAGCCGCGATGGTGTTGGTTCCACGGTTGGATCTCCGCCCGTTCGTGCCAAGCTTACCGATGTTCTGTTCTGATGGATCATCCGTTATTTTATCACACACCACAGTAGCAGGCAGAGTGAATTTATTTTTTACAGTGAATTACACATTTTCTGCTGGCTGGTAAGGGATTATTACGGACCCGCGAGATGAGGTGAAGGCATATGTGTGTATGTATGTATGTATGCTGTGGTGTCGTTGGATCGGAATATACAGTTGAGAAGGAGGAGCAGGAGATCAGATGGAAGTCTCTCGTCCCCGGCCTGCCTGCATACGCGCATCCACCTCATGCATGTACATATATGTACCCCAGCTGCAGCGGATGATGCATGCATGCATCAATCATTCCGTCATCCGCGTGGACATTCCCGCGGTGAAGGCCAGACAGATGCAACAGGAGATCACAACGCGCTTCTGTCGTCGTGAAGATGGACCTCTTCTCCAGCGCTGTAGATGTCGAAGCGTGTATGTATCGTATCCTACCAAGGTATGTTCAGGCATACATACAATCAATCAAGTGTGACGCAGAAGGGAGGATTGTTATTAGTATTGATGGTAAAATGGAGCTCGCCCGCGTATCATCTGCGGCTGGAGAACGAGGCCCACCTTCGAGCTGCAATTCCACGTGATGGGAGAGAGAGACAGAGAGAGAGAGAGAGAGAGAGAGAGAGAGAGAGACCAGACGCATTCTTATCTCACGATGCCCTCATTTCATTTCATCTCATTTCCATATGAGCTCATCTCATCTCATCACGATGGAGGGAGAGTGAGTGAGGGAGAGTGAGTGAGGGAGTGAGTGAGGAAGTGAGTGAGTGCTACAGTACAGCATTTATCTACAGTATCCATCCATCCATCCATCTCTCCATTCCATGACGCTAATACATACACTATACCGTCTGCTCTACTCTACAATTCATATCACATGAGGCTTTTTCTCTCGCCCACCTGCCCACCACATTTCACCCAATCTTTAGTTTGATGAACCCGAGCGGACACACACATCCCATGGGTGGTATACTGGATGGATGGATGGATGGATGGATGGATGGATGGATGTACTGTATGTATATGTATGTATGTTTGGGATTATCATCATCATGACCGGCCTTCTCACACGATATCCCGCGCCATCGTCCATTCGGCAAGTGCTGCAGTCGATCCCGCCGCGTGAACCGGACTGAAGAAGAGTACCGTTATCATTCTTTCTTTCTGATTATTATTCACGTGCGTGCCCAGGTAGGTTACTGTAGAAAGAAATCACAAAGCACGGGAGATCCGGCGAATCATCTTCCCTCCCATTTCATCTCGTCTCATCTGTTCTTCGTGTGGTGATGTTGAAAGCACGAGTCCCCCCGACGACATCGCCATCGCTGTCCCTTTCGGACTGAGTTCCACGACGACGGTGGGTATGAGTGGTGGCGCTGTTTCACCATTGGAGTGACCTCCCTCCCTCCCTCCCGCTCCTGCTCCGCTTCCCCTCCACGCCTTGGACTCCACCGATGCTCCGGCACCTCTTCCGCTCTCTCAGTCGTGGCGGACGGAGAGCTGACAACGACGACCCGCGCGAGACATGGCCGGCTCAATCCCCCGGCGTCTCACCCTCCCATCGCCCATTCCGTGACGCCGATGATGACGACGACGACGATGATGACGAGAACGACGACGATGAAGAACAAGAGCAGGATTACGCGCATGGCCCCGGCACCCGACGTGGTAGGTACGGCGCCTACGATGCGCGTGGGAACGAACATCCCCGAGGCGAGGTAGCACAAGAGGATGGCCGCCGGAGACAATTCCCACGACGCCATCTCGGCGCAGGTCCGTCCTACTTTGACCGAAACCCGAGAGGAGACGACGACGGACACGGCGGGAACGGCGAAGAGCTCGGTGACGAGGACCAGGGAGAGGATGCACCGCTCTTGCCCATTTTCTCGGCGGCACATCTCGACGGTCTGCCGTTGTACAACATCACCCACGCCATCCGCTTGTTGATCGTCCAGCGGTGTGAGACGACGCTGTCATGGGATCAGCTCCGGAGTCCGCAGATCAGTCAATTCCTCGTCAAGCCCATCCAGAGCGAGATCCGGAAAGATCACTTCAATCGGGCCACCCTATGTGCCCTGATAGCCAATTGCTTGCAATTCCACAAGGAGGGACAAACACATCCCGGGAATGTCGGAGTCCTGCGCACTCGAGCGCTGGTCAGCGAGCTCCTCTCCATGCGCCTGCTGCGGGAGTTTTCGACGTGGGAATTGATCGACGCCTTATCCTACGACTTCAACCCGCTCCAGGGCATGATCGCGCTGGACGACGTGCCGGCCGCCGGACGTGCCGCCAACACGGACAGTCTGATCAGTCGTCGACCCGCGCCGCGCATCGTCCGCGTCAGCACCATCGAGGTCGCCATTCGCGCCGAAGCCAAACGCTTCCTCGCCCATCCGCTCGTCGTGCAGCACCTGGAGGCCATCTGGTCGGGCAATATCGTATTCCACTCGGAACAGGATAACCTCCATCGCCAGCAGAAGACGACGGCGTCGCTCTCGCCTCGCGCCCGGGCGGCCGATTATGGCACTTCCGGAAAAAGAGCCGCTTGGGGCGTCCCAACCATTGCTCTGACCGCGAGCAAGGGCCAATCCACCGAGGTAGCAGCTCAGCCGATGGCATTCTTGCCAGCTCGACGTTCGGTCACGCTCTACGACCCGCGAGATGCCTCCCTATTCAAACTGAGTCGACTACGGGTCCCGCGATACCGTCAAGTCTTCAGCACGCTGAGCTTCGCGACCATGCTGGTGCTCTTCGTCGCCGTCCTCAGCGAACGCAGCTTGGACATCACGCCGCTGGAGGTTCTCTTCTGGTTATGGAGCGCAGGATATATGCTCGATGAAGTGGTGGGCTTCACCGAACAGGGCTTCGGACTGTATATCCTCAGCTTCTGGAATGCGTTCGATCTCGGGATTTTGCTCCTCTTCGCGACCTACTACTGCCTGCGATTATACGGCGTCCTCCTCGCGGACAGCAACAAACATCGCATCTCTGGGGTCGCATACGATGTGCTGGCCTCGACGGCCATCTTGCTCTTCCCGCGGCTGTTCGGCGTCTTGGACCACTACCGATATTTCTCCCAATTGCTCATCGCCTTTCGATTGATGGCCCAAGATCTCATCGCCATTCTGGTGCTGATTTTGATCTTCTGTTCGGGCTTCTTCGTCGCCTTCACCCTGGCTTTCTCCGACGAGAACATAGACGCGAACGGGGTCGCCTACATCATCTTCCAGATCGTCATGGGCTTCACCCCCGCCGCGTGGGACCACTGGGCTGGATACAACCTCCTCGGGAAAGCCATCATGGCCATATTTCTGATCATCTGTCACTTCCTCATCGTGACGATCCTCATCACCGTTCTGACCAACAGCTTCATGGCGATCGTCAAGAACGCCGAAGAAGAGCATCAGTTCCTCTTCGCCATCAATACCATATCCATGGTGAAGTCGGATGCGTTGTTTAGCTACGTCGCGCCCGCCAACATCATCGGGTGGGTCCTGAGCCCGATCCGCTTCATCGTGCCCATGTCGCGATATGTCAAGTTCAATCGGACCATCATCAAGTTCACCCACAGTCCGATCCTGTTCGTCATCTTCCTCTATGAACGAGTCATCATGGCCCGGAGCTCATATGCCCCGACCGATCTCGTCGAGCACCAGCCGACCCGACAAAAGGGCCCCGTGGCTTTCAGCATAAACAAGGCGCCCGAGATGTTCAGCCCGGGTCATCGCATGCGCGAACCATCCATCATCGGGATCCGCAAAGACCGTGCGCTAGAAGAGGTCTTCCGACGGCCGTTCCAGGGCGATACCGTCCGAACTCTGCCGCGCAAAGTGGGCAGCGACGGTCGGGATAACTCGAAGAGCGTCGTCGACACCTGGATGCAGTTTGCTGAAACTCAAGGTGGGGCCAGTCCTCCGCTTGAACAGCCTCGGAGTGTACTTGAGCGGCTGGAGTACCGCAGACCCAAGCCACGACGCTTGACGACGACGGAACGTCTGCGTCAACAGTTGAAGCGACCTCGAGGTGTAAATAATGACAATACAAGCGCGACGAGCGACCCCGATGGACAGCATCATCAACAGCAGCAGCAAGCAATGCCTCGTGCGCGGCCCTCGCGCTCATCAATGCCTGGCACCGATTCGCACCGGGAATTAATTCCCAGACTGGCCAGCCGAGAGGAAAGTCCCAGCGGCATGACCCAACCCGGGGAGACGGATGGCGACGATGTCGATGCCGACAACGAGAGCCGCATGGAGCTCTCATCGGTCAGTGCCGCGCCTCATTTCGGCGAGAGCGCCGTCTCCATCCGCGAACGCGATGCTACCTCGCCGATACTCGATGACAGTGAATCCGAATACTTCCGCACCCCTCTCACCAATCGTGTCCCACATCCGACCCTGCGGCTGTCTCATGCCGCGCGTGCGCGACTGCGCGATTCGCCCGACGCCTCGATGGCGGACGTCAGCAGGGTAGAGCCAAGGAGCGCGCGACACAGCCGGAACACGTCCAGCGCGACGATGGTCTATTCTCCCGTCCTGTCACATCACCCGCGGCCCGCGTCACAACAGCAAGCCCAGCCGGACGCCGATGGATCCCTCCGGACACGCTCCTCCCACACGTCGCCTACGCGACCAGCGGTCGAGACTCACACGACCACATCATCGACTCCCGTCTCGCCTCCTCCTCCGGGCTCAGCTCAACAGCCGACTTCCAACACCTCATCCGCGAAGCGTCCCCCCACGGCCATCAAACAGTTCCCATCGGACCCGATAAACACCGCAAACAAGACCTCCGGTCCTCCCCGTCCGTCACCACCGAAACGCCCCACCGTCACGACCACCACCGCGTTCGCCACGGGCACCGCCTCCAGCGCCGCGACCCCGACCGCCGCCTCCATCGCCGCACAGCAATCCCAGCTACAAAAACAGCAGCAGCAGCAGCAACAACAGCAGCAAAGACCCCCCTTCTTCCCGACGCGCCTGCAGACCGCCCCGCCGGGGAGTCTCCCGCTCTTCACCTCCGGGTCCCCCGCCGCCGCCGGCCCGACGCCCCCGACGACCCGCCGCCCCGCGCAGAACCGCGCCGGCCGCAGGATCCCCATACTCGACCTCGCCTCGGAGATCGGCGACAACAAATTCTCCCACGTCCCCGCCGCCGACCTGCCCCGCCCCAGCTTCTCCTCCACCGGCTCCGGCACGCGCTTGAGGGCCGTCGGCTTCCTGCGGAGGCAGCGGGAGCGGGAGCGGGAAAAGGAGGGCGTCATGGGCTTCCGATTCCCAGCGACGAAAGCCGCCGTCGGCGGTGGTCCTGGAGCGGCGATCCGCGGGAAACGCGGGGACGACGACGACGACGATGATGATGACGACGAGGGCGTCGTGGACGTCGACGAGGGCGAGGATGAGGCAGAGGAGCGGGACGACGACGACGACGACGACGAAAGCACGCGCCGATCCGACCGCCGCCTCTCCAGGATCCTCCTCGCCAGGATGAACACCCTCGAACTCGGCTTCGCGGAAATCCTCAAGGAGATGCGCGAGGCGAACCGGAACAACGGTCATAACGGTAATAATAGTAAGAAGGAGGGGGCGGCGGCGGGATGATCGCACGACGCTGCTCGGATCGGAGGCAGGATGGTGGAGAGAACGGAGAGGGAATGGAAAGGGGAAGGACATGGATATGGATTTGGATGTGGATAGATGGGCTGAGGAGGATGGGAAGACGGACGGGAAGGTTTAGTCTGAAGGTCCGTTGGCTTTTTATTCGTTCTCATTTATTTGGAAAAGGGAGGTGGTGGTCCTTGTAACACGGCGGTGAGGGAACGGCCGTTTCGGGACCATCGCTGCTGCTTCTTCTGCTTCTTCTTCTTCTTCTCGCTTCTTCTACTTCACCTTCTACATTCTACATCCTCGCATCGCATCGCATCCCATCGTCGTTTCCCACAAGGGCAGTTTCGGCCATTGCACCGAGACGAGGAGTCGGTAGCAGCAGACCTCACAGTGAAAATTTCTGCAAAATTGCGAATTCGCGGGAAATGATATTTCGTTTTATTGCGTTTTTTCTTTCGTGCTGTTTACATGGTGATACATCGTGAGGTTCTTTCCCCCTGTTTCTCCGAGGGGAGGGGGGCAACTTTTCCGTCCGGGGAGGGGAGCACGACGCAGAGGGAAGAAAAGTCGAACAATTCGAGGGCGCTTGTAGCTCTCATCTCCGCTCCCCCATGCCCCGTTCCAGCATCGCATTCGGCCGGGACAACCCCAACCCTGTGTCGTCTGCCCGACAGAAAGCCATCTGCTCAGGCCGTCCTCTGCTTACGTGTTCGGCCTTGCCTTGCGTCGTCCTGCTGCTCAGATCCCGCCACCTGTGACATGTCAGCAAATCGGTCTGGACCTGACGGACCGCGTGCATCCTCGCAACGAGCCGCGGGGAGATCAAAGGCACAATGCTGATTGGAACACGTACCGGATCGCGCGGGTTCGACGTGGAATGTGCCCTGGTTCCTCCTCCGCCGGTCCTGCTCCGTGCGCCAGCGCAGCGCGATGAAGCCGCTGAGCACAGTCGCCGTGCTGAAGAGGAAGGCGTTGCGGGGACTGCGTGGTATCGTCGTGGGTCAGCGGATTGGATCTGAGTGGCGTTGGGAGGCAATGGCGGTGTTGCTTATTACCTGAAGAGGCGGGTGGAGGGCATGGTGTTGCGGAACGGGGCTGTCGATGACGGCGGTGCGGCCATTGTCGCGACGGCGGGAAGTAGCCTCGTCTGGTCTTGTTTCGTTTGAAGAAGATGTGGTGGGATTTGTGCGGAGTGAGAGGGAGAACGAGGGAGATATCGAAGACGATGGGTTGAGTCTGTTAGAAGTGATCGCAAGGGAAGACAAGCCGCGGCAAGGGAAGGATGAAGTGTGGTGTTGGCGTGGTGTGTGTGTCTATGTTGACAACGCGGTGTGTCTCCCTCGTGCATACATGGCACAGGACACCCTCCCTATATGTACCCAAGGAGTCTGCGATGAATGATGACAATCTGGCTGCCTACTGTGAGCTACTGTACCGTCACCATGCAAGACCGCAGGTCTCGCGATCGGAACGAGGACCCCGAAAGTGCCGACCGGACCTCATCGCCTCACCACGCCTTATTCTTCGAACCTGGACTCGACGGATCGAGGCGCTGCGGTTTTACGTACAAGATGACGGGGCATCGAGAGGGACGCGCCCCTCCCCCAGAGGCTTTTCCCCACGGGTCCATCATGCAGGTCATCGTGTGCTCACTGCACCGAATCGGGACTGGGACGGCTCCCGATTTCCCCACACAGTTCAGGTCTTCCCCAGCACTTCCATCGAGTCTAGTGACTCTAGTCGTCGCCTCCACACATTCAGGGTCGGCATGTAGGAAAAGAACTGGACGGGCAACAAGAATGTTGACGAAATGGACAAGACACGGAGCACATGATTTTTCGCCTTCGATCGCTCATCGCTTTTGCAACGCGCGATCTGTTCGATATACGACTCGGCCTAGACTAGAGCAAAGAGGAGGGAAGCGGCGCCGTCAATCTTGCCGATGGGAGCCGCAGTGGGCACGTGACGTTGACGACGATGTGGGCGACGACGGTTGCTTGCACGTCTACCGTAGATGTGATGTGATCGAAGTTTCCCGTAGCGAGATTCGTGTGCGCCGAACTGTACGTCTGGTCGATACAGTATGAAACATCACCTCCACGTTCTTGTTCACGGGTCGCAATAGCACAGCATATCCGTGACTTCGAGCCTAGGAAAAATGCTGGACCATCATTCAGTTCCCTATCTGAGATTGGCAATCGGGTCAAGTGCATATTCCATCGCTGTCCGAAGCGCTGTGAACTTACTTGTGCGCGCGCTCTTGGACGAAGCGTTGTGGTGTAGTTTTGCAGCATGCGTGCTACGACCGCTGGACTATCGGATGGCACGACGCTACTCAAAGAATGGTACACTGACCTTACATCATCTATGGCGTCTTGTTCCGTTCACTATGAAGCTATGTCATGGATGGCATGTTCAGATACTCTCAGACGATGCTCCCTTCGCTCATCATACCTCGTCCTGAAAGATAACACATCGATTCGGAAAGGCTTTGAGTCTCGTTTTGACTTGCTGCAGCTTGACTAAGAAATGATGTTGTAAGAGGTTGAAATCAGAGTGACCGCGAGGGGCGGACGATGATCAAAATATATCGATAACATTTTCAACAAGAGGCTCCTCACTTATATGTAGGTGAAATCGAAAGCTACCGATGCCTACTTCGCCTCTGCAACTGCCTGAGAATTTCAGCTCTACGCTCCTTCAAGCTCATCTGGGCAGCTTTGAAGCGTGAACAGCAAGGTTGAGTAATATTTTGAGCCATTTGCATGAGCTGTTTCTTGCGCATGAAGTTAAAGTGTGACGATATCCCAACGCTATGAAGCAACATGGCCCTACGATAGTGACTTGTATAACAAGGACCCGAGGGTCGTCTGGGTACTTGGAGCTTGCATCCCACAGCAGGGGGATAAGTCGGCAAATTACCGGAGTGCATTCCAGAAATGAGGTCTGTATGCTCGTGTCAGTAGCACAATCTCGTCTGTTGTTTCAGCTCATCAAGAGTCGCTGTTCCAAGCCTTTTGTTTCTCGACTTCCGAAATCTGGTGTGCACACTGATTGAGGCGCAGTTTTGTTTGACCCTTTTATTGACCTAGGGAACGGAGATGCAACGCGATCTAAAAAAGGTTCGAAGCGGTTCCTGAGTGCGACGGGGACTGTGAGGAAAAGTTACAGTCGAGTTCTCACGAACGGCTGTTCGAGAAGTTACGGACATTGGACGGGCGCTGGTGTAGACTCAAGCCGATCCGATCGGTTTCCTATTGTAGCGCAGAGTTCATAGCGGCTCCAAAGCTGCCTTGGTTTGCCGTTCCGCCTCCAATGCACGAACATCATGAGTGGCGAACGGAGGGCCGCAGACTCCGCCCCTTGAATATGCGGGTCCAGGTTTACCGTCAACAAATTCGTAAATTTCGTGCAAAGAACACTCCATCCAACTACCGCTGAGCGATTCACAATCCTGAGGCGGAATGCGATTGTGGCGGATGACTCGCCCACAATCGTCAATGAAGAGAACGGCGACTTCGCCTGTCTCGATTGCCTCTTTGTCTGCGACGAACATGTACGTGGCGGCTGCGTCGTAGTGTAGCTCTATAACCGCATCTTGGAACTCGTTTCCGCCAGGGTACCCTCCACTGAGACCCGCATCCTGTTCTCGCGCGGTTGGCGGTTGCCTGACGGCGCACCGTTGATAGCATTCGCGGACAAGGAGCTCATGACCGAGATGGCTTTTCAGCGCTCTATCAAGATCTGTTGGGGAGCTCATAATGTTGTCCCTCCTCATGACGTACTCCCCGAGCATCTCGAAAAAGAATTCCGGTAAGACCTCAAAGATGGCGGTCCAATCATCCCCATACGAGTAAAGCGCTGCATCGTCAAGTATGTTTTCCTCCTGGTGAAGGGCAATTTCCCAATTGAGTTCATCAAGAAGAGCTTTGTGACCAGCATCACTACCATCTGCGTAGTAAGTTCTCAGCCAAATGAACGACCAGGGATGTTGTCTAGAAACGCTGTGACGACGCTGGCCCTCTGTTCGAAGTTCTGCCAATATTTCATTCCACTCCGATTGTGGCGGGAGATCTGGTTCAGGGTCGCCAGCAAATGGTGCCAGAGCTAGCTGACGGGGTCAATCATCAACAGATGCTTCATAAAGACGCTCGATTCTCTTACAACATACCAACCGTCCCAGATTGCCTATCTCGACGAATTTCCGAGCCAATCTCTTACGACGCGTGGCGGCATCATCTTTTGCATACTCTTTATCGTTCCATCGAGACAAGATGTAGCGCTCCAGCGGCAGGTGCCCGAGCGCGGGGGTCGCGTCGCTGTTCATGATCCTTCTTGTGTATGACCGATGTCAAGAACTGGCGAATCGTTGTTCACAGTGATAATGAAGATGACGGGCAAGAGCGGTCGGATTGCAGCCTGCGTGTGTAATCATTCCTGCGACTGCCGGCTGGGACCGTGCCGCATTCTTTACCTGATGACTGGACGTGAAGCTTCTTAGCAGGTCAAGAGCGAAGATCTCTCACGCCCATGGTTATGTGTCTGAGCCGCTTTCTTATTGAGAACATCACATATATTCGACGTTTTGACACAAATATGGATCTTTGCGGCTCCACGTCGACGTGCAGCGCCCTATGTCGATCGAACACACACGGGCATCTCGGGAGCGGCATCCGATCGCATCAAATACCCGTCCGCGCAACAGCAAATTCTGTGTAACGAATTGTATCGTCCCCAAGTATCGGTTGATCTGAACTTGTCAGAATCTTAGTTGAGGAGTACAGCAAGGGCAGCCACGTTGGATCGAAGTACACATTCGAGAAGACAAGTGAAAGAAGCCTCAAAGAAACAGCGGAAATGACTTCCATATATCACATCAACCATGCCATCTCCCTCACATCGTCACAGAAAGACGAGATGGCCGATGAGCTTACAAAACTACACACGAGCACCTTCGGCGTCCCGCGTCTCTTTGTTCAAGTTCGATTCCGCGCCGTGCAAACCCCGTCGGCATTTTCACCTGACCCTCGCCTTGAAGATGACGCCGCCGACCACGACACCGTCTACATTGGCGGGCGAAGGCAACTGAGCCCCACAAATTCCATCGAGGTCAACATCGCATTACCATCGGATTTCAAACAGACGCGGAATGGACGAGGTGCTGGCGACGCAGGGGAGAGCGAATCGCAGACGAAGAACTCTGCACAAGAGCTCCTGAAGTCCATCGTGTCCCTCTGGGACCGTGTCGCGCCTTTACCGGTCTCCCGCTTCACACGTGGTGCGAACCAGACCGACGGAGAACGAGGTGATTTCGAGCTACACAGCTGTATCGTCCATGGAATTCGCGGCAGTGACTCAGCTGGCGCTTCACCGTACTTTGCAAGTTACGTTGCAGGAATCATCCTGCCCGACCTCGAGGAGAATGTGAAGACGTGGGTCGAGCGCAATTCCGAGAAATTTCAAGCCGCACTGGGGAATAGCAAGAAGCGAAAGCAAAACTTCGATGCGGAGAGCACTTCCGCCAACAATGCCAGCGCCAGGAAGGGAGACGAAGGTTTCGATCGGGATGGATGGGGTACAGGCCTGCTGCAAGGATTGGTGGCAGATCTGGGGAAGGATGGTCGCAATCCTTCCTCTGACTTCGAAGATGAGGAAACGCTGAAACGAAGGAAAGAGCAAAGGGAGCGGGATCAGCAGGCCGAGAGGGAGAGAAAGACGAGGGAATTGGAAGACATGTTGGGATGGGGCGACGCTGCTTGATGGATGGCTGGAATCCACCGTGAAAGTTGATGATGACATGTCACGCAGCGAAGACACTTTGTTTCGATGCTGCGATGCCGTCGCTCACTGTCCGGATTCTCAGACAAAAATCCAGATGCCGAGGAAGGAGGACCCCTCTCCGATTGATTCATCAACCAGAAGTGAAAATCGAAATTGCGGGTCAACTGTAGTTCATTATTTCCGGCTCACTGCTCCCTACCTCGCGAAGCTTCACAACGTTCCGACCAATCTTTGACACGAACGGAACAAAAATTATTCATGTATCAATCAATACCTGACGCGAGACTAAAAGGAATTAAGGCGGAAGCGCCAGGAAAATGCAAAAGATTGATTTCGCCCGGGCTCGAACCGGGGACCTTGAGTGCATCTAACGATTGTTAGACTCACGTGATAACCAACTACACCACGAAACCAATTGATGGAGTGGTGTTTCCTCGAGAGTATATATCGCTATTGAGAAAGCACTGCAATCACACAATCTGACCTGTCTCCATTGCAGTGTTGACGGGAGAAACAAGACGCCATCGCAAAACTTCAGATTGTCGCATTGTACACAGATTTACATGGCTGATGAAATATCCGAAACCACTTAGATCGATGTTTCCTTGATTGAACACTCGATTGCCTTGAAAAACAGGCCACCAGAACCACCGCCCCATCATTCATGAGGCTTCCTGTTGCTCAATTCCAATCAACAGAATTGCACCGTCGTGCTGACACAATGAGCTGAGATTGTTCCGCTTGCCCGATCCTTGTGAAAGTCGATGTGGTCGGCCTGCCTGTGGGTCGGTATTGTATGTGGGTTTTCATGGCCATGTAGCGTTGATAGGGTGCCCTCTGCTAGGCGTCGTGGATATTGCTGGACGATCATGCTGCCTGAGCATGATTCCTGCTTTGGTGGCCCAGACCAGTCCAGACCGGAGGGTAGACTGGAAGCACCTTTGATCATGGCGATGTTGAAGAATAAGTCGAGAGCCAGGACTCTGCGTCACAAGGTCAAGATCGACTTTCCGAATGGACAGACATACTGTAGGGTCGGCGCCAATGTCTTTCTTATGGATGAACCTTCAGTTGCTCTAGGTAATGCTCGCAGCACGAGAAGGCTTGAATCTAGGCAGTGATCTTCGACCAGAATTTTCCGGCTCCTCGGTGGTCCTGAAGAAGGGATTGCCAGTACAGATTGCTCTCGAGGCCGACAAGGGCTAGCCGAATGTCGGACTATCTCGCACTCAGTGGATAGGACCAAGGGACAAAAGAACGCAAGGTCTCATATTCTTCATGACATGTAGAGAGGGTGATGGCTGTATGCGGACACTCTAACTCGTGTGATTCATTGTCCTCCCATGGACAGTATTTCAAAAGTCCGGAAATGTGTTTCGTTCAAGTCAAGACATAGAGAGCGGCGTAGGCCAAGACGACGATAGGAATGAGTGGAAGCATAACGACTGGAATTGCACGAGGTTTTTCCGTGCAGAATGTTCGTTGGAGTGTTCAGCTTGAAGTTTCAAACTGATCTGATCTGAGTCGAGAGTGTCAAAGAAGTGTGGAAGTTGATGACGCTGGCGGTGGAGGAGGGAGAAACGGGCATAGCTATATACCACTGCATGCGGGCGATGCGTAGAATCACCCGCGCATGGCCGAAGTTCCGATGCTACATGTACACCGCATGAGAACACGCAACCTCAGACGCACACATACCATCGACATCGAAGCAAATAAACATTGCCGGCAAGGCCGTCCGCGTACAAGTTTGGCAAATGCTGTAGATTGGCGAAAGATTGGCCTGGCCAAGCGCTCGGCAGCCTCGTGTCCCGGCGCTTAGAGTTTGTCCCGGCTCAAAGGTGAACCGGATCGGCGCCCGTATTCTTTGGAATTAAACTACTGTACCTTTGGGAGATGGGACGATCCCCTGATAATTGGGAGGGAGTTAATTTCATTTCATGCAACCCCGTGAAGCCTGTGGATATGCGGAATAGGGCATGTGAATATACTTCCCACACCTTTCGATGCTGGCCTTTAATAAATCGGTGAACCCCCACTTGTCAGTCATTGTGGGCGCTCGGCAGGATCGCACGCCAGCACCACCTAGCGAGATCATGCGATGTTCCTGCAGTAATACAAGAATGCCCTGAGTCCCAATAAATGTTATTCGATGCAGCTGAAGTACTATGGTTTGAACTGACAGGATAACAAAGACAGATCCCACGTCTCGGATTTACAGAGAAGCTCCGCTCGCATCAAGCATTCGGTGGATACCTAGGTAGTTCCAAAACGCAATTGTCGCATGAAGTTCTGGTTGAATGACGTCCACTCCCAAATTTGACCCTGAAGTCTCCTAAAGATTTGATGGGCGTCCGGCCGTAGTTTGGCGCAATCAAAACGCCGCGTTGGCCAATACGCAATTCACGGCAATGATGATCCGACAAACAACCTATTGTGATATCGAAAGATAGGGCAAAACTTACAATCTTAGGCCCTTTGCGGCCTCTGCGGGATATCTGATACAGCTGGCCTGCGGAGTGCTTACCTCCTGACACCACAGACTGTAGTGTAAGCGCCAACGGTACATGCAGTATTGTTGTTACATCGGCTTCTCGGCACATGAAGGGGTTCGACTTCAGCCTTCCGACATGTGTGTATCAGCATCAGGTGCAGGTTCCCCCCTCTCGACTTCATGAACCTCGTCGTCGTCGTCATCGTGAAACTCGTCATGGTCCTCGTCATCGCCGGCGGCAAGATCGACCGTTCGCTTCCGTCGCGGTGGCCGCCTGCGCCGTCTCGTGGGACTGCCATGTCTTGGCGCACTTATCGCATCAAGATACTCCATGTTGTCCATCGTGCTCTTAAGATTCGGAGCATCGGCCGTATTCTTGACGAATAGCTTATCCTCAAACGCGGTGTAAGCTCGATCAGTCTCCTCATCGATATACTGCATTTGAATCCATTGTTCCTGCTCCGCAGCCTTGAGAATCTGTTTCAATCGATGCTCAGCCGACTTCTTCTCCTCTTCCGTAATGACACGCTGTCGCAATGCGTGGCCCGCCGGGGCTGGACCTGCTTCGGCTGCTTCGGCTTGAGCGCGTGTGGCAGCGATACGATTCCGCTCCTCTTCTGCGTCAAGATGATGGAATTGTGGTCGCATTTGTACAGTGCCCGTAATTTTCGTCAAATGCAATGTGCCGCCGTCGAAGGTGCCTGCAAAGTAATTCGCCTTGCCGGCCTCCTCCTGACCATCATGCCGCACAATCTGGCCTCCTAACGTCTGTGTTGAAAACACCCGACCTTCTGATTCTGCACTTTGGAAATTGACAAGCTCTTGCTCGAATGCTAGTTCTCGATCACCACGGTCGGCGAGTGGCTTTGCACGATTGCTCATCAAAGCCCGTGATTTGGCAGCAGCGAGACCAGCAGCAAGACCATAAGTCCCGGTCGCGTTGTGGAGCTCTTTGGATGTTTGTGACGCATCGCCCCATTTGAGACCCATATATTTGTTGAAGTTGTGGTCGGTGTTGAGTTTCACGTCAACTTCTAGGTAGCCAGCATTCGGTTTTATGCGCATGTTTCGTGGAGTTGCTCCGAACGTGTTATTGTACGGTCGCGTGCGCGGTCTGTTCGGATATTGTAGCAGGAAGATCTGCTCTTCCATGGCGGGCGTAAGGAACACATCGTATTCTGCGGTCACTGGATCGTCGTCAATCTTCGCTGCTATCGGAGTGTCAGTGCAGGTCGTGGGAGCATCCTCACATGAGCATGCGCCATGCCACATTACAACTTACGCGCCATGATGCAATGCGCACAGCTATAAAGGACTTTGTGAAGCCGAGAGAGTCAATCGCCCAGATACAATCCGAAGCCCGAAATGTATGCCGAATGACGATTTGAATCGAAATAAATTTATCGCAGCGTCGGCGCGTGTACCCCGCCTAAATGCGCGTTGAGCTTTCGGCAGATCGACCAGTGCATTGATGGGGTCCATAGCATCATTGATGTGGCTTTGGTTATCAGCAGTAAGCAAGGTCAACTGCACTCTTTAACACAAAGATCGCCGAAAATAGGCAGAATCCACAGCGACCTTTCCTACGGTGATCACATAATTTTGGCGATCGTGATAAGAAATCGCCTCTAGATCCACAATCTGAAGATCTGAAGCATTGCCACCAATACAGCCATGGCATATCTGGCTCCGATTCACCGACCTTCGAGCGTGCGACACGCGACACGACTCTCTTTTCTCAGCGCAGATTCAGACGATCTGATCGTAGCGAAAGCCAATCGCATAGAGCTATGGACGACCGAACAGCGAACACCGGAGGAGGTTCCTGTTTTAGTCCTGCAGCATACGAGGGCAATCTATGGTCGAGTGACGCTCCTACAAAAGATTCGGCCAGCCACCAGCACAACAGATCACCTATTTGTCGGTACAGATAGATATCACTACTTCACGCTCAGTTGGGATGCGGAAAAGAAACAGCTTAATACCGAGAAGAGTTATGTGGACATTGCTGAACGGACATCACGAGACAGCCAGACGGGTGACCGGATAAACGTCGATCCTTCATTACGATTCATGACCTTGGAATGCTATGAAGGCGTCATAAATGTCATTCCTATCGCACATGCTGGAAAGGGCAAGCGCAAAGCTGTCGCAACTCAGGACATCGGAGAGCTTGGTGATCCGATTCCCGTGCGCGTTCCGGAATTGGCCATAAGGAGTAGCTGTTTCCTGCACAAGCGACAAGCAGGGACGAAGCTTGCAAACCCAGAGCTTGCAGTCCTACATGAGGACAGTGAGAACCAATGTCGCGTCAAGGTCCGGGAGCTGGAATTTTCATCATCTCTACGGCCGAGTGAGGAGCCTTCGAGTGCGGAGCTCGAGAAGTGCAAAGAAGTCAATGGTCAGATCGAACTCGGCGCGAGCCACCTCATCGCTTTACCTCCACCAATTTATGGAATGCTTATCGTAGGGGAGACGAGCATTTCATATGTAGATGAGTGGGAGTACAACGTCAAGGATGAAGTCCCATTAGACGAAGCAACAGTGTTTGTTGCTTGGTGCGCGATCGATGATCAACGGTTTGCCTTGGCAGATGACTACGGCAAGCTCTACCTTCTGATGGTCGAGACTGATTCGAGAGGGGAGTACAAAGGTCTCAAAATTGACGTCCTGGGAAAGACAAGCCGGGCGAGCACGTTGGTATACCTCGACGGAGGACGTATATTCGTCGGGAGTCATCAAGGTGATAGTCAGCTCATCTCAATCCAACCTCAGAGCTTGGAGATTTTGCAGACATTTGCCAACATTGCGCCAATCCTGGATTTCACCGTCATGGACATGGGAAATCGTAGCTCGGACGCCCCAGTCAACGAATTCAGCAGCGGCCAGGCACGCATTGTCACTGGTTCAGGGGCATTCCAGGATGGTAGTCTCCGTTCTGTGCGATCTGGCGTTGGTCTCGAGGATAGAGGTGATCTAGGAAGTTTGGATGCTCCAATCCTAGGTGTGTTCGGTCTGCACAGCAGCGCAGCAGCAACGCAAGTGGACACGCTAGTTGTGAGCTTCGTCGCCCACACGCGAGTATTCGTCTTTTCGGAAGAGGGCGACGTCGAAGAAGTCGAACAGTACCGCGGATTCAACCTGGCAGAAAGCACCCTTATCGCAAGCGATCTACCAGGAGGTAGATCAATACAAGTTACAGGCTCATCAGTCCTGTTGACAGATGCAGAAGGGGGCATGGTCTTAGACACATGGCAGGCACCCGCGTCCATCACGGCAGTGTCCATCAGCAATGATGCGGTTCTGGTGTCTTTGCAAGGCGCTACATTAATTCTACTCGATCTCTCGGGATCCAGCGTCCAGGAAAGAGCGCGACGAGAGTTTGGAAACAACGAACAGGTCTCGTGTATCTCCATGTCACCATCACTATCAAGGACTTGTGTGGTGGGCTTCTGGGAAGGCGGCAAGGTCGCGTTCCTGGACTTAGAGTCGCTCAGCACCATTGCGATTGAAATCGTCACAGAAGAGGGCAGCGTAGCAGTTCCGCGATCGCTCATGGTGGCAAAGATATTGGCCGATCAACCTGCAACGCTGTTCGTTGGTCTTGCTGACGGTAACGTCGTCACATATTCGATCGAATCGTCGAACAAGCTCTTTGCAAGCCGGAAGAGTATTGTTCTCGGCACACAACAAGCCAACTTCGCCGTGCTCCCTCGCGCTGATGGATTGCAGAATGTTTTCGCTACTTGTGAACATCCTTCACTGATTTATGGCTCCGAGGGCCGAATAGTTTTCTCTGCCGTCACTGCAGAGGACACCACTTGCGTCTGTTCGTTTGACTCTTTCGAGCCGTACGGACGCGCCATCGCCATTGCATCAAACGACCAATTGAAGCTCGCTACAGTGGATGAGGAGAGGACAACACATGTGCAAGATCTCTACATAGAGGAGACCGTTCGACGAATAGCGTATTCTGCCGAGCTGAAAGGTTTCGGACTCGGATGTATCAAGCGCGAGCTTACTGCGGGCGTGGAGACCGTCTCAAGTCATTTCAAATTTGTGGACGAAATCGCTTTCAAAGAGTTGGACTCCTTTGATCTCAATGAGGATGAGATTATCGAGGCTGTCATCCGAGCTCCACTTGAAGATGGCTCTGGTGAGACTGCTGAGCGATTTGTAGTTGGAACTTCATATCTTGAAGAACCTGAAGCAGACTCGATGAATGGGAGGGTCATCGTTCTTGAAGTCACAGAGGACAGACGATTGAAGATCGTTGCTGAACGCGAGACGAAGGGAGCCTGTCGGTGCTTAGATATATGTCAAGGGCACATCGTGGCGGCTCTGGTGAAGACGGTACGTGCTAGAGGAGGAACTATCCTCTTCATTTACGATTTGCTGACTTTTTAATAGGTGGTCATGTTCTCGGCCTCGCACGAGAATTCCAGTGTCATGCGCCTTGACAAGATCTGCTCCTACCGGACAGCCACCGCTCCTATCGACATTTCCGTCACCGGCAACATCATCGCCGTCACCGATCTCATGAAATCTCTCTCACTCATCGAATACAAACCCGGCATTGCCGGGATCTCCGGCACACTCACCGAAGTCGCCCGACACTTCGACACGCTATGGGGCACATCCGTCGCCAATGTCGCCGAAAACACCTATCTTCAAAGCGACGCCGAAGGCAACCTCGTCGTCCTTCAGCACGAAGTCAACGGCTTCAATGCCTCTGATCGCCGCCGTCTCCGCGTCACCTCAGAGATGCTGCTCGGCGAGATGGTGAATCGCATTCGTCGCATCGACGTCGTGCCCACCGCCGGCGCCGTCGTCATCCCCCGCGCATTTCTTGCCACCGTCGAAGGTTCCATCTATCTCTTCGCGCTGATCGCCCCGGGAAAACAGGATCTGCTCATCCGAATGCAGACCAAGATGGCTGAGATGGTGCAGACGCCCGGCAACGTGCCTTTCGGCCGCTTCCGTGGAGTCAAGACTCAGGTTAGAGATATGGGTGAGGAGGGTCCCAATCGGTTCGTCGATGGCGAACTCATTGAGCGCTTCCTCGATTGTCCGCCGGAGATTCAGCTGGAAATTGCCAAGGAGTTGGAGGTGGATGTTGAGGATTTGAAGCTCATGGTGGAGAATCTGAGACGCATTCACTGAATCTTCGAATGTCGAAGGTCTGAAGCAGGATTACGGTCTAATAAGGTGTATATCATGATGTTCTTAGTTTATACGAAGTAACGAACTTGCGTCAGTATCAGAGGCGGAACGTGATGTAACGTTTATGTTTTCAAGCCGAAGGTAGCCACGCGGTCTGTTGCATTTCCACGACGTAGGGTTGACCTAGGGTTTGGGTTAGATCTTGGATTTGCGGGCCATCCTCTTGTTGCTCCACCACTCTAATAGTAGCCAACTACGCCACATCTTTCTTCATTTCGAAGCTTAAGACGCGAAGGACACATGCGAAGGACTCATGCATCAAACTCTCTTCCTGGCTCAGCATGCGTCTTTGTGACTTTGGACTGAACTGGTGGATCTCCTGCTTGCGAAAGCGTTCAGGGACGTCCCACAACCGAAACGGATGGATACCGGTGGGGCAACTTGCGTGTTGGTGACTGACGATCTCGAAGTCACGTAAGACGAGCCATACATTGAGGTACTATATACACATAGCACGAACGTGTGTATGTTAAAAAAATCCTTGAACCTCTCATCCAATTCTGTACCACGATCCTTCATAATAAATTACGTGAGTGTTGAGACATTAGCACCGCAACCATCGACTACCTAGGTATGGCTCTACCTGCCCCGCCGAAGGTGTTCTGGGAGGACGAGGAGTATGCAGTCAGGCCTGCGCGGGACAACGACGAATGTCGGGCGGAATGGTGGGCCTATATGCAGATTTTGGGATGGGTATGTAAGGTCAAATCGGCTCCGTCTTTGATGAGAATGGCACAAGCGGTCACAATAGATCTGTGTTGTCAAATCAAACATTCTGTTATGCTATCTCGGCACAAGAGCACCAATTCTTCACATCATATGATTCTAACATCTACGACCAGAACCGCGGGTACCATGACCTCGACACCTATCTCAATCCGTCTCTGGGCCGAAGCTGCGGAATGATCGTGCTCGAACAGAAGTCCACGGGCAATCTCATCGGCCAGGTCGCCGCCATCATCAACGAGAACAGCACCGGCTGGGTGTCCATGTTTATTGTGAAAGCCGAGTTCCGCGGAAAAGGCCTGGGACGCCATCTCTTCGACGCCGTGTTGAAGGACTTCGAAAGGGCGGGAACGGAAATTGTCGGACTAGATGCAGTGGAGGAGCAAGTGGGGACTTGTAAGTTGTGCTTTCGTTCATTCCAAACGATTCTTTACACGACTGTGTAGTTTGATGACGGGGCTGATGGTGCGATATGCACAGATGAGCGGAGAGGTTTTGTCGTTGCTGGCGGTCCCATCCAACTGATGATTCGCGACCTGCACCAAAAGACACCTGCTGTCGGAGCACCTGAGCCACAGGGCACGCTGATTGATCTTCGCGATGTACCACGGGAGCTCCTCGCTGCTTCAGACAAGGAATACACTGGCTTCGAGCGACCCGACGTCTGGTCTGACGCCAACTTATTCAACCGCCCGGACATCTCCGGACATGCTATCGTGACCAAGTCTCCTCCGCAGACAGTCAGCGATATCATCGCGTGGGTTCTTGTCCGCCGGTCGTCGGAAGGCTTCCACATCGGACCACTGTACGCAAAAAATGTTCATTCAGCAGAGAGCGCTCTTCAAGCCGCCGTAGCGAACGCCCAGGTCAAGACTATCACCGAAATCCCACTGCCTAATGAGGAAATGAATGATTGGTCAGAGGAAAAAGTCATCGAGAAAGCCACTTGGACGGCTGAGGTTAGCACATGGAATCCTGAGGCTTTGGCCGTGTTTGAGAGGCAAGGCTGGCGAATCTTGGAACACCAATATCTCCGCATGTGGAGGCATAACAAGGCAACACCGGAGCACGATGAAGGCGGTCTCGGGCGTACTGGAATCTACGGTATAATGGATGCTGCCATTGGGTAGATGCGTATCCCTATGTCAACAGATTCTATTTCACGTCATATCCAGTGCTTGAGGTTCCCTGTGATGACAATGTGCGAGCGGGCTGCAGCTGATCGATCCAAGTCTCAAATACCATTTCGCCAGCCTTTACTGCACGAATTGGAGTGGTAACGTGTCGCGGCTGTTCTGTATCCTGATCGACGTTCGGTTCTGTAGGAATCCAAGGCTGAGGATGGCCCACAGGCCGGCTTGCCTCACTTCGCAATTCGATTGCCAGAGTGAAGATGCATCCTGTCGGAAGCGGTTCGAGCGTCGAGCCACAATTCGATAGACGACCCATTGTCGCTCTAAGCTGTTCTTCGAGATCCACCATTGGCAGAATCGCCAATTTCGTCTTATCAGCTGTCATACGTTGCATAGGCACGTCGACTTCAGATATTGGAACTATAGGAAATCTTGACACATCGAACACGAAGCGTTCCAGCGGCTTGTTCTGCTTGTCAAAGATCACCACTGCCAGGCGATCGACAGTGCATTTCAGTAGCTCTGTCTCGGCGGAGTCAACAGCATCATTGATCCATTCGCAGACTTTTGGGTGACGATTTTGTCGCACAGCGAACTCATATTTCCGCGCCGAGAGAAATGAGGTCTGTGGATAGATGCCGCGCTCGTAAAGAATCGTATGTATCGCCACTGTGAGGAAATTGGTAAAGGCTTGTATCAGCTCCCGATATGTAGCGTCACTGTTTGTGGATCGGTCCGGCATGTTGTAATCCAGCGCATCATGAAACGATACGCATATGATGGTTCACATGTTATCATGCCTGAGCGCAAAGCTGCGATGATGTTTCAGGGACTCTGTGTATCAGCTCCAGGTGCGGTTTGCGGATACAGGGAAGTGCCAAGACCAGCGTGTTGATCTTTCCAACCTCGACAACGGACAAAGTGTGAACATATTTCCAACATTCTGCTTCATCGACATATACCGTACTCTTTCTTGCGATACTGCAACAATTGTGAAACGACTGGAAAGGTTCCATTTTGCATTTGATAAACGCTGCATCCAGCACATTACTTAGATTTCGCCTCTCCAGCGGGCGAAACATTGATACCCAAAAGCCAAAATTTGCTTCATAAACACCCCGCCACGCCTTGTCATCGCCTGAGACGGTCAACAAGCAGCAACAGATAACGCTTCGCCCTTAACAGCGTCAAACGTCAGGCAGTCTTCTGAACATACGACATCTTCACACGGTGCTGGAAGCAAATTGAAAAGCCGAACGTTCAATCGCAGAGCGCATATCATCTCTAACAATATACGCCGCGGAGGGACAGTTCAACATGGAACAGCAATTAATTCAACTTTTCAACGAGACACAATCCAACCACGAACCGACTCGCCAGAATGCCGAATGGCAGCTCAAGCAACTCTATTCGAATCCAGATTTTCCCCTTAGTCTGATAGCGATTGGAGCTCACGTGGAAGTTCCACTCGAGGTACGACAAGCGTCGTTGCTCTATTTGAAGACATTCGTCTTAGCTTGTTGGTCGACCGAGCTAGACGACTTCACTGGACCATACTTTGCCGATGATGCCAAACGAGCGGAGATTCGCCAAAGACTCTTAGATCTTGCACTGAGCGGAAACAATGAGCGCAAGGTAGAAAGCGCGGCCAGCCTGGTCGTCAGCAAGATTGCCACAGCTGATTTCCCAAATGATTGGCCGGTTTTATTACCGACCCTGCTGCACGTGGTCTCCACCGGATCTGACAAGCAAGTCCATGGAGCTTTGAAAGTCCTTCACGAGCTGGTCGACGATTGCTTCAACCATGAGCAATTTTTCGCGGTGGCGAGAGACCTTGTCAAGGTCATTTACGATGTGGCTGCAAACCCCAACCGCAAGACAATGCTTCGCGCACTTGCACTTTCTGTCTTCCGGTCATGTTTCGACATCCTAGAAATGGTCATAGACGACCACAAAGCCGCCGTGAAAGGGTTCGCAGAGGAGACCCTTACCGGATGGCTTCCATTTTTCATCGAGACTTTGAAAACGTCTCTACCGCAAGCGCCCCCCGCTGGTGCTGAGACGCAAGGAACTGAGCAAGCAGAGCTCTATCGAGGATTCGTTGCATTCAAGTACCAAGCTGTGAAGGTCTTGATGCGCATCAGGCAGCTATTTCCTAGCACTCTTTCACCACACAGCCCTGCATTATTCTCGGCAACTTGGCAAGAATTGTCCACCCTGCAATCACAATATCAAGCTACATATATCGATGATGACCAGCAAGGAAGACTAGAAGATGCCGATGGTCTGCCTTATACTTTGGACTTCTTGGTGCTCGAAGAGCTGGATTTCATGCAGGCATGTATCCGCGCCCCGCCTGTGCGCAAAGAGCTCGAGTCTCAAATTACTGCTGGATCTCCTCCCGCGTGGATGGCAGATGTTATGAAGATTGCCGTTGCATACGCTCAGATCACAACGGAAGAAGAAGGCCTTTGGGATGTAGACGTCAACGTCTTCTTGTTCGATGAAGTAAACGTTACTGCCAACTATACACCACGATCAGCCTGTGGTGATCTAGTCATCAAGCTTAGCGAGTGGCTTGGTGGTGCCACTGTCGATGGTTTGCTTGCCTACACCAGAAATCTTTACAATGAAAACGCAAACTGGAAGACCAAGGAAGCCGCACTGTATCTCTTCAACCAAGTGCTCGGCGAATTTCAAGATGTAGAGAAGAGGATAGGTACCGAATCCGCAATCGGCTATGTCGATTTCATCAAGCATGCCATGCAAGAGGAGCCCGTATTCCTTCGAGCTCGAGGCTACCTCGTTGCAGGTGGGCTGGTCCGCACCTCGGGCGACGCACTGCAAGCTGTTGCTGCATCCTTGATGGAAGCCTCGCTCAATGCCATCAACAACGATGAGTCCGAGATTGTAAAAGTCTCATGCATTCGGGCCTTGGGATATTACTTTGCAGCCTTGCCTTCTGCTGTGACGATCAGCCAACAGTCGAACGTCATTGCGGCCCTTCAAAATTTCATTCAGACGCAAGATCTGAGCGACCTCAACGACAGCGATGATGTACTCATTACCATCATCGAGACTCTACGAGATGCTATTATTCTTGACACTAGCACTTGCCTCAGCGGCGGTGGACTGGACTTGCTGTTTTCCGTTGCTAGTCAAGGTGCCAGCAATTTCCAGATCACCATGCTGGTAACTGAGACCTTTGAAGAGGTTGCTCGATCAATTTCAGAAAGCGGTGTCGAAGCGACAAGTCTATTGGCTAGCAAAGTCTTGCCCACCCTGATGGGCGCATTCGATGTCGCTAGCCTGACTGAAGAAAATGCTCTCGCCAACCTCGCTGCAGAGCTCCTCTCAGTCCTTGCAGAGTATGCGTCTTCGCCACTCCCGCAAGGTTTCGTCGTCACCACAATGCCGCGCCTGAGCCGTCTTCTCCTGGAGTCGCAAGATGACGAGTTGCTCAGACATGCCACCTCTGCGGTCAAGAACATGCTCTCTCACGATCCCGAGCAGGTATTCAACTTCAGTGACCAGAACGGCAAAGGTGGCCTTGAGGTCATCCTCATTATCATCGATCGCTTGCTCAGCCCGAGCGTGGACGACAATGCCGCATCGGAAGTTGGCGGACTCGCTGCCGAAGTCGTTGAGAAGGCCGGTTCAGAAAAGTTGGGACCTTATCTGACACAGCTCTTGCAGGCTGTGGCGACGAGACTTGCATCTGCCACCCAAGCGCAATTTATCCAGAGCCTCATTCTCGTCTTCGCGAGATTGTCGCTAATCTCGGCGCAGGAAGTGGTAGGCTTCTTGGCGGACATCCGCATCGCGGACCAGACTGGACTACAAGTAGTTGTCACTAAATGGCTGGAGAACTCCGTCAACTTTGCGGGATACGACGATATCCGACAAAAGTATGTCACTTTTCTTTGCAAATTCACTGACGTATCTGAGTTGGATCGGATTAATATGCTAACAAATCGTACAGTGTCGCCGCCCTTTCGAAGCTGTACGAGCTCAACGACCGCCGGCTCGCCGAAATCCAAGTCAAGGGCGACCTCATCGTTCCAGAATCCAACCGAATCGTAACCCGCTCCCGTGCTCGCCAGAACCCCGATCAGTACACCGTAATTCCCGCCCAGCTTAAAATCATCAAAGTCCTCGTCGAAGAACTACTCTCCGCTTCTGGTAATTCAGGCCCGAACGGCGCACCTGGTGCTGGCGCCGAGGAAGATGACGATGAAGATGACGAAGACGGTGACTGGGAAGATGATGGCCCTGCATTCGTGGATCTTGCCTCTGGTATGACCAAATCACAACTCATGGCTTATGCAGCGGACGATGCGCCCCTGTATGCGCGTGGCAGGGATGACGAGACCCAGGCTTACCTCGTAAATTGGTTCCGCGGCCGCACGCAAGATCCAGGCTTCGCTGAAATCTTTGCTGCATTGAGTCCCGTGGAACAGGACAAGTTGAGGACGATGTCGGAGTGACTCTCATGAATGAGGAAGATAGCCAATGGCAGAAATCGTAGAAATGATCATAGCTGATGGAAAATCCCAAATGCTGAGTCAGCACAAACTCTCCATCGCCGTTCCCCTGCCCTGCAGCCCTGAGAGCGTTCGGCCGCGCAATGCGTCATTCTTCACACACGTGGCTCACGATCTCGTCAATGCCGTGTTGCGCCGGCCCGATCGGACATAGAACAGTAACCCACTGTCGCTGTTCATCAGGCTCCATTGCTTCCAGACGATACCACGTGCATAATTTTATGAGCATAGCTAGCTCTACATCTGACGAATGCTCTGATTACATGACATCAATGCAATGCAATGACCGCAATGACCCATAATGCGACAGGCGCGATTCTCCACGCGACTGCCAACTGCTCACGCGCTTGAGCTCGACCATGAAACGGACTGAGCTTACGACACTGCTTTGAGAGACACCAAGTGGCACTACATCTATACAGCTAGTATTCACAACAATTATCCGCCTCAATGGCCCGCAAGGCGCGGCATCGCATCAGCTACGGTATGAAATGTCGCCAATCGTGGGCGCCGACCCCTCATCTGCGCAATGACCAAAGAGACTGATGTTGAAGCGGACAGTGCTACCACTACCCAATGCAGCCGGAGGCCACAGACTAGGAGTAAATGGGCTCGCTGTAGATTCAACGAACTCCATTCTGTATTCAGCTGGGCGTGATGGCTGTCTCTGCACCTGGGATCTTCACCTCGATGTCCACAATGGCCGCCCTCTCGATTACGATGCTAAGCCTCCCACCTCTCCCGCGACTACATTTAAACAGCAAATCCAGGCGCATACGCACTGGATCAACGATATTGCCCTTGCCCAATCTGGCCGAGCACTGGTCTCAGCTTCGTCAGACATCACTGTAAAATTATGGAGACCGGCGGCAGCTGATGGCCAGCCCCCACAAACGATTGGTCTGCACAGCGATTATGTAAAGACGCTCGCCGTACCTTCGGCCACGAGTGATTGGATTGCGAGCGGTGGTCTGGATCGCAAGATTTGTCTATGGGACTTGAATGGTGGCGGACAAAAGCTTGCGATCAACGTCGGAGATGACGAAGCGCATAGCCTGCTCAGTGTGGAGAAGGGCAGCGTATATGCCCTGGCTGCGACCAACTCAATAATAGCAAGTGGTGGGCCAGAAAAGACTGTGAGAGTATGGGATGCGCAATCGGGAAAGAGGATAACGAAGCTTGTGGGGCACACCGACAATATTCGGGACATTTTGATCAGTCAGGATGGAACGACGATTATGACTGCAAGCAGCGATTGCACTGTGAAGGTGTGGAGTACAACCGCAGGACGCTGCATGTATACTCTGACCATGCACGACGCTAGTGTCTGGTCGCTATTCTCCGACGAGCCGGATCTGTCGATCTTTTACTCCAGCGACAGGAACGGGTTGGTAGCCAAGACGGACACGAGAAATGTAGTCGAGCTTGACGAAGGTCTCTCATTGACGCTCCTCCAAGAACACGAAGGTGTGCACAAAGTCGTTGCCAGTGGTGGCTACGTTTGGGCGGCAACGAGCAGGCCGAGTATCAACCGATGGCGAGATGTCAGCACTGACGATCTCGAAGTTGAAATGCCTGAGCGTTCGCTGCATCCTCACCATCGATCTAGCGCCACAACTTATGCTAGCAAGTATGGAAGCCTTTCAAGTCGAAGGGAAACCATGCAAAGCTCAATAGAACATGCTGCTCCAGCGCCCGGGAAGCGGAGAATACCATCCAAACACGTACTTCGACTGACGAATACCGGCTTTCTTCCATTCGCAGCCATTCCTGACCCCGAGGTAGTCTCAATGCATGGCCGTTCAGATTCGCAGAACATTGAAGCCCCGGGAACGCATGCCATTCGAACACAGCCCGATGGATCTATCGAAGGCCAGAATGGCTTGATCAAGCATGTCATGCTCAGCGATAGGAGGCGAGTGCTGACTCTTGACACCGCCGGTGAAGTGGTCATGTGGGATCTGCTGAGATGCGTCCCTGTTCGATCCTACGGTAAGCGCCATCTAGATGACGTCAAGGCTGAAGAGACAGTGAGCACGACGACGGTGCCCAATTGGTGCTCTGTCGATACTCGCACAGGAAGTCTTGCTGTGGTATTGGAAGAACAGACCTGCTTCGATGCAGAAATGTATGCCGACGAATTACAGCTCGACCCTGAGGTTGTGTTGAAGGAGGATGCCCGTATCAATTTGGGCAAATGGGTGCTTCGAAGCCTCTTCACAAAACTCGTAGATGAGGAGGTCAGACGCGATAACGAATTCCGCAAGACTCTCTTTGCTGAGTTTGAGCGGCAGAAGCTCACCGGAAGTCCTTCAGCTTCGATGAAGATTCAAATACCTCCTGCGAATATCAGCAGCTGGCGAGGCCATACATCTGGTCCAGACTCGTCTTCTACATTACGAGCAAATACGAATGGAGCGAGCAAGGTACCGTTCACGCCAGGCTTTGGAATTGGTGTGGCAACTCCAGCCGTAATATCTCCGCCCAAGACCTCAGCCACCCTCGGCGCTCTATCACCAAGTGTAGAGAGCAGAACATCCAGCGATCAGCCTAGTGATCAAAATGCTCCACGAAAATCTGGCGAGAGGGAAGATGATTACTTTTCGACTCTGCGAGCCCCCAGCACTGATGTGACATCTCCTGGTGGAAACTCCGTCTTTGCTGCGACGCCCGGTGAGGTGCCGGATGCCGTAGCCGCTCCAACCGAGACTTCTGGTGGCCAGGAGGTAATCAAAGAAGGCTTGTTCGGCAAGAAATTCCTTAAGAGCATGTCCTTTTCGGGCATGAAGAAGCTCGGTCGCTCACAAACAGGCGAAAACAAAGCCGTACCCGGAGAGAAAGACGAGAACGATGCACTTAACAAAGAGAGCAGCTCAAATGATGGCCCGAGCAACAACAAAGAAACACTCCAGGGTTTGGTCAATAAAATTCATCACGCTTATGAAGAGTCCCTACGTCACCAAGTTCAGGCTCAACAAGCTCGCGAGAACGGCATGCCCATTGCCGCCGCTCCAATTGAATTAGTTACGATGATCACACCTCCTCCACCCGACGAAACCCCTCTCCTCCTCCCGCCGCCGAACACAACGATCCTCATTCAGGAAGACCGACCCGAGGCAGGCGGTGTCGCCGACCTCTTCGAGGGTCGCGTGAGCAACCTCGGCGAACAATGCGACCTCGTCGAACGCGCCGCACCACTCTGGCTTGGCGACTTGCTATTGAAGAATCTCCTGCCTTTCAAAGAGATTACCAAAATCTCCTTCATCCTTGAACCCTGGCAGGACAAACTCCCGCCCGTATCGGGCCCGTCGTCGGGTGGCGAAGGCGCAAATCGTCTCAATGCCAACCGCATGCTCCGGGCCAGAAAGATTCTCGCGTATGTCGCCGAGCGCATTGAGCCGCAGGAGCAATGGCAGCCTGGAGCGATGTCTTCCGCGGAGATCAATATGATGCGACCGGAGGAGTATTTGGAGTTGTGGTGTCAGGATAAGGTACGTGTTAAATTTGGGACTTGTGATTTGAAGGTTGAAGATGTATCTGCTGACGTGAAACAATACAGCTCGTGCCGCCGACGATGACGCTACTTACGATCCGCACACATCTTTGGAAAGGACCTGGAAATGATGTTCTGCTGCACTACAAGGCCAATGGCGCTAAGAGGATGTCGCTTGTATCTTCACCGCAAAAAAGGAAATCAGGCGTGCCGTGATGCTCGAATTTATTCATTACAAGACCTATGACCGAAAAGACCTTCGGGATATGTGTGGACCAATTTTACACAAGAGACCCGTTCCACAAAGATTCATCTGCCATTTCCTGAAAGACTTGAAATATCCTTAAAACATTTTAAAGCCTGGCGTGATTATTCGAAGTTCGTACTAAGTAAGTCTGGCCAAAAAGGTCTCACCCGACACATCGTCGATCTCGATGGAGTGTCTGGTCGCTCAGCGCGCTGCCCGAGAAAAAGCTTGTAAGCCAATCCATCCACCATCTCAATTGCTTCCTTGACAGCATCGGCCGATAACAGCGCATCTGTTGCCTGGAGAATTGAATCAAAGACGCATTTGCCCATCTCAGAATCGGTTTCGGTACTAGTATTGTAGGTAACCGTGATGGCCGCAGCGAAGTCGGTCGGGTCGATGTTGCCCTGTCGCATTCGTTGCATAAATTTGAACCTCGCTCTTATCTTGAGAGTCTCAATGAGATACTTCGCACCCATGGCATACATCCTCGCGTGAGTCACGAGTTGACCATAACCTCCCAGAGCTGTTGAAGCCTTGCGCTTCCTGGTGCGAGTTGACGACGGGCTTGCTCTGCTCATCCAGGAATTGCTTTGCACTGTCCCTGCATATTCGCCATTATAGAAGGAATCGATCATCAAGCGTACGGCATCTGGATGATCACAGCTGAAGTCTTCCATGCCGCTCCTGTGCAGTGAGCTCTTCAAGGCGATGACTCCTTCGCTAGCCTCCTTGCCAGTTCGAGGTCAGCAGTAGAACATGATCCATAGGCATCGGATCTACTTGCCTGGAACACTTCATTGCTGCACGCTTTCATGAACCACTCCGAAGACAAACACAACACAAGCTTATGGACTTTGTGTGTATCTCGTCCGCATTTGATGGTCAGATCCGAGAATGAACTATCTGATCTCGCACTTCCATCAAAAGCCCTTCAAATTCGTGAGTAAGAGGGGTGGAATGGCATACAAGCGGAGTCATTGTCTCGCGGTCATGTCGTCACTGCAATGAAAGCAATGTTGGGTGTCCGTGATTGCGGTGTAGTTGCGAACCACCAAAATCGTGACGAATTGCGAAGCTTACCGCCGATACGTGTTCAGTGGAAATCAGTCCCTGGTTGAGCGAATGAACCCTTCATTCTTTTTGCGATGCTCGCCTTCACTTGCAACAGCTGAGCTGGTAGATTCTCTCATCTTCGCACGTGATCGAAAGGATGTGACAGTTGAACACGATCTGCATGTTACACTTGTTTGCAGAAGGAGCAGTAGGCATGACACAGGTGAAGTTCATATAAGCTTTGCGTCTATAGAAAGGAATTCACATGTCTCGTCCCTTTTCATTCATCCCGTCGTTTAGTCACCACAGTCCTCCTGGGTTTCACACCGTTGTTCCAGGCTCAATTTCTTCTACAATAGTGTTGTCATCTTCACATTCTTCCAGGACAGGTTCGTCGTCTGTCCAAAATTCCGGGCCTGTCAACTCCTGGTAGTACAATCCCAGCTTGTCTTTGACGAAGAGCTGCATGCTCAATCCTTCGATACGGCCGACAGCATCGCGCGTGCTAGCTTCTGAGAGAATATCCACAATATGAAAGCTCATGCATTTGAACACAGTCTCCCATGCGTCCGTCTCTCTTTCCTGGTGCTGTGTTGTATGCGGGCGTGATAGCAGAGGCGAAGTCCTCGGGATGAAGATAACCTCTTTTGACAAGCTCTTTGAATTTCTGAACGGTCGCGTATTTGAGAGGAGTGATGAAATACTTGCATGCTAGTGAGTGGACTCTCACGTGGGTAGTCAAGGGACCTTGCCTGTTGTCGAGAAAGGACTTCACATATTCGACTTCCTCGGTCGAAGAATACGACGTTATCCAGACAGATGGAGGTATAGGCGATTTGCTATGTGTGACTTTCTGCTTCTGTTCTGTCGATACTGGAGATTGCGAGACGGAGGGGAGGTAGCGATGCTTGGTTGACATCGGATCACGCCCAGTCGGAATAAATGAATTGTCGATGCTGTAGTCAGACATGTACATGTAGTCGATCATGAGCTTCACGGAATGTGGCTCATCAAACTCCAGACCCACTTCAAGTTCAACACCGTCGTCATCGTCATCTGGAATGCAGTCGAAGCGAAATGTGTCGGGTTCCTTCATATACTTTGTCAATATGCACTTTATAAAGCGCAATGACTCTCGAGCTCACATTCCAAGCTGGATTCATGCATTTGTTCTTAATAACTTCCGAGTGTTCAAAGACGACACACTTATGAACTTTGTATTCGGCAGGTCCACAGACGAGCGTTAGATCAGAATGAGCGCCTGAAGCACGCAGCCTGGAGAAACGTCAGAGTTCGCAAAAGATCAATCTGAATGTTCGAACATCGTACTTGCGAAGGAGGACATCAGCCCTCCATGGGTGCATCTCAAGTATAATCAGCTAAGATATTTCAGAGACGACTCTGAACAAACGTTGGAGCATTGAACATAAGAGAAATCCTTGTCAAGACATCATTTGTCGATCGCTTCGAAAGTGATAGGTAACATATATGCGCATAATTCACTCCACTTTCCGAGATTCTATTTGCTCTACCTGGTGTTCACTTACTCCCGTCTCAGCAGGACGATGGTCTGGCACGCTGATTATTTCTGTTTATCCGCTTATCCTCGCAGCGAAGTGCTAGGCAGATTTCACTTTCTGCCACCTTGCCACCTTAAATTCACCTCACTTAGTTACGAAGCCTTGTTTTATTTTTCATGACTCTAATTCTGGTGCAACATTATGCCGCACAACTATTTTAGCAAAATGAGCATCACCCCAAAGATCAAGTTCATACTTCCGCATACTGTGCTCATGGCAAGGCGGCGAATTCGGGAAATGCAGCCATTATGAAATTATCTTCTAAGTCCAATCATGAGGAAATCAAATATCTTGTGACGCTGCTTCAACTGCTTGGTACCAAAATGCAATTTCCTGATTTGACCGCTTCGTGTACTTAGGAGCATCGCTCATCGTGATTGACATTGTTTTGATACCTGATATGTCTTTTCACAACTATCGTCTGCGTCGAGCGAGAGAGTGACCGTCTCAGAAATCTCCAAGGAGATGAACGATTCAAGCTATCAACATGCTCAGCGGTTACAGGAACATCTTGCTTGCCTCCAAGATTGACAAATGCCACATTGATCTTGAGCAAGACCGTCCCCGGAACATCCTTTGTAGGAGCTGTGGCAGAAATAATGGTTGGCAAGAGCTTCGATAACTGCTACGGCCAATTGATCAGACATATCAATGGCTTCCCGAATCTCTGGCTCCTTCATGATCTTCGAAGAGTGCTTGACAATGGATGCTAGAACGGCGTTCTTAATGGCCGGCTCGCGATCGCTTCCGGTCTTGTACGTGATTGTTGTTGCGATAGCAAGGTCTTGGGGGCAGAAATCAGTCGCTTTGATAGTTTCGTTGTACTTGTTGACCGCTACAGACATGAGGGATGGGATGATGAATTTGAGACCCATTGCGAACATTCGAGCGCGGCGTTCCAGGGGTCCTAGCAGCTTAGCAACCTCCAGCTCTTCGATAGACACGAATGATTCGCCCTTTCGATCCTTATCTTTCTTACTAATGCGTGTAGCGCTTGAGACATCGGTTTGCACGTTAAATTTCTTCGGGTCGACCGACGTGTAGTCGCCTAGATAAATAAAGTCCACAAGTAGCTTCACAGCTTCCGGATGGTCAGAGCTATAGTCTTCAGTGCCATCTTCATCAGATTTTCTTCTTAGTCGTATGATGGCATTCTTACCTTTCTACATAGGAGATTAGTGATAGCTTCTTCGAAAACGTAGGGCTTTGGATTCATTACCTGACACTTTTCGCTACACACGGTTTCGAATCCCGAAGAGCGTCCGCTACACTCACCATTTCGTTGCCATTGTGGTGATCAGTCTCATAGAAAGCCCCGGAACACCTTCTATAGCATCTCGAGCCCACCTATACTCGCTCAATCCACGAATATGCTCCAGCAGTAATCCGAAAACACAATCCCTCATTTGACATTCCTTTTCACTGCCGGTGTTGAAAGAAATCCGCAGAGCAGCCGCTAGATCTTGATAGGATAAGTCCTTGCTCATGTTATGTTTGAATCCTGCAAGCGCCTTGTCTCGTAAAGTAACGACATCATATTTGCATGCAAGAGCATACATTCTTGCGTAACGTGACAAATAGAGCTCTGTCGGTCGCTGCTTAGTCCAAAATGTCCGCTGAAGCTCCTTCTTGTCGTTCCGCTCTAGAGCGAGGAATTGTTCGTCGGACAGTATCTTGCCGGTGTAGATGAAGGCCAGCATCGAGCCGACCATATTCGGATGGTCCGAGCTAAAATCTTCATTGGCTCGAGCTCCGCCGGCATCTTTGTCTGTTGGAGCCTCGACATGCTCAAGTTTGATAACTCCTTCGCGGGCTTCCTAAAATTCGCGTTAACAGTCTGTTTCGAAGAGAAAACAAGACCTTTCGCACCTTCCAGTCCGGACTCAGGCATAATGTTCTGAAATAACCCGAGCTAGCACCTATCACCGACTTATGGACTTTCCATTGCTTGTCGCCACAGATGATAACAAGGTCCGAAAATGCGGAAGTCTCCCAAAGACTAGAACATGACTCAGTACCAGAGTGACCGTCGGTTTACCACAAACAGGACTACTTACTAGTTCAGACCTTCCATTGAAGATCTAGCTCTGGCCACGTCCTAAGTCTATCTCTTTCGGATAGCAAGGTTTAGGTTATCTTTCGCTTCGGATCTGTCTCTGCGTCCCAGCGAGGTCTTTCTCTTGAGCGATGCCTCTCGAGCTTTTCGGAATTAGAGTTTTGTACGGGGGAAGAATGAGTGGGTGTTAGATTACGAGAGCTGATGGCTGATTGTTCTTAAGTAAGGGAACAGAGAAGGTCTGCTTTTACAGAGAACACCGAGTGGCGGCCAAGAACCTCTCAAGTACTCAAAGTGAGAATTTGGACTTCAAGATATCGTTCCGACACAGTCCATCCTTCCGAGGCTGACACCAGGGAGGAATGGCGGCCTACACGAGCAAGTGCGGGTAGGATTGGCCAGTTCGATCAGGCTTACTATTCAATATTGGTCGATGTTTCATGTGATGCATGTTACGGGTCCACTTACTGTAAGAGAAGTAGCTCGAGGGATTGTTCTGGGTTATAAAAACTGGATAAGGATCAAGGGGCGTTGTCTGATTTCAAACAGAAGGTTGGTAACATGAGTTCAACACGGACAGACATAAGGTCCGTTCGTACTACCTATATGTTAATCTGGTTACATACGAGATACATGCGCCAGCGCGTATCATCGAAGTGCACTGGTGCACAAAGGTCGTCGAGGTGCACTGGTGCGCAAATGTCTGCCTGCGGCTTTATCACGTCAGCGGGGTGGATCATAACAATGCACTCTTTTTGAATCCATTCACTTGTGAATTCAATCTGTCCTTGAGACTCACACAAGTTGCACATAGGAAAACGCCGTGGAAGCCCCTCGCTAGAGAATTTCAGTTCACTGCGCAGGATATCGTACCGAACACGAACGCGGAATGATGTGTGAAATGTAGCAACGACCTTGAATAGTGTTATAACAAGTATGCGACTGCTTAGCAATCATTGATCGGCCTGTTGACAATTCCCACCAAAAAATGATGATTTCATGGATGTCACTGGATCCTCAAAGGCCACGGCAGAAACAAGCTGCAATGGAGCCGCTGCGCAGAAGATAGCCTCGAGCTAATCAAGGCCCCGGCATTTGATCGACCAATGCTTTGACGAGCCTTAACGCAACCCCATCCGACTTCTCAATGGCAGCAACAACAATGTTGCTTTTCATTGCACTCCGGACACGCGATACAAGCGTGTTGAAAACACAGTCTCTCATCTGGCATTCAGCATCACTGCCTGTCCCGAACGCGATCAAGATGGCTTTTGCCAAATCTGTGTCCAGCACGACTTTCGTGAATATGATCGAAGCATTGTATGCAGCAACAGCTTGATCACGCAAGCAGGGAATGTCATATTTGCAAGCTATAGAAAACAACCTTGCATGACTGGAAAAATCATGCTCTGTCGCGCGCGTGTGTGATATCGTCGGCATGGGCGCCTCTCCAATTTTGGGTTGGATTCCCTGTGCTGATTCTTTCACACGATAGCTTCCCGTATAGATGAATTGTAGCATCGCCTCAACCATGTCAGGTTGGTCTAGAGTGAAGTCTTCCTGGTCGTCAGAATCTTTGACGCCCTCCAGTGTGATGATGCCATCTTTGGTCTCCTGAGGTCTTGTCAGCGAGGAATTCCAGCGTAGCTGTAAGCGAGGTCGTACTTTCCAGTGAGTGGAGCTACACAGTCGTTTGAAGTAGCCTGAACTTGCGCTCATGATACACTTGTGAACTCTCCATTTTCGCTCGCAACATATAATGGTCATGTCACTGTGTTCGCCTGTCAAGTAGAGACTGACGTTTGATCGTTAGTCCATGCTATGAGAAGCAGCAATAGCGATGGATATTACGCACTGCCTCAGCGCATTCATAGCGACAGTCGAAGGAGCACCGTATGAGTGTTTCAATATGAAAGGAAGATATTGGAATCGATACAGGAAACTTGAATAGCTGCTGGGCAACTCTACTAGGACATAACACTTCATCGCGAGCAGGAGTCGACGGCTTGGCTACGTAGCGCTTATCTAAATAGATCACTATTTATAGGACATCTCTGCATACTATGAAACATCCTGCAAGTGGTTCAGCACGCGTAGCTAATGATAAATGTTTTCGCGGCTTATTTCACTGTTACGGCGGCCAAATGCCATGCGAATTATGTAGAATGTGTACGCCGTTAGAGAATCAATTATACAGCGGCAGGTCTGTACTTCGAAGTTCAACCATTGTGCCTATAAATGCGCATTTCTTTGTCTATATTGGCGAGGTAAAATTGTGAGCCGAGCCTGCCTATGCAAATACATGATTCTATCTTTACAAAATCCACGAAAATTGAACAATAAAACAAAGGGCATGGCAGGGAAAGCATCATCGATGCTTATACGCAACCAAACGATCGTTCCCTTCATGATTCCGAACCGCGAGTATTCTGTTGAGGGGTTGTCGTCTTGCCAATTTGGCGATAATTGCCGCTCCCAGACCCGGGATTCGCTTCACAGCTTTCTTGACGGGACCGCTATCGATCAGCGAGTCAATATCGCGCTCCAAAACGTCAAGGATGGCGGCTCCCAGGCTTGTCTGCGCCGATTCGCCGAAGACCTTGATTCTCCATGCGAGGAGCAGAGAGTCTGCGAACTCTTTCTTGTTGTAGGTGCGGCTTTCGGTAGCAGATTTAAATTTGCTGAGGGCTAAGTTTTGAAGAGACTGGATTTGGTGATCCGTTCCCATCCTCCACATCTTGATATGGAGGGCGAGTTCGTTTCGTCGTTCGAGTGCGGTCTTTGGAGTTACTGAAGAGTTCTCCGCCGATCTGAGTGTCATCGAATCGAGAACGGTTGATATAGATGAAACAGGGCTCGTTGGGGGGGAATAGAATTTTGCTTCCTCTGCGTTGTCGTCTGAGTCGACCAATATCTGCAAGTTCAGGGTCTGCGAGTCGCTAATCTCTCCAATGAACGCGTGCGGGTCCTGATCCACTGAACCAGGAGCTTCGTTATAGTCGCCCAGGTAAATGAAGTCCAGCATCAACGACAGGAGTTCCGGATCGGTAGGGTCAAAATATTCGTTTTCAACCCAGGACGTTTCGTTTTCGTTGCTCTGAAGTCTGATAATGCCTTCCTATAGCACGTGTCAGCGCAATAGATCAAGAATGCGCCGATATCTTATCCGTCATACCTCAAAGGGCTGGCAGCCATAACTTGCTTTGAATTGACTGCTTGCTGCAAAGAGAATGCATCGATGGACTGGCCATTTCTGCGAGCCGCACACCAGGGTGAGGTCGGCGTATGCTCCTGAGGAACGCAGGCTGCAAATATCAGTATACGTCAATGATCGCTTGGATAAGAGTTCCAAATACTGTTTGAGATTATCCATGCCGATGTGGTTCATGCTGAAGGCAATCACAGAGTGGAAAGTAAGCGTGTGATGTCTTTTCTGCTATACGCAAGTGATCGTGAGGAAGGGGCCAGGTCCATAGCATATATATGCATGACCAGTGTCATTGCGGCTTCGCGAGCGCGTATCAGAAAGCCAGAGCATGCTCGCGCTCATGCAAAGTCAAGCCACGAAGAGGTGACGTTGTGTCCCGTGTGAAACATGTCGGCAGATCCATACATGCTCATGTCCAACGAATTGTTCCAAATTTACGAATATCTACATTCAGGTATATTTTCATCCTGGAAGAAATAGGCTTTTATGCATGCTGCAATGCGAATTTCCTTTCATGCTCGTGCAAGGATTTATTTTTGTGCATCGGACAATATGAAACAGATGTGCTGCACAGCTGCGGCACAGCAAAGTGCTTTTCACAGCATCACCAGCCAGTGGTGCTCGTGCTGGGGAGCTACACATAGCTACAGCACAGCAGGCTTTATCCAGTCTAGCGCATGAACAATCATAATCCGAGCGCCAAGTGAAACTCGAGGATAAGCGACAACGAAGCGACAGGGTGAGAATGTGCAATTCTAGCTTCAAGGTACGGAGATGGGAACATGTTTCAGGATAGCTGCGCGGTAGGGACGGGATATCTACATCTAGAGTAGTCGAGGCAAGATGTGTTCCAAGAACTATTCAGTGTCCTTTCCGCGCGAGTCCATACTTCACCTCACGCATGAAGTCGTGGTACTGCAACATTTCATAAGCGGTTTTGGTGCTCAACTCCGTCTCTGCTGCTCCGCGCTTCACCACTTCGGTGCTATACTCCTCGATGAGCTCTGTCTGTAAGGCAAGAGCTGTGCCGGCGTCTGCTCGGGAGTCCTTCAATTTAGCCATGGCCTCGATGAAGTTTTGAACATCGAGAATAGCATTATTGAGGCCCTGTCCGCGATAAGGCGGCATCGGGTGAGCGGCATCACCGGCGAGGGTGACGCGGCCTTGATGGGTGTCCCAAGGTTGTGCAACCCAGCTGTTAATATCACTGTACGATAAAATGGTATCGTCGGGAATAGCTTGGACGGCAGTGCGAAAGGGCTCAGCGATAGAGGCGGCTTTCTTTTTGGCGAGGGCCAGCCTTTGTGCATTGGACAATGTCGTATCCTTCTCGCCCAACCACCCAAGCAGAAGATAGAAGCCCCAGTCGGCCGGCGAATTCGGGTCTGGGGTGGTTTGAATGCTAACAAACACGAAAACTTCGGGATCGAGTGCCCAGGAGAAGACCGGATGTGCAGTTCGGACGTGTTGCGCTACTGCGGCGTCGCGGTAGGAGAATGCTGCAGACAGATGAACGGCTCCGCTCATAGGCGCAGCTCTGGCCTTCTCTGGTCCGAACAGCTCGCTTCGAACAGCGGAGCGCCATCCATCGGTCCCACAGACCACAGTACCAGAGTATTCAGCGCCGTTGGAGAAGCGACCGGTGACCGAGGTACCATCACCAGAGTACGATAGTCGGATAAGCTTATGATCATACTGTAAGATGATTTAGCATTTGAAGATTCTCCTGCAGGCTAATACATTGCACCTACCCTGACATCGACGCCTTCACTAAACAGCTTCCTGAGTCGTGCTCGCGACACTCGGAGTAGTCGGCCTTCGGTCGTTACTTCCTGGAAAGCCTTGCCCGTTTGACCATCATATATCCGGGTACCGTTGTTCGGCGGGGAGGAATAATCGAGCGACGGATCTACGGATGCTTCGCTCACTATACGAGACGAGACGTGCGGTGGCAACAGGTCGTATAATACATTTGCGCTCCAGTGAATGCCCATAGTCCACTCGCGTGTAGCATAGCTGCCGGCTGCTTCGGCCTCATCGAAGATCTCGTACTTGATCCCACGGTTTCCTAGCCCATGAGCTAGTATGAGACCGGTCAAGCCAGCTCCGATGATAAGCACATGGGGTTCATTTGATGCTTTGTTCGATGCAGGCATTGCTTGCAGTGACATACGAGAGATCTGTATCCAGGAAGAATGATGGAGGGAGTATTGGTACAGCAAGGTCGAAATCCGAATGTCACATCTTCAGCTTTGCCAGCTGCATGTTTGATTAGTCAGCTATTCTGGTTGCTTAAGGTTCGCGCCAAGAGGGGTCTGAAGGACAGCAAATGTCAGACCTTGGCCTATTTCAGCTGCAAGTCCGATCATTGCCCAGATGCATGGATTTCGTTTCAAGGATGGTCTGAAGATAGCGTAGATCAGACACATCCTCGTTGCCTCAATATCCTAGCGGACAAGTTGGCGATGGCGGTTGGTCACGCGAGATCGTATCCCATCGTCGAGCACATGGCCGTGTGCAGAAGGTTCACGCCCTTCTAGTTTTCAGGAGTTGTTGCGACTCTGTCGCCAAGTAGCGCCGTTTGCTCATTGACGCTCTCTGCTTCCGAGATCACTGGCGAAGTAACTTTCCTTTCCTGACGGTTTCGGTGAGCGAATGTGAACGCCATACCTAGGAGAACAAATTGCAAGGATCCAGTGATGACATATACGACCCATGTACTCCAGCCTTGCAGACCGACTCGCAGAGCAAGCGAAAGGGCGAAGAGGAAGGAGCCAGGAGCTTGCACGGAGAGAGTCGTGATTGACAGGCTCTTGACGTCTTGCACTTTCCAAGTGTAGTTGATCTGAGGGAGATACTGAATCATGCCGAGTATCCCAGAGACACTGCCGAGAATATCGGCCCAGATCTGGGTGTGATGCGGAAATGCAAAAACAAGCGCTACGGAAATAAGTGCGACCAGAAAAAGAGTAATGAAGATGGAGGCGCCAACGATCAACGGATCACGTCGACTGTTCGTAGGTGGTGTAGCCGTCAAAGATGTGATCGAGGCGGTCAGATCTTCTTCTTGCTCAGCGGCAGTGTCGTACGGGAAGAATACAAGATAGAGTAGCACGCTATAGTGAGCAATGTCAGCATGTCCGGAACACCGTCTCGAGTGTATGCGAGCCACTTACATAATCATGAAACAGGTCCATTGACACCCGATCTGTGCAACCCCGAGCAAAGCAGCTGCACAAGCCCCTCCGTTGACTTCTTTGCAGCAGCGCATATCCGCTCGGCTTGTTGGCAGGACGAGAATGTTTGCAATTGCCGTAATAGAGCTCAAGCCACCGAGGAGAACCCACCATGGCGACAGACCTTCGGATGATCGTCGCGAGTAGATCTTGACGTGCTGCGGAACGTAAGATGCCACGATTCCAGCTACCAGGAAGGCGGCAAGTACTGTCGTAGGAATACTGGGATATGCCAGCGCGCGACAATGTTCTGTCATGTCTTGCCATGGGTACTGCATGGGCGACAGAAACAGGCTCTCGCGGATGGTAAACATCGGGAATTTGAAGCGACGCGATGTCGCTTTTTTTAACTAAAATCCCACTCTTCTTCCTGGGGACTTGTAGCAATCGCAGATGAGGGTACTTCCTCTCGCTAGCTGAGCTTCACAAGCGCACATTCGAGTCGCGAAGCAAAGACGATGCTCTTCACCGTCAAGTCGGCGATGAATTAGAATCAGAGGATCGTCTATGAGCGAGAAGATGGATACGACGCCCTTAATCAAAGATGATCAATTTCGAATGGAGATATCCAGTCCAGTGAAGTGAAGTGAACCACGATGACGGTGTGTATAGATCTCTGGGTCACCAGGCAACGGAGACGCGGCTGATCGCGTGCACCGCCGACAGCTCAAAGCGGCGCGTTTTGAACCCTGCAGTGGGCAAATACCGGCCCGGCTGATCACTTCTTACTCATCACCCCGCCATAATTTTGCGGCCACAAGCAATCATTTGTTCTTGATTAACCATTGTGCAATCTTCGTTTGCCTCTGCATTGAAACTGCCCGGTGTTTTCACGATTCGCGCTGTCGCATGAGGCCATGCTTTCCAGCCGTCATGAATCTGAACCAACTGCATGAGTTGCCGCAGGAGCTGCTATACATATGGCACGCACACCGTACTGGAATCTTATTGGCGGCGGGTATCCTTTTTGCCATCGTGCGCCTGGGATTGCACTGGCGAAGCAATAGAATTGACAAGTATGTGTTGAAGCATGAAATCATCGATAAGACCTCAGACGATACCCCAAGACGAAGTGTGGTCGCACAACCGGAGATCACGCCTGTGAACACGCAGGAAACGACCCAGACGACAAATGCGACGAGAACAAAGGAGCCACGGAGAGTTCAAGGAAACAAGAGTCGGAAGCAGACCCCGAATCAGGATGGAGATGTGCTTGAGCATCTGCAAATATACATATTCTACTTCACACTGGGCGGCTCGACCAAAGCCTACGCAGAGAGGCTAGCTGCAAACCTCAATGGCGCATCGGCGACGAACCAGAAAATTCTTCCAGTGGAGGTTCACGATCTCGCAGAGGTAGATTACGATGATTACTTCATCACTCCTCCGAAATCTGCTCAGCGTAGCACCGCCTCAGTCTACCTCATTCTTCTACCTTCATACAACATCGACACGGAGTTGTCGAATTTCCTGTCGCACATGGAAGACACGCACAATGATTTCAGAATCGATACGGGCTCGTTATCGACATTGGCAGGATACAGCGTCTTTGGATTCGGGGATCGTCAGGAGTGGCCCACTGAAGCGCAAGGATACTGCACTCAGGCCGTTGAGGTTGACAAGTGGATGGCGAAGCTGACGAGACGCAAACGCGCGTTTCCGCTAGGAACGGGAGATATCAGGAAAGACGTCGATCAGAGGTTGCAGGAATGGCAGAGTGGAGTGGAGGGGATCTTGGCTGATCTGGCAGATGGCAAAGGTCTTGGTGAGGGAGTGAGTGGCAGTGGAGATGCGGTGGAGAGCGGCGACGAGGATGACACAGAAGAGCCATTGGCATCGGATTCAAAGCCGAGGAGGAAGGTTCGTTCTGACGCTGGAGATCTTGAGGATATTAAAGTACCCATCCCTGTCGATTTCACATCCCTCGGCAGATCTGCGGCCACGACGAATGCGCCTAAGGCGATGGTTCCGAAATCATCACCGACGTATGCATCACTCACAAAGCAAGGCTACACGATTGTCGGATCACATTCTGGTGTTAAGATCTGTCGATGGACAAAGTCTGCTCTCCGAGGACGCGGGTCCTGTTACAAATACAGCTTCTACGGCATCAACTCACATCTGTGCATGGAAGCAACACCTTCACTCAGTTGCAGTAACAAATGTGTCTTCTGCTGGCGCCACGGCACGAATCCAGTCGGAACGACGTGGCGATGGGAAGTTGACGAACCTGACCTTGTGTTTGAAGGCATGAAAGCAGGTCACTACTCCAAGATCAAAATGATGCGCGGCGTACCTGGTGTCCGTAGTGAGCGATTCGCCGAAGCCATGCGCATCCGACACTGCGCCCTCAGCCTCGTCGGCGAACCCATCTTCTACCCGCACATCAACGCTCTCCTCGCAATGCTGCATGCCGAACACATCAGCTCCTTCCTCGTCTGCAACGCCCAACATCCCGACCAACTCGCCGCCCTAGGCCCCGTCACCCAACTCTACGTCTCGATCGACGCTTCGAATAAAGAATCCCTCCGCAAAATCGACAGACCCCTCCATCGCGACTTCTGGGAGCGCTTCATCCGCTGCATGGACATCCTCCGCGAGAAACGCTTCACCCACCGCACAGTCTTCCGCCTCACGCTCGTCAAAGGCTTCAACATCGACGACGAAGCATCCGGATACGCGGATCTCGTCGAGCGCGCTCTTCCCGGCTTCATCGAAGTCAAGGGCGTGACATACTGCGGGACCTCCACGGCCGCGGGCGCAGGGCTAAGTATGCAGAACGTGCCCTTTTATGAAGAAGTTTCCGCCTTTGTTCTCGCGCTCGAAAAGGAACTTTTACGACGCGGATTGGATTATGGCATTGGTGCGGAACATGCTCATTCTTGCTGCATCCTGCTCGCGGATCGGAAGAGATTCTTCCGTCCTGATGTTGGAAGTGGCGAACAGGCTACATCAGGGGGCCGATGGCATACTCTCATCGACTATGAGAAATTCTTCCAGTGCGTCGAGAGCAAGAAACCGTTCAGCCCCGAAGATTATATCGGTGAGGCCACGCCTGAGTGGGCGGCTTGGGGCAAGGGTGGATTCGATCCTAGGGATGTCCGGGTGGATCGGAAGGGGAAACCCAAGGTCGTCGAAATCTAGAAAGAACTTCGTAATGAAGCCATCTTGGTAAAACTCCTGTATGTTCCGTGAAGATTGACATGCTCTTCTTCGTCGTTTCGGGCTGGCGATGCCTACACGGAACAGCGTGGGGCTTGACTTCGGGCAACAGTGGACCGAGACTGATCTTACCAGTGTCGTTCATCAGACGACGACGAACGCAACGCGAAAGTGCTGCACGTCAGAAACTTGCTGAACTACATTCTCGCAAAGGACTGTTCACGACACACGATTTCGAGGAACGGTGACAGTGTGATGCTCCCACTTCTCTAGTATGCCCATCATACAAGCCAAACTCTAACCCTAAGCCGATCCTCTCGGTCGAACCAGACCTCACCGGTCCAGCCAATCGATGCACACACATGACATACCATGCCCAACAAGTCTACAAGATCACGCTTCCGACGCAGCCACATGTTAAAGCTGCAGTCCCGCCATGGATCGTATGATCTCAGGCTCGTTGAGCGCTCTCGTCTTTGACACGCGCTTGCCGGCCGACTCGCTCGCATTTCAGTCTCTTCCCAACTGTGCAGTATCGATCTGCCCTGACGTGAACATATGTCTAAATTGCATACCGAAGTCGAATGACCAGAGCACGCATACGGGTGACGCTTGAGCAGCGTTTCTTTTCAGCGAGTTTTTCGGCGTGAGATTCAATGGAACCCACCGAATCCGACCTCATCGATCACACCCGCATCGACGCGGTATTGACCGAGGACTCCAGGTATGCTTATACGACGCATACTTACTATGGATGGCGTAAGGAAGCTATAAAATTTTGCACCTGGCGACGCGGGTTCAAGCCGATCGGAGCCGGTGGATTTGGCGCAGTGTACCGCGAAGAGTGCACGGAGGGCGCAGACCGAGGTGCCGTCCGAGCCGTGAAACATATTCGAAAGCCAGTCACAGCGAGAGGCATCGACTACGGCCGCGAACTTGAGGCCGTCGCCCGGTTCTCGAAGCGGGAGTATGAGCCATTCTTTGTCCGTTCGGAAGGCTGGTACGAAGCCGATGGCTGGATTTGTATCGTCATGGAACTCGTACCCCATGGCAATCTCCAGCAGTATGTGACAATCCACGGCTTGCCCGAAGCTGAAACGCGAATGCTCATCGAGCAGACGCTGCAAGGTGTAGCCCATATGCACCGGGCCGGTTATGCTCATCGAGATCTCAAGCCTCAGGTATGGTCGAGAGTTCTCTCATCGGTAGCTGCAAGCTGATACTTGAAGTAGAACTTACTCGTCGCCCAAACTGGACCAGATTGGAAGATAAAGATTGCAGATTTTGGTTTGAGCAAGCGGCTCGAAAAGGATCTCACGTCGCTTCGAACCAACGCCGGTACAGCTGGTTATATGGCGCCAGAGGTTCAGGGACTGCTGGCAGATGATGACGACACCCAGTCCATCGACTCTGAGGACGGGCTGAACACGTCTTATACCGCTGTTGTTGATACTTGGGCGATTGGAAATATCGCGTTCCAGCTCGTCACTGGTGAGCTTCCATTCCCGACAACAAGGCAGCTTGGCAAATACGTCCGAGGGAAAGTTGCGTTCCCCAAGGAAGCATTGCAACATCGTAAGCTCAGCGAGCTTGGCATCTCATTCATCCAAAACTTGCTTATGCCGCGTCCCCACGATCGGCCTAGTGCGGACGACTGTCTGCAGCACATTTGGGTAGGATCATCGCTGAAGCGTCTTGACCCTCTGCAGGAGACAAAGAAGTCGTTCGCGGCGTTGTCGTTTCAATACGACGGATACATGAGCAGGAACACCAACGCATCTGCAAGCTGGAACACCAACGAGCCTGCGAGCCAAAACAATGATAAAACGCAGACCCAATCTCCCCACGGTCCGAGAGCAGATAACGAGAAAGCGGTACAACCTGAGACAGAGACCAGGACACAGCGGGCAATCTTTGAAGAAAAATCGACGGAGCTTGCGCGGACGATTGAGCGGGATTATTACGCGAGGAAAGAACGGGCGCGTGCTGCAGCTGCGGAAAAACAGCCTCCGTCGCCTTTTTTTATGGTAGCGGGTCGCGATGCAGATACTGCGACAACTCGACGGAAGTCTCCCAATCCAGACCCTCCACTTCCTCACCGAGTGCAGACATCATCCGTGTCGCGACCCATCTCGTTCCGAGAACGTACAAGTTTCCCGGCAACCTGGGGTCCAACATCAAATGGGGGAAGTGCCGATGCATACAAGCCTTTCTTCGACATTTCACCATGCGGCAGATTTCTTGTCATCATGTTTAGCTCTCCAATCTTCGTTACCTTTGGTGGCAGCTGCTGGATCAAGATTTTTGAGGTATCGAGTGGACGCTCGCTCAGTAATTTCAAACTGCGCAACGATTGGCTGCTCAATCCAAGTGGCGAAAGAATGTTCGCATTCAGCCCTGATGGTGGCCGCGTGGCGTTCGCTTTCAAGACGGGATGGAGAGAGAGAGATTTGATTGCGGTCCTGGTGTATAATCTTGCCACTGGGTACCTAGTGTACGAAGACACGATAAATTCGAACAATTCATTCATATTGGGATTCATCAAAGACGGCCGACTTGCTTACCTGTCGCATGCCGACCAAGGAAAGTCTGCTTTGAAGCTCACGCTCTTAGCACTGCCTAGAACGGATCGGATAGAAGAATTCATGATCGATGTGTACAGCGAATACCTTGGGGCTTACTCCAACTTGTCACGAGACGGTGCGTTCGTACGCGGAATATGCGGAAAAAAAGGATCAGAGCAGACCTACATCTACGACGTCGCAAAGCGGAATCTATCGCTGTATCCGCGACCGTCGGAAGAAGGCCGCCAACTAAGTCAATGGCGCATCAGTCCTGATGGGAATCTGTTAGCGCTCGAATACGTCAACACCAAGCCAGAAGATGACAACACATCTAGCCGGAGCCTTATCAGATTGTTCGACGTCTCGGCTGGGGGTACGAAAGAAATGTGCCCGCCAATCGAAGGCCCCTCGAACGGCCAGGCTTTCGAATTTTCTCCAGACGGTCAGCACATCATTTCATCGTCGAGCTGTGAGTTGCAAGTATGGTACTTGGGTGCGGGATCTGAGCCGGTAAAGGCGACATTCGAAATGCCGGCGGACAAGCCTCATGATTCTCGTAGTATGCGGATCTCCTATGGGGCTGCGATGTTGGCCTTCATGACTGAGGATCAAGCCACCATCAAGATATGGGACATTGTCAATGAGTGATACACATGGCGGATGATTGTCTTGCTGCGATACTCAACAGAAACCCCCACATCACCTTTTCCATATTTGCAGGATGAATTTTCTGTCGTCGTCGTCCAAGGTATGTGTCTCTGCTCTAAGGAGCGACTTGAGCTTGTCGATTGGTGAAATTGGCGCAGTCTTCCGCACTCCATTAAGTTTCCCATGGGGGAGGTGGTGCATGGTCCCCCAAATATTACAGCGTGACATTGAGTCGTAGCTCTCAGCCATAACATGACGTTCACCGAACAAAAGATGTCGGACTCACGAGGTGACGTTCCCTTCTTTTTCTCAAGCTCATGATGACATTGCAACGTGAAATGTATAAACCCCTCCGCCACATGCATCTGACGTCCTTTCAAGCTTTCCAAATTCCCAAGCGTAGAAGATCGACATCTTCCCCAAAACAGTAATAATCCCCGAAGCATGACCAGTTTCTGGAGCGAACGCGCTTCCAAGGCTCCCGAGATGTTTTATTTATACACATGTTCCACCTCAACGTCATCCGTTGCCCGCCGCTGAGATGAAAGAAAGCTGGAGCTGCAGGTAGCTGGGAGGGAATTTGAGTTTGACAGATTCACTTGGCGGAATCTCCTCAGAGAGAGGGAGAGGAGGCGCGATGGAGAGAGATATGATGCGGATGGAGCTGATATTATTACAGAAATGGAAATGTTGCGCGGTTGAATACGAGTATTACCCAATCAGGCAAGGAAATTGTCATCATTGTGCAGCCGGGCTGGAAGTGGAGATCCTTTCCTTCGTCAGGTGCGACGGTGATCGACATGAGATCTTGGGGAAGCTTCCTCTGCATGATCGCATATATACCACACAGCAACGCCCTCTTTTCGTCCAATCCAACTAGCAAGCCCTACGTTCTTCAACTCACCAGCTGAACAAATTCTAATAACCTAAGAAACATCCCTAATCAACAATGTTTTCCTCCTCTGTCATCGTCCCACTGCTGGCGCTCTCCAGCCTGGCGACCGCCGCGCTGAACACAACCCAATCCTACAAACTCCGGACCCAGCTCAAGCCGGGCTCCGAAAGCAAGACCGAATTCGACAATCTCTACCTGTAAGTTGCAAGGAATCCGCTTTCCAAAACAAATATCCTTCTACGATCCCACGGTGACAGGCCCTGACCGAATCACGTCCACCGCGCAAACAGGGTCTCCTACCACACCGGCGCCGGCTACGGCGACGCAACCTTCCTGCCGAACCGCACCATCGGGCTGAATGGCTTCCTGAACCAGACGAACACCACGACGGGAGATGCGGACGGCGTCCCGCTCTACAACCAGGAGTTCGACCAAGGGAATGGCTTTCCCTGGCAACTGTACATGGCGGCCAACACGAACTTCTACGCGGCGTGGCAGCCGGTGCGTGTGAACGCCGGCGGGGGATATTCGAGTTCGTTTGTGTCGGGATTCTTTGTCAATGAGACGGGTTTGCAGTGGACTTCTACTCCTGGAGAGTCGGGAGCGAGGGATGATAGATTTGGAGGGTGGCTGGGTACGTCTCTATTTCTTTTCATTTCTTTCTTGATTTCCCTTGAGCTTTTGGTGGAGATGTGTTGTTGATGAAGGAATCTGCTGACGACATCTCGATGGATAGTGTGTACTTGGTGGCATAGCGTCCCGCAACTGTTCTTCCGCCAGAAGTTTTACAACGACCGTGCGCCGACGCTGTCGAGTTGTGCGGATGTTCTGCTTGTGCCGGAGTACATCTGAGCGAATTTCGACTTTGGCCGAAAATTGGCGGTCCGAGGCCGATGAGGAATGATGGTAATGCTAATGATGTACGACTGTGACGGGTGTAATGACAAATTGGCGTTGAGCAGAGCAGCTGAAGGATGTCGATGTTATCTGCATGAAGTTGTCCAGTATAATTAATCTTGCTCGAAATGATAATCTGTCTTTGTTCGTGATCATATCATAATGACATCTGCAGTGATTCGTGTCGCGTGGCTTTAAGAACGCACGACGTAAGTAATAGCCGCAGAGAAGCATCGAGCGTGTGTGTTCCTAGTGGCACTGAAACACTAGTCGTCATTGGAGGCATGATTATGCATCGCCAGCACCTTCCTTCTGTGCAACCTTCGGCGATGCAAGTTCCGCAGGTCTGGTGCCCAGAGAGTCCAGTTCCGCAAGTCTCGCGCTCAGAGCCTCCACTTCATCAGCCTCTTGCTTCTCTTTCTCGGCGCGGGCCTTCTGCTCTCTCACCTCGTTCAGCTGTTTCTCTACAGCCTCACGCTTCTCTCGTTCGGCAGACTCCATGGCTTCCAATTCGTCCTCGACTTCGCCGTCGTCGATGGCGTTGGCTGCGTTTTCGTTGAGGGCAGTGCCGATTTCGTCTGCATCCAACATGCTCTCGCGCAGGCTTTCCATGACGTCTTGGACCTTTTCTACGCCACCGGTCTGCGCATTCAGGGATTTGAGCGTCTTGCCGGCTGCCTCCATGACATGGACGATTTCGACCTGGTCGGCAGCTTGCTCGATCTTGGCGTAGACATCCTCAAGTTGGAGCAAGGTGGCCGAACGTTGCTGAATGGCGGCCTCTACGGCCTTCTTCTGCCGGAGCGCTGTTTTGGCGACGATTGGTTGCTTCTTGCTGACAGCTTCGCGGGCTTTGAGATCAAGAGCATCGAACCTCTCGGTGAGGGAGTCGATTTGAGGTTGAAGTCCAGCCAGGAGAGTGCGGATTGATGCGATGGAAACATCCTCCTCGGTTACAGGTTGTAGAGTCGTCGAAGAGGCTGGTTTAAATTTAATAGTTCCAGTTTCGGGCGAGTACGAGATTGCTTGTCGGTCACGAGCGAGATGTGTGAGAAGCACTTTGGTATCGTTGGGACTGAGCGCTTTATCGCCCAGAACGGGGCGAAATGTCTGAGCGAAGAGCTCTCGTGAGAAGATCCCTGATGTATTCGAAGTCGAAATCGATGACACATGATCGAGGACCGCTTTTGCCGCAGCCTAGTGTACTGATGTTAATTTTCATCGTTGTCAGCTTCAGAGACCTTGCCGACATACCTCCACATTCGCAACAATCACGAATTCTCCTCTAACAAGTCTGTCCTCGCCACTGCTCTCTCCACCAGTCAAGCCTAGTTGTCGCAGACCCCAACCCGCGATCTGCCATGGAGAGGGTACCCAGCTCTTCGCATATAAGCTTGTCTTCGCAGTCATAAAGTCCCCCACAGGAACGAACTGTTTCTGCTTAACCGCATCGTCAACCGCAGCGCCCAAAGCCAGCGGTCTGCCGAGTTCAGCTGTTTGTAAGGCGCTCAACAGCGAATCGTCTGTGTGCAGTACGTAGCGATCGTTCGAATGTGCGGCGGACGGGATCACGCCGGCTTGTGCAGCGGCGCTGAGAGCCCGCTGCCATGCTGCGCAATTGGCTTCGTAGCCATCGAGATTGGTGGTCCGCTGAAAACGAAAATCGGAATAGAGGGATGCTAGACGAGCACGACTATGTGACAGTGTTAGTATTGTCCCTCATGTCATGAATCTGAGATGTTCCGCGAAACGATCGATAAGAAGATGGGTCGGCTTCACCTACGGAACGCTTCCTCGTGAGCCTTGAGGAAGTCGAGGAGGTCGACCATAATTCGCGGAGCGTGGGTCGTTGCGAACGATACAGTGCTGATCCTCCAACAGATGGTGTGTGCTGCCGACGTCGCGGTCGATCTCAAAATGCGAAAAACCTTTGTCGTGTCTATTCTGACTACAGCACATGCAATCACAAGGCCGGTCGGCGAGCTTCACTCTGACGTCGACCCGATCACAGCTCGGTCATGATAAGTGGCTGCGGGCCGACGGGCACTAGCATATGTCCTCAGGTTTTTTGTGTCGACAACCGCTCGGCCAGGGAAGCATGAACCAGGCAAGGGAGCGGTTCGTCACTGAACCAGACGTCCAAAATTCGTCGCTTCAGTCATATAACCAGGGGCCAATGAAGCTCGATCAGATTCTTGCACTGGACGATCGGACTAACATTGTACCGGGGCATGGGCCACAGTCAGTCCTCTTCGGTCGTTCGTCCTCGATCATGATCTTCTGTCGCGTCTGGCGCGGGTCTCAAGGGCCATTTCATTGGTCAAGGATCAACCGACGCTAGTGTGTGACCGAAAAACCAGAGTGTCCGAATGTCTCGATTTTTTTCTGGGCACAGAGGTATGTATGCTACATTGATCGTGAGCTGTAGCCCGAAATTGTTATATGTACACATGCAGCACACAGCGCTGGTGCTTATAAGTACATAGAATGTTGCTGAAAACCATTTGGCGATTTTCACATAGAACACCGCTTCTAATTGGCTGTAGGAATCTTGACGCTAGTCCCTGTGATCTCCTAACATCTTTGGCGACATCTTCATAAGGTGACAAGATAATCCTGTCAACGAGCGACGAGGCCAGTACAGAAGCCTCCGTGCCCATGAGATCATCTGACTCAAAGGATCAGTTCGTAGGGCAGTAATTTGCTCGAGTTGCAAAAGCTACGGTTCAGGAGCGTTGACTCCGAATGAGCTCTCATACAGCTCCGCACTAGCTCGGTCGTCAAGCAAATCCGCGGCTTTGTTTCGCGAATGCAGAACAGTTCGTTTCGCGGGCTTCGACGTACGCATAATCCTTTCTTAACACATTATCCGCCATCGAGCTGCAGTATGAGAGGAATTCTACTTCGGTATGATTGGATCTTCAGAGCTCCGCGCTAATCCCCGTCGTTATTCTCTGCGGATCGATCGTGTCCGTAACACTACCAGAATGGACCCCCTCGCGACTACTCGTTTCATTTCGCAACACCTTTCGCAGAACCTTACCGGAGAGAGCCTCATTGATATGAAGGGTTCCTTACAGCTCTGTACTAATCTCAGACGTCAATTTTGGGACTGATCTATCTCGACAGTCTATTTGTTTTCTAGATCGAAGCTGTCTTCCAAGTGATGTACTTAGCTGTAGAGATCAAGACACTAGCTGCGGTCACGTCGAACATCGCATTCCGCGTCCGTATCCGGATCCGGAGGAGCTACTGTGTCGCTGTAGTCGTCCACCGACTTTATTGGCTGCGAGAATCCAGAGACTAGCTGCGGTCGTAGTTTTCCAATAGTGCTTTCTAGGAAGGTGGGAGGATGTCAACCGGCCAGCCAGTCCGTCCGGTCGGCCGGTATTCTTCTGAAGGCCTTCGCGAACCGCCGCTTTCGTAAACTGACTCCGAGAACGTCGCCGCGGATCTCCCTCGATCCGTGCGGAATCCCTGCCCACCTGTGGCAGTCGAGTTGCGTAGCGGATATCGACCCCGGGAATAGTCGTGTCATCCCAAATCATCGTATGAATCTGCCGATAATGTGAGGTCGGCCTGTCCTAGATTGATCAAACTCTGGGATAGGTTGCGGCGATCGTTTGCGTTAAAATCGACTAGTTTGTCGTCCGATATTGTGCTTGTGCGCGAGCTCATTTGATCTGAGGGTGATTTCATCGGACAAACTCACGACATACTCTTGCGGTATTCATCACTGGACAGAGAGGAGAAGTTTCACAACAAGATAATTGTAGCAAAACGAAGTTGAAAGGGGAAGAAATTCTATCTGATTCACAAAGGGGTATATCACTCAAACCGGATTTTGACTCCCTCCAAAGAACTACCAAAACCTCGAAAAATAGAGTAGACGAAAACGTCTCTCTGGCTGAGAAGCGCTCACTCGCTCGCTTCCCGAATCGTGAAAACGCCTCGCCCCAATCCCAAAAAATCACAAGTGCCACCCAAAGGAGTCCTCAGAGAGAGAGGAAAGGTAAAAGGAAAGAAAAGAGGGAAGAGAGAGAGAAAGAAAAGGAAAGGAAAGAGAAAAATGAGAAAGAGAGTGGCCACCACCCTCTAATAGAGTCTCACACCATCCTGTCTCCTCACCCCGACGAACTCCCCACTCTCATAAAGCCCCAACATGTCGTCCCAGGAGCGGTTGAACATGCCCTTGGCCCAAGTGATATTTCGATCGAGCCAGCCGTCCATCTTCCAAAGTTTGTCGTGGAAGACTTTCAATTTGCCCTCCTCGTCCTCCTGCGGCACGAAACCGTTCCAGGTGCGGTCGATGAGCTGCGCGGGAAAGGGCCCATCTTGTTTGAAGAATTCGTTCAGAAAGGCTTGTTCCATGGTCTGCGCGCCGAAATTGTCCGTGTGGATGTGTCGCAGGAGGCGCGCGTGCATGGCGAGGTTGGGCTTCGCGACGAGCACGCCGCCATTGAACTGGCTGAATTTGTGCTCGACAGCGGCGAAGACGTACGTGCAGGCGGAGTCGAGTTCGGCTTCGTCGAGGTCGGGGTTGGAGGATCCTCCCTCGTCCTTGTCGTCACGGTGGTCTTCGTCATCGTCGTGGTGGTCTTCTTCGTCGTGGTCATCGCCTTCTCCGTCCTGTTTCTCTGAGTCGTTCTCAGATTCCTGGTCATCGGAATCTTCACGCTTGACTTTCCGCTCGTGCTTCTCAGTCTTGGGAATAAGATCGCGTTTGCATTCGCGTTCCTCCAGGACATCGAAAATGCCATCGATGTTCTCAATGGGGAACGCATCGGTATCTAAGAGGACGACTCTCTCAAAATCGACCTGGGCCCAAATGTTGAGTTTGGAGAACATATCACGCCATCTGATGTTACAAAGTATCAGCAGAGGCTCCAATGACATACTCTATCAGTTTCACGACTTACCGAGCATTAGTGATCGCCTCCGCGTGCCACGGTACCAATTCCAACTCGCGAATAATCGCTCCCGCAGCCGCGAGGATATCCCGCTGTGAATCGGGAATATGCGGCGCCACGAAGACGGTAAATGGATATTTCGACTTGATCTCGGGGTCCCACAACATGCGATACACCAGCTGTTGGGCGGCGGCGAAATACGGATCATGCATGGAACCATTGCGAGTGGAGAGGTAGGTCGCAAATGTGTACTTCTCCTCGGCGCCGTAGTTGTGCGGCATGAAGCGTCTCAGGTTCCGCGCGTCAAAGGTCGGGTTCGAATTCTCGAGGTCGTCCTGGAAGAATTCCTTGAAGCCGATGAAGAGATCGTCTGGCTCGCCGGCCGGGGCGGGCGGATTGTCGCCGCGAAGTTTTGCGAGTCCGGCGGAAACATGCTTTTCGGAAGTGATGGACCAGACGAGTAGTAGGACCAGGCCGGCGGCGACGGCGAGGTAAGTTTTGAAGCGCGATTGTTTAGGTTTGGAATCCGGAAAGGAAACCATTCTCGCGCGCGGAGGTGTTGTTTCAGAGCGTGAGTTGTTTGCGCAAAGCGGATTTATTACCTGGTCTATAGAGAAGCGTGGATGTAGTCTATCTGTCGGGTCGGAGAAACGGCGAATCGAACCAGCGATTCACTTGCAGGAATTGATACCGGTTGAGTAAGATATGTTGCGGCGCGCATGTATATCTATTGTCGCGTCGTCGATGGAAAGGACAGTCGGGTGAGTTGGATAGAAAGCGAGGCGTTGATATTAAGATAAATGGTGAAGACAGAAATAGAACCGCACGAGGAGGAGAACAGAGAACAGGAGTGATTAAGAGAAAAGGCCGCGATGAAGGACCGTCGGTGGTGGTGGATAGGATCCTACAGGCTATTTCCCGCTGGGTTGCATTCGCAGACGGCGATGAGGACATAGCTGCATCACTCATCGCCTCATGTCTGCGGCAGCCTTTTCCCGTCACAGAACCTACCGGGGTGCTGATTGGTAGCCGCATATCGTATGCGCAGGTAAATAAAGATTGGATGCCATGCGGTGGCGTGGGCGGCGGCATGTACAACTAGCCATCTAGTGCCCTGACGCGACAAGCAGGGCGTGATGAGGTATTGGTGAACGAAACCGCAGAGTACATGCTTCACCTCCATGTGATAGGTGGGCGCGACCGCAGGCAAGAGGCTTCGCATGCTCTGATGCTGTACTGTGGTCGCTACTAAAAGTTGATGCGGCGTGGATCAGTTTGCTCCCATTGTGCCTACATTTTCTCTCTATTGCGTGCTTATCATCCATCGACCACCCATCTATCGCTCCCTCTGTGTAGAAGAAACGTGCCCGTGATGATAAGCGAGACAAGCAGGTGTGACGATGAACGGGACCAGGGTGAGACTCGACGCGTGGGTGGTAGTGGGTGTGTGTTCGTGCGTTGGTTGGCAGACCTGCGCACTCGATGAATTCTGATTGCACCGCAAGAAAGTTTGATGAGAAGCAGGTGAAGACGGGCCGCGGGTAGGCGGCGTGCACGGCGTGGTGTGATGATGAGTCCGAGAGGGAAGGCTGCACTGGGTGATATCTGCGCCAAGAGATCTCCGGATTGCCCGGGTAATTTCCTCCCAGCGCTCTCTTTCGCTTTAATTCGCGGTGATAGGCGGGCCAGCCAAGCCGGCGGAGGGATGCCACCGAGTGGCTTGCAGCCTTGCAGCTCGTGTTGGGAACGGTTTATTTCTTATCACATCGTATTCAAGGGGAAGGGAGCATGCACCTCCTTGCATTTTATTTCACGTCATGGTTGCTCTGCGAAGCGAAGAACTGCATGGAAAAGAATGTCTTGCGGCATTAAAGGTACTGAAGGGAAGTGTGATACCTCTTCCGGCGGCATTTGCACATAGCTCTCTGTCAATCATTTGTTAGTCGACGCGTAAATCGTATACAGTACAGGTACTTGCAATGTACATGCTGTTCACCTGAGTATTACGGCAAGCTGAGGTGACTTCGGTTGAGTCCCTCCGTCAGCCTGCATAGCGCTTATGCCGCATTCGCCAAAGCTCGTTGCCTCAATTCGACAGGGTTTGCGACCGGGACAATTTCGCACGAACAGGGGGATCCGGCGTTTCTTCAGGAGAGACGGTACAATCGCACAACGGCCGCACTAGCTGACGATCGATTCGCTGTTTCCGTTCACGAAGAAGGCTGAAGCGCTACTGCACTATCGCTCTGCCGACTCCCGGAAATTAATCTGATCTCTCACACCTTTGCACGTCTTGCAGGAAAATGAGATGCTGGGCGATGCTCTCTTTTGAACGAAGTGCTGTCCAGATGGCCATCTTTCGTATCAAACAATCCTGACATGACATATTTCAACATGGTTCTGCACTGTGTAGACACACGACCGGCCTATCTCCCGCATTTCGGAATCGCTGTCGACATCGTCCACCTCATCCTTCGACGACATGTTCCTACTGCTTAAGCCTGCGACGGTCGAGTGACACAAGCTATTGGCGTCCGGCAGCCAAGAGGGAATACAGCGCGTCCATCTGTACCTTGAGACGTAATACTTCTTCTCGAAGTTGATTGGTCTCGCGAACAGGCTCGACGTCTAACGGCAAGGCGATGCTCCTCTCGCGGTGTTCGTCGTGAAGGTCTAACAAAACCTCCTCCTTGATCTGAGTTGCAGCCTTGCTGATGAGGCCTTGCAATGTTGCAAGGATATCACACTGCAGCTGCTGTTGCTGCTGTTGCTGCTGTTGCTGCTGCTGCTTTGTCGCACATATCTCTTCTTGAACAACCGCTCGGATATGATCATGTATCTGATCCCCGATCTTGGTCTCTAGACGACGTTGAAGTTCCTGAAGCTGATTATTGCGAGCGAGCTGAGAATCACTGTCGGTCTGGCTCTTGAGTTGCTCTAGAATGCCCACCTGGATCTGAGACTGAATTTTAGTCCGAAACTCGTCCCTGATTCTATCAACCAGTATGGGTACCAGTGCATCGTTGGTTGATCGTATGACTTGGTAGACACGGTTCATGATCTGTGATGTGAAGTCTTCCAGGGAAAGTTCATCGCCATCATCATCATCATCTTTTGCCGAATGTTCGGGATTCGTGGTCTGCACACCGTTTGCGGATGTTGCCAGAGCCTCAACAAGAGAACAAGATGTGTCAGCCTGGCTACTGATCTGAGGCCCCTGTGGCACGCCCATGGCCGCATTGCATTGCCTAATACTCTTGAATGAACAGTAGGCGCACGCCATGAACCTGCTCTCAGGATCACGTCGAACTTTGCAAACGACTCCTTTCTTCAAGCACGTCGTACACGAAATGATCGGCGAGACCCCTTCGCCGGTCTCCATGAGACGGCCTGCCAGATCGTATTTGTATCGCTTCGTATGCGCCGTAGCAGACTTTGTCGAGTCGCTCAAGTCTGCCATCAGTTCATTCCACTTGTGTTTCGAGATCCACCAGAAGTCTCCTGGATTCTGTGTCTCTGGCCGGCGATAGTCGCTAGATGTCCCATCGGCCCGTCAGCTGTGTGGACCTGTCCCTGCGCTGGCTACGCATGCCTACCTCGTACATCGAAGTTTTCCGCTCGGCATCCTGTTGCTATTATCGAGATTCAGTAATCTTGTTTGTTGATCGGTTGCAAGATTGGCGAAATGCCACGCAGCTTCTCTCGCTGGTGGCTAGAAAGATGACGATACTGCAATAAATGTGTAGAAGGAGCTCTTGGAGGAAGTTTCAAAGGTCAAGGTGTGTTTGGTGGTCACGATGAACGTTTAGCGGTGATACATTGCACATTCACCTGTATAGGCGCGGCCGCTGACATGTGACGTGCCACTCTACCACACCTTGCAGCAAGGACCCAGCTTGTTGGAGACTCTCCAAATATCTGCACTTACAACACAGTCATTCGGTATAGGTCAATTGTGTTGACTTTGGCACTCTAATCATTCAAAGGTACTAGGACAGCGGCCTGAATCATTTCCGCAGGGATGAAACTTGATTGTTCACGATGCATGCATGCCTCTGCTTCCCACGAATGACCTTAATTCGCCCGAAACATGATCGCTCTCCTGCCTACAGATCGGCTCCAATACAAAATCAGCCTCATTACCAGCAAATGATTGTCATCTAAGCTTTGCTCGTCACGCGATAAAGGGGTCGTGCTCGCGACTTGCAGCTACCAGCGCGTGAAGTGCTTCCACTTGGACTTTCAGCTTGGTGTTCTCCTGCTCAAGCCGCTTGAGCCGCTCAATCCAGATCTTAAGCGTTTTGTTGTCCTGAAGTTGCTCCATTTCATGATTGAGCTCGGCGTGGTCCTTCTCAAGTCGCTCTACCTTTTGATCCCGCTCCGTGTTGTCCTTCTCGAATCGCTCAACTTTGCGATCGAATTCGGTATTGTCTTCCCGAAGTCGCTCCATCATCTTGTGGTCGACTCCCTCGTGGTTGTTTGCATCACTGCAAACGTGATGGTTTCTTTTCAAGTCAGCAGTGATATCCACTTTGAACCTCGCTGCGAACTCCTTCCAGGATTCATCTATGATGCTCCGCAATTTCTGCTCGGTACCGCTTTTGAACTGCACCGCGAACTGGTTCTGGTGATTTTGGCGATGTTCCCGCTGCAGCTCGGAGATCATTTCGGCTTTGAAGTCTGCCTTGATCTTATCCGCGAGTTCTGGCATGTATAGATCAATTTCCTTCCGAACGTCCTCCTTAGCTTCGGCTTTGACTCTGTCGATGAATTCGTCCATAGTAAGTTCGTATTGCTGTGGTGAGTTCTCACGATCATGAAGTGGGAGCATCTCCTCTACCCGTTGTGATGCTTCAAGGCCATCAGCCTGTAGGTGGTGGCATGGGTGCGAAGCTGTGGACTCGTCAAGAGCGTCGTCCACCGCTTCCGTAGGTGGCAGGCCTCCCGACATATACAATGCTGCATTGCACCCTGGTCTGCACTTAAGAAAGCAGAAAGCGCACGAGTGGATGGTTATAATCGACTGCTTTCGGACCTTGCACTCGAGTCCTCGTCTTGTGCATTCTGTGCATGGACGATGTGATTTTATCCCTTCTTCCGTTTCCATAATCCGACCCGCCAAGTCGTATCTATACATCCTGGCACATGCCGAATGCGAGTTTGGCGAGCCAGCGGCGTCCTTGACAAGAGCGCTCCAAGCTCCCGCAGAGACATGCCAGAAGTCTTGCGTATCTTGCGTTTGCGGTTGACGGTACGATCTGGATCGGGACTGGGTGAGTCTTGTTGAGGGGCTATTGTTCGAATCGTCACTTACTCTCTTCGCTTTTGACGTTTGCGTGGTGCTTCCATCAGGAAGTTGCAAGATGTGTACTCCAGAAAGGCTTTGGTAGATGCGGTGACGATGTTACAGGGTTCATATAGTTCACTAAGAGAGAAATTGAAGACGTAAGCAATTTCAAGAAGCAAGGAATGTGATCAGATGCAACAGACAAAGTCCGCGTGACAGCTCGCGGTTTCAAGATCGTTACCTACCTAGGTAGGCATCTACTTCTCGCAAGACGGTCCAGGTTAGCCCGTGTGCTGGAGCTATCACTCTCGCTTAAGATCACTCTCGCTTAAGTCATCTGACAATAGGCGGATTACAGCGAAGTCTAGTGAAACGGTACTCGGATCACTTACACTTCACGTTGCGATCCATCTCATAAATCACATTGAAGCGATATTTTTACTTCAATGACTCCTCCTGCTTCTACCGTCGAAGATCTGCTTCGGTTTGATCCATCGGTACAACTCAATCACATCTAATGAGTTGCCTGTTGTATTTTCAACGTACATTTCATAGCCAGATGTCCCCTCTCGCGGATGAAGCAATTCAAGGCCATAAGCAATCGAGCTTCCCACATTTATAGAATTTGGTGTTCTCCTGTGTTTCTCCTCCCAGGTCGGCTACGCTTCCGGTCTATAATCGCGATGTGATCTCGTTGTGTGACTCACCGATCATCGACCGGAATTGATCCTGCATTTCTGCGCAGAGTTCTCCTTTAATTTGTTCCATGAGTGCTGGGATAAGAACAGCATTGTCTCTCCGAATCTCCTCTTTTACCTCCGTTCTGACCTGGGCAAGGAACTCATCCAGGGACAGCTCAACGATCTGTGGTGGTTGAGCTTGATGCTCACTCTTCGCCTCGCTGATTTGAGACCCTATGGATCTTGTAGGGTCGGTTTCTATTACGTCGTCACCCGTCGATAATTCGGACGTAGGTGGTGATGAATCATCACGATGCCGTCCGCTGGGCAGAACAGATTCGATGGGAGCAGCATGTTGCGCATCGCAGGCTCCTACGCCACTCGAGTGACAATGCGCACATCTGATGTCGCTTTGGACGGGCGGGTTCCGCAAGACTTTACAATAGAGTTTGTGTTCTGAGCACCACGAGCATGGTCGAATTGGCTCGTCACCTTCGACAGTCTCCATGATCCGGCCAGCAGCATCGAGTCTGCGCATTCGGTCCATTGCAGCACTGTATTTGCCTGGCCTGAGTAGATCTGTGCTGAGCTTCTGCCAGTATTCTTCCGATGTAAGCCAACGATTCGTTGAATTGACCGTTTGAGGCCGTCGGAGAGAGCTGTAGCACAATAGAATGAAGTTAGTCGGTGAATGTCCCGGGAAAGCCTTCGTCACGCACCTCATTCTGCTCTGTTGCCGGTGGGCCCGCCGAGCCAATTTGGTTTCTTTCTTCAATTTGTTAGGCGTAGAGCAATAGATCGCTGATAGCGAGGAGCGATGTCAAGAGTAAACTTTGGTCCTATTTGCAATCGATGAATGAATCGAGACATAAGAGAGTGACCAGGAGGTCGACATGATTAATGTTCAAGGTCGTGTTCTTGTTGTACGCAGGCAAAACTCGCATGTGAAGGCTATACAGCAACCATCCATCTTTCACTTGTTGAGATGCGCTGCGAGATATCAAACATATCACAACTTTGTGCATGTGAAAGTTCACTGCACATGAAAGCTCGAAAGCCGAAGCGCACTTGGCGGGACTGCAGCTCAACGCGCAGCTCTCAATGATGAAACGCATTCCATTAAGCACCTGCCACGAGCCAATGAGGCATCAAGAACATACTTAATATCCAATCGGCGGTGATTACAAGACGATCAGAGGCGCCTTTTACTATTCGCGATGCTCGCCGCCGCCGTCCGCATCACCGAAGACCTCCCGGGGCTCGAAAAGACCCTGCGGCTATTCCAAGGCCTCAGCACCATCGCCGTCGGCCTTGCGCAAACCGCCGAAGAGCAAGCCATCCGCGCTCGAGCAGTATCGCAATTCGCCGTCAGTACGTCGTAGAATTACCAGCTCGAGAAACGCACAGAAAAGAGACAGACCGCGAGAACGGACGGCATTTTGACGAATCTGCATGCAGGCCGACGTTTCTTCCGCCTTTTGAAATGGTACCCTTGCTGGTCCAAGGCTTCGGCCGCTTGGTCAGCCCGACAAGTCACGATAGGCGAAGATGGAAAGACTCGGGATCCGATGGATGCGAACCTTGATTTTTGGAAATGGTCGATTTTGGGGATGTATTTCTTTGTGGAGATGTTCACGATTGTAAGTGACGTGAAGCGGCTGATTTGCCATTATGACCATCACCATCAGCTTTCGAAGATGGAAAGTTTACTTATCGAACGAGAATCGCTGACGCGCAACAATCTCATGGTGCTAGACGAATGCCATGGGCGTAACCGACTATCCCGTTCTCAAGACTGTCCAGAACGAAGCGAATAAATTGTGGTTCTACGGCCTCGTGGCATCGATCATCCTCTCGCTGTATCAGCTCTTCCTTAGCAGCACCGGCGTCCCAGCATCCCAGGAACGCTCTTCATCCTCGCCCAACGGCAACACAGGCTCCGACAAGGAGAATGACACTGCCGCCGCCAACGAGAAGACTTCCAACCCCCGATCGAATACTCCTTTTACAACATCGAACAAAGCTTCAGCACTCTGGGAAGCCATCGTCATCGACGCCTGTGATCTTTTTTTGCCGGGCTCGTCGCTCGGTTGGCTTCCCGTGAGCACGCTGGTCGTAGGAATCGCGGGGACGACGTCGACGACGGTGGCAGGGAAGCAGATTTGGCTGCGTTTGAGACGGGAGCAGCTGCAGCGTGAACAGGAGCAGGCTCTACTCAAGGCAGCGAAAGCGACGGTAGCTGGGGAGAAAAAGAAGGCTTAGAATCATGGTTCATTGTATAGAGTTGGGATTTACATGAACATGTAGACACGGGAGAATGGGAATATTCTAGATGGTCGCATCTTCTTGATTTCATCAATTCATCGTCTGGAGCATTACATCATCGATTCGTAAAGCGTCATCTAGAGTCTACCTTTCTCGACCACCATCCCGCCTCTCTTCTAGCACCTCCTTCCTTCCAACTCCATCAACCCTCCTCAAAAGCAGCGTCATAGCCCCACTCGCGATGATGCTCATGCACAAAATGCCCACCATGGTCCAGTTACTCCCGACAAACGGCGGAGTCCTGCCTGCATCTCCCGGCCAACCCGCAAAGAGCGCATAATTAGTCACCACGCTGCCCAGATTGCCTAAACCCGAGACCAACGCACACGCCGCCGCGACGCCAATCTCTCCGTGTCGGGCCTGGAAGATCTCGGCCGTCCAAGTCATTGTGATAGGGACTGTAGGACCGAGTCCGAAGCCGACGATGAGTAGGCCGATGTAGCGCGCCCATTGTTGAGCTTGCGAAGCGCCGGCGTAGGTAGCGATGAGGAGGCCAGCGATTTGTAGGGCGGTGGGGATAGTGAAGAAGAGGGCTCGATGGCGGTGGAAGCGGTCGCTTAGGGGTGTAATTGTAAGGATTCCAATGAGGTCGCAGATCCAGATCGGGGCGTACAGTAGTGAGAGCTGGATCCCTGTGAAATTGGGATTGATAGCGCTGAGGATCACGGTGCCGTAGCTTTGGAGGCCGTTGCCTACCCCTACAACGCCGAAGTACATTATGAGGAGAGGCCAGAAGCGCCAGTCGAGCAGGACAGCGATGAGGTCGTGGAGCGTCCATTGGGTGCGCGTGTAGGCTGTTGTGAGAGCTTTGTAGTGCAGGGTGGTGTCGTGGCCGGATAGAGCGGGTCGTGGTTGGGGGAGCCAGTGGAAGTATCTTCGCTGTTTGAGCACTTCGCCGGGTGCGAGAGGTCGGTCGGGGAGCCACCAAAGGAGGGAAACTCCAAGGACGAGGGTGACTAGGCCCCAGATGAGAAACATCCATTGGAATCCAACGAGGCCTGCATCGCCGTCCATGCGTTGAAAGCCGGCGCTCACGAGGCCAACCACTGCAGCAGAGACTTGGCTGGCGGTGAAGTAGGCACCCACTCTCCTTGCCATCTGCTGTGGTGGATAAAACAGGGTCAAGTACAATGACATTCCCGGCCAGAGGCCCGCCTCGACTGCACCGAGAAGTAATCGTAATACATAGAATCCCGCCGCATCATGCAAACCCACCATCGCCGTCCCGATGATTCCTACACTGATGACGATCCGCGCTAGCCATACCGATGGCGATAGCTTGCTCATAGCTAGGTTCGAAGGGACTTCAAATACAACATATGAGGCATAGAACAATGCCAGGCCCGTCGAGACTTGATGGGGACTGAGACGGAGGTATGCGCCGAGATCGTGACCCTGTTGTTTGTTCATCGTCTGGGCTAGGCCGACGTTTGCGCGGACCGCCGAGCAGAGGAAGTAGAGCAGCCAGAAGGGAGGGAGGATTCGACGATCGAGTTTATGGTAGATCTGGCGTAGTCGGGAATCATCGTTGCCATCCTCATGGACGGTATCATGATTATCGCCGTGGTCGTCGGCGAAGGCATTTGGAATCGAGGTTACTCGTGACGTCGTGGGATGGTTTGGAGGAGGCACGTCAGAGTGCCTGTGGCTACTGCTAATGCTAAGCCGGGTTTCTTTGTTCGAAGACATGACGTGCAAGGCGTGTTTGGTGATACCAGGACTTTTATATAAGTTCCAGCGGTCATCGAATAATATGCGAAGGCTGATCGTTCATATTCGGTTATTTTGAAGCCTGGGACAACCTTCATAGGCCTGAGTTTTGAAGATCACATCGCTTGCTTCGATGTTGCTCTTGCGACCACTCGATTCGATGTCAATTCTTCAACACCTCATTTCGCCTCGTATACTACGACAACGGAGATTTTGGCCCTGTCTCGCTTACTTGGGTGGTATTTGGCGGTTGAAAGATATCCCGGTTCACGTGCAAAGAGGAAACAAAAGGGCAGTCGACGTCAAATTGAAAGAGAACAACATCCAGTGGATCGGGTCGCCAATTTCGCAAATCCATTCGGACGGCCATATCGATCTGACTCCGGTATACGCATCGTCGTGCGACTTTGGACTCGTGGAATACGGAGGACCACTATCTTCTGACCAAAAGAGGTTTGTCGACTGCCATGGTCGTTCAACACGCTTGGAGTTTTATGAGTTCAATGAACGCGGGCGCTGTCGACGATGGAGTCATTATGAGTCAACAAACGGGGCATTCTTTGTCCTGTAATTACGGAAAATACGACAAACGACTCGGCTCATGATACTCGCCTAAGCAACTTTCAACTGGTCAGAGGCTCTATATCTTATCTTCACATCAAAGAGAGTTGATCACATTGCATGCGCCATCAACATTGGACGGTCCCCATGAAGACGCTCATGGGACGGAACCTGCAAGAACCGAAAGAATGAGAGAAGCGACAACGTGCATGTTATCGTTTGTTCCTGTCCTCTGCTCACACCGCCCGAGGTGATATGTGTAACCTGAATGTAACATTGCCAAAGGGCCCCTCTCTGCGACGTGATGCCCGCCGACGATGGCGCGATCTTGCGAATCTTCAACACGGACCCGTAGCTTGCAGTCGCGCCATTCGAAGAGACCGGAGAATACTCCAGGGATTATGACGAATATAAAGTCACCGAGTTTCCTCGTTCTAGAGATGGAAGGTTTTCTTTCGGAACCAACTACAACATTTGATACACTATTCTCCATGCAATAAGCATCATTTGATCATACAAAACACGATATTCTGTTCTGGAAGCGGGTCTGATTTCTTCTCAATATCCATCTCCACATTCTCAGCCCTGATCATGGCAGCCCTGGTCCAGCAGAGGGTTCCTGCGTTGGCCCCTGCAGCAACCAAATATACCCCGAACTTGGCCTCCAATCCGCTAGCCAGATCCACCACCACCACCACCACCAGCAATAGCAGTAGCAGCGGCAGCAGCAGCAGCGAAACTCCCGTTCGACATACAGAGATCACACCAGAAATCGCCCTCCTCGCAGAGAAATTCAATCTCAGCACCGCCCGCCTCATCAGCTCACCATACCCCGATCTCGAAAACCAACTCCACCTCCCAGATCTCGACCTACCCTACCGGCTCTTCGCCTTCGCCCTCACAGCCCTCCATTCAACTCGGGAAGACTACGCTACAGCACCATATCTAGAATCTTTCAACTGGAGCCAAGTCTTTTCACTCCTACAAGCACTCTGTCACCGAACCGACCATACCTGGCGCCGAACAGAATTCTACGTCGTGATTTTCCGCTCCAAACTCAAGGCCATTATCGACCGAGAGCGCTTAGGCCTGCTGGATCAGAAATCCCACGAGGAGGCGTGTGCAAGTGGTGGGCTGTTGAAGTATTGGTTCGGATCGCCGAATGCTGAGAGGAGGAATCTAGCGACTTGTACGCTGCTTTCCCATTTTGTTCTTTGAAACCTTTCTCGCTGACATTTGAATTTTCGCAGGTTTATGGCGCAATCATGAAGATGCTGTAGCCGGCGGAGGTGGACCCTGGCATAAGCAAGCCCGCATGGCCGCCCGCGAGATGTATGAGAGGATTGACTTTCACGTCCACAAACTGATTGTCGAGGACGGTGCGACGAGTTGGACATTGGAGGATTATCAGCGGTGATTTCTCATTTCCGACAACGGTCTTTTTGTGTCTCAATCAGGCATTTGGACGGCGTTAAGGTAAATAGATGGCGCGCATTTGGAATATTTTTGGGTTTCGCCGCGTTGCGGGGTGGGATGGGATGCAGCCGCGAGGCTCTTTGGAATGAGATTACATACTGTAATGAGCTATAGATGATCATTGACTACATGATCCCTTCAATTTAAGCAGTATTCAACACTCACATCGTGAGTAGAGACGGGTCATACGTTCATCAGCCAGTGCATTAAAACCTCGAGATCAATACATTTAATAAAGGTTTTCTATGAAATGTTTCCCCTCAACTCCACTCCGTTTCCAAGCTTTGCTACAACTTTCGGGATTTCACGATGACGTAGCTTGCCTACGCGTCCAATTGGCAGAATGGAGAACTATGAACATGAAGCACATATATAGATTATCTCCAGCGGTGTAACTATCCAGAAAACAAACTTTCCAAACAACCGCTTAAGATGCCTTTGTTCGATAAATTGAAGAAGACTTGGAACGATATCAAGCAAGAAGCCAACTCTTTCCCGGGACAACATCAGCAAGCACCTCCACAGTACCATGTTCGCCGAGATGTCCCTCCTCCAACTCCCATGTTCGTTAAGATTCGTTCGACGCGCATACAGATAGACAGACAGATCACTGACCACGCACATAGCTCCGTCCCGCCCGTCGCCTCATACGCTCAGCCCACCGAGCCCGTGAAACCAAAGGTCAAAGGCGAACCCCAACTCATCGGCGTTGTCAGCGACCCTCGCCTGAACCGCGACTCGGGCTGTTCGGTTCGCCTGGGTAGCCGTGTATTATGGGTCTACCGTGATACGCAGTTCACCAATCCCGACGGCAGTGTACGCAACTTACCTATCATCTGCAATACCGCGTCTTGGTCGGACTACCATCCGAACGGTCAGCCCGTGTTGCAATCGAACCATCCTCAAGCCGACGCTTTCCGTGAGACGGCGTTGTATCAGTATGGTGGGCCGATGAGTGATGAGTCGTTCTTTTCTCTCAAGCATTATGATTGTCATCCTGCGGGCAATCGGGACGATGGCACTCGTATCTGTATTTGTACGTCGCTTTCCCGAAGCTTCCCCAATATCCAGATCTCCCTCGTTGCTGATCTAATTGTCATCCAGGGCCCGATACTCCCCCAATCGTGACCCAAACATCCGAGTCAGGTCAAATCACCGCCTACTCCTGGATCCGGCGCTCCCACATCACCAACACAATGGGCGTAGTCGTCGAGAACCCCGCCGTCGCCCTCTACAAAATCACCTACGACCCCGCCGTCCACACCGGCGATATCCTCCCGGATGTCCACCTCGTAAACAAATCCTTTTGGCCCGAGAACGCCATTCCCTACGGAAACTACGGCACCTTGCTCTCGAAGGACAAGTCCACCCTCTACCTCTACGGCCAGACGGGCGGCGGCATGCACGTGCGCACATCCCTCGCTCGGGTCCCAGTCTCCCACATCGAGGACCCTTCCGCCTACGAATTCTGGGTATCGAACAGCTGGACCAAGGATAGACCTACCATCAACCAGGACGGAACGTGGCTGATCGATTGTAACATCGGCGGCCAGGGAACTTATTTCTTCTCGGAACTCTGGGGATGCTATGTCTGGATCGGAGGCGGACCTTTCCCCGGCCCGAGTTTCCACATCACGACCGCGTTGCAGCCCGAGGGTCCTTGGATCCAGCCTTATAAATTCTTCGAGGCGCGGAATGGGAGTGCGGATTTGGGCGCTTATTCGGTGAGTCTTTTTGGTTTCTCTTCCCTCTTCTCCTTTTTCTTCTTCTGCTTCTTCGTCTTCTTACATGTATCATTTGTTCGTTTTTCTCCTCATACTGATTTGACTGCTTCGGAATAGTTACAAGCTCATCCGGATCTTAACGCGGATCCGAACGATAACGCCGTCTATTTGACGTATACCAAGAACGACAATGTTCCTGGTGGAGGGACGGCGTATTCGACGCCTTTGTATCGTGTTGAGTGGGAATGATCACTCATCAGATACTGCATCTTCATCATGAATCATATGTCACCCGCCTCTGTGTCTACCCAAGGGGGCAGAGTCGAATAAAACATCTTTTTCATCATAGCTATCGGAGCGCTTCCAGAGGCCGAACGTGGCACACCACATTCCGATCCTTTCAACGCTAAGTAGATACAGGGAAGCGGGCAAGTAGGAGCAGTCTAAATAGTAGGATTCTGCGCCAAAAACTCCTCAAGCGTGGTAGTCTTCACTCCTAATCTCCCGTTGTCGAGGTTCTTCAGCGGCCAAGTCCCATCTACGGTGAAAAGCTGGTAAAACCAGCCAATATACATCCAGAAGAAAGTCGGAGTCCCCTTGGCGCGCGCCCCATAGGCATTCTCGCGTAGAGCGTTAAGATCGCCCTTTTCGATGACCTTCACCTCGCAGCCTCTGATCCGACCATACTCGTTCGCGATCTCCTCAAGAGTTCCCTCTCCGGAACAGACGGACCAGTATTGCACCTCCTCAGCATCCGCACGCTCGAGGATCGCCGCCGTAAATTCCGCACAGTCGGCCTCGGTCGTCCAATGCCAGACTACGCTCTTCGGGCCCCAGATGTGCATCTCCTTCGTGGCGGGATCCCAGACGCCGTTGTGTGCAGGTGAGAAATTTCCGTGTCCGGGAACCGCGAACAACGTCTCGGCCAAAACCCCGTTGAAGATATATACCGGCTTCAATCTTTCGCTCGTGAGCGCCGTCTGCCGCGCGAACATCAAAATCGGATCGTACGTCTCATGCTGTCCCACCGTCATTTTCCGCCAATCGTACGTCCAGCTCGCGGAGATGAAGCGCTGAACCCCTGCTTTCTCGGCCGCACGCCAGAGCATCAATTGCCCTTCGAGGTGCAGGATTTGGAGCGGCGCGTAGGCGCAGACGACCGCGTCGACGCCGACCACGCCTTTGCCGAGACCCGCGAGGTCATCATAGTCGGAGATGGTGATGAAGCTTTCGAGGCGCTCGCGCAGGCCAGGTTTGAGCTTGTCCGGCGTTCGTCCCAGGCCGCGGACTTGGTGGCCGCGCTTGAGTAGGCTCTCGGCCAGTGGCTGGCCTAGGTTTCCTGTAATGCCCGCGATAAGGACTAACATGATGTCAGGAAGAGGCTGTTTGGAGGTTTCTTTCTCTTGTTCGACCACTCTGAATCGGCTCGGCAGTTATCCTCATCCACATGAGGGGCAACGAGAGCTTTTATACATCGTTTTTACGTGCGATTCAAGTGTAGTGAACCTCCGCCTAGCTACATCGAACGGCGCTCGTAGGGGGGGTTCAGCACGGCGTCGGAGCCTATCTCCTAGTTTACGGCTATTAATGCAGACTAAATGGAAGTAAGGACATGCCGTTGTGCGATCGTACGCGCGTCAAGTCGTCTATAGTTGGTGGCTTATGTGTATGATCCGCAGAAACCCTCCAGCTCGGAAAACGTGGCGGCATGTTTCTTGTCATTTGGCCTGGGAGGTGGGAAAAGCTCTTCAAAGGCGAGCCGGACTCTGCTTCAATATCAGCTCTAGCGTCTGTCGTCGGTCTCCCGATCGTGGTGCTATGAGGAGTCCGGATATACCGACGACGTTGCGAAAGCGTTAAAATACGCGTATGCAGATTTCAAGATCCTGGTCATCTAGCTTATCATCCTGCAAGTGTCCAGATAGCTTGCACATGTGATCCAATGCATCTGCGGAAGCCATTGCTGCAGTGAGAACTTGGGCCAAAGTCTTTTGGGAGGGAGGTGGCAATTAAGCACCTCATTGGACGGTATCAACATGTCCTCATACAAGGTGATACGGTGACAGTCCAAATCGCAGAGGAATCCTTCATCTTCATCCACACCTGGGCATCCATCAATGCGCAAGCCCGCGGGCGGCTGCAGCCGCGGCATTATTTCAACCTCATGCGCATCATTCGTTGAAAGAGTCACATGCATTTATCACTGCAGATCGTTGTCAGCACATCGTGACAACCTCTCGTTGAATAGACAATCGCAGCCTTATCACGTCAATGAGATCGCGTACTACATGAAGACCGGTGCCGGAATCGGTGACTGGGTATGCAGGCCCGACGAGATTCAGGCTTACGCATCCTCCGGCGGCGACGGCGTGATCAGTAGTGTGCCAGGGCGCGATACTCGGCATTATCGGCCCATTCACTGTTTGCCTAGCATCAAGGTTCGAGTTCTTCAAGAACAGACATGCTGAGTTTCAGGCTTATGCACATTCAAACGATAAGAGAGACCAACAGGCTGCTATTGTCGATTCTGTCATGAGATTGTGCTCATCGTTTTTAGGAGAGCGGACCGTGCTCTGCCATTTCTTCCATCAATATATGCATCGCCTAATTCTCGACGCTATGCGTGCGCGTCCTCTGCGGTCTACTATGGCAATGAAGGACTTTACACAAGTCAAAGAGCCGTTTGAAAAATCTGTGGTTCCGCCTTCCGCGGCGACACTCATATCACATTCTTCTCACACGTCTGTGAGGCTAACTTCTGTATGCTCCTTGGAAGTATAAGGCGGCGGAGGATCATCGACCGGCGTAGTCGCATTTTCCGGCCGAGTCTCCGTTGTTCTCGTCCTCGTCGCACGTGGATTCATTGGTCGTCCAGCGCGGTTGTTACTGCGCGAGGATACGTCCATGAGCGGCTGTGCATGGAGACTATCCTCGTTTTGCTTCTTCATGTTCATCCAACGCGGGCAGCGGAGCTCCAGCCACCCACATTGTACGCAGACATGCAGGATGAATCGAACCAAAGTCGCTAATATGCCCACGAAGCAGAATGCAATATCCGTCTGAATGGCATGTCGGACTGTCTGATATGCCGGATCGACGAAGACGGTTCCCGAGTACATCGTGAGGAGTCGCTACATCCATCAGCCAAATGCCAGGACCACGATCTCTTAACAGACATGACAAAGAGACTCAAAAACTCACTCCTGCATTGGCCGAATATGCACCCAATGTAATCGCATTCCAAACGCCAGACATGGTTCGTGCCTTCTCGCCGAACAAGCTGATGAAGACGGCGAACAGTCCGAGCGCTCCAGGAACGATGCCGAAGGTGAGAGTGTTGTACCACACTATCCAGGAGCAAGTATTCCCGTCATTCGAGCAGATGGTTTTGAACTTTTCTGTTGATCTAAAAAGGTAGACAGAGAAACTAAGGACGACGACGGCGCTGATGAACTATTATCGGATGTCACTGGGTGTGGTCATTTCCAGCATTCGTCGATTTGTCAAGTCATTTGTAGAGCTTGAATCAGTGGCACTGCGCATTCGAAAGAGGATCCGTGCAACGTACCTTCAGAACCAGTGTCAACAGGTTTGCCGGATGGACAGCAGAATCTTTCCGCTTCACACGCTGTTGAGGGCGAGCATGCCAGCCGGCTTGAGAAGCTTGATTCATGGTGGTGATCCCAGGGAGCTGCTCTTAAGCCGAAAGTGTTCAAGAGATTATGCAATCACAGTATTCTGGAAAAGCATTTTAGAAGAATGGAAGATGGTGTGCCGTCTTCCATACGTCTGACGCGTCAATCTGACGCAATACTAACACAGTAGTCAAGGACATTACATGCGTCCTGACGGGCTAAGATCGAAAGTATCAAAGGATCCACTTCAAATCCAAGAGATTGTTCAAGGACCGTGGCGTGCTGACCTGTAGTGGTCTATTGTGTCTGCCTTACGTAGAGATGATAAGCTGTTTTCGAGCTGGGAATCTTACATGGTGGGTCGTGTGGTGCTCGTGGGGGTCGCAATGCGGCACAGTCAACACAGCCCGCATCGCTGATGTCGATCTGGTACACTTCGGATAACTTACAACTCACCACTCATCATATGAGACGCGAGTTTAGTCACGGCTTTGTGTTGCTAGTAGCTAAGAAGCATGAAGATTATGATACTGGCGTGGAGCAGGACGGGCATTGTCGTTGACAGAGTCGATCACATTCAAGCACGGCCCTGCTGATGTTTAGGGTTCTCTTGCCTGGCCAACGAGTTGCAGCTCTGCATTATTACATTCTGCTTCGCGTGGCTTCGATTATCACAAAGGGGCCGGTTCGCGAAGTAATCGTTTCTCAATGCAGAATTTAGAATGTAAGGATGTTGTTAAAGATTGTGAAAATCAAGATAATAATAAGATAACCTTGGGAAACAACACGACAAGGCTTCTATTCAAGTAAGCAAAACACTCACAGCCAACACATTTTGACGGGATTTTGGTAGTCCACCTGCTCGGGCTTCGACTCAATCCTGTTCAGGCATGTACCAAAAATGCGATCCCACAACCTTGTCGCTTTTCCATAGTTGCCGGCCTTCTTCCATCCCTGCCGATGATGCAGATCATGATCCTCGAGCAGAAGTTCGCATCCAACCTTTCCAAGGTACCATCCGGACATTCCAGGCGCGGACATGGCGATTCTGATCCCACTATGACCCACCGCCTCAGTATACAGTTGGTACTGCGAGCAGAGCCACCAGTCGTAAAAGCCCATGGGAAACCCCATCAGCTTGAGGGTGACAAAAGTGAGGAAAGGCACCAATGCCATCTCGATGAACTCCTGCTCGACATCTGCGTACGAGGACAAGATCGGGCTAGGATGCTTGGTGAGGTGATGAGTCCGGTGGTACTTCCATAGACCATCAATCTCGTGTGTCGCACGGTGGTAGATGTAGAAGTAAAAATCGAGTAGGATCGGGTAGAGGAAGAGCTCCGCGGGAATCCACCAGCTCAACGCAATCGGGTCGTGTCTCCGGTATGTGAGAGCCACGATCAATGCGGACCGGACGTTGACAATGGCAATAATGCTGGAGAGAACTTTGCCGATTCCTACGTCGGGCACCTTGTCACGAGAATGCTTGTCTCCGTCAAGGAATCCTGTCCTGTAAGAAATCGGATCGTCAGCATCAGGTCCAGATGTATGACATGCCTCCTGCTACCTACTCATGTGCCATCATTCCCAGGCAGCGCACTTCGAAAAGCAGGTTGACTAAGGCTCCAACCAAGTACAGGCCAAACGCGAGGATCGAAGGCAGTGGCCCAATCACCCATCCCAGCAAGTAGTTGTAAGCCGCGTGAATAGCGACAGGCCAGGCTGCATGCATCAAGATCCAGCGGTTCACAGACCATTGGTCCATCCATCGGATCTTATCTGTCTTTTGGAATATTGGGAAGGTGTTATCGTCGTTGTGCCAGTGGTCCATGCGAGAGATTGCCCTTGTCTTCCAATCCCATGTTTTGGGATCTTTGTTCCGCCACGTGCACGCCATCGGGTTCTGTACGGCAGCCATATTTGCGGTAAGGATGTCTCAAAATTACGAAAGGAAGCGCGAAACGAAACGAGGAAAGAGATGGAACATCGACATTGATGTATACCAGGCAACAATTAATTCACTAGCGTCCGATACAAAATATCCATTGCGCACCAGAGGAGATGCTCAGACGGGCGAGACTATCAGGGTACCTCGCTGTAGTTTGCACATTCCGCCCAGTGGCACGATTGATGATGAAAGGTTCAGAGCCAAATAGTCACATTTGGGTGGAGAAAACGAAGACGACAAGGGCGGAACGACCCGTCATCGTCGCTGAAACAGCAGCCTTGCATGTTTCTGGATTGCTTTGCGCCGTGGCGAATGACGAGACGAAAATTCAAGTTGCGACCACTGCCGGATACTCGTCGAATCGAATCGCTTGAGCGGTTACTTGCTGCCCGACAATTTTGGCTCACGATGTTGAGTATCATCGTGTGTTGTGGCTCCAGCAGGAAAGGATGGAAGCAGAGATCAGACGGAAATGGGTCCATGCACCGATACAGTACCGAGATCGTCAAGAACATCGCGTGGGCACGCTTCCCTGAGATCCGACTCAATCATTACATCATACGGGACAATGACAAAGCTGGTTGTCCAGGCCTATGTCACATGGGACGGGGCATCTAGATGACTGATCAGATACTGTTTTCACCGCTGGCCAATATCACATCCGCTGTACACCTACCTGAAAAGCAATCTCGAGCAACATGTCGTTTTTATTGAGCAGTTGAAGTGCCCCGTGCAATCTGACTGCTTCATGTGAATCATCATGTTTTCGAAACTATACATTATGTCACTGTTTCCCCTCAGGGATATCCTTTCGCTCCTCACTTCGAGGTCTATCTTATGTTCGAAATAGATTGACAGGATGAGATATAAATATGCATAATGAGGTAAGTGAAGCAGCATCAAAAACCACGGACCATCGTACAACGGCAAAACACACGGCCGCTGTGTAGCTTCGGGGCACGCGCCGACATTTAGGCGGCAAATCTCATTGCAAAGACGTACTCGATCCTTCTTGGATACCATCACTCCACCAAAGGATCGAGCCGGTCGCTCACCGCAGATCACGATGCGCACATCATACGACTACCATGGAATGTATCACAGCCGATGAGCATCTTCGAATCAAGCAGAGCCTCGCGCTGAACATCAAGGTCAAGCACACAAATGCGGCAGTCTGCCACGCTCTTCAGTCGCTAAGGGAGGCACCTTGCGTTGAAGGCATGCCTATGGGTCGTTCTGGCACGTTCTGGCATGCTGCAGCATCAAATCCGATATGCAATGCATGGTAGCTGTGTGTCTGCAGCCGAGCCACCGGTGAAGCTCAGCCCCAGATCACTGCCCGGATTGCGATGAATGCGGCACGGATTGTGAACAACGTGCACAGTATCTATAAGTCCACGGTCACGTTGCAATGATGCAGGCCGTTCATTACCTGCTTCTGAAAATTCACACCAGCTAAGGGCTTATTCTGGAATTATGGCTATCCCATTTGGATTCTCCGTTAGCGATTTCTTTGTGGTCGGACAATTAGTGCAAAAAGCATGGCTATATGCGAGCGCTTCGGCTGGAGTACGATCGGAAGTGGAAACGCTGTCAAGCCGATATCGTGAGCTGCTACTCTTAATGAACGTTGCGACGTCGCACATCGCACGAAACCCCGAAATGTCGGCGTCGATCCGGAACAGTCTCGAGCTTCACATGAAAAAATGCCGGGAGCACCTCGAGTCGTTCGAGCGCAAGGCTAATCCGATTTTTGGTGGTAAGGGGATATTGGGTGTTTTTCAGCGCCTACAATTGATGCCGGAGAGTGTTTCGATGTTCAAGAAACTGAATTCACACTTTAAGCACGAGTTATTGGCGATACGTCTGTGCTTGGATGCTGCGACACAGTGAGTGTTTCGTGTGTGGATTTGAAACACCCATCACTGACCCGCACAGGGAGCAGCAGTTGAGCAGCCAACTCAGTCAACGTGACCTAGCAATTCTTTGTCAAACCATGTCCGCGCAACTTGCGGTTATGACTAGCATGATCACTGCCAGGCCAAAGGACATCGGTTATACTTGGGAGGGTGGAGATCAGAAGCGCCACATAACAATGGTTCATGCCACTGGCGAGACCTGGTTGGTACCGTTCGATTTCTGGTTGACGTTTGAGGTAAGGATCGTTAACATTTGAGCCATGCCACATGAATCATGTTGCTAATGTCGCTCAGAGGCTTCATAAATTTCTGACCATCAGATCTGACTACCCTGGCTACGGACGTATGATGAGAAATCATTACCGTTTGACCGATTGCTCCACTGGTACCACCATTGATGCAGCTGACACAGACCGATGGCAACAACTGGTGCAGCCTGGCAATCGCGTGATAATCAGCATCGCTATAGGGACATTGCAGAAGTACAGAGCCACCGGAAAAATATGTCCTAAATGTTTCAGCGAGAATGTGCCAGATGCTATGTTTTCGGGCTGGAAAAGATGGTAAGACTCAAATTACTGCATGTCTGTTGCGATGATGGTTTAAGCTGACTGTACCAGCGTGGGTTGTAAGCTGGAGTTCCAGATCCAGAAGATTGAATCATGGCCCCATCGCACCGAGCCCGTGGATTTTTGTGACATGGGTCCGATCGACTCTCATGGGGAAACGTCGTCCCCTGCTGCGCCCTTTTCTGAACAGGAGCAACCAAGCTCCATCAGCTCCGATAGCAATATGCCTGACGACTTCTCTTCACGCGACCTAGATCCTCGCAAAGATCGAGAAGAAGCTCTAAAGCATATTACAGTGGTGTACGCCCCCATGTTCAACTTCGTCTTTCGATCCGCCGGATGCATGTGTCGCTTGTTCGGCGACTCAACGCCATTTGGGCCTGACCTCGATGTTGTGACCGAATGTCCGTGTCGTCTGCATTACGACCCCAAGACGCCTGAAGAGATAGGCTGGAAGTTGCAATACCCAGCCAAGGGCTATGACCCAAGCCAGGACCCATACTTTGACCGGTTCGGCGGGCAGGATGTCTTCGCGTGGTATATTTCCCACAACAAGCTCATCCAGCGCTCTCTTAAATGGCTGCATATGCGCCCACCAGAGGCGGTTTGGCACGAGACAGAGCAGCGTTTCAAGGCTGCGCAGCGAGATGAAGGGCAGCACAATGCCATGTCAATATGGACGCGCGACTATCATGACTGGCATTTCAAGCTGGAAGGCAGATATACGCCAATAGGCCCTGAAGAGATGCAGTTGCGTTTTGATCGTAACATTCGAAGGCTCTTACGAACAGGTTTTCCTCCACAGAACTCTGCGTTTGGAAGCCGTCGGTTCAGCTTCACTTGACCGAGTCGTCGAATGCGACCACGGTGGTAGCATGTCCACTAATCTCGGCCACATGCGGTAGCGAATGAACATCGCGTTCGAGGACTATCACCTCACGAAAAGAATTCGGCGGTAAAAGGGTCTGGAACGACGTCCGCCTTGGGGTACCGAACCACGACGTAGGTCGACAGACAAACTCGACGCTGGAATCATCGAGGTTTTTATATGATACTCGGTCTCCCAAGGCCCTGGGGTCGAAAAGCCTGCGTATCCTTCGCCATCAGATCTCTACCGTGTTCAAGAGACTGGCGGAGTGGGAACGGCGCTTTACGCACCAAGGCCAGGAAATTTCAAATCGTAAGTAATCATCGAAGGGAAGGAAGTTTATGCCGGCGTGCCAGCAAAGTGATACTGATCGGGGCCCCGTGAATTTGCACCAATTCGTCGATTAGAACCTGTCACTGCCCCAAACAATTCCCTCCAATCACTTCATCAACCGATCGCATCGGAATGAAACGCTGTACAGACACTGATCAGCAATCGCATCATCAGGCGTCATCATCAGATCGATCTATCGATCGATCTCAAGGCCGTCCTGCCGAGTACGAGATGCCGATCAACAACAGACATTTAGATGACCTTGTTCCACCCCTAAATGGCACACCAATGCCAATCCTACCGACCGGAAAACGCCATGGACGCCGATGCGCCTCGATCCACACGGACGATCCAGACGGAAGAGAAATCTCCAAACAGCATCCCCAAACACCGTCCATTCCAACATTCCAACCCATCGAATAGTAAAACAGCAAGCACGCGACCTCATTCTTCTCTTTATCCTTCATCCAATCCCTCTTCGCCAAGACCTCCTCGCGCAAGAAAAGAAAAAGAAAAAGAAAAAGCAAAGAGAAAATCAGGGCTCAAACGAAGCCCTTCGCCAACGCCCTCAGCCCGCTGGTCCGGGACGGCCGATCCGAGGTGGATTTGTCGGAGCGATCCTTGGAGGAGCCGTCCTTGGAGGAGGAAGGGTCCTTGGCTTTGTCCTTCATCTTGATGTTCTGCGCGCCACCTGTGGGAGAAAAAAAAGAGGAGAGATGGGTCAGCGGGATATCTACAGCGAAGATTCAAAGAGGGGGGGAGCAATTTCAAACGTACCTCGGCCATAGACCCGCACCTCGCTCTGCGGTTTGATCTTCGGCGGGGGAGGCACCGCGGCGCTCCTGCGGTGGTCGTTCGCCGACCCGACCGCCGCCAAGCCGAACCCTCGCCCATCTGTACTGCGATCGTAATCCGTCATGCTGCGCTCGTCGGCGGTGAGAGGTTTCGTCTGGTTGAAGCCGCCGAAGGGGGAGGAGGAGTCGCGGGAGGAGGAGGTCGTGCTATCGATGCGCTCGTGCCGCTGCTGGTGGTGCTGGGGTGTGAGGGAGGGTTTCCAGGAGAGGCCGCCGTTGATGGAGCCGGATTTGGTCGGGGCCTGGTGGGGTGTCGCGGTGGTTTCGCTGCGGGGCGGGGAGGCGGGGAGGAGGTTGGTGGTGGAGGGGCCGGGGACGGCGGCGCCGCCGCCGCTGCCGGGGCCGTGGTGGTGCGGGGCGCGGCGGGAGGTCGGGTCGCTGGTGCTGGTGTATTTGGCGAGGGCGTCCGGGCCGGCGTTGTCGTCGCTGGAGATGTCGTAGACGCTTTCGAGGATGCCGATGGGGGTCTTGCCCGGGTATTTCTCGAGGAGGGCGCCGCTCATGGTGGAGTCGACGGCGATGCTGTTGCGGCGGCTGACGCTGGGATACATGGAGTGGGTGTCGATGCCTTGGAGCTCGTCGAGCTGGCTCTTGACGGAACTGTATTCGAGCTCGAGGTCGGTGTATTTGTCGAGGAGACGGGAGTGGGCTTTCTTGAGCTGGGCCAGTTTGTTGTTTGCTTCGGCGATGGCGGCTTGTGCGTCGGAGCCTGGGAAAGTACTGCCGCGACGAGGGTTCTGCGCGGAGAAGGCCTGTGCTTCAAGCTCGGCGATCCTGTCGGAATGAATCTTTCGCATACGATCCCGCTCTTGTTCGTGTCGTTGTAACCGCATGTGCAGGTTTTGTTTCTCGCTCGTGAGCAGCTCGACTTCTCGCTTCGCGGTGTCGTAGTCAAACTCTTTGTACTGCAGTTCTCGGACCTTGCCCTTAGCCTCTTGTAGGTCGTTGTTGAGCTTCTCCCAAGACTCCATGTCCCTTTTCATGATTTCCACTCGATGCGTTTGATCGAGTTCCCGTGCCTCGGCAGCAGAGAGCAGATCGCGATACTGCTTCATCTCCGCGCGGAGTCGCCGGAGCTCGTCGGCATCGGCAGTCCAGACCTCTTGTTCTTTCTTCAGCTTTTGCAATCGCTCCGCCATGTTCGCCTCGAGGTTGTTGACCTGCTTCCTCGTGAGGGCAGAGTCCTTGAGGGTCGCCTCACGGGCGTTGTGGACTTGCTCAAGTTGTTGTTTGAGTGTCCGGTTCGCGTTGATGAGATTGAGGGTCTCCGCCTCGACCGTCGCGTCTTTCACGTTCTTCCGCATCAGCTGACCAATATGTTGTGAATATTGAGCCTTATGCCAGCGCTCGAAGTTGAGCTCGTTGCGAAGAAGGGTGAGCTCCCGCTGCAGGAACGCGAGATTTGTTGCAGGCGGAGGGCCATCAGCACGCATCGCAGGAACAGGAGGGAAATCATCAATCGTCGGTCCGCTTTTGACGATCGAAACGTCAGACTTCGCTCGGAGTCGCAATGGCTCAACGGAGACATCATTATCGGAGAGGACACTCTGCGCGCCTGTTCCAGCATCGCCGGAGATGGCAGTCGCCGTGTCTTTCCAGCTATTGAAAGAGCGTAGGCTAGTGTGGCTCATTGTTGGAGATAGTGTACCTTGAATCCTATCCGAGATGGGAGGCAGATCGGGTAGTCTCGCGTTCGGCGGGGGTCCAGGAGTCATGTGCGTGTGCGGAGATCGCAAGTTCATACAGAATCCATGACAATCGGCAACGACATCAGCAGGTTCCATCTTGGGCCATTTCGGATCCGCCAGTTCTTCATCGATGGTCAGATTGTAGAAATTTGGATGTAAGATATGGACTTGGCGGAACTGGTCACTTCTGCTGCGGATCACGGTCTGATCAAGATCGAAATCATCTGCGCCAGGGAAGTCGACATTCTTGAGATATTTGCGTGGTTTCCGGATGTAACTCATAAAGTTTAGCGGATACAGACCGTAGAGGTATGTGAAGAGGGTCATGACCTCGGGTGTGGTAGCCTCCACAAGGCCGGGCTTAGATCGGAACTTCCTCCAGTTTGGGTCCACACCAATGTCGTCACGCTCGTCCTCATCAGAGTCAGCGATGCGGTCATCAGTGACCAGTTCACGTTGAGATTCGGTACTCAACGGAGAGAACTTCTCCCAGCAGAGAAGGCGGCTGTAAATGAGGAAAAGTCGCGGGAGATTTGAGGCCAAGGAGGCAGGAATGTGAGGCAGAAGCATTATGAGCGACGTCAAAGCCATCGACAAAACAGTGGTGGAAGTGTCGTTCATCAGGCATTTCAGGAGGTGATCGACTAACGGCGTGCCGAGGACGCGATAGAGATGCGGTGTTTGTGTACGCAAGAATGAGCTGAGAAGCGCTAGACCTTGAATTCGAGATTCGGGGTTGACGACGAGCTCTGCGATGGCGTTGAAGAAGCGTTCGGGCATTTTGCGACCGTATGCGAGGAGAATGAGCTCGACTTGTTGTGCGACTTGAGCGTTCTCGGGCGCGACGAATGCGTCTTCGTCGCTGAGCCCTTTCGTGCGTTGAAGGTAGATGGTCGTGAGATCGTTCCACAATCTCGTCGATAGATCGGCGCGCTCTTTGGCGTTGTCCGCGTCTTCTTCGTAGATCATGACACTGGAAAGGAATTCCTGCGCGTCCTCGATGGCAGGTTTTCGATGGCCAGATTCACCAACCACCGGTTTCATGACATAGACGTACCACTCCAGAACGTTCTCGTCGATGGTGATGGCCGATCGTAGTTCGCGGAGGACGCCGGCGAATGCCGCCGTCTTTCTCGGAATGTCAGCAACATTGCGCTCCCAGAAGCGTTTCAATTCCTGGTTCGCTTTGGTAGTGATGTCCTCGTCGAGCTTGTCTTGATTCTCGTCGATGAAAGTTTGGAGCATGCGTCGGCATTCGATGGGAAGAGAAGGCAATGCTTTCGGCGTCACGAAATACGCCTGTAGAGCTTTTGTGACATCTTTGATTGACCTGAAATACTCTCGTCAGCGAATCCGGTTGTGTGAGCGTGAGCGACAATCGTAGCAATCGTGGTCGAGGGCCAAAATGCCCCAAGTTGGATGTGAGATAAACCAGGACGGCAAGATACTGACCTCACATTGACACTCATGGTGGATGATGAGCTCAACACGAATGTTACTGCAAAGAAATCCGGGGGGTTTGTAAAATACACAGCGATGCACCAACCAGTATGTTGGCTCCCTTGTTATGTGTTATATATGAAAATCTGGGTGACGGCGATCATAAGTCTAGAAGAAGTTGCATTGGTTGACGAGAAGCGGGCATGGCAGGTAAATGTCGCGGACGATGTGTGAACAAATGGACCGGCCAAAGATAGACAGAAGCCGTTCTCACCAGCAGAGAACGTACATGTAGGCAGTTGGACCGGTATTCGTAAGGAGGAACATCGGCCGTCGGCGATCCGTGCTAGGCGGTCTGCGTATATAATAGAGAAATGTTTGCAGGAAATCAACGGGACCAGGTAGCGGTTGAGGGAGCTGTTTTCCTTCGGAGCCCTGAATTGTTCGACCGTCCCGGACCAGAAGCGGGATAGGATACGGGCCCCGGGATAGTAGAGAGCTGAAGCCCTGGAGGGAGAGAAAGACTCGACGAGTAGGGATGAAAAGGAAGGCTAGGATGTTCGGCTCCGTACCGAAACGGCACGACGGGTTGCGATTTGGAGGGAAGTCAGGCATGCATGGCGAACCAGATTCTAGATTTCGTTGGAGATGTTCGTGCGGGAAGACTCCGCTGGGTTTTATACGAGCGGTGACCGCTGCATGCTGCAGAATAGATGCATGATGGCGGTGGTGAAAGGGCTAGTTGACGCGAGAACTGGACAATATTCAGGGAGTTCAGTCGGGAAGTGAGGTGGTGATGGTGATGTTGGCGATGTTGGCGATAGAAGCGCGGGTGTGAGACGGGCGGACAAAGCCGTCCGCGGGTGTGTGTTGTGTTGTGTGTGTGTGTGTGTCTGCTGTGTGCGTCCGCTGTGTGTGTCTGCGGGTGGATTTTCTGGTTATCTCTCTCGTCGGCGTGAGTGAGAGATAAGGGATTTTCTGGAACGCCGGTCTAATAATTCATCGTCCAGCCCTGGAGAGAGCTGGAGAGTGCTGGAGGGAGGCGTGCGTGAGGTGATGGTGAGTGGCTTTCCCCTTCCCCGTTCCTCCCGTTTGTCCCACCCATTATTATTATCCATCCCGGCCGGAGATTATTATTATTATCATTACCTAGGTGGGTGTTGTATTGGTGCTGTTATCGCTGGGATTGATTGTGAACAACCGGGCATATCGTCATTGTCTTCCAACATCGTTCTGGCTGGGTATATGCTCCATCACAGTAGGAATCATTAAATCGATTCTGCGGTGAGCGTATATTTCATATTGACCACCTGGCTCGTCATCGCGATCTGATATGCCTGACATGCTTGATATGCTTGATATGCCTGATATGCCCATATTGATCTGTCTCCCGCCAAATGGTGCCTACCTGGGTGACCCGTAGCGTATAGAGTTCGCATAGTCGGACAGGATTCACGTGGGCGTATGTATGCGACGTCATATCCTCTGGGGTACATACTACACATGTGAGAGGCAGTAATTAATGAATGAGCATTCCATGGATCCACAATTGCACAGTGATAACAATCAGATGCAACATCCAGGAACCCATGGTCGAAAGAAGAGGAGGAGGAGGCGGCACAGCAGAAATCCGCGCAGTAGTGCACGCCATGCTTGCTGTGTCGTTCCGGCTCCTCCATCGCTCCAGCACAGTACTAGTTATTTAGTAATAGCATTATCAAAGTCATCCCTTCTCTAATCAGTACAGTGGAGAGGTACATGTCACTCCAGGACGAACATCAACCATCACTTCGGGTCGTCTCATCTCGGCATCTCCACGCTCACGGAACGGAGCTCGTCCTGATGATAACTTCCCTTTCCTATTTCCGTATCATCATCATTATCTCACGAGAGCACGGTTGTTGCCACGCACGCATGGCCCGGGTTTTTACTGAATCTGCTGTTCATATACGCCCCCCAAGAAAATCATCCCTAGCGACGGACGACTGATGAGAGGAAAGTCGTCCAGAGCATGCGGGATCGTCGTCATCACCAATGAGCGCTAGATATTGAGAAAGAGGGCAGTACCATGGCTTGACTCCACCTCTAGACCGTACGCGCCCGGACATGGTTGTTTCATAATCGACATGCGGCAGCTTACATATCAGCAGCACGGCGATGCTGCACATCTCCAGTAGACACCTAGGTAGATGCTCCTGTCTCTCCTCTAGCCTCGGAGCATTGTTCCTCACCATGATGATATATAGCTCCAGCTCTTGGACCCTGGGAATTTCCATCGACCCTCCTCCACCGATGGGAATGTCTCAGATATGATATACATACATGTAAGGCGGCAGATATGGCCCATACGATCCCTGATCGCTGTGCGCGTTGATTTCCTAGCCACGGGACGGTGTCGTCCTGGGAGGATGACCTGCTCTTCCGCTCTGGTTCACCGCCGTTGGTTGAGACGCAAAAGCGCGACGGGCTACAAGCGGTAGGGAAGATGCACATCAGTAGCTGCTGTAAGACACACCGACCAAACATCTCCAGAGCATGGGTGGTGGAGGATTCGGTCAAGAATACCCGGGTCCAATATGCTTGCTGAATGTCATTGATGTACGGCGGTCTCGATGGCAATGCCCACCTGACGCTGGCGTACTGGATCCTGCAGTTTGACTTCCATTCTCACTTCTCACCAGGTGGACTTCTTTCTATGGAACTACCTGTCGAGGCTGAAGAAGCCAAGCAAGCTATCCTACTGAACTCGACACGCTCGACGAATGATAGCACCACGTCTTTTTCCCAACGGATGCATGGTCGAAGGCTTATAGCCCATGCATGTTCATGTCGTCAGCTCGGTCGCAGTTCATGTATGGGGATCAGATCATCGGTCGCAGTTCATGTATGGAGATCAGATCAGATCATACAGTGCCGGGCAAGGTGTTGATGCTGGGTTGGGGCTACGTGACTAGGGTTACCCGGATTCAATCGTTGGTGTCATCCCCGCCGCCGCCGCCAATTCTCCCCAGCTGGACGGTGAGTGTATCGATTGCCGTACTATTATTATTATTCATTAGCTTCTCCGCCGATAGTGGTGACGATCTTCAAGATTTGACCGATGCATGACTCGCGCTACACCCCATTTTTCTTTCTGCCGACAAGTCGACAACAAAAAATAATACCGGACGTACCCCCAGAGGCGAATCTCCAGGAAGATCATGGCGGAACAACAGACGGAAAAGAAATCCCGCTTCAAGCGTCAAAAGACCAACGACGATCGCGCAAATCCATACCTGGCGCACATGCACAACGACGACGATACCAACGGCGTCGGCCTGGACGATGCCGCGACAAATGGCAACGGAGCCGATCGCTCTTCCAGCTCATTGACTTCGTTCAAACGCCACAAGACCACCGACAAGCAAGCCAAACTTGCCGAAGATGGTCCTAGCAACCCCTTCAACCAGAAGCCTCTGTCACAACGCTACTTCAGCATCTTGAAAACTCGTCGCGGCCTGCCTGTCCATGCGCAACGGCAGGAATTCCTGGACCTCTACCAGAAATCGCAAATCTTGGTCTTCGTCGGCGAGACCGGTTCAGGAAAGACTACACAGATCCCGCAGTTCGTCCTCTACGATGATCTCCCGCATCTCCACGGCAAGATGGTCGCATGTACGCAGCCGCGTCGTGTGGCCGCCATGTCCGTGGCGGAACGTGTCGCAAATGAGATGGATGTGAAGTTGGGCGAAGAGGTCGGATACAGCATCCGTTTTGAGGACATGACGAGTCAGAACACCATCTTGAAGTACATGACGGACGGTATGCTGCTCCGGGAGGCCATGAACGATCATGATCTGAAGAGGTATAGCACCATCATCCTCGACGAGGCGCACGAGAGAACTCTCGCTACGGACATCTTGATGGGTCTTCTCAAGGAAGTCGTGAAGCGGAGGTCGGATCTCAAGATCGTCATCATGTCCGCCACTTTGGATGCGCAGAAGTTTCAGAAGTACTTCATGAACGCGCCGTTGCTGGCTGTGCCGGGACGCACACATCCCGTCGAGGTCTTCTACACGCCCGAGCCAGAGCGAGACTACGTCGAGGCCGCGTTGAGAACTGTTCTTCAAATCCATGCGACCGAACCGGAAGGCGACATCCTCTTGTTCTTGACCGGAGAAGAAGAAATCGAAGAGACGATCCGAAAGATCAACCTCGAGGCGGACCAAATGATATCGGAAATGGACACGGGACCACTCAAGACCTATCCGTTATACGGTACATTACCTCCGCAGCAACAGCAGAAGGTTTTCGAACCTGCGCCACCACCGTACAAACCTGGTGGGAAGCCGGGTCGTAAAGTCATCGTATCGACCAACATCGCCGAAACGTCCCTCACGATCGATGGTATCGTCTACGTGGTGGACCCCGGCTTCAGCAAGCAAAAGGTCTACAACCCGCGCGCCCGTCTCGAATCGCTTCTCGTCTCGCCCATCAGCAAGGCCTCCGCACAACAGCGGGCCGGTCGTGCAGGACGTACGCGCCCCGGGAAATGCTTCCGCCTGTACACCGAAAAGGCCTTCAAGACCGACCTCAACGAGCAGTCGTACCCCGAGATCCTCCGTTCCAACCTCGCCAGCACCGTGCTCGAGCTCAAGAAGCTCGGGATCGACGACCTCGTCCACTTCGACCTGATGGACCCCCCCGCGCCCGAGACGCTGATGCGAGCCCTCGAGGAACTCAACTACCTCGCCTGCCTCGACGACGAAGGCGACCTCACCGCGCTCGGCCGCCTCGCCTCCGACTTCCCGCTGGACCCGGCCCTCGCCGTCATGCTCATCTCCTCCCCGGAGTTCTACTGCTCCAACGAGATCCTCTCCCTGACATCCCTCCTCTCCGTCCCGCAGATCTTCTCGCGGCCCGCCTCGGCGCGCAAACGCGCCGACGAGATGAAACAGCTCTTCGCCCACGAGGACGGCGACCACCTCACGATGCTGAACGTCTACCACGCCTTCAAGGGCCCCGCCGCGCAGGAGAACCCCAAGCAGTGGTGCTACGACCACTTCCTGTCCCACCGGGCGCTGACCCAGGCCGACAACGTGCGCACCCAGCTCAAGCGGATCATGGAGCGCGAGGAGATCGAGCTGGTCAGCACGCCGTTCGCGGACAAGGACTACTACACCAACATCCGCCGCGCCCTGGTCGCGGGCTTCTTCATGCAGGTCGCCTGCAAGGACAACAAGACCTACAAGCTCGTCAAGGACAAGCAGGACGTCCTCCTGCACCCCTCGACCGTCCTCGGCCAGGACAGCGAGTGGTTGGTGTACAACGAGTTCGTCCTCACCAGCAAGAACTACATCCGCACCGTCACCGCCGTCAAACCCGAGTGGCTGCTGGACATCGCGCCGAGGTATTACGACGTGGAGAATTTCCCCAAGGGGGAGGTCAAGACGGCGCTGTTGAGGGTGCAGCAGAGGTTGAGCCGGAAGGCGGCGGGGAGGAAGTAGTGTTCTTCGGTTCTGTTTGGGGTGGCTTCTTTTTGGAAAAAAATGCAGCGGAGAGAGTAAGATAGTCGGGGCAAGCTCACGAGGGGATCCACCGTCAATGTAATGAAGACGGGCCGAGCCACCCACGAAGAATTAAAACATGTCCTTTACCCCCGATTGATGGTGTTCCCGCTCCCCTTCGGATTCGCCTCGACGAACTCGTCCCACTCCCTCGCCTTCATCGTCGCCTGGTCCGCCACGTCATGGTCATCCTCGTCGACCTCGGGCCGGATCCCGCTCGCCTCCCCGCCCCCCTCGATGATGCCTCCCCGCCGCCGCTCCTCCTCGAGATACTCGTCGATCGACATCGTGGGGAGGTTGTAATCCGGCCGGAACACCCCCTGCTGGAATTCCTGCCGGCTGCTGGTCAGCGTGAACGGCCGCAGGGGCTTGCCTTGTCGGTCCAGCAGCGGCCCGCGGAGCCCGGCGGAGAGATGGCCGGCGGGCGCGTCGAGGCGGTCGGAGAATGTCGCGGCCGGGTTGGTCTGCCGCGTGGTGCGGTCGCGGGAGTCGAGCGAGTTGTTGGTCGTCTGGTGGGCTTCCCGGGCGTCGGGTGGCGGTGCGAGGGAGAGGATGTGGAGCTCCTGCGCGAGGGACTCGAGAGAGGCGAAGGTCTGGTGGGTGGCGTAGGCGATGCTGGTGAGCTGCAGGCTGCGGTAGGCGGCGTCGTCGTTGGCGAGGGCTTCGGGGTTCTGGCGGAGGTATTCGAGCTTTTGTTTGAGTTCTTTCTCTTCTCTGAAACGCCGGATTTTGATGTCCCGTCGTTGGGCGGCGTCGCTGGTCGCGGCGGTGGAGAAGGTCGTGGGTGACTCCTGGTAGGATTCCAGCAAGGCGGAATCGCTCTTGGAGAGGAGTTCGTAGTCGTCTAGTTGTTTGAGGTATTGCTCGTAGCTCTTCTGGGCCTTTTCGAGGTGGTTCTTGCGCTCTGCGATCCCGCCGGCGATGCGCCCGATCAGTTCCGCGAGGCGATAGTGGAGGAGTAGATATTGTAGATCCGCTGAGCTGATGTCCTCAAGTGACTCGTTCGGACTGAACAACGACACGCGCTGGGCGATCTCTAAGCATTCTTCATACAATTTGATCGTTGTGGACAATTTGTCTTGGAATGATTCACTGTTGCTGTCGGCGCGGGTATCGAGATTGGATCGGTTCTGTTCGGCGGTTGCGTGGACGGAGCGGAGACTTCGCTGTTCCTCTGCCATTGTGATGGTTCTTCTATTCGGATTGATGTCGACGTGTGCAGTGTGGATGCGATCACGGTGGAGTTGTTATATTTGAGGACGTTTCTTATTAGGATGATCTCTACCTACGATCGAACTTCACACGCGAATTTATTAATGTACAGTAGAATTCGACCCCTCCAGGGCTCATATACACGCAACACGATAAATTTCATTGCATCACAGCCCTGGATGACATTAGACATGGGACGGGCGATTTGGCTGCTGGACCCTTCCAGCATTTTTTGGAGGGGCTGATGAGTCAGCCGCCGTCTTCCTTCGTCGGCAACCCTAACGGAGGAGGGAGCTTGACGCGAAATTTACAGTATCGGTCTGCAGAAATTCAATCCATACACACGACCGCCAATATACCATTCTGGAAACACCATTCATACGTTTGTCTTCGTCTCAATATCAGGTCGACCCAGAGTCAACCTGTTCCAATCGAAACTCAGCGGCGGAGAATTTGGGGAAGATCATAATCTTGCAAGTCTCGACCCAACAGGACCATCCAACAACGCCCACCTAAATTTCTAGCCTGCCATGGCAGGCATCTTCGAGCAATCCCGCAACACCGGCACTCTCTTCCTCGGCGGTCAAAAAATCAGCGGTCAAGACATCCGAGATCAGAATGTCCTCGCAACGCAGGCCATCTCCAATGTCATCAGATCGTCGTTCGGCCCAAGCGGTCTGGACAAGATGATGGTCGACGACATCGGAGAGGTCACGGTCACCAACGACGGAGCCACCATCCTCAGCCTGCTGAACGTGGAACACCCGGCCGGGAAGATCTTGGTGGATCTCGCACAACAGCAAGATAAGGAGGTCGGCGATGGTACGACCAGTGTCGTGCTGATTGCGTCGGAGTTGCTGCGGAGAGCGAACGAGTTGGTGCGCATGCGTATACATCCTACCACAATCATCACAGGCTACCGATTGGCGCTACGGGAGGCGGTCCGATACATGAACGACAACATCAGCACAAAGGTGGAGACCTTAGGGCGGGAGAGCTTGGTGAGCATCGCAAAGACGAGCATGTCGAGTAAGATCATTGGAGCGGATTCGGACTTTTTTGCCAACATGGTTGTGGATGCCATCACGAGCGTCAAGACCACCAACGCGCGCAATGAAGTCAAGTACCCCGTGAAGGCCGTCAACGTCCTCAAGGCGCATGGAAAGAGCGCCCTCGAGTCGGTCTTGGTCAAGGGCTACGCTTTGAACTGCACAGTCGCCTCTCAAGCGATGAAGACTAGGATAACCGACGCCAAGATTGCCATCCTCGACATGAATCTGCAAAAGGAGCGCATGAAGATGGGTGTGAACGTGGTCATCGATGACCCATCACAATTGGAGAAGATTCGCGAGAGAGAATCCACCCTGGTCACTGAGCGCGTGGAGCTGATCCTCAAGGCTGGTGCCAACGTCATCTTCACGACCAAGGGTATTGATGATCTTTGCCTGAAGTACTTCATCGAGAAGGGCGCGATGGCCGTCCGACGCTGCAAGAAGGAGGATCTCCGACGGATAGAGAAGGCCACCGGAGCGACCATGATCAGCTCCCTAGCAGACATCAACACCGGCGACGAAGTATTCGACCCCAAGGCTCTCGGACACGCCGAGGAAGTCGTGCAAGAACGCATCTCTGACGACGAATGCATCCTCGTCAAAGGCCCCAAAGTCCACACCGCAGCATCCATCATCCTCCGCGGACCCAACGAGTATTCCCTTGACGAGATGGAGCGATCCGTTCACGACTCCCTCTCCGCGGTCAAGCGAACCCTCGAATCCGGCCGCATCGTCCCCGGCGGTGGCGCCGTCGAGACCGCCTTGCACATCTACCTCGAGGAATGGGCCACGAGCGTCGGATCCCGCGAGCAGCTCGCCATCGGCGCCTTCGCTGCCGCCCTGCTGATTGTCCCCACGACTCTCGCCGTCAATGCCGCCAAGGACTCCTCCGAGCTCGTTGCGCAGCTCCGTTCGCGCCACGCGCTTTCTCAACGTACCTCCGAACCCTCCGCCTCTGCGCACGGCGGCCCCCCCGCCACCTCCGCCGCGAACCCCGGCTCACCCGCGACCCCCGTCGCCCGCTCCTCCACACAGCAACCCATCGGCGGCAGCGGCGGCGATGCGGCCGGTGAGGCCAAGGCCATCGCCAAAGCGAAGGGCTACAAGAATTATGGCCTGGACCTCGTCAAGGGCAAAGTCCACGACTCCGTCAAGGCCGGCGTCCTCGAGCCGAGCATGTCCAAGGTAAAGCAGTTGAAGAGCGCGGTCGAGGCTTGCGTCGCGATCATGAGGATCGATACCTTGATCAAGCTGGACCCCGAACAGAGAGGCGATGGTGGCGATGATGGTCATGGGCACTAGAGGATCGATCGGAAATTTGACGCGATGAATGAAAAAATGTATGTCACTGACGTAGGCGAACGCGACCGCGCTCGAAACCGTTCAATATCTCACGTGCCAATGGTCTTTCTTCACGAGTCCGCAAAAGCAGGTCTGAAAATCGTGATTCTTCGTAGACATGCTGTACATAACTGTTGTTGCTACATGCTTCGTCGGCTTTCTTCCGAACAGTCCCGTCGCCCTCTCAAGACTGCTGTCCATTGACATCACTCCCAGCAGCAGCAGCAGCAGCAGCAGCGAACATCGGCTCTCGCGCTCGCGTCGCCGCAACCCCCCGGAATTCCTGAATCTCATTATGATGCTGCGACTGTGCGGATAGCGTTGCAGTCGTGCCGGAGGGATTCTCCAAAGGCGGTATTCGAGTTTCGTCGCCGGTGCGAATTTCAGGGTTGGAATGTGTTGTCTTTGCGGCGGTTATTGTAGGGTCGTGGCTCGTGTCGCCGTTGGAGAATGGGTCGCTTTTCGTTGGAGGAGGGTGGGCAGCAGACGCAGTATCAGAATTGAGATCCTGGGCGTGACTTTCGGCTGACTTTTGGGCCTCTCCGTCCGCGCCGTCAACTTCCATTCCGACAATCCGTTCATCAGAATCCTCATCGCCTCCTCCGTCGGTCTGCCCAGAGATATTTTCTTTCTCCTCCTTAGCGGCAGCAATGCTCTGCTTCTTCCTCCTCGCGTCCGCGATCAATTTACTGAATTCGTCCTGATGCGTCCTCGAGTACGCCGCGCCGTCGAAATCCTTTCGCATCACATTCGTCGACAGGCCATTCGGCATCGGCGCTCTACCGCCCTGCGTACGCTCCCAAACGTCTAGATCGCGTAGTAATTCCCTTTGGGTGCGCGGTGTTGCAGAATCGCAGTTCGCGTTCCAGATATTGACCCATTCGCGGTGGCGGTTGATCATGAGTTGTTTGTTGCCCCAGGCGGGGATTCCGAGGTCTTTGAGCTTTTTGGAGAAGAGGGTGTCTTTCATGCTGCTGTAGTGTAGCTCGTTGATGCGGTCCTGTGGTCGAGGTTGGGGCTGACTGCTGTTGCTCCCGCTTCGGAAACTTGATTGGGTTGTATGTCTTGTTTGAGCTGGTGGTGCTTTCAGCTCTTTCTTCTTCTTCTCGTCCTCGCATTTATCCAGGTGAGGCTCCACGGCTTCGATCTTCATTCTCTTCCCGCAGCCAAGTGGACATTCGACAAAACCGTCCTCTACGACTGGCGCAGGATCAGGCTGGAACGTACTGTCTGCATCGCTATCATCGACCTCGATGATCTCCTGTTGCGAAGACTGCGACGCCGCTATCCTCCGCGCCTTGCTCCTAGTCGTTCGCCTTCCGCCATCCTCCTCTTCTCTCTGAGCGTCCGGCTCGAGTCCTGCACCTCTCTTCCGTTTCGCAGGCTTTCTTTGCCCGTCTTCGGCCTCATCCCGTGCTTTCCTCGCCACTGCCAATGCCCCTGCCCTCGCTGCCTGGAAACTAGACACAATCTCTTGAACAGCCCAATTGTTCCGCAACTTGCTCGCCTGATCCGGCAATGTGCACAGCGGGCATTTCCCATCTGCCGAAAGCGTCGTTCGTATACATTTTGAGCAGAAGGTGTGCGCGCAAGACGTGATCATGGGTGTGTCATAAAACTCCTTGCAGATTTGGCAATGCAGTAGATTTTCGAGGCTGGCAAAGCCGGAGAGCGGCGTGTTTAGCCAATCGCTTGAATCGGGCACATCGTATGCACTGTGATCCATTACAAGGACCTGGCGGCATGCGATGTAGAATGCGAGTGAAGGTCGCAAAAGTGTCGTGGCGATGTCGAAAGAAGACGCGACGCGGTGATCGCGTGAGCACGTGGCGGAGACGAAATTCGGGAGATTTTTGATGTCATGACATTTTATATTATTATTACTTCCTTGCCCTCACAGTTCAAATCGGATCATCCTTACAATCTCGACCGGCCTGGCGCGCAGTCATTCATCGTTCGCCTATGCAATCGAAATATCGTCGACTTGAAAATGTCTTGTGTATGCCATGGCTGCTACAGGCGACATGCGATCACGTCTTTCAACATACAAAAGACCTGGTGCGAAAGGCGTCGACCACTGACCTTAAGCTGGAGTTGAAGCAAACACGGTCATTACTCATCATCAGAAAAATGAAATCTACGGATTAGTCATGAAGACAACAGGATTTCTTTAAGGTTGAGATTCTGCTTCGCCAATTCGTGAATGTGTCTTCTGTGACGACCTCCTGGAGAGCTGGCTTCGACGTCTTAGGGACTAACGACAGTCCATTGATCTCAACTATATCTAGCACCACACTATCCAGATGGCGTTGGAATTCATCGAAGCCTGCCGCCTTAAGGTCAGCGAGCTGCATCACAACGTTATCTCGTTGAGCCTGTTGAAGATCTAGGATAACCGTCAGTACCTTTAGTTCAATCAGATGCCTCCAGAGAGTTACGTCTACCTTTTCGATGTATCTGATGCCGACCGAAACACCATCACTGTCGTTAAACTCGCTCTCGTCACCGAAGTCTGTGTTGTCATCGTCGAGGCACGTCAAGCAGTTGAGTACGACTTGCTCATACAATTCCCCCATCCTTCCAGGCAACTCTCGTTTCGCAAGCTGGACGAGAAGGTGCTTGATTCGTTCTGGCGACGCACTCTGTAACTTTTGCACAGGTACACGTAGCAGCTCTGCATTCGGGCGTGCCTGTTTGCCAGCCTCGGGGTATAAGAGGAATGACTCCCAAAGTCCGATCTCCAGCAAGCACACGCCGAGACTATAGATGTCATGCTGCATACAGTGCTTCTCTCCAGGGTTCAATCCTTGTCGAGATGGGTGACGGTAAATATTCCTTTCCCAATCTGCATCGCCTCGAAAGTAAGTCATGCCCTCAGCACTTCGCACTTGCTCGAATCCAATCAGGAAGAAGGAACCAAGCTTCGATTCACCGAAGCCGATCCAACTTTCGGGTCGGATGCTCTTATGCACAAATTCGAGCGTGTGAACGTAGTTGACTGACCGCGCCAGCTGTCTTGCGAGCTCCACCCGCTCTGAAAGGCTGTGGGGCGTTTGAGCGACCAGACAATTCCTGAGTGAGCGCGGAGCTTCTCTGGTTGGAGTCTCCAGTATAAGGTCAAACGATACCAATCTGCTACCGGTACTGTTTTTCACCTTCGTGAATCCTTTACATTTGAGCACGCCGAACGATGAAGAGTCGACGTAATGCAACTTGGTTGCAAGCCTACGAACATCCTTGTCCATATCGCCAACGTAGGATCCGGGCAAGCAATGAATCGATTCGATGATGAAGCCTGTTTTCCCAGGTCTCTGGGCAAATTTAGCGGAACAGTAAAGAATTGATGTAAGATTCAACTTATCAAGACCACCACTCGGCAGCAAGAGATGCAGATCTTTTGGGGCATTGTCCCGCACAGCGTCTCGGACCTTCCTCGCGGTTGCTATAATGCCGGCAGCTTCAACGCCAGCACTCTTTGAATCCTGCAAAGCGTTGACGTTGGCTAGTTCTTTGTCGACTAGAGGATCTGCAATCTTGATCATGAGATACCAGGTTGGATCGTACATACGCTGCCACCTGTCCAGACTCTTGATCGTTTCATCAAGAGTCGGCTTGACAAACATGTACTTCCATCGTTTGACGGCAATCTCTTTGCCTCCATCAGTGCGCTCCTTCAAGAGACCTTGCAATTTGCTTTGGGCTGCTTTGAGTTTGGCGTTCAGTATGTTCAGGGTTTCTGTCTGAACGGCTTGATGAGCTTCGGAAAGTGAAGGCCAGATACGTTGTGTGATTTCAAGCTGAATCTGAGTCCGGGTCCATTGCACTTGCATATGTGTGGTGCGTTCCGCGATTTCGGTCCGGGCTTCGGCCAGACTTTGGCCCAAAGCGGCGAGTTCACGGCCTAGTCTAGCATGAAGCAATGTCAAGAATCGTTCACAACCCGAAAGGATCAGAAAGTACCAGAGGGGCTCACACGAAGGCGTTGGCGAAGAGTCCAAGCACAGCACCTGCTCCGGCAATTTCCATGGTCACAAACGTGCACTTTCTTTGCGCAATATCAGTCAAAGTAGTCCGACCAGCCAAATGTAAAAGAGCTAATCGCCTGCAAACACACTGCCTTTTGACGACTTTGCGACTCTCATCAGTGAAGCCGGCATGCCCCGCTTCAGAGGAGACGCTGTGGCGCATCTTCGACCAATAGCAATAACGGAGTATGAGGCTGTGCTTAGCGGGCCTGGACTCCGACGATAACCATGAACACAGCGTGCTCCTATGGAATAGATTTTGGCTCGCATTCGCAAGAATCACAGTTTTTGTGCTGATGGTACCATTTGGTACTCGAATGCCACGGAGTAGCCACAAAGCGTACGAGGTCTTCCTCATGATCTCAAATGGCTACACCGAGCGAGGACCTTGTTGGCCTGACAGAACTTGATGCGACGTGCTTCGAAGACTCCAAGTATGCCTATACCACTTTCTACTCTAGCGTGAATGGACAAGGGCAAGGCAAAAAGCAATTGTGGAGACGAGGTTACAATCCTCTCGGCACTGGTGGGTTCGGAGCGGTATTCCGTGAAGAGTGTATTGAAGGACTAGCCCAAGGCACAGCACGAGCGGTCAAGCATATCAATAAGCAGACGGCATCTCGTCGTGGCATGGCGATTGATTACAGCAGAGAGTTGGAAGCTATAGCCCGGTTTTCGCAAGCCAAGTATGCGCCTTTCTTCGTGCGTTCCGATGGATGGTACGAAACCGAGACCATGATATGCATAATCATGGAACTTGTGCCACACGGGAATCTTCAGCAATACATAAAATGCGGCTTGCCAGAAGCGGAGACCATCGTTCTGGTGAAGCAAACATTGCACGGGCTCGATTGCATGCACCAGGCTGGTTACACTCATCGGGACATCAAACCACAGGCGCGTCACTGGGACTGTCTGTCCATTGGTCGTGCCGAGCTAAGCAATCTTGTAGAATCTCCTCGTCGTTCGACCAGGTCCCGAATGGCAGATAAAGATAGCGGATTTTGGCCTGAGCAAGCGTCTAGTTGAGAATCTCTGGTCATTACGGACTGTTATAGGCACAGCCGGTTTCATGGCCCCTGAGATGCTAGGTCTCACTCGTGACGAGAAATATGATTCTGATGACTCCGAGGACGAACGAGGCCCGTCTTATTCTAACGCTGTTGACATATGGGCTGTTGGGATCTTGTGCTATATTTTTGTAACAGGAGACTTACCTTTCCCAAGCCAGAAGCTCTTGCGCAGGTACGTAAAGAAACGCGAGGGTCTTGCAGTCGAGCCTTTACGTCACCTCAGCCCCTTGGGAGGGATTTTCATACAAAGTCTCCTGTCGCCCACTCCTTTAGACAGACCGACAGCAGCCGCGAGTCTACAGCATCAATGGATTCGACCATCGGATGCCATCGTATGTACATCTCACCACCATGAGTCATTCTCTGGCGACTCATTTCTCTCGCAAGCTTCTGCAAGCTGGGATACTCAAGAATTCCCAACCAAAATCGCTCCACGTTCTCAACCTTCAGAGACGCACTCCGTGGACAACCTCGCTTCTCGCGTGCCGCCGCAGGCTTTGACAGAAGAACACCGACAGGCGGTAAACTCTGTAGCATCGACAGAAGATCTTCACGTGGATAGCGATGACGGCGCAGTGAGTATACCAGCGACGCCGCTACAACTCTTGCCCTTGGAAACGAAGCGCCCTTCCAATCCTGTCGAGCGATCTGAAGTTACCCTACCAATGGATCCAATGCGAAAAGCACATTCAGAACCAAGGCGTATCGACAAGCCCATTCTTCTAGCGAGATCTTCAGAGCCATCTGTGGAAAACTTGGAGCAAGGTCCTTTTGCTCCATCGTCACCTGTACTCAAAACCCAGAGTTCGGTTCTATTCGATGGTGATGACATGCACATGCAAGGAATAGGAGAATTGCTGGCCCATCGTATATCACACAAGATGACATCTTACCCATCACCTCGACAGCTCGCAGCCGAAGCCGACCCTTGGACTGATCTGTCCCCGAGAGCGATGCCTCGTTCTATCTCTGACGTAAGCTCCGAGAGTGGCATTTCTAGCGCCTTGCCTGCATCATCGACCCTAGGTTTGGATTCTATTGGGGATAGTGGTTATGCGACAGCGACGGTGATGACTATGACGAAGTTCCGAGCTCCTGGTCCCGTAATATCACCAGAAACATCCTTCGCATTAGCGTCAACAACGACAGGTGGTCAGCCAATGCCTGTGATGAAGCTCGGAAACATTCCGCCGCGAACTGCTTTGCAAAAAGTGTCGAACGATACTTCGCCCGGAAAACTCCGGACACTGACCGCTTGGCTTCAACGTAGAGGAAAAGCCAGTGACGGAGAGGGAGCAGAGGATTTTCCTGTATCAATTGAATCTATCGGCCTTGAATGGGACAGAGATACGCTTGCACGGTCTCCACCAGACTTGCATGCTTTGGAACTCAAGAGGTATAACACCCTGGAAGGCCAATGCTTGCCTGACCATCACGAAATCATTTGCGGCTACAAGATGCTCCATTTTTCTCCGTGTGGTACACTGCTCGTTGCAAGAGTTCCGGGATCGTCCTTGTCGCTGTGGGATATGAACACAGCAACAAAACGAGGAGCCCTACGTGAGACAATGGGCTCTTCCGAAGGCGATAGGACGACGACACATTCATCCCAGACCTGCATGTATTTTAGCAGCAATCGCCGTCGACTCACGGTAGGAATGTATCACTCGCGCAAATCCCACAAAAGGCTCGTGACCACCGTCTACGATTTATCCAACTGGAAGTCGTTTTCTCAGGAAGAGTCAACGTGGAAAGAGCTCTGGTCTGACGACGATCGCCTGCTGGGCTTCCTATCATACGATCGGTTGATTACATGCTCGGGGTTTCCCTCCGTTCCTGGAACAACTGAGAGATTATTGAGGATTTGGAATGTGAGTCATCACGCATCGATCCAACTAGAGCCGATTCAAATGGGCTTCGTCAAAGAAGAAGCTATCTTCCTGCCGTACGAGCTGTCGCCAGATGGCAAGGTAGTGCTCTCCATCGTTCGGGCTTCACCCCTCACATTCCTCCACGTACATGACCTCAACATGGGTCGCCTGATTGTTCGGGATATTCCATGTTATGCGCAACCAGCGCCGGTTTTTGGGCCCGACAGCAAGTTCGTGGTCTTCCTACGTCCATTCAGTCGGAAGAAAGGGGGAAACGGCATTTGCGTCTGTGTTCTTGAGATTGCCACTGGTAGTGTGCGTGAGCTTGCCATGCCGGCCAACCCTCTTCTGGCGAAGCGACCCGGCCAGTGTGCTTTGTCACCAGGTGGTAAATACGTCTTCTGGATCCACAATGTGACGAAAGATATCAGGATTTGGGATGTGGCCGCGGATTCTCAGGTCAAGCATACTTGTGCTATGGGGGTAGACTTTGTTCCGGAGCTGTTACAAACCTCGGTGCGAGGTGCGCTCGCAATCACGGGTAAGGATCGAAGTGAAATAGAACTGTGGGAATTACCACATGAGATGGGTCCGCTTTCAATATCGTGGTCCCAAGACGCTGACTGTTCTGCATCACTATCGTCGAGTAGGTCCCTTCCATAGTGTCCTCAACGCTCACATCACTTCAACTTTGCTGTTCTACTCAAGCTGCGCCCAGGGAAAGGGATATAAAGTCGCGAAACCGCGCTCCTTGAGTATTTTGCCATGGATAACGGCCCTGAGAAGTTTTGGTTGCTACCATATTGTCCTGATAGTACTCCCTTGATTCGTGTTTCGTTGCTCGACCGCCCAAATTATAACCCTAAGCCGACCGTCAAATTTTCGTACAAGAAATTGGAAGATCTACCTCGAGACCGCCGGCATCTTCGCCACAACCACAGGCTGCGGGTAAATGATGCCGATGTACTAAATGATACTTCATCGATAGACAGTGTCGCCGTCCCATCTTTCATCATCCACGATATCGCAAAACTTGCGGGCCCTTGCATATTTATCGTCACGTAAATCCTCGTGGTCGGCTGGACCGAATAGTCCATCGAGGGATCCGTCGTCAAGCTTGATCTGTCCACGGCTGGGTAGGAATACTTCTCCTTGTAATGCTTCTTGTAGAGACTTGAGAAGTTCCTCGTTCAACGATAGTGCGTAGTGTACTTCTCCGGAATACTCTGCTTCAGGCTCTGGGTCGAACGCGGCGACGGCAGAGCAGGCGTTTTGACCCGAGTCGAGCCCGGCAGAGAGACCGATTTGAGTTGGGTCGAGCACACGACGCTCTGCGCATTCGAGGGACATCCTCGCTTCTACGGCGAGCAAACCACGAGTCTCGCTGAGACCGCGTCGCACGGTCTGGATCTCAGCTTGGATGGTCAAGCGAGCATCGACTTGGGTCGGTCTCGACTGAAGGGTCACATATCTGGAGATACCATTGCAGTCAGCTGCTGTGTCCGAAGTAAAGATGAAAAGAGGGCTCTGATATAATGGCGACGTGAATGAGGGTCATTACATCGGAGCCGAGTTTCCCTGCGTGAAGCTACAGATGACGTCTCACTCTCAGATGACCACGAGATAATCATGAACTTACAGAACGGCCACTCCTATGAGGCAATTACAAGTGATCTTGCAACCCTGAATGTGCACTGCCATCGCCTTGATCTGACGTTCGCGAAGGAAGCCAACTACGAATCTTCCTTTCCACGATAGCTGCTTTCCTTTCTGCGCAGCTGCCGGCTCATCTGGGGCGACGTCGGAAGCGGAACTGCCAGTCCAGTTATTTAGATCTTCGCGGAAACGCTTACAAGCCCGCTCACACAGTTCGAGGGTATGCTTGAATTGAGCAAAGACGTGATCGCCAAGATTTTGCCATGCTGATTGCTCTATTGCCTCAATTGAGTTCAGGATCAAGGAGAGTGAGACCAAGTCAGCGAGTAGCTGATGAAGTGTCTCGGGCGCTTCAACAATCTTCTGAATGTCGTCGATGAGCCGTCGAATGCCATGCAAGACCGGCACCGTAATGCCGACCACACCGGCCGTGACACTCAGCGGATCGGCCATGACCGGGTCATCTTGTAGTGAACCTGTGGTTAATTGTAGTCTTGTGCTGCGGGCAGCGGAGAATTTGGAAGTTTTGCTTGAAACGAAATATACACTTCATGCTTACGTTCTTTAGGACGCCTGGAGCAACACAGCTGGAATTGTGCGGGCGGCCTCTTGCCCGCTTCGAGCTTTACGGCATGCAGAGCGGGATGAGTGAGGGAATGCCTGAGCTGCAGCTGGATCGGCCTTGTCCTGCAGGAGCTGCGGAAGTCTGACGAGACAGACTACAGTACAAGCTCAACAGCATTCCACGATTGTGTCGTGTCTGGACTAGACCTGAACGAGAAATTTCTCACGACTCATCTCTCGTCTTCGAAGAGCATCCGATCGCTTTGTCATGATGTACAGTACGGCTGATCACTGCGGAAAGGAGGCCGTTCAAAGCATATATACCCTACAGTATATCACTTCAAAGAAGGGTCAATACGTGCCATCGATTGTGCAGATGCCCGCCAAAACCCCCGAGCAGCCTCTCCCCATAGGGTCGAATCTCGCGACAACTCCATCTCGTCGAGCATGCAATCCGTCTATATGTGTATGATGAGCAGCCGCAAAACATACGCATAATGAGCCCAATACTTGCTGTCGAGCGGACTCATGGCACAAGGAGATCACGAAGCGGATCTGGAGTGTGCAGCGTGGTGCACGGAAGTTCCCGAGCGAGCGCATGACTCAGCAGAACATATCAAGCGCCGTCTTTCAAGACCACCATCACATGTCTCCAGACATCACATCAACTACGATCTCCAAAAGCACTCATAAGCCTCCTGATTTGAGCAGCTTACCCGTGGGTACCTGATTCGTCTCGAGCCTATGCATAAACGAGAGCATCAAGGAATACGGTCCACCAAGACGGCACGCCAACAGCATCGGCTGGATGAGCAACAGGCGCAACAAAATCAGATCATCATTTGTCTGATGGTACTGAAGCAACGACGCGATGCGGAAAAATTACGGTATGCCTGTATTCATCATTGACGCTTTGCCTCCCGGCTTCAAGCACAAGAGATGGGCTGTGATGCCTATGTCACTACGTGAATGAGAGCACTCAATAATGCCCGGATCTCGTGCGAAACGTTAGCTATATATATCCACAGTTGCGATCGCTGTCACATACGGCCACAGGCAGTTGAGAACAAGGGATCCCGTCCGCTCTCCCATATTTAAGCAACTGACCGCGAGATTAGTACTACGGTGGGTGACCACGTGGGAATCCCTCGTGTTGTATGTTTTGCGATTTTTTTGCACATCGACACTGAATGACACGGCCGCCTGAGAATCGCAGCCGACAGCGGGTCAAATGTCCAACAGAGGTGAGGCGCTCGCAAGCGCGCGCGACGCGAATGTGATCGGCGGGCATTGCACCCATGCGTTGTTCTGCGTTTCGTAAATTTTCATTGGGTTGTCGTAGTCCTATCTATGCGATCATCTATTCAGCTGCCTGTCATTCGCTGCACCAGCGAACACGCGTGCGTCCCCGTCCATCGCCCAAGGCCGTACCGCACTCATTTACACCTCCCCTTCCAAAATATCCCTTTATTTGTTATTGTTGCCTCCAAGCGTGTAATTGTCCGGGACCTGGTTAGTGATGGGAATGCCCACCAGCGTGATCGTCTCAGCCGGGAAGCAGTTGGTCGGCAGCGTGAGCAGGACTTTGCCAAAGAAGTCAAGGACGTCGACGGATGCGTTGGAGGTGCCGAGCGAAAGGCCAACGACCTGGGGAGCGCTGACAGGAGCGAATAGCCCGCCGGCTGGGAGTTGGGCCGCCGCAAAGGGACCTACGGTGAAGCTACCCTTTTGCGGGATCGGGATGACGAGCTGCGTCGCCGGATCGTTGGGGATTTGGACGTTCGAGATGAGCGGCGTGCTGGAGAAGGGGTCGAATTTCGAAGGCACTGCGTTGGACATTTGTACGACGAAGCTTGAGATGGTGGTGTGGAAAGTGGTGGCCTGCGGGAAGGCTTTCTTGGCCAGCTGGGTGAGAGCGAGCGGGACGGTCAGGAACGACGCGCCGTTGGTGAGTGAGAAGCTGCTGCCCGGCGCGATGTAGGTCGGGATGGTGCCGGCGATGGTCAAGTCCAGCTCGTAGACGCCGAGGCCGCCGAAGGAGCAGTTGTAGGGAATGCGGAAGGCGCCGGATTCATAGCCGGAGGGCGTGGTGGGGAATTTAGGCACCGAGCCGATGCTAGCGCTCAGCTGTGGACCCGTGCTGGAGTCGACGTTGATCGCGCCTAGGATGTAGTTGATGTTCTGTTTCGGGCAGCTGACGGGGATCGGGCCGAATGCGTTGCTGCCGTCGCTGTGCTGCAGCTCGATCTGCACGTCAACTGTGTCTAGGTGGATGCGCGCCGGAATTCCCGCGGTGCCGAGGACTATTGGGCCGATGGGAGGCAGGGTGCCCTGGGCCGGCAGCCGAATCACGCCCTCGCCGTTGGACGGGAAGGCAATGTTGTTGATGGTGCCGGAGAAGGCCAGGATCCGAGAAGGGCTCGCGTTCTCGACGGTCAAATAGATCTTGATATCGGCGCTCGCTTGCTTGCCGCCGACGATGCCACCTAGGCCAACGACCGACTGCGGGATGAAGATGTTGCCCACCACGTCAGTAAGGTAGACTGCTTGGCCAGAGCCACCCAGCACGGGCGCCGTCGCGGTGAATTGCGCATTGAAAGTCTGCTTGATGTTGTTGAAGAGTCCGCAAGTGACCTGGAGGGCAACGTGTCAGTCCAGATCGTACCCAGATCGTAGGCTGCATCTTGCTGCTCATATCGTCCACTCACAGGGAAGGCAAGTTTGCCTATCTGGTAGTTCTCAGCCGGGACCGGTGGTGGCACGTTGTCGGTCGTGAAGAATTGACCAGCGACGCTGGTGGCCGCAGCCAGCAGAAGCGAGGCGAATGGGCGGACCATGATGAGTCTCGGTTTGATTTGCGAGGCAACGGCACAGCAAATCTGGCAGACTTTTCCGAGCGGCGAGGAATTGTTGAAATCTCCATATCACCCGCTTCGGGGCATTGCTAAATATACATGTACATCTTGCGGAGAGGGCCCATCAAGCTTTTTCCTGCAGAGGCAGTATTGGATGCCTGTCGATCGTCCGCTTCCAGTCTAGTGAGGCCATCTTCCTGCCAGATACTGAACTCGGCTCGTCGCCGACCACGCTGACTACTGCTGCAATGTTCGGCAGTATAGATGCGCGACCGTCGTCTGCCCCGCTCAATGGCTTAGCGCTGAAATAAGCTTTTTTGTAAGGACGATGTAATGCCTACTTGGCCCATATGCGACTACGGTTATTTGATAAGAGGAGAATCTTTCAACTCCTACGATAGGTGCCGAGTGAGTATATCGTGCAGCGGGAATGATTCGATGGACTTGATGGAGCGCGGGACCCCGGCACGCCTTAGAGTTGTTCTCATGTCGCGTCGTTGTCGTCGTCATCGTCGTCGTTCTCATGGTTCAGAAACGCCGTGCAAGGTACTCCCTGTCTGTGCGAATTCAGGCTCACGGTTATGTGCTGCTTTCTCAACGGGAGTCCTTGTCCTCGTGCCTGACACTAATCTTCAACCCCACAGACAGCTCGGAATAAGGTTTGGCACCGAAGCGGGGATTTGCGAAGTCTATTTTCAGCGTTGTCGTTGCCCCATTTCGCCCTCGGGACTAACTGGAGGTGTGGCAGACTACCAACTGATAATAAGCAAACGTAAGATAATTACCTCGAGTGAGCGTTGCGTTAATCTTGCTCAAAAGCTTAAATGTACGAACTTCGTTCTCCAAGAAGATTGAATTTTCGAAGACACTACGGTTCAAAGCTCCACAACAGAAATTTTGTTGTCAAAGGTGTAACAACATCCTCGCATACGCATGATATCGGCAGTCCATTTGCTCATTGCTCGTCACGCGGGTGGTAAACAGTCAATGTCGATGGTGATGTTGACGCGGACCCACGAGGCTTAGCCGATAGAGGACGGCTGTGAAACTGCTGAGAATGTGTTTTCCGACCGTCCTTGGATCATTCTTCTGGACGCACGGGGCATGTGCTGGGATTCTTTTCGAGCACGACCAATCCCACAGATGTAGGTAAATTTCCGAGTTGTCGACGGACAGAAAACCGCACTCGATCAATACTGATCGCCGCCGTTGCCCGGAGTAGGGGGATTTCTCTGCATACGCATAACATCCGGCTCTTTGCTGTTTGTCTACTTTTCGAAAATATTCATCGCTTCAGTAAATTGCATAGGGGTAGTTGTTGTAGTAGTGAGCGTTGCCCTCCACTCGAGGGGATCGAATCCAGACATCGCCCAGGTCAGGATCGCTCGATTTGTAGGAGTGTAGCAGAGCTCGGCGGTAGCTTTTGCCGCGTAGTAGTGACATGTACTCTGGGAAGAGAGCATCAATTCCCATCGTCGCCTGCCGCTCAAAGCGTGCATGTAGGGATCCGTCGTCAGTAGCTTGTTCCGGGACGTTCCTCTGCATGAACGCGGATTCCCAGGCATTCAAATGCCAATGTGGATCAGTCGGTGATAATCCACGGCCTAAGCGGACCCATTTTGTGATGATGACAGCGCTACCGTCGACGCCTAGATCTCGCGTTCGGATGTTGAACTCGATGTGGCATCTGGGGCACCGTAAATAAGGGTGACATGTCGCGTAGCCTTGACGAGTTTCGCGATGTCGTATTTTACACTCGAGGATAGGCCCGAGTGTATCATCGTCGTTGTTGAAGTGATTGCAGATACTCAATTGCTGTAATTCGACAGACTTCTCGAGATGTCTGCTTGCAAACACTATCCATTGTTGAATCCGTAGATTTAATTCGTCGTTTACGATCGCAGGCTCTACGGACAAGAGCGTGATGGGATCGTCAAATCCACGCGGGTCGGCTATCTCACACGCTTGCAGAATTTCGAGCGCGTGTCCGCTGCCACAGCCACTCCGGTGCCGAGCCATGATGCATTGTACATGATCAAAGGTTAGATGATATGCGGTTGGCCAACGAGGCCTATGCAATGTCCAGTGCTAATAGTTACCTAGGTAGGGTCAGAACGTCCACGCGATTTTTAAGCCCGAGATCAATTAGTCAGCATTGACAGATGCTGAGTCATCGCAGTGCCCTGTTCGATTGTATAAGCCTAACGTCAAACACCAGAGCGCGGTCCACCCCACGGCGTGGTCCACGAATTACGTGTCTACCACCTTTAACACTGATTATCTCAACCAATACTTAATAGATTGCTTTGAGACTTAAATGTGTTATATAACAATACTATTCAATCTACTGTACAGTGTTTGAAGGTGTGAGCAAAGGAACCACACTTGCTACACCGACTAGCACGCTTTGGAGCCCTTGGCATCTGCTCCCTTATTTGTGCTTCAACCTCCTCTTGCTCAACTATCCCTTGGATCTGAGAGGCTGACAGGGC